CTTTGCGGTCTATGGGGCAGCGCTGTATCAGCTTAAGGACGAGAACTTCCAGCCCGGGGGTGACCTCACCGCGGCCAAGCACAGTTTCGCCATGCTCCAACAGAAGGTTTCGACAGCGCCGATTCTCCGGCACTTCGACCGAGAGAAGGAAGTACATGTCATGCTGTTCGCCAACGACTGGACTCTGAGCTCCACGTTGATGCAAGAGCATGAGGGCAAACTACATCCCGTTCGCTTCTGTGGACGTGTTTTGAAGGACGCGGAGATGAATTATCACCCGACCGAGAAAGCAATTCTCGCGCTTTTGCTGATACTGAAGGTGTGTTATACCCAACTGATTGGACAGCGAATCCGGGTCTACACTCGATTTTCAACGCTCGACTGGGTCCACAAGTCCAAGGCATTGTTCGGTCGGGCTACCCAGTTCGCCGTCTTGCTGTCGCCGTGGCACCGGTTGGTTGAACGAGTCAAAGAGACCGACTGCTCGTTTGCCCAACTACTTCAAGCCGGCTTGACGAACTTCGTTGATTTGGATAAGTCACTGGTGATGGTTACGCCCCGGACCCGAGGGTCACCGACTGCTCGCTTGGACCTGCATCCGCTCTATGCACGCCTACCTCGGTCCTACCGAGGATTTGTCATGTCGTTTGACGGGTCTGCGAAGACTGAGAAGAACGGTGGTTATGGGAGCTGCTCATGGGTACTATGGAAGTTACCGGAATAGACGGTAGTGCTCGCTGCGAGCGCTTACCTCGAGTTAACCTCGCTGAGTGCACAGGGATGAACAACGGTGTCTCTGCTGCATTACAGCACGGGGCCGACCATTTAATCGTCGTTGGCGACTCGACGCTCGCTATCCAGCAAACACTAGGGGTGATAACCTGTCTGAAGGAGTGTTTGTTGAAGCAACTCAGCCATCACCAAGAAATCACGACCAAGTTTCGACCGGTGAAGTACCTACGTGTGATGAGAGAGTTTATCGCTGCGGCCGCTCCTTTGGCAAGCGAGACGCTCGAAAGCAAGAGGTCGACGGCGGTATCGTCAGACGACCGAGTATTAGAGCTGATGAAGCTGAACCGTATCGCTGAAGTCATCTACGAGGTTGCTGACAGTTGCGTCGTCGAGGACATACCCTCGGCCAGCACAGTATGGGCTGTATCAGCCTCTGTCAAACCTCACAGCAAGTTTTTTTAATTTTGTGCGAAGGGAAACCGACCACAGACGGCAGAACCAGACTGAACCTAGACATGTGGCTGTGATGACCAGACGTCAAGCGAGAGCAAAGCAGAAACACGTCCGGTTTGCAGATGAAGTCTCGGTCACCGATCAGGGAGACGCATCTCACCGAGTGGAAGCCTATGGTATGCCGAGCGAGTCTCAGAATAAAGTAGAAGTCTCACCGCTCCGCACGAGACGTCACCAGCCCCACCGAACGCGGAAGACATTGACCCGCTGGTAGTACAGGAAGAACGCCGAAGGAGGATCGCCACCGCCCAAGATGAAGAACTACGGTGGTCAAATCGGAAGGCACTGCTCCGGGGAGATGACGCGAAAATTGGATACAGAGCTGCAGGAGACGCATAGAAAATGGCGGACCAGATTGTGTTGAGCGAGGACAATGAACTGTATTACACTAGAACGAGCCGTCGTTCGAGTGACAACGAACAAATCGAGTTGAAGATGAAACTCGTGGTACCCACAACGATGATCCAAGAGGTCCTGCAGAGCTGTGATGACTCACTCGAAGGTGGTCATCAAGGTATTACCCGTACACTACATCGAGCGAGGAGAGACTTTTACTGGATCGGCCAGTATGCCGACGTGGAGAAACACGTTAAGTCGTGCCCTGATTGCAGTTCAAGTAAGAGCCGACCTCAGTTCCGCGGGTACTCGCCAGGGAACATCCTAGCCGAGAGGCCTTTCCAACCGGTCTCTATGGACTTCGTGATACCGCTACCAAAGAGTCGCAGTGGTAACACAGCTCTCCTGCTGTTCCAATGCTCGTTCACGGGATTCGTGATGGGCAAAGGCATGTCCGACACTACTGCCCTACTCGTTGCGCAAGCTTTCGAGGAGTGTGTCTACCGATGCTTTGGGGCACCGTCATTGATCCGTCATGACCGAGATCCTCGATTCATGAGCTAGGTCTTTCAGGCCTTCACGGAGATGATGCAGTCTCGGTCGAGGGCGACCCTGAGCTACCGACCACAGGCTAATGGTCAGCAGGAGAGATCGGTGAAGACGATGATGCAGTCAGTCCGCGTATACGCTGAGGACCCGTTGCAGCAGGACTGGGACGAAATCGCCGAAAGACATCAATAACTCCAGTGATACGATGAGGAAGGAAACTCCCTTTTACCTCGTTCATGGGTGGGATGCCCAATCAACGCTCAAGGCAATGTCCTCGTCACTCAAGCGAGGCTTCGGTAGCCAAACGGACTCGCTAGCATGGCGCCGAGAGGTCAACCGACAGCAGGAAATCGCCCTGAGGATGGTCAAGGAGTACCAAGCCGCGGAAAAGGCTTCGAGAGCTAAAAGCACAATGAATCAATTGGCAAGAAGGAGAAGGAAGCTACGGCAAGCGTCACCTCGGTCGACCTTGCACCGAGTTCCCCTGGCCATGGTGGAACTACAGTAACGAAAACGAGGCTTTCTTTGCAGCCTGGAAGCAGAGCGTGGCTGTACATGGAGCGGGTCGGACCAGGACTGACTAAGAAACTAGCCCATCCGTGACACGGACCTTTCCGAGTGAAGAAGAAGATCGACGAGTTTGCGTTTGAGTTGGAATTAACTGACCGAAGTGGATACCGGTTCTACCCGGTGGTGCATGTGTCACGACTCAAGTCGGTGAACGAGTTCGAAGGCCGACCGAGGTTTCGTTTGGCTCGTGAGGTCACTGAAGAGGCTCGCCTTGACTTCGACGAAGAATGTCTACCCGAAGACAGCTTCGAGCCCGACCACCTGGACGGTGAGTACGAGGTGGAGACTATCCTCGATGACCGGACTCCGTTGTCAACGAGCACCCACCTAGCCATTCGGGAGTTCAAGGTCGAGTGGGTCGGCTATGACGAGCCGACATGGGAACCGGCGTCCAATCTGTCGTGCGGTGGCCTCCTGTATGATTACCTACGCCGGAAGTGAAGTGACCGACGTTTGCAAATGGTCCAGGTGGCCGACGAGGAGTGGTCCCGCGTCCCAAGGATGATTGAACTGCTCGCGATGTCAGACCAACGAAGCTACTGGTGATGACGGTTGAACTGCTTGCGAGGGCTATCCAGCTCGCAGTGACAGACGAAAAAAGTTACTGGAATCTGCATGTTGCGTGTTAAGTGAACGAATCACAATGGAATGGAAATGTCGGAATGGAGCCGGAAACAACGGAAGACGCAAGCAAGCCTCGGTCAGACCCTCAACAGATAAAACAAGCGATGATGGGGCAAATGGAAAGGCGACCGAGGCGTCGGACGCAAAATTCAAGAAGAAGTGAGGCTGAGCATGTACGCTCAAGCCCGTGACTAAGTATGGAGTTGAAGATGGGATGGCCCGTGAGCAGCGGAGCGAACCGGCTGCGAACTAAGCCTCGCCCGAGACAGCCGCGGCAGCCGGGAGCTGAGAAGAAGCTCTGGGAACCGCGACCGAGTGTTGAAGGCGATTTGCGTTGGCGCGAGTGAAGATTATGAAGTGAACGAGCAAAGCGACATTTATTCAGATTAAGATGAAGCCTACGCCACCGCCTAGAGATTTACGAACCTCGGTCGACCCTGGAGAAGCATGAGCACGACGAAGTGGAGCTGACATGGTGTCCACCGACGTTAGATCTCCGACGCAGCCCGAGCCAGCACAGACCCGCATCTGGCTGCATCTGAGTGGTGGCGACGTCTATCTGCGCACGGATTGGCTCCAACCTGCCTCTGACTACTTTGACCTCGAACTGATTGGCCGCGGTCTGCCTCCGATCTGCCTCCAAATGTGCATGGACTGGCTGTACCTGCCTTCGACTCGAGACACCGGTGCTAGTGTCGTTAAGCAACATGCGTTTGACTAACGGCGACCTGCCTCCGACACTTGGCCGCAGCCTGCGGCGAGTCGCTCGAAATCTTTGGGGCAGCGAGCATGATACTTCTGCTGAAAAAAAACATTGTTTGCCTTTTTCACTTTACTTCATCTGCTTATCAGCTGTGTTCCATAGATTGAGCTCATGTGGTCGGAATAGTATGCAAAATCAATGCGGAATTATTCCTTAAACTTGTCGTTAGCTTGATGCTTGCGCTGTTCGACATTCACAAACGCCTTGGCGACATGTCAAATACCATCCCCCATAAACTCTCCTTGTAGAACTCGTGTGCTGTATTTGCTCCACTGAAAATCCTGTCTGAATTACACACCCATAGTAAATGATTTTTACCTCATTGCTCATGCGGCTCCATTTTGGAGCTTCCCGTGTTTTGAGGCACACCATTTTCAACAAATGCTAGCCAGTACGTCCTCCGAGCACCGTTCGGTTGACCTGAGGGCTATATGCAGGTCTCTTGGGTTTATATAAAACCAGGGTCATACAGCGATGTAAAGACTTCGGATTAACCCCTTAGTTCCCGAGGCGTATATTTGTCCCTACTCCATATATTAATATATACGAATTTATATGGACTGAACTGGGATAGTTCAGGTTTTGTGTCGGACATAGATTTTGCAGATTCAATGTAATTGACTCTATGTAGGCTTATGTTTAGCACACAATGCTACTATGATGATAAAGAGAATATAACGACCGTCTGTGTCATCGGGTTGTCCGAGTTTTGAAATGTTACACATATCGGTATCATGACTTGAAAAACGCACCACCCAATGAAATCAAAGCAAAATGCAGTTTCGATTGATTACTTCCTGCACTGCAACGAATGCCTAGCCTACGCCTCGTCGTCAGACATTTCCTCTTCTTCCTTTTCAGCGCCATGAGCAGCGTCCGGCATCGCCTCCTCATCCGCCGCACTTGCCGCAGCCCGTCGTCGGCGCTTCTTTCCTGGGAGGGATGGCGGCGGGCGGTTGTGAATCTTGTGCTCCTGTAGCAGGTACCGTGGAATGGTATTCCCGCTGTCCCAGGTGTCGTGCCAGATCTGGTAGCACGTCTTCTCCTCCCCCTCTCTCACTACATTGCAAAAGTATGTACTTCTCACAACGTCAACGTTAGAAATTGCCTGGCGATGCATAGCTACATACAACAGCTTACCGTGGATTGCCACTCGAGTATTTAGGGCAGAAGTACTTTGTGTCCTTCCTTAGCTGCATCTTTTACAGCGCGCAAACCTTGCATGAGCGTTGGCGGCGCTTGAGGTCCTGGTCGCTGTTGACAGTGTCTGGGTTCTCCTCCAGGCGGTGTCCGTCATCACGGCGTACAGGTGCCGTAGTTGCAGTGGCCTGGAGGACTGGCGAGGCCGCTGTCCTCTCTTGCGCACAAGTAGTTTCCTGTACACAGAGCGTTCAACATGCGTGAGGTTATGTTGGATCAGGATTCTTCGCAGCGACTCTTATGTTGACTTGGCATCATAGTATGTACCGCGTAGGCTTCTGGGGAGTCAATCGCGAGAAGCTGTCCCATCAGTGTCTCGAAGAAGGCGAAGTGATTGGCGAGTCTTTGGTTGTTCACCTATCGGTGATGACAGAAGACTATAAACGCGTTCAGTAGCGCAATGTCCAAAGGCCTAGAAGCAGCGTTTTGTAGTAGTTGTGTGTCTTGTAGCAGCCCTGGATATTCTACATCTGCATCCAGAGCTGGTCGTGGATGTCGACACCACCCATCCAGCGCAGGTAGTTACGAACCAACTCCGGAGCGGGCACAAGACGTATCACACCCTTTATCCGGCGCACTATAACACAAATAGACAGTAGCGTCAGTGATACTAATAACCACACGCAATCAATGCACGTAGTACCTACTGACGGTAGCGGTCTTGCGGCTTCCTCCGGTCGACAGAAAGATGGACTGACGCGCGGTCCATCCACATTGCCGTCGTTAGATGGGGGAACTGCTTGTTCTGCGCGAGTTTGATCGTGCCTTGCGGTGGGATCATCACCTTCGTTTTGTTCACCGTCTGGTAGCCCTTTGCAGTAACCTCGTCCTTTGGGTAGCCCGACCGATCTGTCTTGGTCGTGCCCGTGATGTAGAAACGGAGGTGTAGAGGCTCCAACTCTAGCTTCACAGAGATGTTGAAGTAATCGGTCACCACCAACCACCATGGCGACGTGGGTGACGTCGGACATAGTACGTTCATGTTCCGGAGCACAGCTGCTTCACCCGTATTGTTGTCCTTCGGGACAGGTGTTTAGAGGTGCGTTTTGGCCCCACAGTACACCTCAATCCTGGCAATAACAACAAACTAAACCACACAGAGTTATGGTAATGGTATGTTGCGCAATCAAAGCCCAGGTGGAAGCAATATTGCCTCAAGCCAACATAAGTACTTTGACAAAAAGAGAAAGCAACAAGCTGATGCTTGCTGCGTTTCCGTTAACCCACCTCATGCAGTACACCGTCTTCGCACAGGCCGTCACGAACACCTTCGTTCCCCATTTGGGGGGGTCCATGTTGAACGGCCTGGTAGGGTTGTAGCGCGAGCGTGACGGGAGGGTAGCTTCGTCGAAGCTGACCACTGGTGGTGCCCGGTACCCGCGCGCGAATGTCCGCTGTAACACATCCACGACTGGTCTGATCTTCCACGCCCGGCCAACGCTGGCCTTGGGTGACTTGTTGTTTGAGAAGTGAAGGTAGCTCATGATGTGGAAGAACCGGTTCTTCTTCATGAACAGGTGGAACCGGTTTGTAGGGAGAGCACCAACTTGCTTCGTCGACCAATGTGCGGCAATACCCTTGCGGATGGGCACCAGCATCCGCGCGATCAGGAGGCCAACAACGCGTAGCACCTCATGGGGCATAATTGGAGGCACTTCAGCAAGCCGGCGTGGTATCTCACTCAGACCTTCGATGTCGCCACCGTTCCGCCGTTGCTGCGAGCGTATCGATCTCGATCGAAGCGGTATCGACTGTTTGTGGTAGCAGTTGCTCTCAGTCGCAATCTGGATCAACAGCTTTGGCGGCATGAAGTAGAAGAGGAGTGCCAATGGATCGTCCGCCACCGCCATAACACTGTTGCTTGGACCGTAATCGCCACTGTGCAAATCAGCATACGTTGGGTCGGGGCCACACTTTGCGGGATCTGCATGCAAACACATACATCACAGTTAGTTATGTTGGCCTTATATTGGATCCATTCAACATAACGTACCACATTCGCAGCCGCTCGTTCTCATCGCGGCCGCCGTCTTCTTGTTCCTCGAGGTCGACAAGCACACCGACTTCGGAAGCTTGTCGGCGTCGTTGCCCGTGTCTTCGTCAGTGAGTTCGCCAATGTCCCAGTCTTCCTCCTACTCATCCCCTTGCCAATCCGCCTCGTCTTCGTGCTCCTCCTGCAACATGGGGACCTCGTCCGAGTTGAGCCCCATGCACCTGTCGGCACCTGCCGACATGAGGTTGGCATATCCGTCAACAACACAGGCTGGTGACGCCGCATCGACTACTCCGGCGCCTTTTCCGTCTCGACGAGGGTACTGGCGTCCCCCCCCCCCCTTGTCAGTGTGCCGACGTTCACACGTGGCGGCGTAGTGGATCCCACACCCGGCGGCGTGGTGCCGCTCACTCTCGCCACCATGTCAGCCACAACGCCCTCCACTACGACCAAAGCTGGCGCTGCCACCGATGCACTGGCAGCAGCGTGCGGTCCTTTAGCTGCAGGGCCCGGTGACCCCTCTTTCTTCTCATTCTTGCCCCCCGCCGTGCTCTTGCCTGCCGTCTGCTTCTGCAGTGGCTTCTTGCCCTTGCCCGTCGTCTGCTTCTGCTTCCTTGGCGTCATTGCTGTCATGCGCAGCCGACGTCTTTGCTGCAGCAGGGCTGGCAGACCCTGCCGCGAGCTTTGGTGGTGGCACTCGCTTAGACTCCATCGCCAGCGTCGTGTGCTTCGCTGGCTTCTTCCGTGTCACCTTCTTCGCTCTGACAGCTCCTTCGTTGCTCTGCTTCTGCCCAGCCCGGCGGATGCACCACCCGTGGCGCTCACCTCGCGCAGAAGTCGTCGCTCCTGGTCCATGAGCTGGTATCGCGGTGCTTTGGGGATTGGTGCGACCATCTTCGTCTTGGCCGTCGCTTTGGAGGATGAGCGCTTTGGTGGCTGTGGGCCACTCAAAGATGGTGGGTGCGGCGCATTGGTTTTTATCCCGTTCAACCAGACCCAGTTTATGGACCCCTAAACCTGTGCATCCGTCGGTTTTACACTCAAATTATTATCTTGATTTCAGTATAGTGTGACAGTTGACTCATAAAAAGTGTAAGTATAAATTTACGTTATGCTGGACCTTCAACATAACAAAGACGCTGCGACAAGACAGATAGAAGCTATAAACGAATGAATGAATGAATGATGTATTGTGGCTTTCAACTATTTTGCCGCCCGATTTGACGTGTTATCTCGGAGTCCGATTTATATAAAATGGAGCTCCTACATGATCGGTTAGTCCAATTTAGCTATATCTGCCCTGAGTTAGTAGCATAAGGATCAGAGGGGAGGCATTCCAAGTTGGCCACACCTCCTCACCTCTCATGACGCATTAGAACCGCAAGACATTGGGGACAATAGTACACTGTATATAGCCACTTCGTAGCACTATGGCCAGCTAAATCACCTGTGTGATCATCTACGGCCGCTACAACCTCGTGCCACGCCGATCTGAGAGGGCCCCAGACATGTTTTCGCGGCGGTCCCTTTTGCCGGCGAAAAGCGGCATTTCTGGCCCCTGCTTCGCAACTCGCAGCCCCCAGACCAAATCGGGCCAGATATAGTTTGCTTCCCTCAGCCCTCCTGCTAAATCGGAGCCCTCCAGCAAATCGGGCCCGATATATCGGATCTTGGACCACCCGATTTGCCAAAACGGATGAAAGCCACAATACGTGTTCGCGTAGCAATATTATACCAGCGCTAGGCTCAACTTAGCTAGTCGGCGGCATAGTTTGGTGTCCGCATAAGTCGAACTCCAGTAGCCGGCAGCGAGTCTTCAATTGCAGCCATTAGAGTCTTCTATTTTAATCTGTAGTCGGCAAGTATGCGAGTTCCTCGAGATCGTACACGTCCCGGACTCGATAGCCTTGGTCACTTGTCACGAGGTCTGCGTCCAGTACGATAGGGCGGGTGGTGCGGGGACAACCACATCATGTGCCCGCTGCGCTTGGGGCGTAGTAGGTTGCCATTTGTGTGTAGGCAGGGATGTCCGGCCGTCGGGGAATGTGCCCAAAGAGTCCCAGCGGGCTACCACGATCCGGTGGCGAAGCGGCCGCTCGCTGCAGATCCCATACAGCGTCGCGTTCGAAACGTGGCACGGGTAGAGAATGCCCAAGACACTGCGGAGCTGCCGTCGATGGAAGCTTTCAAGACCACGGAGTTCTGAGCTAGTAAAGCCCAGGTACAGCTGTTGTAGAGAAGCACCGGGAGCACGTAGCTGTTGTAGATCCGTATTCGAGTCTTGCTCGTGGTGTAGTGTGGGCGGAGCCAATCGTCCAGAGGCGCCGCCACCAGTGCCTTCCATCGTGTGAGATCTTCAGTGTCACCGCGCAGCGAACCGAACTTTCTTGTCGAGCGCCACTGTTCTTTAGTCGCGCGGGTGAGGCGGTTGTGACCACTGGGGATGATGTGGCAGCGAAGTTCTGTGATCTCTGTCTTAAAGATGTTCATAGTAAGGTACCAGCGGGCGAGTATGGCGGGGGCCTTGTTGAGGATGACTTGGATTGTTGCTTGGTCGCGGCAGATAAAGTCGGCGTCATCAGCGTACACCACCATTTGTTCTAGCAGTGCGTGCGGGTCGTCCAGTCCCTAGCGAGATCACGAAAGGCCGCTTCTAAGTAGATCACAAACAAAACAGGTTAGAGAGAGTCGCCTTGGGGAGTGCCGGTATTGCTGTCGGACGGACCAAGTGCCCGGCGACCCGAGCGTAGGGTCAACGTCGTGTTGGCGAGAAGGAGTCGGGTGAGCCGAACGTCGTCGTCGGTCAGGAATGTACGAAGGACTTCGAGTTGTGTCTGTCGATAGAGTCGAATGAACTGGACAGGTCGTTGCCTAGGACGTGGGTGCTCTCTTGGTAACGTTGAACGCGCGCACAAAGCCATCGGTGCGTCCAAACCGCATCAGTGGTGCTGCGGCATTTGTGGAACCCGCATTGGTGAGCCGAGAGGAACTTCCCCACGGCTGGTAAGATCCTATTCAGATGGCCTTGCGTACGCTGTTGAGTAACACGATGGGGCGTAGGCTGGAGCACGCACCTCGCGGCTTGTTGGGCTTAGGGAAGCAAAGCAAGGTGCCTTCACCAAGATTGAGTGGCTCCCCGCGTTCGAAGCTTGCGTTGACGAGCTCAGCCAGACAAGGCGCGAGTACTTCGGCAATATATTTAAGCAATGCCGTCAGGTCCGGACGCACGTGGAGGAGAGCAATCTTGTCCTCGGAAGCCGTTAATGGACAGTCCAGTCCGCGTGCATCTTGGTCCGGCTGGGCGGGGAGGCGCGTCGGGATAGTAAACTGTTCCTGAACATGGGTTCGCACTAAATGTTTAGCTGTACGTTCATGTAGGATATACTTACCGGTAGTGTCACGAAGCAGCAGTGGTGGAGCGGGGCCTCGAGTAACTTCGCGGGTGGCTTCGAACATTTGAGCTGTTGGAATGAGGCGCTCGGTCTGCTGAATCTTCTCGTCGAGGGCTAGATTTGCCCGGTCTCGGCACCGGAACTGGATTTGGTGCAAGATTGCATTCCGTTCCCGGCGAAGCGCCGATGTAGCGGCGTGTCGGTCGTGATAGATGCGGATCTGGAGCGCGCGTTGCTGTTTGGTCAGAGCACCAAGGACTGGATCATCGTAGCGCTTGTGCCGGGTTGGCACCGCTTTATTGTCTACGATTGCCTCTGCTGTGTCATGGATCAGGCCCATGAGGCAGTTCCATTGCTGGACGACCGGGGTGTCGTGTGTGGGGTGGGGCGCCGCCTTGAGCGCTGTGGTGAACATTGTCGTCAAAGATGAGGCGGACCTGTGCAATATGTAGCCGCTGAGATGATGCTGGGCCCTGAGGCGGTGAGCTTGGATGAGAGCGACGTCCACCGTCACCAGTTTGTGGTCCGAGGCGGTCGTGGTGCCACACCAGGACTGGGTGTCCATACAAAAACGCCGTCAGTTTTGCTGGCAGAGAATGTAGTCAATCTGGTTATAGACGTGGCAGTCGGTGCGGCGTTGGCTCCACGTGGTCTTGTGCGTGGCGCGCTTACGAAATTCTGTGTTAGTTGCAAGCAAGTGGAAGTCATACAGAAGTTAGCGGGTGCATGTCCATTGTGGTTTCGAACGCCGCGCGCGTGGGGGCCCATGAATGCTTCTCCGGGGTATCGGCGCCCAAGCTTGGCGTTAAAGTCCCCTGTAATGACTGTAATATCTCGGCGAGCGAACTGGTCAAGCAACGACCTAATATCCGCGTAGAAATTGTCAATGTCGCGGAGGGGCGCCCATTATGCGGTGAGTACGCTGTCACGACATTGATGCATCCTGTCTGCGGCATAAAGAGCTGGAGAACTCCTATCTGGTCGGTGTGGACCCAGTACCGATGTAGGAAGGGGCGGACACGTTGCGAGACCGCGAAGCTAATTCCGTGGTGCTCTTGGGTGCCTGGGAGTGTCAACAGCGTATGGTCTCCGATCTGTCTGCGTCCGAGTGTCAGGGGCTTGGTCTCTTGGAGGCCGAGTATGTCGATGCGGTAGCGGTGGAGGTCTTGAGGAAGCGTGCCGTGCTGCTTGCGGTGGGAACCTAATGATTGGGCATTAAATGTGCCGATTCTGAGGCGGTTAGTCTGGTTCGGTCGCAGAGTAGGAGAAGTGGGGGTGGCTGGAGCTGGTGCTGGGCTGATGGATGGAGACTCGCAAAGGGCTTGGAGATGCCCGGGGGCACCTGTCGTATGCGCGTAGCGAGCATCATGCTAGCCACGCGTTCCGAGGGAAGGACGTCACCCCAAACCCCAACTAAAAGAGAGAAAAGTTATACACCTCTTAGGGTCGGTCTTTTAAGAACTTAAAAGTTCCCGCTCCCAGCTCCCGGGAGAAAATGGAGATATGTGATTGGCTTAGAGCATCCGACTTTGGGACTCGTGTTCTCCCGCTCCCGCACGTTTTTGCGTCGTTGGGAGTTGGGAGCCGCGGTTGTGTCGGCCGGCCGCAGTGGAGGATCGAGGTCGATCACCCGCGACCTCTCCGAAACGTTCAACGATATGCCGGGCCCCGAGCCCGCCTGCGACGCGGATGACGGTGCGACCGAGGGCTTCAAACCCTCGGTGACGGTGGGAGGGGCAACCTCCAAGCCGGTTGGCACTCGTCCTCCCCCCAACGGCGATACTCTGGCGGCCAACAAGGTTCTAGGCCGATGTCTGGAGCTGATGAAGACCAAATGTGAGTGGATGCAGTTGTTCTCCCCGAAGCAGGTCCGCCAAGCCATCTGGATGGACCTCGGAGGGGCTTTGGCAGCGCCGATCAACTCAACGAGCACTCGGCAGCTCGCTCAGAACACTGTGGACCTCCTGCATGCAATGGGGTGCGAGCCCCAGATTCTCTCGACGGAGGCTGCACTCGCGTGCTGGACGCCAACCACCGCCGCCATGGCGCTTACCAAGTGGAGGAAGAAGTTACGTGAGGCCTTTGGGGTGGCAGACCGAGGCTCAACGAAGCTTCGTTCGGCCCCGGAAGCGGTTGACCCCTCCAAGGTCCCGCTACCAGCGACCCCTCGGAAGGCAGCCACGGATGACGGAGTCTTCGCAGTCAAGGGCGAGGCTTCGCCTTACATGCAAGACTCGCACATGGTAACCCCACGATCTACGGACCGAACTAAACGTCTGGCTAGGGAGACCGAGGTCGTACGCACGTACCTACGTACGTACGTACGCTCCGAGATGGCTCGTCGGACAGTGACGATGACCTCGGGTCCGACTGTTACGAGGGCGACCTGCCAAGCGAATGGGCCCGTCAGGTGCGCGAACGGAGCGCGACTGACAATCATAGCTCAACCCCGAAGCTCGAGATTACCACGCATCTACCTCTCTGCAACATCATGTCGTTCTACGGTGTGCGCGACAAGAGCGAACACTCCATGCAGTGGCTTCGTACGTTCGTCTACGAGATGAGGGGGACACATGCACCGCCCAACGAGTGGTGCATGCCGTTCGAACTCAAGCTCAGAGATGGGGCTTTGTATTGGTGCCGCCAGCTTCCACGCAAGACGAGACGCACGTGGAAACTGCTGTGCGATGCATTCATTAAGTACTACTGCTCGAAGTTCTCCCAGTCTGCAAAGGCTCGGTACTACTCGGTCAAACGAGAGAACAAAGAGCAGGTATGTGACTACCTCAACCGGCTCAACGGCTACGCTCGCAACGCCGGGGTGCAGTTTGAGCACGGGATCGTGACGCGAAGGACCACGTCGAACACTTCTTGGTTACGTGTGACGACCGAGATTTAGAAGAGCGTCTGTGTCATGTCACGGTCAAGGGCATTCATGACCTCGAAGACATGATTAATGACATTCTGCGTCACCGCGACCGCAAGTCAACTCGCGAATCGTCGCTACACCGTTCTCGGAGTCAAGATGCCACTCGCCGTCGCGACACAAGGTCGAACGATGATTATCGTAGTGGCTACCACCGCGAACGACGTTACCGTGACGACGTCCGCCGCCGTGACCGACGTGACGGGTCCCCGCGCCGGTCGAGTGTGACTGTGGTCGACACACTTGCCGATGTGATGGCGGAATGGAACATCGGAGGCTCGGTCGGTGCACGCAACGAGGCTTCGTACGCCCCCCGACGTGATGCTGAGGCGAACGAGGATTACTTCGAGGACGAGCGCCAGTGCTCGGATGACCAACGCTCGGACGAGGATTCAGACGCCGATTACGACTCGGACGAGTCTACTCGACATGTCGCTGCCGCTAACGACGCTGAGCGCAGGGCCGCAGCCGATGGAACGTTCGCCCGGTCTGACAACCGACGCTTCAGGAACGGAGGAGGCCCGTCCAACCGCGAACGAGATGGCCGTCGCCAGTGTGGGCCGTGTGCCGCGTGCGGAAGCTCGTCCCACTCCGTGCACTTCTGCTACCGGCGGTGCAAACTGTGCAAACAGGTGCACGACGCTGGGAAGTGCGAAGCACTCCTCGAGCTCACCAAGCTCCTGAAGTCCAACGTCGACAAGAAGGATCTGTCGCCAGAGCTGCAAAGCCTGGTGTATGGAAGCCATTTAAACTAGGCAGCCCGCCAACTGAACCTGGGTTGGTCCCAATCGGGCTGCCACAGTTAGCTGAGCCTGCTGTTGATGCGGACTATCTGTTCGCGTTCAAAGGCGAAAGCAAACCGCCTGACGACCTGAAGAACAATGATCGTGTGAAACCGACGGGAAATGGAGAGAACCGAGACGCAAGTCTCGTTGAGACCGGTATTGATGAAGATGATGATGATGAACGTGATGGACACCCGACCGAGGCTTTGATTACAAGTCTAGCCCAGGCCAGGGGACCACCTCGGAGCCTCGTTCGGGCGGTGCAATTACTGCCCGGTGAGAGACTGGGGTGGTGGTCGTCCCAGCGATACGACGAGAGGAAGCGAATGAGAGCTTTGGTCAATGGCGCCGTGGACGACGCGCGAACGAGGCTACTCCTTGATACTGGAGCGAATGTTAGCGTGATTTCTGCCAGCTTCGCCAAGCGGCTACGTGTACGGGAAGTCCGGGACAACGGACGAAGTCTCGAAGTCCGCGGCATCAACCCGGGGGTGATGGAGACCCGGCGACGGGCGCTCGTCAAGATCACTCTCGGGTGGGAACAGGCTTACGAGTTCGAAATGTGGATAATAGACCACAGTGCCGGAGTGGATGTGGTCCTTGGGATGGACTTTATGATCCCGGCTGGAATCCGGCACGATCTGTTCCATGGCACCGCACGCCTTCCAGACGAGGTCATGGTACCACTGCTGAAGTCGCAGAGTGTTGGGGATGACGAACCTTACGGCACGCAGCCTTCGTGTGGGCCCACCGAGGATTTATACGTCCCCGGTCGCGAGTGGCGAGAGTTTCGACTGCCGCGCCAGCGGCTACCTCGTTCGGAGTACGATGTGTGGGTACGGCGCACGGGAAAGCTTGTGCCGACCGTAACGAGGCTTCGACGGGGGCAGCCGACAAGGGTACGACTCACCAATATTACGACCACAACGGCACAGTGTGCCAAGCACGACTCCGTGGTGCTCTGGGTACCGCATGGTGAACTACCACGAGATACCGGCTACGCGAGGTTGGACTCTAACAAGTACAAGGAGTGGCAGGTGCTGGCATACTCAACGAGCCGTGACGAGACTCTGTATGAAAGGGAACGATGTCTCTATGACTAATGGCTGGCCAAACAGCCACCCGCGGTTGAGCGCAGGACTTACTCGACGCCGCAGCAAATCTTACGGAGACCGCTCGACGCTACAATATGGCCGAGAGGTCATCTTCAAGGTCGTCCTAACGACGATAATTCTTCGCTCGGTATATCGGATCATGCCAACGACCCCAGGGTCTCCCAAGGCTCGGTCAAGGTTACTGAGCCTGGTGCAGACGACACAGAACGTGACGGTATATCCAACGACGGTTCGGACGACGAGGCGAGCGCACGGACCGACTCCGACGCACTGGAAGGGTCGTCGCTTCACCGAGCGGTCTATGCATCCAAGCGCACCGATCATAACGACCGAGGTTAGTACCGATGGAGAAAATTGTGTCGATGGCCCGGACAAAGAGGACCCTGAAAGACTATTGGAGGCGAATTACACCTCGGTCGTACATGCGATGGTCGCGGAAGGGTTCCCGGAGGTTGATGACACCGCGAACGAGATTAATCTCAGCGACTACGCGCAGGAGTCTCTACCGACATCTCGACTGAAGCCTACCACTCGGATTTGGCCCTACATGGAACGAGGTAAACCAAGACACGAGTGCTGATTCTCAGTGGTGAGCTGGCAAAGGTTTGGAAGTGGAACGGACCTGAGATGACGGACTTAAGCGCAGACGAACACCGTTCGATTGTTCGTTTGGGTGATGACCTGCACGAGTGGCGAACGCAGCACGATGTTTGCACGTGGCCCAAGTCGTTGACAAGTTGCATACGCTAACGACGTTTGAACTGCCCGCGAGGGTTACCCAGCTCGCGATGGCAGACGAATGAAGCTACTGGAAACGATGATTGAACTGCCTGCGAGGGCTATCCAGCTCGCAGCGACAGACGAAGGAAATTACTGGAATTTGCATATTACATGTGATGTGGATGAGTCACGAAGGAGTGGCATGTCGGAATGCACCCCAGCAGATGAAACGAACAAGGATGAGGCTCAGGGAAGGGTGACCGAGGCTTCGAGTGCCGATATTAACGTGGAAGAAGGTCGCGCCTGTGCGCCGGACCTCGACTTGCGACGATGTATGGATTTGATGATGAAGTGGAGATACGAGTGGATCTGGGACCGCTACGCCCGACAACTACGTTTCGTTCAAGGCGGTGGTGCCTGATGTAGCCTGCGCGGAAACTGTGGGAACCCTGAACGAGAATTGGTGCGGCTCGAAAAGATGTGATTGCAACACAGCGGGTCGCTTGATGGAGGCTGTGGTACCCAGACCTTACGTTACGACCACCGAGTATTTGCTGTAAGTGGATCACGAACCACGGTCAACACTGGTACAGTTTCTCACGCCAAAGAGGAAGAAGCTGAAGGCTCGACCGATGTTTCTGGTGCGGTGGTTGCCGAGCCACAGACTGAGGCAACTCAACCCGAATTGGTTACGACCACCGGAAAATCCGGATGGAACTGTGGAACGAAGGCAACGAAACCACGGTCGACACAGCTACACTATCTCTGAGTGATAACGAAGCAAGTGATGATGTGACCGACGTTGGCTGTGCAGCGATTCGCGAGCTTCAAGCTGGGGCAACCATACCTGCCTCCTTTACGACCACCGAAGTTCCGACGTAGTAATGGTGCGAGGCTGGACGAGTCATCGCACGTTCCCTGACTACTGCAGTTGATGTTGAACCATCGAACGACGCAGAACTAGCTACAGAAGATGTCAGCGACGCTGAGAAGTATGCGGACGATGTGTGACGAGCGGCGGTCAGCAGCATGTCGATGGAACGTCGGACCATACGACCACCGGAACTCCGGTAGATTGGTATTGCGGCCAGAAGAGTGGCAGGGCATGCTGCTCAGTTTGACCCTCAGGTGATGCAGCACTTTCTAAAGCAGACACCAATGTCATCGAGGAAACGGAGCCAAGGTGTAACCCAGGGGCAGTGCGCGGGGCATCGACCGAACAACCAACGTCGGACCATACGACCACCGGAATGCACGTTACGTAGCGGCTCCAGGCATCCTCAAATCCTCGGTGGCCCTAGCAGAAGATGAAATATCACTGGAGGAACCTTGTGGTGTGTCGACCGACACTTCAGCAGCGACGGAAGTCACTGGAGGCTCGGTCACAGTTGCATCTTGCACCGGAACCGTATTATCAGCGCCAACAGAACCACCGGTAGGTAATGAAAGATCTTGCGACCCTAGCCAACGTTGCAAAGTGTCGGTGACTACATCGACAGCACCCTGGGATAAGCTGGCGTCATTAACGAGGATCCAACTGATGGCGAAGAGCAGCAAGAACGCCCAGCGTACCGGACCAGAACACTGAAGGTCCAGGAGAGCGGCGGTCTCAGCGGTCAAGCGCAAGCGCAATGAATGAACCATGACGTTGACGGACGGAAGGCGCCTAGACGCTCACCTGTTGCTGAGGCTCGTGTCCAAGCGGGGGCAGTTGTGGTATCGGAAAATGGAGATTACCGGAGCGATTGCCCATCGCCCAAGAATCAAGGTACAATCAAGGAGCAGCCAAGTGCGAGATGGAAGTGGCTGCTTTGGTTAAGCTGGTGACATTATCCTCGTTGGAGTGACAGGTAGTGGCCGGAGCCTCGTCGGGTCCTAATACAACCCCGAACGAGGCTTCATGGTACCCACTTTTAGGTACAGATGCATTTAGTTACGTACTTCGGCCGCACTTATTAGTGTAGCCGCGGTCGTCATTTGATGTGTCCGGAATCGCCTTATTGCGATCGTTCACACTAGATATTTGTATAGGGACATAGGACTCATCATAGGATGGCCAGAACGAGGCCCCCAGGGCCTCAGAAAACCCAGTAATAAAAAGACAGTCTTCCCCCAAAGCCAACAAGGGTCAAGTCCGACTTCGGTAAGTGTAGCTAGCTTAGTGTAGTGCCTGGACACGCTCGGCTGCGTGTGGATGCCTGTCGGGGAGCTTATCGTGCATTGACCGAGAGTTTCCTTGGCAGCGCCAAGCGTTGGCGTGGCCGGAGAGGCAGGAACGGTATTAGAGTATCGTTCAGTATATATTTGTGGGATTAGAGTGTCCCTGAGTGTATTAGTCTACCTACCGAGGTTTTACCTTGGTCCCCCTGTATAAGGCCTAACACGCCCGTACCCTTCCTTTCTGAGGGACTGCAGTGGGGTTGCGCGAAAGCGCTACATAGTATCCTAGCTTAGCTCGTGGCTAGTGGTACAGGTTTTGGTGTTGACCGAAGATAACCTAAGGTGCACACGAGGCGCTTGCAACCGACCCGGTGTAAGGGATCGTTCCTGGTCTTCAGGTTTTGATCCAATAAGCGCTTACCTTTGCGGGTTTGCGTGTTGTTGGTGTCTCTAATACCTTTTGGTAGAAGAGAATTTAAGTGGTATTACCACACCACAAGACCCAAAATGAGGGGCGCCAGCCCCCTCCCTTGTCAGGGGCAGCCCCATCAAAGTCGGCCACGTCACTTCTAAAATGACGATCTAGCTGATCCACAATGCTCCCATTAATACGCGTCCTCATGGTAGTGCACTTGCCTGGATGCTACTTAACTGTGAGAGTACACTTCACTGACTTCCGAGTAATACCACATACATCTTACTTGTGACTTAAGAATGAATGTATCTGGTGAAGTAATGCATCGAACCACTTATGTGGAGGTGAGAAAGCTAACGGAAACGTTAAGCGTCATCTAGCAGAAAACAAAAGAAAGGTGGTCTAAAGAGTTTGTAGTACGTTATTTGCGTTCATGAATGATATCCCAACAAGCAACAGCTTTAGAGTGGTCAGTACGGGCAAGTTGACGCAGCGGGGTGCTACTTATTTTGAGGAGCTTCATCTGAGGAAGAGCTATCGATGTGTTAATTGTGAGGAAATTCCTAACTTCTGAGTGTCTACGAAAAGAGGGGCGTAGTGATTTACTAGCCGCTGAAGAATGAGGAATTGTGCCAGATACGCTGGTACAATATCCATTGCACACGAGCTGACAAGCAGAAGCGCTTCGCTCGCTTTGTGCAGATTGTCGGCATTTACTGACAAGTACCGTATTTCAAATTTCATACTACATAGATATCTCATCATTCATAGCGGAGAGATGTGCATTGGCGACAGAATGTGACCATTTTTGGCAAGAAAGGCCCAAAAATACGCACAAAAAGGGAGAAATGGTGCTAAGACAAAATACAACAATACAACTTCAATAATATGGTGTATGAAGTATGAGATCTAGAATACGGTAGACCTCATAATTTACTTATAAAAGTACACGTGGTCTGAATTGGTTAATCAAGCGACCTAAGTGATTTAACCCAACACCTAGTTATAATTTTGCCATGGCTGCGGCCCTGAGAGCATGCCACTGAAGCTATCAACAAGCGCCTCGACCGCACACACAATCTTTTGGTGAGTACACTGTCGAACTATCGCTGACCTTTCTATTTAAAATACCCCGTCGTTGCCGTTCTCAATAGTAAATATCTACTTCGGAAGTGAGCGTCGTACCCCTAACCACCGTACGAGCGCTACAGTAAAAAGAGGCCCATACAAACTGCAATATAAGCCAAAGTGGTAGCCAACTGGTTGCGCCTCTCTGAACAGTCGCCGCGCGCTATTGAGCGCTTAAACCGCCCATAAAAACTCAACGAGATAGAGGAGATGCTCAGCTTTACAACGGTACCCCGCACGCCTTCCCACGACCGAGATACAAAATTCCCAGCGCGGAAATTCGGAAAAGTGGCCTTATGAAAAAGACACTTATTGTGCTTTTCAGTTGTTTTGGCAAATCGGACGTGTAAAACAGCTACCTGCTAAGATGGGGCTAGGTTATCGGAGCAGATTAGCAGGTCTCTCGTAGGGACCAAGAATTGCTAGTCCGATGGAAGCACTTGCGCAGGTCCTACAAACAGCCGAAAGCCCGAATGTCGCCCATTTTCACGGCATTCGGGGTTTGAGGTCTTACGAAGGACTCCTACCAAGTCTTGTGGCAGGACTTTCATACGAGCTGACTCTAATACGGTGGATGTCAAACGCAGAGAAAACACGGTGCAGTCGATACGTTAAACACTCCAGTCGTCGTCATTCGCCTTCGCGGGTTCCGGCATTGCTTGCTTCCCCAAACAAAGATTGCTTGACTTGGACTCCAACCGGAGTCCATTGAACGGAGAGACTCCAGGAGACCACTCATCGGACTCGTCCGAGATTTGCATCTCAGATTTAGAGACCACCAACCTCAGATTAACTGACCTCCAAAGTCCTACGTAGGACTCGGCAAAATGACCGAAAGGCACAATACATATGATACGGTACGATGCTTAGAAATTATTTGGAGCTTTCGAGATAATCTCGTTTGAAGTCGACCAATCAGGTTTCGTCCCTAACCGGCCATCATAAATGTTTAGTGAAAATCACTCGTAGATGGCGTGAAGTACTTTACTTCACAAGCTTTCCGATAATGCATACGGTACCGGTAGTACGAAAAAAATGAAGAAATTTGGATCATTTTGTTGTATACTCTACTGTAGTCGTAGAACTTGCGTGTATTGACTTTTGTTCCCTATGCATTTGGCCTCGAACTTGCGTGAAAAATGGATGATTTGTACATCACTGATCTTCGGAGCTCCGAGGCTTGCCAATCTCAGCGAATGCTAGCCGGTGCAAGCCCCGAGCACCGTCTGGTTGACGGATAGCGGATTGGGATGTGGTCGCCAACCGCTGTAATCGCGGACAAGCAGGTCACTTCGGCTTTTCCTCGACAGATAATCACAGCGTCAACACTTCCAGCTGAAGAATGAAGGTTGGCACACTCGTTACGACGCTGGCCTTGTTGACGGCTTCCACGTATGGCTACTCGTTCTCGGACGTCGCGAAGAAGGAGGAGGACACAACCACCGTGGAGAGCACGGGGTTGACCACCAATGAAGAGAGCCGCATCTACGGCGGCTCGGAGGCCGACGTCGACAAGTACCCGTACCTTGCCAGCATCCGCATTGCGCTTCTGGATATGAACATTTGCGGCGGCACACTGATCGCGCCGGAGTACATCCTTACGGCTGGCCACTGCATCAAGACGGACGAGATGGACATGACCGCCACCTTCGGCACGAATTCAAGCAGTGGCGCCGGCGATTTGACGGTTCCGATTGTTGAGGGCTTCCGTCACCCGCTGTACAACAAAACGAAGCACCTGTACGACGTGGGTCTGCTCAAGCTGGAGAAGCCCGTTAAGCGCAAAATGGCCAAGCTGTGCGCTGAGGACGGCTCCGACAACAAGGTCGGTACTATGGGCACTGTCCTTGGCTGGGGGAGGACGGAGACTAGCGGGTCACTCGGCAGCCCCATGCTGATGCAGCTTACCACCCCCGTCATCTCGAACGCCGAGTGCGGCAAGTTTGAGAAGTACGTCGGTCGTGTCACTGAGGGCATGCTGTGCGCTGGCACCGGCGAGGGCGAGGACACGTGCAACGGCGACTCGGGCGGCCCGCTCATCGTCGACGACGACATCATCATCGGCTGTGTGAGCTGGGGCAGCAAGTGCGGTGAGCAGGCCGGCATCTACACTCGCCTGACGTACGTCATGGACTACATCAAAGACATTCTCGCTGGAGGCGACGGCAGCAAGTTCGGTCCGGCTTCCGGCTCGATGGAGCAGTCGGATGCTTCGAACGATGATGACGATGATGAGGGTTCGCAGAGCGGCAGCCTCGATTTGTCGCGGCTGTTTGCCAGCGAGTCGGACTCTAGCGTCGGCGACATCTCGGACTGGTTGCTCAAGTACTTCGAGGGCAGCGGCAGCTCCGTTGACCTGACATGGTTGCTGTCCAGTCTTTCGGGTAGCGGCAGCGACGTAGCTATTGACACCGAGTCGAACAGTGCCTCGGAGGAGTCGGGCAGCGAAGATGCGGTTCTGGTGAAGGGCAAGACTACGAAGGCCCCCAAAACTAAGGCTACCAAGGCTCCGGTTGTGGAAAACTCGGAGAGTGGCAGCGAGGAACTCTTTGCCAGTGACATAGACTCGGCCATGGGTAGCGAGTCGACCAGCGCCTCGGAGGAGTCGGGCAGCGACGATATTGTGCTGGTGAAGGGCAAGACCAAGAACACGAAGGCTACGAAGGCCACCAAGGCTCCCGTGGAGGAGGACTCGCCTTTCCAGCAGCAGACGTCGGAGGACTCGCCTTTCCAGCAGCAGACGTCGGAGGACTCGCCGTTCCAGCAGACCTCCGTCGAGGAAGAAGAGTCCGCTTCGGCTTCGACTTCGACTTCGACGTCGGGGTCGGAGTCCGCCGAGAGCGACCTGGTACTCCAGAGCAAGCAGAGTGAGCTCACAACCACCAAGCAGAAGTAAGTCATCCATCCACCAGGGGGCTCATGCATGAACTTCATGTCAATACATCCGAGTTGCACCCATTCGCTGCAAATCAGGTTTCGACTAAAAGCTGAACACAAAACCCTTACATAGTGCATGATATGCTTCAAATAATGGCCTCCCTTCTATATCTCTCATTAAAATACCTCTATGCCTACTCTCACCCTTCCAATCCATTATAGTTCGACGAAACGGATTTTGAAGCGGTGCCTTTCGAGCCGAGCCTGCATTTTTCAATCCCAGAAGACACAGATACCAAGCACCAGAGGCTCTCGACGGCTACGCCTTTCATGGGGCAGGCCGGCTCCGCGCAGCAGAAGAGCGCTCTGCGCGACGTGCTGTCGCTGCGCCGCGCCAACGTCTCGAGCACCGAGCTGGAGGAGGTCCTGCGCACCTTCTGCGCCTTGTTCCCGCTCGAGGTACCAGAGCTCTACCATAGTCTACCATCTTACTTTACTTTATCTCTCTCACCACTATTATATGGCTGTAGCTGCAGGTGCCGGTGGACGCCGACCCGAACCTGCTGAGCAGCGTCGTGGGCGTCGACGTCAAGGAGCGGCGGCTCTTCGACGTGGTGCACGGCCTGCTGCAGGACCAGACGGAGCAGTCGCAGCGCCGCAATGGGCGGGACATGACGGGGCTCATCCTCACGAGCTTCCGCCGCGTGATCCGCTGGCGGGAGCTCTACAAGCTCTGCGCCAAGTGCTCGCTCAAGCCCTTCCTCACGTGCCTCTACCGGCCGTCTCCGTCGCTCGTGCTGTCGGTGCTGGAGACGCTGGAGCTCATGCTCAAGCCCTGTCCGGGCTTTGATCCCGGCGACAAGGCTGCAGACCGGAGCGAAGCCGCCAATCGACGCAATTTCGGAGATGCGGGAGGCTACGAAGTGCTGCGCTCGCTGCTGGTGCAATACGGAGCTGCGGTGGGGGAGAACGAGCAGCAGGAACAGGCGGCAGCCGTGCTGGAAGGCGTGCTCAAGATCTTCCACTTGACGCTGGTGACGAGGAAAGCCACGACGGATATGATGACGTGCTCGCAGGCGGTGGAGGCGCTGATGAATGCCCGCGTGTCGCTGCTGGACTTGTGTCATTGTCGAGACAGCAAGCACAGTGTCATGGAGCTGGCGATTGGGCTGGTGAAGGAGCTGTTTCGTATTGTGGATCTGGACCAGGTCCACGAGCTGCAGGAGTCAGCGAGGGAGTACGGCGCGCTGCTGTACGCACTCGCAGCGGCAGTACAGGAGGATGAAGAGACGAAAGCTACAGATAATGGGAAGAAGGTGGAGAGCGAGGACGAAGCAGAACGTAAAAGGCGCGAGTTGTGCGTCGATCTCGTCGAGGTGTTCTGCGCCGGCAACACTCGCTCGAAGAAGGCGATGTACCGTATTTTCCCCGTGGAGCTCTTCATCCCAGCGAAGAACCGTGCTGACCTCATGTCGCGGCACACTACGACGTCTCCTACTGTAATGGCGCAAACCAAAGCTGCTGCTGCGACCCGCAGTGCACGGACGTTGCCGCACTTTTCGTTTGATTTCGAGCAGCCGAGACGCACATCGATCGCGACGTCGAATACTTCCACGAGTAGTGCAAGTAGCGAGAACAAGCGGAATCGCGTCGTGGCGCTCGCGTATAACGCTATGAATTTTGGTGGCGGAGCATTCGAGCGCTGGCTGGGAGACGCTCGCGCACAAGGCGAGCACTGGCGAGAAATTATTGAGGCTGTTCGACGGACACACGAGAGTCCGGAACTTATCTGGCGAGCGTCGATGCGCGCCGAGTTACGTGAAGCTTTGCAAGCAGAAATTGAGTCCCTGGAGCGACGGCGACATAATGGTGATGACGATGAGGTGGCCCAGTTCGGTGAGCAAGTGCCGCGCTGGGATCACGAGATGTTCTATGTGGAGTACCCGTCCATGCATGACGAGCTCGTGGTCAACGATTACTTTGTGGAGTATCTGATCCCGAAAGTGGCTGATTTGACGACGACGTATGAGATTGCTGAGCCCGTCGTATTAGCTTGGCATCTCTCCGACCAGCTTGCGGTAGAGCACGATGAAAAGTGGGCGCTGCTGTGCGTGCGATGTCTTCGACTGGTTATCAGACGGTATGCTATGCTATTTCATGGCCAACTACCCACCCAGTACATACTGCTGCTATTGCGGGACCACATAAATCACTCGCCCGCTTTCGTGCGCGAGTGTTTTCTTCTCTTGAACACTGCTATCGTTACAGCACGCAACACACCATCGGAAAGCTTCAACGAGCTTTGCATCGCTGTGACGCGAACCATTGTGGGCGTCCTAACAGACCCTGTTCTGCTAGCAACACTTTCGACGCCCCTTGAATCGGATGACGAAGCGGGCCCGGACGACTCGATTCATCTCGCTGGACTGGAGGAAGACGCTGTGTCGGTGATTAACGAGCGTGATGCATTGATTCGAGCTGGTATTTCTCTTCTGCTGGCGATTGTCCGGCGCGCTAAATTCGTCCTGCGGCTCGTCCGCCCCAAGCGAATGTTCTTGTGCCGTTTACTTACAGTGGAAACTCTGGATCATGTGACGATAACGCGGTTACTTTTCGTGTTGAAGCAGCTGGCGCTGCTGGATAACAGTGGTGACTATGGTACAGCTATTGGATCTGGGGGGATATCTAGTCGCCTCTCGTCAGCTTCATCGCCATCACGTCCATCTTCAGTGGCGTCACATGCGAGTTCAACGACGGACAGCAGTCACTGGAGGTCGCTTACGTTGGTGTATGTTCTATTGGCTAGCTGTGATCCCAAAGGTATGGGTATGTGTGTTGCAGCTGCAGAGTTTCTCAAAGAATGTAGCGCGCAGCCTCCGAGCCAACGCAGCGCCTCTGGTTCTAAAGGAACGTACTCAAGCCCTTCGTCGAATGAACTAAACGATTTGTTGAACGAAGCGCTTGGGTTTGGTGGGTGTGGAATGGGACGGCTGCTATATTCCGTAAGTGCGGAAGTGTTCGCGGAGACATTCAACTCACCCCAAAAGCGTGCCGCGGATGTGAACTGGGGGCGGAAGCAGCGTGTGCGACTGTATCGGTATCTGAAGCACAAATATTTGGGTTCAGGTGAATCATCGGAGTCGAGCATGTCATGGAATACTTTTGCAGAGGATGACATGGACCACCGCTATGAAGATGACGATCTCTTCATCGGCAATATTTTTCTTCGCTCTTATATTGAAGGCGACGGCGAATTTTTGAATGAGTGGGCGCCTGAAATGTACAGCGAGCTGATTAATGCGCTGTTTGAGGAGCTGGTAGTGCTTGGCCGGAGAAAGTCCGGGTATATCGGAGGTGGAAGTGTTGGCCCGTTACCCTCACCACCGCAGCAACCGTCCGTGAGCCAGTCTTCAATCAGTAGTGGCGGTTCGTGTGCTGCTGAGCCGTGGGAGGTCCAGGTGCTGATATTAAAGGCGCTAGCCCGACTCGTCCCTTCACATTGTGCTGAGGTCAAGATCAAGGCAGAGTTCTATGACTCCTTGTTGGCACCTCTTCGCCGATCAATGCTTAGTGAGGTGGACCAAATTCGTGGGATCTTGTCTTTGGATCTCTTTGTGGCGTTGTTATCTGTCTCAGAGTCGCGCAGTGTAAACACAGCTGCGTGTCGACTGTTCCTGAAGGAGAAGGGCTTGAAAGCCTTAGCTGACGCACTAGAACGCATGCGCAGCCCGGCATTCCAGCAATTGCTGCAAACAGTTGAAGTGTTCGGCCCCCGTCGGCGGAGCAACCCCAGTAACCAGAACATGGCGCGAGTACTTTTGTATCGGTCGACAGACGTGCTATCTCTTCTGGCAAAGCAGCACGAACCTGGAATTCAAGCGCTCACAAATAATCCTGAAGTCGTCACCGCATTGCTCGAGTTAGCGTCACGCCCAGTCATCACACAGTATGCGGACATTGACGCTGCAAGTGTATGTCTGAGCTGTCTCGGTGGACTATGCCACTACGATGAACTTCGGGCCCTGGTGGTTGCTGCTGGTGGGCTGCTATCACTTATTGATATTGTCGCGTTCTGCCCTGCTGAAGAGTTTGAGAAACCCTCCTCTGCAGAATCACCAGTAACAGACGACCAAAGTGAGTCCGATACCTCCGATGGCGACGATGCTGAAGTTGGTCAACATAGCGGAGAAGGGGATACGAAAGTCGAGAAGACAAGTGAGAAAGCTAGTGATGGCAATGGTCACGCCACCAACCAACCACCCGAGGAGGTCCAGCGCGTGCCCTCACGCTTCTTCGGTGCAATTCGTAGTGCAGCCTTGGTATTGCGGGCTTGTCTGGGGCCCAAAAATGCCCCCGCTCCGTCATTACCGACGCAAGTGCTGTACCAGCTTCTTACGCCAAGCTTCGTTCGAGTACGTCGATTCATCGCTTTGCCATGATGCTTTGTCGTTATGCCATGCTAACGTCGTTGTTGCTTAGGTACTGCGTACGTCTCCAGATCAATTCATTCTGGAGCTACAAACCACCGAAGATATCAGCACTGCAACGCTGGTATGGACAGTCAGCATGCGGCAACGTCTGCAGAAATGCATCACCGCAGAGCTGGCGAAGGTGAAAACTGCAGCTGCAGCCAAGAAGTGGCCACGCTGGGACCCCGAGCATTTCGTAGCTGCCGACTCATTCCGGTACCAGTACCCAGAGCTGACAGACGTGCTGGTATTGCACGACGTGTACCTGGCCAACTTCGTCGCGACGCCTGCGGAAGACTTGGATCTGGGGGATATCGACATGGCGTCGTTCTCTGAGGCGCTGCTGATCTCCATCCAGAGCCATGAGAACGTGCTTCGGATCTTGCAGGAGCGCGGCTCGAGCGACCCAACCAAGGAGGCCGCCATCCGCCTGATGCGGCAGGCCATGGACAAGCTCGTGAGCAAGCACCCGCAGCACAACCTCGAGGTGGATGCGAGTCGTGGCGTCCCACTCTCCGACGGCTCGCCGGCCGTGTCACCTGCCGCCCCTGGGATGTTTTCACCCGAAACGCTAGCAGCAGTGAACTCGTTTTCGCCGACGGATGACCGAGACTGGGACATCACGCGCATTGAACGCTGCAGCTCGTCAGGCATCGAGGACCTGACCGTATAAAGCTCCCATTAGGTATAATAGATCATCGGATACAAAAGGCTCGCTGCGGAAGAGCTAGGGCGTCGACGGTGTCATGATTCGCAACGCCTTATTTACATTGGCACAGTCTTGCTCTTTGTTCGTTTAACCAAGTTGAAGTGCGAAAGTTGAGCCGGGGATTACTGTCTTGGGCAAGGTCAAGAAGGAAGTGGTCAACACTTCGTCAATCTAGGTTGTCTACCTCATCACACGAACGCAATCAACATGGCAGCAATCGCAGCTCACACCGCTCTGCTCTTCAGCTACGTCATTCTGCAATTTGCTATCAACTGGCCACCAAACTCCACTCAAGCCACATCCAAGATGGTCTACACGCTCGTTGTCCAATTCCGCGCTAAGGAAGGCAAGGACGTCGAAGAGAAAATCCGCAACAAGCTCATCGAGGCCTCGCAGACGTACGTGAAGGATGCCGAGGTCGTCGGCTGGTACGTCATGCAGGACCACGTCGACACACGCAAGTGGGCCATTATCGAGCGCTACGAGCGCGAAAGTGTACGTTGCGTATTGTTTTTTGTTGTTGAATGCCGATATAGTATGCTGACTGAGTTGTTGATGTGGTTGTTGGTCGAGCAGAGCCTCAAAATCCACCAGGCGAACCCGTACTACGCTGAGTTCTTCACCTACATGGAACCGCTTACGGAGAAGACGGATCTCTTCCAGTTCAATGAGCTGGACACGAGCGAACCAGTGCACGTGGAGTAAACGGCTGCAAGATAGGAGGGAGAAGGGAGACACCGTCACTTAGTTCCGAGAAGTCTGTCTCGAGTGAGCACTGCACGGAGCAACAAACTCAATAACACTTTCGTTTCCCACTACTAGCAAGCTAAACTAGAAATTTCGATCTTCGTAGCAAACCTGTTCTGGTGCAGCATTGAAGCCCTGTACTGCACGGGATGAACGAGACAGCCCAAATCCAGATGCTTGAACGGCAACTTCGTAGTGGCGGCTAGAGCGGATTGGTAAGGTCGATCCCTTGGGAGGCAACATGAGGACCCGTGCACAATGCGGCAACTTTTGCTTTGAGTTGCTCCATTTCAGCTAGAACTCCTTGAAATCGTTCTTCGTCCTGAGCGCGCTGAGAGTTGAGCTTCTCTAATCGGATGCCGTGATGAGCGAGTTGAGATTTAAGATCCTCAATTTCTGCCTTCAGGCGCTTGTTGTACTCCGCGTGCTGGTGCTGCTCGAACGTGAAAGTCAAAATTTTAATTTTGACCCGACACGCCGCCACCAAGGCTTAGCGCGTCTCCGTGGCCAGATTCGCGATCAACGTGACATCCGCTGGCTTCTTCGCTGGCTGGGCGGCAAGCTCTTCACCTCGACGCTTCGTCGAAGCCTGGACCTCCTCCACAATGCCTGGGCGTACTTGAGTTTTTGCCCCTGGCCTGTAAATTCGTAGCCATGAACATGAATGTGTCGCTATCTGCAAGCGGTGCGAAGAATGTTCGACGGTAAGCCCATCAGTCCAGCTGTGACGCCCTCCTCAGGAGGTGAGGAGTCCTCGCCTCCTGTACAGTCGTACGAGGCTATGAACTGCCTTGCTTCCGGTGTCATTGACAAAGCTGCCAGTTCTGAAGTCACCAGCGAGTTGCTGGAGCTGGTCGCGGCCCGCGAGAAGTATCTGCACGGGAGCAAGCCGCAGCAGCTCGATCTCCTGCTGGTCGTTCTCGTAATTTGTAGCAAAATGCAGCCGAAGATGCTACATCTTTCGCTTGAATTCCCTTTCGCAGTTCACCGCCTGCCCCGGTGCAGTGTGCAGCACAAATTGGACTGCACAACAGCCCACATTACTGCTTCATCCTGTTGGCGGCCGTCTTCACCTTGCCCTGTAGATCGTCTTCGGGGCTGCCAAACTCCACGATTAGGTAGTAGCGGGGTTCTCCGTTGTATTGCACCATCGCGTAGACGACGATGACGTACACGCCACCCCCGTCGCAGATCCAAGCAAATGGCTCGCCTGGTCTGCTGTTGTCTTGAGGAGGGTACTGCAGCGGATATTAACAGCGGTCTCTAGCAGGACGAGCGCACCGCGTCTGGGCAACTTGCTGGCTGTCTCGAGCTCGACGGGCAAAGACTTCAGCTGTTCAGCAGCGAACTGGTCGTCCGGCACGCGCTTCACCAACTGGGCAAGCGGTACTCGCCACCGAAGAAGGCGTCGACCACGACCTTCTTGTTGGGGTATTTCTTGGGGTTGGACTTCTTGAGCTCAGCAGCGATCGTGGCCAGCGACACCCAAGTCTTGCCCTTGCCGTAGTCGATGCCGGGGCCATTCTGCGTCGACACCAAAGCAAACCACCGCTCGACTTCGCGCACACGGGTCTGGCTGACACGCTGGACATTGGAAATGACCCAGCGCGGCTGACAACAGCGGACTTCGTGGCCGCCATAGGCTTGGGGTGGTGGCTTCAAGCTGCACTTCGGACTTTTCAACTTACGGCGATATCTTGCACTGAAAGTGTATAGGAAATCGGCGGTGTTTACGTCAAAGTTAAGTAAATGTTCCCTGCATTCCTGCACCACAGCCTCAACCCTACTCGGCGTCAGCAGCTTCCTCCCGGTCGCTAGTTGTTGATTCACCTTCGTGCTTGCGCTGAGCATCCCACATTCCGGCATAGATACTGTTCGGTTGCGCTACCAGTTCATCGTGCGTGCCACGTTCGGCAATCTCACCGTGTTGCATGACAATGATCTGGTGTGCGTTGCGAATCTGAAGTTGAGAACATACACATTAGCAGGAGAGTTAGCATCTTGTCTGTAAGAAATCTCCCATTCGGTTTGCGAGCGAGTTACCGTGGATAAACGATGAGCGATGACCAGCATCGTGCGATTAGCCTTGAGACGGTTGAGAGCAGCCTGAATCTCCTGCTCCGTCACTGTGTCAAGCGCCGACGTAGCTTCATCCAAAATGACGAAAGGTGGGTCCTTCAGCAAAGTGCGTGCAATAGCAACCCGCTGCTTCTCGCCACCCGACAACTTGAGCCCACGCTCGCCAACCTTTGTGTTCCACTGGTCAGGGAGCTTCATGATGAAGTCGTAGATGCGAGCAGCCTTAGCTGCTTCGACGACCTGGTCGAACGTAGCGTTTAAGTTGCCGTACTTGATGTTTCGAAGAATGGTGTCGTTGAAGAGTACCGTATCTTGAGGCACAATGCCGATGGCCTGGCGCAGCGACTGCTGAGTCACTGCGGCGATGTTGTGGTGGTTCACCAAAATCTTACCCGCGTTGCATTCGTAGAAGCGAAAGAGCAGTCGCGAAATGGTGGTCTTGCCTGCGCCAGTCTCGCCCACAAGCGCAGTGGTCGTGCCACGCGGGATGGTAAAGTTCAGGTCTTTCACGCCGGTGGTGGCTGGCTGCGACGGATAATGGAAAGACACGTGGCGGAATACCACATCAATGCCGTTCTCGGAATCGTACTTGCACACACCAAGCTGCACCGCGTCAGGTGAATCGACGATGTCAGGCTCCACCGAGAGCAGTTCGCTCAGCTTCTTCATGTCGACGACCGAGTTAATCACCATGTTGTAGATACCACCAAGGAAAAAGAGCGGTGCAAAGAGGTTCGTGAGGTACACGGAGATGGCGACGAAAGCACCAATGTCGATTCTGCGTCCGCTGTTCTCATCGACCACATGGGGCGCTGCCAGAGCCAGCGCTGCCAAGACGGTAGCCTGGATAATAATCGACTGCGAGCCGTTCAATACGCTGAGCGAAGCCTGCACGGACACAGAGTATCGCTGGTACTTCTCGATCACCTTGGAGTACTCGTCAATCTCGTGGCGCTCGTTGCCGAAGTACTTGATGGTCTCGTAGTTCAACAGCGCGTCCGTAGCCTTGTCATGGTACTCGTTGTCATGACGCATCGAGGCCTCGCGGTACTTCTTGCGCCAAAGCGTGATCTTGATAGTCAGGTAAGCGTACACTACCAGACTGGAGAACGCGACAAAACTCAGCCCCGCGAGCTCAAAGTGCATCGCAAAGATGACAATCACCACCACTGACTCGGCCAAGGTAGGAATCAGGTAGAGGAACACGTATGACACGACGCTGTTCGCCGACTCCACACCACGATCCATCGAGCGCAGCACGTCGCCGAGCTTCTTCTGCACGTGCCAGTCGTACGACAGCGACTGGACGTGCTCGTACGTCAGCGTCGCCAGCTCAATGTACGCCGTCTGCTTCACCTTGAGGTAAATGAGCGACTGCATCTCCTTGAACAGCTTGGAGATTAGCGTGAGGCCGCTGAAGATGGCAATATCACGGATAGCGCCACCAATATCTTTCGCCACCAGCGAATTGGTAGCCGACGCCATGAACAACGGCGCCGCCAGATTCGCCAGCTTGCTCAGAATCAGCACCAGGTACGTACTCGCAGCCCGCAGCTTGTTGGCGAACCCATGGGGCCAGAAGTACGGCTTCAAGATGTACACGAGCTTCACAAAGGAAATACCGCGCGGCTTGGGCGCTTCCGTGGGCTTGTCCGCCGCAACTTGAGGCAGCGTCTCACTCTCCGCCGGCGGCGAGGTCCTGATCGAGTCAAGCAGGAAGCTCAAGTTGACCACCTCGAGCACCGTAAAGATCAGCGGCAGGGAGTTGGCCACGTTGGCGTCCACCAGAGCCTGCTTCTCCTCGTCGAGGCGGGAGATCGCGTCCAGCTTAAACGCGTCCACCGCCAACACACTGAGGAACGCGAGGCAGAAGAGGTTCACGACCCACGTGACGACGCGCGCGTCGGGCCAGCGCGTAGCCAGCAGGAACAGTACGCTCTTGGTCACTGTGGCCCACACGGGCAGCCCCCAGAAGCGCCACTGAGTCTGATGCACGTCCAGCAGCCAGCGCAGCCGCGTGAAGGCCGAGCCCCCGAGGCTGAAGCTGCAGACCAGGAGGAGGCTGGCCAGGTCCCAGGCGAGCAGCAGCAGGAGACTGAACTGCAGACACAGCATCTGGCGCTGCGCGGACTTGCGCCGGCGCTTGGGGGACAGCGGGTCGCCGCTGCTGCTGCCGTCGTCATCATCGGCATCGTCGTCCCGCCAGCGCGAGTACGCTTTCTTCTTCTCCTTGGCGTCCAGGTGCTCGCTCACGTTGCCCAGCAGGGGCGTGGCCTCCTTCGCGGACGACTGTGTCGTCATTGTTGCGCAGGGACTTGTGCGACTTGAGCGGTTGAATTGAAACTGAAGACACCGCCGGCCGTTGCAAAATGGCTCGCGCTTGAAGCGACCTGATTGGCTCATTCAAGATGACGTACTCATGCGACGAATGTTGGTCACTCATCCATCCTGTCTTAAATGATACCTGACACACCTGATATATTACTATATATGATACGGAGTCAATCCACCGACTTGGCTGTTAAAAAGGCAAATGTGGTATGGGGTATTGTGAAAACCGATAAGACTGTCTTATTGGATTGTAAATCGGCCAATTTAGTGGCTTATTACGATTTGAGACGGTTTCAAACGAAAAGATGTTTAAGAACCTAAGTACGAATCGCGATTTAACACCGCATCAATCGAAAGATGCGTGTCTTGTACTTCGTTTAAGCTATCGAACGCTCAAAAATGTTAAGAACTCGTGGAGTGACATCGGTCTAGAAACGTTATCTCAATTTTTGGACCCCCCTTAATTCCCGATTTTATTTGGGGCGTGTGACCTCAATATTTTTTCAATTTTAACACATTATATTATCGGGAAGCTCGCGCTAAAAGCAATCGAATAAGAGTGTTTTGACGCTTTTAAGATGTACTTTTCACTTTCAAAAATTTGATGTCCTGTTATTTCCGAAAATGGTCAACTTCAAACGCGATTATCTCGAAAACTCCAAATGGCGCCTAAGCATCATTTCGTTTGAAACCGTATCCCTCATAAATTTTATGATCGCCGATTTACTAAATCCGACCTACTAATTAGACTGGGGCACATCGATTAGCCTCAAGATTATTAGCAAGGACGACTTGCAGAGCCAAACCATATGCATCGGATTTAGGTTTGCTAACCAGCCCATTTAGCCAGAGCCGGCCGATCTGCTTGCTATTCAGACGGAATGTCCGATGTGCAACCGGCATTCGCTCCTTGTAGGCTAAATCAGCCGCGCAAACAACAATCGCTGCAGTCGCTCTTGGCTAGGTATTACCAGTCAAGGCTACAATACTAACAGCACAACTATAATACTTAAGTAAGCAGGAAAAACCGCACGCTATAATACATGTAACTGAGATATGCAGGCGGAGGGTTTAAGCGCGGTGTTACCGCTGCACTTGCCCGAGGTGATGTATGTTGATCGGAATTGCTAGGCTGCACATAATTGTGAGATCGACGAACGATTTAAACTCCGATTATAATTGAGACATCCCCGATTTAGCAGCCTCCAAATCGTATCGGAGCGATGCTTTACTGGCCAATTCAGCTGGACATACTAATCGGTTTTCACAATAAATCTGGAGTAAATCTGCCAATTAGTCTGATACGTGCCAAATGTGAAATCCGATACCGATACAAGAATTTGACCAACCTGATAGCGTCTAGCAAGCTACAAAGAAGATTTTAATCGAAATCTGCGAGGCCTTCTCTGCGATGCATTTGCTCCAGCACCCGTGTCTGCGGCTCGCTGATATCCAGTAGGAGCTATTTATCATATTTATCAAGGTCGGGGTGCTATGACAGCATCCAAGTAAAATTCCGAACTGCTGTCGCCTGCTCATTCGTGGTTAGATCTGGAGTAAGACCCTCTGTGTCGTCATTGTCGGCGCTGTCGACGTCACCCCCAACAGTCTCGATGAGCGGAACGCCAGCTTCTCCATTGAGAAGCACTTCTGTAGTGATAATCTCCATTTCGGTTTCTAGTTTGATTGCAAACGAAATTGTCAATACTCATAGGATCTCGAGCCCGAAGCCTACCATGTTCATCGCCAGTGTCACGAAGTGGGAGTGCGAAGAAGGTAGTGACCCTGGCTCCGCTCCAGCGTGACGGACTATACAGTATACACCTGGGATGCCCAAGGTTGCCTTTGCTTGGGCGTATACGGGACGCGTCTCATTGAGCCCATTGGCGTATAGTAGTTTGCAGCTATCACAGAGGGGGTTGGCATCTTCGAATTTTTCCCACCTCAATCCCAAAGTTGTTCAGTGGAAAGCACGTGCGTTTTTAGGGTCGCCTTCCTGCTTACTAAGCTCTTTCTCCTACCAACACTCGCCTGCGCATCGTGCCAGGTTATGAGCCCAAGGCTCTAGGGCATTGCGAGCAGTTCTCGTGTAGCTCGGAGAGATGTCTGGACCAAGTGGATCGTCGTCTGGTGGCGGCACGCCAATGGTGGCTTCTGGCGGCCAAACTATTGCTATTTCGTCGGGTTTTGCGGTGGGCTCAGTAGCTGGATCGATTGGAATCGCTCCTCCGGTGATTGTGATGACTCCTGCAGCTACTGGATCGAGTGTTGGAGCGAGTGCGACTACATCTGGCCCAAGGTTGATCTCTGCTGGCCTGAGTGGAACTGCAGGCACGCTGACGAGGTTTTTCGTTCTTGGGGACAACTGGAGGTGGTTTTGCTGGGGCGACTGAAGCTGGTCGACTTTCTGGGGCTGGAGTGGCAGCCGTAGTGCCTGCGGCTTCGATTGCATCGAGCTTTGCGTCCTCGCCGTGGGGATCAGTCCCGTCTCTGCCGTCACTGGGTTCACCTGCATTTGCATCGTCTTTGGCGGGTGCTAGTGCACATGCCGCTCCTATGATGGTTCCTCATTTCGCTTGTACAGACGTCCCCGCCGAATTCGGCTCTGGGATCAGTAATGTACCTCACACAGATTGTACGTTTGTGCCTGAGAGTTGCTCCTGCTGTCATATGAATATGCTGAGATAGATGAGCTTTGAAGGGAACTCGACGTGACGCGTCACAAATGGTTGGTTCCATGTTCATCCGTCAACTATGCAGCGAATTCTTTAAAAAAAATATTATTTTAAAGAGGTAAGGTGAGTGAGACACGGTTTCCGCTTGAATTTAGGCGCGAAAGAGGGAAACCACACAACCACACAGTCACACAAACACACAGTCACTGATACGCGCGCGCAATGGGGGCTTGGATGAAGATAGCGCAGAAGCGCGAGCTGGTCCGGCACTACGCTGAGCATCCCTGGATGACCCAGCCCGAGCTAGCAGTGTGGTCAATGGAGCGGTTCACGCTCAAGCGTCATCCAGCGCAGTCGATGATCTCGGACATCCTCAAGAACGCGAAAGCCATCATGAGCGAGAGCTACGGTGACGGAAATCGACGCAAGCCGCTACGTGTGACGTCTGTCAGACTGGAGAAGCGCCTTTGGATCCAGGCTACGGAGGCCAGAAGCGTTTGTCTCTCGCGTGCATTCATCCGAATGAAAGCCAGAGACCTGCCGGTAGAGCTCTGCGATGGATGGGACCTGAGCTTATCGGACGGCTGGCTAACAAAGTTCGAGAAGCGACATGGACTTCGCTTGCGCCAGCTACATGATGAGGCCGCCTCAGCGGACCCGAAGAGTGTCGAAGCTGGTCGTCAACGATTGCAAGAGCTCGTGGAGCTCTACGACCCCTGTGACGTCTATAATATGGACGAGACCGGACTGTGCTATGCGATGGCACCGGCGCGCTCCATCGGAACCAAGGGCAAGCGCGGTGTTAAGAAAAGTAAGATCAGGATAACGATTGCGCTCACAGCGAACGCCGACGGATCCGACGCGTTCCCGCCCTTGTACTAGGGACGAGCCAAGCAACCACGCTGCTTCGAGAAGCGCACGGCGGAAGAGCTCGGTTTTCTCTACAAGAATAACAAAAAGGCGTGGAGGACAAGTGCGATTTTCCAGGAGTGGCTGCTGAATCGGGACCGGGAGATGCGCGCTTCTGGACGTCACATCATGCTACTACTGGACAAACGCCTCGTCCCATAGTACTGGAAACTACGTTTGCACTAACGTGCGGATCGAGTTCTTCCCCCCAACACTACAGCTTATCTCCAGCCGATGGATGCCGGCATCATCGCGGCCTTCAAGCAGGGGTACAAGAGGAAGCACATGCATTGGGCCTACCAGAAGGTGAAGGACATTGATAAGCCGCAGCTCAAGGAAGAGAAGCAGACGAAAGAGTCGGGGGAAGCTTACGCGGTTAACCAGTTGCAAGCTATGCAATGGAGCAGAGAGGTCTGGAACGAGCTACAAGACACCCGTACGATCCATAACTGCTTTGCCCACACAGGTATTGTCTTTAGAGGCGTAGAGGACGAGTGTGTTGACTCCGACGTTAGCATCAGCAGCTACGAAGCTGATGTCCGCTTGGTGGTCCTGCGCGTACCGCAGATTCATTTTTAGTCTGTTAAAACTAATACCGCATTTTCCTTTAAGAACTTACCGCTGAACCCACTCACCGGAAGTGGGAGCGAAATCTGTACTCATCTTGGAGGGGCCTGTTTTGCTCAAACGAGCTCGTTAATGTGTTAGGGTACTCTATATTGGAGGCCCAAATTGGAGCTCCCACACCAACCAACGCATGCCAGCCAGCAAAATGATCAAAGGTGGCATGCAGCTCGCCGTCGCTGTAGGTGTACGCTCCTCTCGTCGAGGGGACTTGCTCAGGGTACGTGTGTACTGACAGTAAGGCTGGCATCGCTTATCTATGACGTTTCTGTCTATTTGGTGCGCTGTGTAGGAGCAGTGCGCGATACTGCTGACGTGAGCCACAGCGGTAACTCGTCTTTTTAGTAGCGATGGCTTTGGGCATCGCTTTCTCCGTACAGCAACTGATGGCGGACGAGACCGGTAAGACGATCATGACAAAGGAAGGTGAGCATGATATGGCGTCGGGTGTGTGCAAGTGCTCGTCTGACGGGGCGTGACAAGACCCTGCAGGGATCAACTACACACGGGCAGATCGTCGCTGCTTGGAGGAGCTGAGCACGAGCTGCACTCTGCGCCGTAGGAATGGCAAGCTGACCTGTTCGACAAGCGTCAGTAACCTTCGCGGACGTGGCCAAGATGCTGTCCACCACCGGCATGCCAGTGTCCCAGCTGCCGTTTGGATGTACTTGGACGAGGCCACCACGGGCACGTCCTGGTGGTATTTTACGCGCAAGGTACGCCGTTGATTAAGCCTTTCGGCTGCGCAGGTCGCTGCCCACGAGCTGCTTGAACTCGATGGGGGCAGGACCAGGTCATTCTGGCTGGACTCGGAGCATCGTGGTAAACACTCGAGCTTGCACCCCGCGGGTCATGGTAGAAACCTCGTGCAGGTGAGCATTGAGTTCTATTGATCGCTGTTGCGTGGCGCTTCGTAATGAACCCAGTCGGAGTCGTACAGGGAATAGCTGCTGCCGATCGACACTTCACTGTAGGACGTGTTAGTGACATGTAATGAAATGAGGTGCTTCGTGCAACTTAGTACGCATGCATTGCAGTCGTTTTAGTTGCTGGGTAACCCTCACAATATACTTACGCAACATCCTCGACAAACAAAGTAAATAATGGTCTTGCGATCAGTTGCATATTTAGCTGTAAGGTACTACGGAGAGGCTAAACGCCAGGGGACCATTGTTGCTTGCTTGCTGGTGAATGGCGCTGTGTATGGCATTTGACACCGTCTTTGTTTAGGGGCGCGTTAGAACACACGTGCTAATACCAGCCCAAATTGCTATATATTTGACGGAACCATGCATGGACCGCAACTCGTCATCAAAAGTGTTGTGAGCCTACAGCAGTCTCGGGGTCAAGCGAGGCAAATACGAGGCTGGATGAGCGAGAAACGCCTCTCACCTATGCCGCTGAAAAGCGGCAAAAGTAAGGGTGCTGGCTAAACCGGAGCTGGCTGGTTGTACAGCCCTAACCCCATACATCAATTTGGGGCTATCCTCTTCGCTATATCGGAGCTGTCCGCTATTCCGGACTCCCTATCTCGGGTTCGGAGGGCTCCGGATTGCCAAAATCGCTGAAAACCACAATACAATCTGGCATTCTTTATTGGTACCACTCTGTCGAGTTAGGCGGGGATGTCTGTACTGGCTGGTATGGAATGAAAATGGAGAATAAACCACCTGTAATGCAAGGAAGTTTTGACTTGTAAGCAGAAGAGCAGAAAACTTTCTTGACCAACATGGACATATGGGGTGTCGTGGAGAACGCGTCAGCGGTTCGTGCGGCTGTAAGCGAGGGGCAATTTCGTCGATTGAATATTTGGCTCGTGGAGCAGTTTTGCGAGGCGTTCCTAAGGCTGATGCTGAGTTGATATGCCATCAGCAGAGCGCGCAAGATATGTGGATTGCCTTTGTGGATAAGCAGACCAAACCCGAGTATGCAAATTATATCTTCGCTCGACAGCGGTTGATTGCGAACGCGTACACGACAGAGAGGAACATGAATGACTGGCTTCATGAGAGGCAGCTCTATCGTAATGAGCTACTGCACTATCGAAGCGGGGTTTCTGACGAGGAATTCGCCGAGATTCTCCTTGGTAATGTTGCGCAGACACATCGCGACGTCGTTCGACAATTCTCCAAACACTTTGACTCTGGTTACCAGCGATCGACTCCGTCGTCCGCTCAAGTGATGAACGCATTGGGAGCAGATTCGGAGCTCGACGCCAGGATGGATGATCCACAGCAAGGTCTGGATATCTCTTACGCGCTGGCTGGGAAGAAGCAAGGTCAGCAGCAAGATCAGCAGCCGTAATGAAAAGGCAAGAAGCGTGGTCGAGGTAGATGCACGGCTAAGAGTGGAAATTAGGAGCAAGTTGGAGAGAAGCCTGGTGGTGAGGACAAGCGTGAGTGCTGGAATTGCCATCAAGTCGGCCACATCCAGACAAATTGTCCGAATCCCAAACGCGATGACGATGAGTCTGATTCGCAACTCCCAGAGCGGAAACGCTGGCAAAACAAGAAGAAAGCTGGGAAAAACGGCGAGAAGCGTGATGTGAATATGCTTTCTCATTGTGATGATGGTTCGGCGCCTACGGCAACGCAGAGTTCTCTTGATGGTGGAGTCGAGTGGATCTTGGACTCAGCGAGTGACTTCCACGTCTGTACTAATAAGGACATGCTGACCGATCTACGCCAAGATAATGGACCTATGGTGTTTGAATGGGAAGGCAAGCCGTCCAAAACCAGAGGGTTGATTGGAAAAGTAAATGTTCGAGTGAAGAACGAGAACCAGTCTGATATTCCTGTTTCGTTCTGTCTTGGTAATGTGCTCTACACAGCTAGCGGTACAAACAAGTTATTGTGTCTGGTAAGCTTGAGAAGGCCGGATGGGACTTTGTCAAGCTGAAGAAACAGAAGTGTGCGTGGCTTCGCAAGGGTAGAGTGCTACTGAGACTGATGAATTCTCGTGGACGCTATCGTTTGCAGTCGACGGTATCTCGTGCAAAGCAAGTGGAGGCGATCGAGCAAGGCAGACCCGACAAGGAGCGAGCTCTAGTACGGTGGCACGCCCGACGCGGCCATCTCAACTTTGCTGCTTTGCTGCGAATGGTCCGAGAAGGCACTGTGGGTGGTTTGGAGTTGAGTGGGAGTGTGCGCGCGCCCGAATAGCAGTGTTGGACGTGTGTGCAAGCCAAGATGCAACGGATGTCGTACAAGCAGGTGGTGTAACGGGGTTACACATGAGTTACCCGAAGGGTTACGAGGTGGGTACACACTGTCTAACCTAAATCAGTAGGAGAATCAGTACATGGCTTCAGAGCCACTGATTATGTATATGACTAGGGTTCACTATGCTAGATAGTGAACCGGACACATTTACACCGTAGGCGGCTTTGCCGCAATAAAGGGAAATATATTCAGTTTGAGATTCACACAGTTAAGAGTTAAGGGTTGACTCTTGGAGTCCGTAAGGTGTACGGACTCGTACGTTCTGGTATTAGAACGGGCTATCTTAAGCTGAGACTCTGCGAGTCTGTTAAGCTCCCTCTGACGCAAAGCTACGGCAGCCCCGCTGCAGGTGGCCACTGATAGAGCGCGGGTGTCGTATCAGAAGCTCATGTCTGATGAATGCTTCCTTAACGAGCCTACCTACAATGGTTGTTTACATTTCCAGCTTGTGCTGGATAAAGCGACTCGTTACGTGTGGGGCCTTCTTCTGAAACGAAAGGAGGAAGCTCCCCATGTTGTGATGAAACATGTGGCTTGGATACTCGCACGAGAGCATCGAGTTGAAGCTTGTGGCTCGGACTGAGGAGGTGAACTAACCAGTAACCGGTTCAAGGCCTTCTTGAGAGCGAATGGCATTACGCTGGCAAAGACCCGGAGGAAAATGGACTCGTTGAGCGCATGCATGTGGTCGTGCTGTCCCGTGTGCGGAGCTTGTTGACTACGGTGAATCGACCTAACCTGCTCTGGGGAGAAGCGTTTCGTTTCGCGGAGGAGGTACTCAATATTAGTCGAAGTGCTGCGCTTGGCGGAGAGTCACCGTACACTCGACGTTTTGGAGAGCGGCCAGACCTGTCCAGCCTGAGGACGTGGGGTTGTTTGGTCTGCACCCTCACTGCAAAAGCCATAAGGAAGAACAAATTAGATAATCCTGGACAGCCTGGACTCTTCCTCGCGTACGGCAAGGAGTCAATAATCTACCGCGTTCTAGATTTGAAGACTGGAAAGATGAAGGAACTTAGGCCGGTTGAATTTGCTGAGAACTGGACTGTGGGGTACAGTTATGTTGGAAAACTTCTGCTCGAATGATTCAAGCGCGGCAAGTATCAGCTTCCGTCTCGAATTCTTTTTGTTCGGCTAGACGATTTAACGTCCCCCAGTCCAGCTCGAAGACCTCTCGGAGAGCCTGAAAGCGATCACAGTGATGAGCATCGCGACGAACGGCGTTGCAGTGAGGACTTACGAGGGTAAGCCAGTACTGTACTTTGAAGCTCCGTTTGCTGTGGGTGGGCCGGCGCTGGATAGCGCTCCTGCAGGCAGCACGTCGAGCGCGAATCCGACGGGTGCAGGTGAAACTGTAGCTCGGCCGTCACGTGCGCGTGGACTACGGGAAGTGGATCATGTGCCGCAGCATAGGGATACTGATGAAGACAGCGGTACAAAAGGTGAAGAGAACCTGCCTAACTGCAGTTATTCTGTACCGTTTGAGGACGGTGGAGGGCTGTCTAATTGCAGTGGCTCTGCGTCTTCACGTGACTCGCTAGCTCTCAGTGGCTCGGATGTTGCGGACAATGACCCAGACTGGAGTGAATCAGATGATGATCCTGTTGATGCTGTAATTGCGAACGGTGATCCAATGGGAGATATTCCTCGCTCAGTGGGAGCAGGGAGAGAGGCTGATGATGAGGCAAACGAAGGACTTGGTGCTTCGTTCCGACGGTCGACGCACATTCGACGACCGAATGTCCGACTGAGCTACTATGATGTTGATATGCCAGCGTGCTTAGTGATTCAGGCAGTGAATAAATTGCTAGAGCCTACATCAGTTGAAGAGGCTTTGCCTGCTCCTGATGCTAAGGAATGGATTAAAGCTCTGGACACGGAACATCAAGAGATGCTGCGTAGCCATGTGTGGGAACTTGTGGATCGACCTGAAGGAGTAAAAGTCTTGAAGAACAAGTGGGTCTTCGTGAAGAAGAGGAACGCACAATGAGAAGTAGTGCGCTATCAAGCGCGGTTTACGGTGAAAGGTTGCCAACAAGAGTTTGGGATTAACTTTTGGGAAACCTACACTCCTGTCGCGAAGATTGAATCAGTGCGGTTCTTGCTTCTGCTGGCTCTGGAACTCGGAGTGCTGTGCAGACAAGTTGTCTTTGTGACTGCATTTCTGAATGAACTCATAGGAGAAGCGGACATTTACATGGAGCAACCAGAGTATATGAATGATGGCTCGGGTCGTGTCTGCAAGTTGCAGTAAAGTCTCTACCGTCTACGACAAGTGCCGCGCATATGGTACCGGATGATAGCAAGTATCTCTGCAAGTGTGGCTTCAAGCGTACCAAGATGGACGCTGGTGTGTATGTGAGGACCGTGGGAGAGAACAAGGACTATGTATGTCGATGACCTGCTGATTTTTGGGAAGGGGCTTGACATCGAGATGGTGTTAGCTGAGCTGCGAAGCAAGTTTAAGATTAAGGGCTTGGGTAACGTGAAGCACCTACTAGGTATGGAGATTACGAACGTACCGGGGCGCATGTTTACGATCTCGCAGAAGGGTTACTGTGAGAAGATCTTCGCAAGATTCAAGATGCAGAACTGCAAACCGGTACCCACCCCACAGGCGAAAGTGAACTTCTCGATCCCTGGCAATCCAGATTTGGAGCCAGTGTATGTTAATGATGACGCGGACATTGACTATCGGTAGATTATGGGGTCACTGCAGTATTTGGTACAGTGTACGCGGTCAGATATTGCAAACGCCGTCTGGACGCTGGGGAAACTCCTGAATTGGTTCACACACGAGCGCATCGTGCTTGCAAAGAGAGTGCTTCGGTACCTGAGAGGGGCCACGGATTACGGTCTAGTGTGGACACGATCTGAGCAGCCCGACTTGCAATTTGCGGCCTACGTGGACGCATGGTGACCCTCGGGAAAGATCTAAAAGTTGTAGCGTATGCAGACGCGGATTTGGGCAATGAAAAGGATGATCGGCGATCTGTGTCTGGTTTTGTGCTCCAGATGGAGGGCTGCACCTACGCATACTCGAGCCACAAACAGCGACGCATTAGAGATGATACATGCAACTCGGAATTTGTTGCTACAGCGGAGTGTGCAACTATCATACTGTGGACTCACAATCTCTGTAAGGTCGCATGGATTGCTCCGCAAGAAGACGATTCTCTACGATGACAATCAAGCTGATATCGCTGTAATTACGGTAAACACTGGGACTACAAGGTCAAAGGAATTAATCTGAAGTACCACAAAATCCCTGACTACGTGGATAGAGATGTGTTTGCTATCGAGTATTGCCCATCTAAGGAGATGATTGCAGACATATTGACGAAGCCTCTTGGGCCCACGCAATTCCAGAAGCTGCGACCGCTCCTGAATATGATGCCAGTGCCTGCAGTAGGAGAGCTCAAGTAAAACGAGCTCGTGCTGACGAAGGCCATCAGGCGTGAGCAACAAGCAGCCATGATCGTCGCCAGTGTCACGAAGGGGAGTGCGAAGAAGGTAGTGACCCTGGCTCCGCTCCAGCGTGCCGGACTATACAGTATACACCTGGGCCGCCCAAGGTTACCTTTGCTTGTGTGTATACGGGACGCGTCTCATTGAGCCCATTGGCGTATAGTAGTTTGCAGCTATCACAGAGGGGGTTGGCATCTTCGAATTTTTCCCACCTCAATCCCAAAGTTGTTCAGTGAAAAGCACGTGTGTTTTTAGGGTCGCCTTCCTGCTCACTAAGCTCTTTCTCCTACCAACACTCGCCTGCGCATCGTGCCAGTTTGTAGGTGGGATGCCCTGTAAGCGGGGTTGACGCAGTGCTCGCCCCGAGTGTTCCCGGCGGTAACCGCAAAAAAATTAAAAAAAAATAGTAGAGCTCATTATCTCCCCGTTCGGGATATCATCTGCCTCTTTGCTGGGTAGACGACATGCCAAGCACGAGTTTTGTGTGCCGAAAGCTCTGGTCAATACATTTCGTATTACATTTAGAGCCTCAAGTGGACATGGTGGCGTAGTGCCTCGATCACCAGCATCTTCGCCTGGACGTGCGGCCTACTGTACCGCGCCAAGCCGGACCAGCACGTACATGTAGGGCTATTGGCAACAGAAACGTTTGCAGTCTGCAGATTACGCTGGTGGATGTTGTAAAGCATTCGAGAGAGAGATTGCTCAATGATTGATGACTAGTAGCACATACCCACAGTTATGTGCTCAAGCACTTTAATGTGTACCTCAGGCTTGAGCGAGATCGTCAGAGGCTTCCTTAGTTATAAGACACGTACACTAAGATGTCATTCGTGTGACGTATAGTTAGTCAACATAGGTCCTTTTGGAAACAATGAGTACATATAAAGACGTCGTTTTCCCAGATAATATATAAATTCCGAAAGGCTGATGCGGCTAACTGTAAGGAAGGCGATGTAGAGAGAAGTAGGCTTCTCTCTACATCACTACTAGTGATACCAACTACGAGGGAAGACGTTTGCAGTGATGCGTAGGGCTACTCAATAAGTTGATTGTCATGTACTTGATATATTATCCCGATAGTGGGGGCATTTGAATGTGCAGTATCTTAACCACCAGGCTGGCGGGAGCATTGATATGTGTAGTTGTTTTGCTGAACCAAGAAAACAGCTCGGGGAGAAGCGTCTAGTTTCCGATCGGTGGTCGCTTAAGAAATGTTTACTGACTTTTCAGTTGTAATACTTATTTTGTGAGTTCGTCTTGCTCTGTTGCACTGGCCCATGGCTCTGCGGTCTCCGTTGTACGTGCATTCTGTGACAGCAGACCTGCACACTGCATAACATAAGCAAGGATCATATTGTGGTCGCAACAATAGAATATCAGCACAAGCACTGGTATGCATTATTTGCCTAGAGCTCAGTAGATGCAAAGCATTGGGCTGAGGCTCAAGCTATCCATACTTATGCACCAGCCACAAAGCTGTGCGTTGAGCTCGACATATCAGTGATAATGATTGCTACTGCAGAGACAGCTATAGCTGGAAACCTTGCCTCCAACACTTGATGATGATGATGATGACAGCATTTACATGGGCTTTCGTTATGATGAACTGGTTAAAATCTTACCCACAACTCACATTCACATGACACTATTGCTATACATGATACGACTGTCGTCCACGGGTCGTATCAGTTATGCCAGGTTTATCTGTACAGTAGTACTGTTTCAAACTTGTATTGTGCTCACCACGCATTTTGGCCGCCCGGATATTACCCGTTCTCAAGGGATTTGAGCTCGCCAAATCGTGGTCGATTTATATGTAAATCCCTTTGAATGCCTACGGCAGAGTGGGCATTATGGTCGATTTGTATATATATCGCCAAGCGCTCATCTAAACAACCAATCAGCGGCTTAATTGACCATCCTGCATGCGTGTGGTGCAGCTAAATACCCCAGCTGGTTGATTTAGGACCTGTAGGGTGCCGAATAAGGTTCGGGGTACAGCAAATTCTACCACTTCCGGTACCATGGTCCGACCACATCGTGGGATTTGCAATTGCTTTATAGAGCTTAGAGATGCAGGTCTACAGCGCTGAAAATAATATCTTCTACCTCTACATCCCCCGAGTAGCTAGTTTATTTCTTGCTACGCTCGTATACTCCGTTGAAGACAATACCGGTGTGGCGAAAACAATTTTCAATTGTAGTCTTGCCCTGCAGCTCCTGCCAGATTTCTTTGCTCCACTTCATCGCTTGTAGCTGGTCGACTTTATAGACGTCGCCCTTCTTAATCAGCTCGGCGCGCTTAATCTTCTCATACACCCACCGTAGCTGCTTTCTACGATACGCACGCTTGAACTCGGCAATTATTCCTGCATCCATTGGCTGCAGAAAAGCAGTCGTGTTTGGTGGCAAAACTCTAGGCGAACGTTAGTGCATACAATCTCACCTATACTATGCGAAGAGGCATTGTCGACTTGTCGACTAGCAGCAAGATGTGCCTTCCCGCCGCTCGCATGTCACGGTCGAGGTTGAGCAGCCATTCGCGGAATACTTGACCCGTCATCCACGCTTTTTGATTTGCCTTGTACTCGAAGCCGAGCTGAGACGCTGTGCGCTTCGTGAAGCAGTACGGCTGCTTGGCCCGTCCCAAAAAGAGCGGAGGTAGAGCGTCGGAGCCGTCGGCATTAGCCGTGAGCGCAATCGTGATCCGTGTCTTCGTTTTCTTCACTCCGTGGGCGCTTCTTGTGCAGATGGAACGGGCCGGCGCCATGGCGTAGCAAAGGCCCGTTTCATCCATGTTGAATACATCGTGGGGGCGTATTGGTCGGTTAGGTCCTGCAGCTGCTGTCTACCTAGATAAACAGCCGCAGTGTCGGCGGAGGCGGCTTCGCCATGACGCTTGCGATAACGTAGGGCATGACGACGCTGAAACCCACTAAGCCATCCGTTAGAGAAGTTCAACTCCCACGTGTCGCACAGCTCCTTCTGCAAGTCCTGCGCCTTCGTCTTGATCAGCTCCCGCGAGAGGCACACGTTCTGGTCTTCAACAGCTGGATCCACGCCCACAACTTCTCCTCGAGCGCCAACGACGTCACCTCGAGCGGCTTGCGACGCTTGCCATCGCCGTACGCATCGCTCATGATAGCGGGCGCCTTCCGCAGGATGTCCGAGATAGTCGTTTGGGCGGGCGCCCGCTTGAGCTTGAACGCCGCCTTGGCCCGCGCACCCAGTTCGTGCTGCGTCATCGTCGGACACTCATAAGCCTTCTGGATGAGGTCCCGCTTCTGGTGGATCCTCGTCCAGGCTCCCATGACGTGCTGTGGGATCTGCACGGCTCCAGTTCGGTTGGGAGAAGTGAGGTGTGGACGCATGAGCACGGCACCAGCCAGGCAATGACTGGTCGGCGGTGTGGGTACGCTGGAGCTCCTGCTCCGCGCGCTTTATTGTTGGTGCTAGCGGGTTCCCGACAAATACAAATCCTCCATAAAACGATTTTATCATAATGAGGAGGATATTAGTTGTAAGTAGTACCGGAATCAAGAGAGTTTACTGTAATAAGGAGTAAGGCGAAGTATATATGTAACTAGGGCTTCGCGAAGGCTGGGAAAATGTTTACCTTTGTATGCTTCTGCAGCAGTTCGTCCGCTTCAATCATTCACTTCACTTCACTCCTACTATTCGATATATGTTACTGACTCATACCGGTTCAATCTGCCCACGCATATAAACCTTTTGGAGCACCGCGGCCGTACCGGTGTAATGGGTTTTCTACCAGTTCAGCTTGCCCACGCATATAAACCTTTTGGAGGGCCCAGTGCGGAACCGGGGCCACACCGGTTTCAGGACAATGTACCAGTTAGGTCACCTTTTGACTTGACGTACCACGGATATAATCCTGTTTGGTCTGCGATAGCAGCACTAACGTTGCTTCCTAAGTATCCCAGTAAAATTCGAGAGCATACATCTCCTAATTTAGCATTGGAAATAGGCAAAATGCGTGGTGATCACAATAACAGACTGTTCCAAATCTTGCGCGTCAATTCTAAATTTTTAAGAATGTCGAATGCAAGGTTCAGCTGAAGTCACTAATGGCGGCCACGAAGTCCCCGCTGTTGGCAGCCATGCTGGGTCATTTCCAATGCGGGTTCTTATCCAGCGCGTCAGCCAGACCCGCGTGCGCGAAGTCGAGCGGTGGTTTGCTTTGGTGTCGACGCAGAATGGCCCCGGCATCGACTACGGCAAGGGCAAGACTTGGGTGTCGCTGGCCACGATCGCTGCTGAGCTCAAGAAGTCCAACCCCAAGAAATACCCCAACAAGAAGGTCGTGGTCGACGCCTTCTTCGGTGGCGAGTACCGCTTGCCCAGTTGGTGAAGCGCGTGCCGGACGACCAGTTCGCTGCTGAACAGCTGAAGTCTTTGCCCGTCGAGCTCGAGACAGCCAGCAAGTTGCCCAGACGCGGTGCGCTCGTCCTGCTAGAGACCGCTGTTAATATCCGCTGCAGTACCCTCCTCAAGACAACAGCAGACCAGGCGAGCCATTTGCTTGGATCTGCGACGGGGGTGGCGTGTACGTCATCGTCGTCTACGCGATGGTGCAATACAACGGAGAACCCCGCTACTACCTAATCGTGGAGTTTGGCAGCCCCGAAGACGATCTACAGGGCAAGGTGAAGACGGCCGCCAACAGGATGAAGCAGTAATGTGGGCTGTTGTGCAGTCCAATTTGTGCTGCACACTGCACCGGGGCAGGCGGTGAACTGCGAAAGGGAATTCAAGCGAAAGATGTAGCATCTTCGGCTGCATTTTGCTACAAATTACGAGAACGACCAGCAGGAGATCGAGCTGCTGCGGCTTGCTCCCGTGCAGATACTTCTCGCGGGCCGCGACCAGCTCCAGCAACTCGCTGGTGACTTCAGAACTGGCAGCTTTGTCAATGACACCGGAAGCAAGGCAGTTCATAGCCTCGTACGACTGTACAGGAGGCGAGGACTCCTCACCTCCTGAGGAGGGCGTCACAGCTGGACTGATGGGCTTACCGTCGAACATTCTTCGCACCGCTTGCAGATAGCGACACATTCATGTTCATGGCTACGAATTTACAGGCCAGGGGCAAAAACTCAAGTACGCCCAGGCATTGTGGAGGAGGTCCAGGCTTCGACGAAGCGTCGAGGTGAAGAGCTTGCCGCCCAGCCAGCGAAGAAGCCAGCGGATGTCACGTTGATCGCGAATCTGGCCACGGAGACGCGCTAAGCCTTGGTGGCGGCGTGTCGGGTCAAAATTAAAATTTTGACTTTCACGTTCGAGCAGCACCAGCACGCGGAGTACAACAAGCGCCTGAAGGCAGAAATTGAGGATCTTAAATCTCAACTCGCTCATCACGGCATCCGATTAGAGAAGCTCAACTCTCAGCGCGCTCAGGACGAAGAACGATTTCAAGGAGTTCTAGCTGAAATGGAGCAACTCAAAGCAAAAGTTGCCGCATTGTGCACGGGTCCTCATGTTGCCTCCCAAGGGATCGACCTTACCAATCCGCTCTAGCCGCCACTACGAAGTTGCCGTTCAAGCATCTGGATTTGGGCTGTCTCGTTCATCCCGTGCAGTACAGGGCTTCAATGCTGCACCAGAACAGGTTTGCTACGAAGATCGAAATTTCTAGTTTAGCTTGCTAGTAGTGGGAAACGAAAGTGTTATTGAGTTTGTTGCTCCGTGCAGTGCTCACTCGAGACAGACTTCTCGGAACTAAGTGACGGTGTCTCCCTTCTCCCTCCTATCTTGCAGCCGTTTACTCCACGTGCACTGGTTCGCTCGTGTCCAGCTCATTGAACTGGAAGAGATCCGTCTTCTCCGTAAGCGGTTCCATGTAGGTGAAGAACTCAGCGTAGTACGGGTTCGCCTGGTGGATTTTGAGGCTCTGCTCGACCAACAACCACATCAACAACTCAGTCAGCATACTATATCGGCATTCAACAACAAAAAACAATACGCAACGTACACTTTCGCGCTCGTAGCGCTCGATAATGGCCCACTTGCGTGTGTCGACGTGGTCCTGCATGACGTACCAGCCGACGACCTCGGCATCCTTCACGTACGTCTGCGAGGCCTCGATGAGCTTGTTGCGGATTTTCTCTTCGACGTCCTTGCCTTCCTTAGCGCGGAATTGGACAACGAGCGTGTAGACCATCTTGGATGTGGCTTGAGTGGAGTTTGGTGGCCAGTTGATAGCAAATTGCAGAATGACGTAGCTGAAGAGCAGAGCGGTGTGAGCTGCGATTGCTGCCATGTTGATTGCGTTCGTGTGATGAGGTAGACAACCTAGATTGACGAAGTGTTGACCACTTCCTTCTTGACCTTGCCCAAGACAGTAATCCCCGGCTCAACTTTCGCACTTCAACTTGGTTAAACGAACAAAGAGCAAGACTGTGCCAATGTAAATAAGGCGTTGCGAATCATGACACCGTCGACGCCCTAGCTCTTCCGCAGCGAGCCTTTTATATCCGATGATCTATTATACCTAATGGGAGCTTTATACGGTCAGGTCCTCGATGCCTGACCAGCTGCAGCGTTCAATGCGCGTGATGTCCCAGTCTCGGTCATCCGTCGGCGAAAACGAGCTCACGTCTGTTAGCGCTTCTAATCTGTACTACATTTGTTTTCATTTTTCGGAGGCCATCGAAGATCAATACATATAATACGCACAGTTGTTGTTTATTCGTATCCCTAACTTTCGTTGGAGCTATGATTTTGCTGCTGGTTGTAGTGATGTGGCGTCGCAGGTGCAAGGTTAGCAAAACTGCGAGTTTGGTGCAGCGACGGAGGTAGCCGGAAGATCGGGTACTCCACAGGCATGTATGGATGCTGGGGCTGCCAGGTTGCACTAGGATCCATCGAGTTCGTCCTTGCCAATGAAGAAACAGGGCTCACATGGTGCGGCGTGCCATCCTTAGTGTAGCTGTTCATCTTGGTCAGCAGCGAGCGTTCTTGCTGTTGCAGCATAGCGCGGACAAACAGCACCTTTGTATCTGGCAGCGCCACTTCGTGCTTCTGCAAGAACATGCCTCGGGGTACACCAGGAGTCCGCCGCCGGCTCGTGGTCACGGCGTTGGGCCCATTCGCAACTCGGGCACTGTGTCCTGCACCACTCGCGGCTCGGAACTCGTCTTCCATGTAGTAAATGGTGACAATCTGTTCACTGGGTGTCCTGGAACAGTCCACCATAACAACTTCTTCGGCCAGCAGTTCCCACTCCACTTCATACTTGGTCGTTTGCGCTGAGGCCAGACCCTTGACGCTTAAGAACAGAATCCGCTTGCGTGTGACCAGGAAACACTGGTGAGTCGCCTTGAGGTCCACGTGGCCCAAGTATCCGTCAGCACGGTAACGGCCACCCCGGATTTTGCCCACAATCTCCTCGCCCAGGGACTCCACGTACGAATACACCTTGAGCCTCTTAGTGCGCAGATCAATGTGGCGTGGTGGTCGCACACGAACGAGTAATGCCTTCGTGTTCGGGTCAACTGCATCGCGAAGCGTAGCAGCAGTCGTAGCAGTAGCTAGAGAAAAGCCCAGCAACGGCTTGAGCACGACTCCGAACGCGCCAGCTACTAAGCCAGGCAACACACCACGCGCGCCATTCACTTCAAACGAGTGGATCGGAGCGACCACGACACCTGAGACGCCTTGCACAAGACCCTGGAAAATATGCCGCGTAGCTGGATACCCTGTGTAGTCATCCAGTTTCAGGCAAGCCTCTGATAATCCAAGCGAAAAGGCTGTGAGGATGCGCGTGTTGAAGTCCAGGAAAGTGTACACGGAGGCCCGAACGAGTGACAACGAGCCACGACCAACACCGAAGGCGAACGCTTGCGGACTTCGCTGTGAAAGTCCGTGAGCTGGCTCGGAGATGAAATCTTGGAAACCGCTGCGTAGATTCTTCCAAGCGATCATCGGGTTACCTAGCACATCAACACTTCCAAGGATGACGTACGCTTGTCGGAGTGCCTCACTCTGATAGTGCGAAGCCAGCCGTGTGGCCAAGGCGTCGGGCTGCACAAATGAATTGTGGATGTGTATCGCCTTGAGCTGGAACGGTGCATTCGCGATCTTGGTCAAACTGGTACCGATTGCATTTAAGATCAGTCGTAGCGGGCCGACTGTAATGACGGATGAATCTCGCGAAGATGACGTGTCTGTCAGTGCCGCTGCATGCGAAAGAGAAGACGAATGACCATCCAGGATGGCCCCTGCACTATCACCGAACGAGAAGCTGACAGTGGCGCGAATAGGATCAATGTGGAACTCTTCGAAGTAGAGTTTCTTCTGCTCGTCCTTCACAGCAATCGCGCTTAGAGTCCCATACTTAGTCGCCGTGTAACGCTGAATCTCGGCAGCAAGTGCAGTATGCTGATGCCGTGGGCTTATCAATTGCTGCTGACCGCTGCTTCTTCGAGAAATTGTTTTCATTCTCGGCGTTGTTGGGCCAGACGTAGGTCCAGCTGAAGTAGTACCGTCCTTCTGGGCGGCCTCGAGAACCTTTACCGGGACCTCCAGACTGGCGTTGAAATCCTTCAGCAAAAAGTGACTGTGGGCTGCTCGCGAAACATCGTTGCAGCTACTGTCACCGTTCACCAGTACCACGGCTCGCTTTTTAGTTGTCGTTGCACTGTTTCCACCGCTGCCATAGATTTTAGCATGTACCAGCAGCGGAAGTATCTGATAAAGCAGCGCGCCATCCACCCGGATGTGCACCGGTAGAACACTCACACTGAAATGCCTGATGAACTCGATACCAGCGTACTCGTCGTGTTTTACCAAGCCCACCTGCAGCACTGGAATGCTTACCGTTTGTCCGTTAACAGTTCGCGACCGGCCGTTTGGATTTGAAAAGCGCAACAGCACAGGATACGGTGTCACTTGCAACTGGTTGTCAACTTGCACGTCATTCACCTCGAGGCAACAAGCAATAATCCGCGGACGGGTCTCACGTTCGAGTCGTGATAGCGAAGCTGCACTTCCAGCGATCGATCCAGCACTCTTGTTCCGGTCATCTTCACTGACAAGGAGCTCCAACGCGATACCAGAAATCGACATGTAAATCAGCTCCTTAGGTGCACTATCAACAATCGATATGCCCACACCTTGAAGGTGCAGCGCAGCGTGTACCGTAGGCGCAGCCACAAAGCGTTGGAGAAGCTGCAAGGCACTGTTGCTGTCAGTAGCCTCAGTTTTCGCTGTTGCGTCATTGGCAGCCTGGGAGTTGGCTGGAGCAACCTTCTCCCCACGTAACCGTGTATCAGTGAAACGCAGTACGCGTGTTGGTCCATCCGTCGAGATTTCGATACCCAGAGTACCGCCAAGTGCATCGGGGTACTGCTGAATCTTATCCAGGTCAAAACTTCCGATCCGCAGAGGACGGCTATTATCGCCAGCAGCCGAAGGAAGCATGTCCACAACAAGCAACCGCTCTTCTGTAGGCTCATCCCACGCATAGTCCAAGCTATGGTGCGGCAGCAAGATCTCACTGCGTCTTACACGATGTTGATGCGTTCGAAGTGTCTCTAACGAGTAGTTTTCAACGCGGTATGGCGGTGCAGTCGTACGCTCTTCGCGGAAATATACGCAAACGCACGACGAGTCTAGCTTCAGTGTCACGCGTACCAGCTTACTTTCCCGCGTCGATTCATGACGCATGCGAACAGCGTATTCACCAGATTCGATGAGAGGTACAGCACCACTCCATGACCAGCCATATTCGGCAAAACGACACCGAATCGTGCGCGTCTTGGCGAAGCGAAGTGTCCAGTGGAAATCAGCGAAGGCTCCGGCATCCAGTTGAACCACGGGGTTCACAGGTGACATCACTCTTGAGTTTGGCATTGAACCAGTTGTGTTGGCCATGTCGATCACAGAAGGAGTCATCATCTTGGACGATGAATGGCACACCTCTATGGCACTACTCATCGTATTAATGAGCATGAACCGTGGCGTCAGCATAATCACTTTCGTTCGCGAATATTGCCCCTTTGCCGGAATGATCGAGTAGCCGATGCTGAATTTTCGGTTCGCTCCATAGTCATCCGCTTCAATTTCTCCAATTGTACCCGCTTGATCCAGCACGAAGGGGTCAGACCATTTTCGCTGTCCATTATCCTTTCTTGCATCGAGTGCTGCCACATCCCGTTCGTTGCTTACCCGCAGACGAACGCACCCACGATCCAGCCGATAGTCAGAGTGGCAGGCCTGCAACACTTCCAGCTGGCCGAGGCTACGTGGGTCATACTCGATCGTCTTCGGGAGTAGGTCAAGCAGCCCTTTCACAGGTGGTACGCTCGGAAGAAGTCGAGGGTGGCGTCGCTTGCGCTCGCTTTCTCGGCGATCAGGAGACGCACTGCGACTAGTGTTGGTTTGCACCATGTCCTCGGCTCCATCCACGAATTCCTGATCTTCAATTAGAGCAGGGTGAAGCAAATGAGGATTGCGATCTCGTCGAGAAACCTTGGCTCTCTGGCTTTCTTTTAGCAGCAGCTCGTCGCGATCCAGGCGCTTTTGTCCTGCCAGCAACCTAGCAAATGAAAAATATTGAAGCATGTTAGTTGGTGATACATAAGATAGCATAGTGTGTGTACTTGAATACGTACGTTGTCGTGTGTTCGCGCCCCATGCGCTCTTCCTCGTATTCATACTCGAGCTTGAGACCCGTGAGATTAACAATCCAATACGGAACATAAAGGAATAGCTCGCGGCAGTGGCCTTTGCTCATTCGAATCTCCGCAGTAATATAAAGATGCGCGTCACTCACGAGGTCTTTCATCTTAATGCGCACAATGTCACCCAAGTCTTCCACGAGCTCAAGCGGCTCACTCCAATCGAATCCTTTCATCCGAACGCTAAGCTCGAGGGGGGTCTCCTCGCTTGACAAATGCCAAATAAGAGAGTCGGCCACATTGATAGTTCCTCGCTCACGTAAACGCTGTTCGCGTGTTTCCCATCCTGCATTCATCCCTGCGTTCGTCAACGTCACAGCTTCCACTGCAGGTGACCAGTCACTTGGAGTTGCCAAACAAAAGTCTAGCGGTCCAGCAGTCAGATTGTGGACAATCAGTGGTGGGTGGAAAGACAACGTGCGGTGGTACAGAGCACTACTAGCACTGGAAAGACACACGTTCATCATGAACGGACGAACGGGCCGATCGCTGTACAAACGACGGAACTTGATAGTGCACTGAGATTGACCGGACTCGTCTGTCTCCATGTGCACTACGTTCTCGTTCGCAGACGAGCTTCCACGATCAAAAAGTGGTAGGTGCACTCGTTCCTTTGCGTATGCTTTCGGTGGGACGCTAGACCCATCGCCATTATGTGCTCCATTGATCTCTGGAGGACGCACCAGTACGTAACCTTCTCCGGAGGAAACAATATGTACCGGAACGGGGACAACAGACGAAGCTTTAACAACCTTCTTCCAGATGGGGATGACGTGTCCTTGTGGAGCATTTCCCGATCTCAATGACCGTGACATCGAACGCCGCTGAGGAGGCACGAATTCAACTTCGAGGTCTGACGAGGTCTGATTTTCCAAATTCAGGGTCGAACGGACTACGAAATATTTGCATCCGCGCTCCACAAGTACATCAATCACGCACTCACACTTCCTCATTCGCGTAGCCGTCACGTCTGCTTCAAAATCCACGAGCGCGTACATGCGCGAATCAACTTGGTCTACTGGGATGGGCGCTTCGCTCTGCCATTTCCTTGGGATGTTGGATAAACCGTCGCTCGGATATTCCTCTTCGACGGCAATAAAGAGTTGGCGGTCATGCACGTACGTGCTGCGACGGCCACCCTTTCGACGCTTCTCTTTCTTGTCCCTTTTGTCACTATCGGCCTGCATTTTATTAAACCGAAGTGGTTCCTCTTGACCAGGCGCAAGTGAATGCTCGTTGTAAGATGCACCCCAGTAACGTAGCGGCATGCCAGTATTGTTTCGAATCCAGTACGTGGAATACTCCGTCATTTCGCGCGAGTCTCCACCTGCATTGACTACCCAACGCCAAGCTCGATCGGCTGCCACCAGGTTTGCAATCAGTGCGTCTGTCAAATTTAGTTGAAGGAAGACATCAGAAGACACATCCAACTTCCACGGCGACATCGCTGGCTGCTCCCTATCATCCAAACCGCGTCCATGTAAGTGCTGCTGCGAAAGCGTCACCTTCACACTCCATGGCTCGATGAAAGGCTCCATGGTCACCAGACGCAGGTTTTGGTACTTCGCTTCAGCTCGGCAACATGCCGTAACTTCTACCATTGAGTTTGATTCCGCACGTAAAAGAACTTCGATGGCCTTTGAGTCAAACTCCAAAACTGGCGAGGCTTGATCCACGATATTGTTGATCAATCGAAACTGGATAGCGCTAGCAATTAGCGACGCCCGCGTAAGTACATCGTACTGAGGGGCCTGTGGTTCATTATGCCCGGATACTTCGTTATCACCGACGTCTTCCGCACCAAAGTAGTGAGCATACTCGGAATAGTCTCCTGGTGCATCTGGCAGATCTGCCCAGTCGAGATCATCAGCTGCTGCTTTTAGCCGTGCAGTAAACGCATCTCGGATCTTCTTTTCGGCACTGAGCATACTGGTTAGGCTCTCAGCAATTTTCAACAACAGTGGCAAGTCCCGGTAGGCGATATGCGAGATAATCTGGTTTACGCGCACGGTCGGCTCACTAAGAATCCATTCCTGCCATTCTGATGGAACATCACGCAGGAAAAGTTCCGGCAAATTCACCGCCGCGTTATCAGCCATGTCAGCTGGAAAAGTATTGATCCACGGTCCTGGTTTAGCGACATCATCACCATTTTCAATTCCACTGCCCCCGCTGTCAGCGTTCATATCGCTATTTTCATCACTCTTTTCATCGCTGCTCTCCGGATCAATCGTTTCCGCAAGCGTAGGTCTAAAGCAGTGACGCAATCCAAATTGCATGTCCACCTCAAAGTTCTCAACAAGCGTCCCTGTGTGGTGTGTTGGTTTTGGCTGAGGTTCAGACTTGGAAAAATCTGCATCAGCAGTCTTTGGAGAGCCCACTAACACTTCCACTTTACTCAGCCTAACCGACGCCGCCACAACTTCATTGCTGTCTGGGGTGGATGTATCTGCTCGGTCAAGTGCGCTGTCGAACTTGGCGGCTAGCTGACTCGATAGCACGCAGCCTGCCACGTCAGCTTTGCGGTCGCTAGATATCACCCACATTTGCAAATTCGAAAAACGTGCGTCAACTTTCCACTGCGGTATCGGGAGTCGCTTCCTGTTCGCATCAGCTTCGGCCGCAGATCCTGGAGACTTAGTTTTGGAAGCCACCGATGTCCCGCTTCCGGTCTCTTCAGCAATCACTCGAGATGTGAAGCTTCCTGGAGGGCGAGTATCCTTCGCGCTGGCAGAACTCAGCATGCGCTGCAGCGGAGACATAAACGCAGAGCGAACAGCATTCAGGTCGTCCTTTAGGGACTCCGAGATACTGTCGTTTCTTGGGCGTAGCGGTGGAACTGTAAAACGACTTTCCTGCCTGTTGTCATCAAGATCAACTCCTCCGTCAGCATACGCGGCGCTATCAGCTCCGGGTGGATTGTTGACCAGAGCCTCGTCTCGTTGAATTTCCAATTCACTCCTCTTTTTGCTCGCTGCCAAAAAAATGTCAAGCACGAAATGCTCCAATCGAAGTAGTGTCCGAGGAAGGAGAATGAAGCGAGCAGACGACACAGAAACATCCAGCGAATTCACAGTTGTCGTAGAATCGAATTCAGCTCCAACGCCCCGCTTACATGCCAGCCGTCCACTGAGCTGCGACGACGACACATCCAGCCGTGACGAATGTGATGTCGATCGTCGTAGTAGCGGTGGCAGCATGTCATCTCGAGATAGAAAAGAAATCGACGAGCTGTCAGACGAAATGGATGTTCGCGAATCCATCCGCTCCAAAAGAACTCCAGGAACAGGTCCAATCAAGTGAGTTAGGAACTCCTGCAAGCAAGAAAAATGTCAGAATGAAACCTTGAAAACAGTTGGCAGAAAAATCGTACCGTAGGGTCGGCAATTTTGTCACGAATGACGGCCTCTTGCAGCGAGAATTCGCACTGCAGCTGAACATCGCTATCCATCAACGACGTTTCCATTAAGCTCATAGCCAGATTTGCCTCCAGCGCAACCAAAGCTATTTCGCCGATAACGCAGCAAGGAATTTCGCTAGGAAAACTCCCTCGTCGTCCCATGAAGTGCTGCGGGTAAGATCGCCCTTGCGCTGCAGATGATGCCCCACCGCTGCTTTCACGTGAAGAAATTTCATCAGGAATATCGATGACACTTTTCATCCACGACTCAAATTGTTGCGGCGCCTCAGAGTACGAAATCAGACCAATCTTGAACTCCTCAAGCAGGAAGTGGAGAGTTAGTTGCCCCCACTTTTTCATATCGCCATTTGCAGCTGGAGAGGCGGACTCCAAGTCACCACCGTCTTCTGGCTCAAGACTTGCAGAGTCTGCTACTGATGCACCTTCGTAGCTATCAAGTTGGTGAATCACGCCTTGGGCCGTATCAAACATCGGAATAATCGCCACATAGAATACTTCCAGCGCGAGGCACACGTTTGTTTCGCTGACGTTTAGGCAGACCGGGTAAATTTCCACGTTCAAAGCAATCTCCGGTAAGGCTCCCTCGCTCTTACGAACGTCGTTCATCTCCTGCGGGGGGATGCTACATCGAATCTCAAAACCTGACGGATCAAGGATTGAAGTTTGGTCCGATAGGGAAGTGATCTGCAGGTTTTCGACAACCACTGTGGCTTGGTATGGTGTGCACAGCGGTTCATCAGGCGACGCTTCCAGTATTTCGCGCCGCAACTTGATCGATATTGTCCCGAAGTCCAAAACAATTCCTCGATATGGCTGGGATTGGAGAGACACTCGTATGTCTTTTAGTGGCGTGGAGGGTAGCACAACACACGGGTGGAATAGCTCAACGTCCAGGTCAAAGTTGTCAAGAATGTGTGCAATAACCACGGCAATGTCATCTTCCTTTACAGAGCCATTGCCTTGGTCTTGTTGGCTCTCTTTCGCGTGAGCAGCTACAGCGCCGGATGTTGTCGGAGTCGGGAAGCTTGGTTCTTCGAAATTGAGTTGTCTTGCTTCTCTGTTCGACGTATCAACAGCGTCAAAAAACGGCGTTAGGCTTTCTGGTGGATGGTCCATGCTGGGAGAGAATCTCGGAGCTAGCTGAAAATCGGACACAACCGAATCCGCGCGCTTGCGTTCTTTTCTTATGCCGGCGTCGCTTAATGCAACGCGCTTGGACAAGAAGTGGGTTCGTAGCGGCCCATCGACCACATAGTTGGCTAGGTTCTCCACAAACTCGGGCTGTGCCAGGAAACGAACTGGTTGCACTGACACGCTCAGCCTCGATTTTGTTTGCCTCTCTTGAGCATTTTCATCGGGGGCTGCCGCGCTTGATTTTGTGGAGATGAAGCAATCTACACGCAGGACGTGCTGAGTGTCGTCCGTCGAAAAACTGGAAGAGGCGTCCAATCCGAATATCTCGATATATTCTGCTGGTGATTCATATCCGCGTGCTGCACCGCTAATACCAAGTCCATCCTCTTCGCGTTTCTTCGATGATAAGTCGAAGACCTTCACATCACCCACCAGCCCGGACACATCGATCTGTCCAGCGTTCGCAGTACCAACCTTTACTTGTGAATGGAGAATTGCAACGGACACCACCGATTTACCTCGATCCGAAAAGCAGACCGAGACAGAGTGCAGTCGCACAACAAGTTTCAGTGCAACTGGAAGAGCGTCGTCGCCACCATCAGCCGCTGTGGTTTTTGGTGTATCAGGTGCATGCTCGAACAGGTTTTTCCTCGCTCTCTCCAAGTCAGCACGGACAGACTCCGTAAGATTTACTGGCATGGAATACTCCTGCTTGATAGTGGGCGTAAGCTCAAACGGCGGCGGCAGACCGTAATCAATATCGGCCATCATACTATCAACAACACCCAATTCATTTCGTGAAGAAACAGGAACCAGCGCAAGCTGCGACGACGATTCTTCAAATAATTCCAGCAGAGAACATACGTACGACTGGTCAAAGTTGAATTGAACCGAACCAAGTTGCAGATCCACGTCCCGCAGCACCTCTTTACCACTCTTTTGGTCCTTCAGAGAGCTAAACCCAAGCTCCAACAGTGTTTCGGGTGATGTGGAAACTCCCGACCGAGAACCATCATTGTTTTTCGCACCACCTGCCTGAAAAGAAATCACTCGTTCTCGTTGTCTGTTTGGGCGTCTACGCTGAGCTGTGTAACCAGGAAATTTACCACCTCGGCGTAGCGGAGATTTGATCGAAAATGGAGCGGTGATTGTTGGACACGAGAATAATAAATACTGCGTCGACCGTCCACTAGCATCAAGGAAATCTTCAACTTCGAGCGACATTAAACTCACATTCACTTGGGTCGACAACGTCTTTTGGCCCACTCGAATGCGAAAACCTTGCAGCTTCACCAAAATCGTGCCATTGTCTGCAGGATCGTCATCAAAGTCACTTGTGTCGTACCGATAGGATGCGTATGAAGATACTGCAGCAGAGCGAGGCTTCTTTAACTGCACCGAAATTAAAGGAACAGTGAAGGAGCAAACCATTAACCTTCGATCAAGAAGCTTTGTCGAGCCACCAGGGGTGTACGGTCGAGGCCTCTTTCGAGTCCTTCTCTCAGACCTTGGAGGAACGCTAACATTTATTCCACCCTCCTTCGCCACGGAATCCGAAAGATCGGATAAAGAGAGGTTGCGCTCCAGTTCGCCGGTGACATCCTCGCTAAGTGATGACGTGCTCTGGTCCAGGTTACCGCTAGTAATGCTGAACCACGTGTCGTCACTTTCAACACTCGCATTTTCATCCGAGTCCCCAGTATCGTCTGCCAATACACCATTTGCCGATGGTAGCCCAACACTTTCGTTATCGTTCAGCATAAATTTCTTCAATGCGGACGTACTGAGGAAGCTTCCCCTCCTCATGGCTTCATATCCGTCGTCCGAGTCTGGCATGTTCATAGCATTTCCATACTCATCATCCGCCGAGTAAAAGGCGCCGCCCGAATATTTTCGCGTTTTCTTCGGTGCCTCGGCATTTGCCAAGCTAAATCGATCAGCCAAAGCCAGCAGCTGGAAGTATTTCTCCAGTGACAAATTAAACGTTAGAGCAGGGAGATCTGCGTGAACGTAAAACCGTGTCAACGTCGCGTCGAGAGGTAAGATTGACGTTCGAACGGTCACGTTGATGTTGAAGCGCTCGACCAGCTCGTACTCTTGTTCTTCGTCATAGATATCAGTCAGGTAAGGCGGGAGCGAAACGGACGGGTAGTTCATTCCATTGCTTCCTGCTCCATCGTCTTGGACCCGACTCGTCTTTCCGTAAGGAATCAACAAAACGTGAATGTTCGTAATCGAAAGACTGAACTTGTCATAGAACTCTTCTTTCCAGCGAATTGCCCCCTCTCCTCTCTCCGCTTCATCGTAAAGCTGCTGCACGAAGGATGTATTCGAGTTCACACCTCGAAAATGCGACGGGCCTAGAAGTGCAAGAGACCCCGGTGCTGATCGGCTCGATGGTGGTCCGCCCGTTGAGCTCATGCTCATATGATCGCTATCCATTTGACTAAGACGATCTGTCCGAAAGTTGATCCGTCCAAGGTCAACCACGAGGCGTGCGCAATTGTAGTCAGTATCGCTCTCAGGAACGATAATAACAGGGGCTTGAATTCGAAGATCCACAGCTAGTGCAACTCGGTTCTCCAGCACATAATCCAGCTTCGCTTCCGTTCTTGCCTTTAGGTTGACAATATCATTAAATGATGCCACTTCCAGCTCCTCCCAAAGGCCCAAACTCGTCGGGGTATCCACAAACTTTGCCAATCGTCCCCAGCATCGTGCTGTTGGCGAAAACACAATTTCCAGCGGCTCCATGTGAACAAACAACGAGGCATCTGCACTTGAGTTCGCCGGATTCATCTCATAGCTCATCAAGAACACAACGCCAGACAGTTTGCTCACGTTCACGTCATCTCCGTCGCCAGCAGGACGAATAGTTTGCTTCCTACTAAGCAGACGAGAAAAAGCTGAGCTTTCTGCGCTTTCATCAAACGCCTCGATAGACTGCAGCGATACGTCTACCACCACCGTTTCATCTCGCGCAACTGCAGCCACTTGGAGCTGAGAGAATGTACCGAGCAGGAAATCGGTTGGGGCATACTTTCGCCCATAGCTTGGGTCATCTCGGAGCAGCGTTTTGTTTGTTTCTGGATCGCTTGCCAAAGTCAGTGAACCTCTCTGCAATGTCACCGTAACACGATATAGCTCGCTGAGCTCCATTTGCGACTCGCTATCGGAAACGTCGTCTTGTCCACCAGCATCACGGTGTTTGTTATGCATTCGTTTCTTCGTTCGCCGAGAGGGCTCCTCTAAAATTTTGAAGAGCTCCCGCAGCTCCACCTCAGGTATAATTCGATGAGGAGCTTGTCCAGACTCTCCATCTGGATAAGGCGTTGCTAGCTTGGATGTCCAACCAAACATCCACGCGCCCCACGAGCGATAACGCACCTCTGCTGGCACACTGGACTCAGTAAATTCTGTATCCACCGATTCTGTATCTGAAAAAGCCTGCGACTTGTGTGTTGGCGGAGTTGGAAGCCGGCGTCGCACACGAGAAGCCCGAGTCGCCTGAAATTCCCGAACTTCAAGATCAGCCAAGTAGCGGAAAAATAACACATCCTCTACGCTTCTACGACGCTCAATTTCCTCTAAACCGGCATCAATTTCAAAGGACGACAGTTTTTGAAGACTTGCATGATCAAGTGGAGATTGGCCTGTTTTCTTCTTCTGCTCCTCGTCATCAGATTTTTCACCGTCGTCTGCGTCGTCATTGTCATCACTGTCGGAGTAAACGTAATCCACATCTGCAAGCTCCAGTAACTGGCGTGATTTAAGCTGCCACAAGCCCACGTAACGCTTGCGATCCTCGCGTCGATTCTGCATGAAGCCCCACGTCCATTGCTGCTTCTTTGCCTGCTGATCCTTCAGCACAGCTGTAACGGCATACCTCCACCATTCCGCCGGATCATCAAACACAGATGCTTGCGGCCTAAACTTGCGGTACCGTTGGTACTTCGTGTAATGATCCGGGATCTGCAGTGCTGAGGCCAAGTACAGCATATCACAGTACTGTGACTCCTCCAGTCGAAACGCCACCTCGGAAACATTCACATCGACCTCAAACTTCGGCACGTTTGCCTCGAACACATCGCGGTTCACAATGAGTCTAGCACTAGCGTCAATCGGCTTGAGCAGGAAGTGATGTTGCTGCTGCGACGGATACAGCTGCATATGGTGATAATGCCTGTCGTCAAACCGCTTAGGGATCGCCCGGCTAAAGGCGCTGGAAAACTCCTCCGCAGAGCAGGTCTCAAAGTCGATCTGCCGGTCGCGCTGCAACTCGCAGTCCGGGTTGCAGTACACGCTCAAGTGGTTGAGCTCGACGATCTTGAAAATCCGCGGCTCGTTGTTCTTGGCCGTGTCCACGTACGATGGCTGCCAGCTCGAGTTCGTCGACTGCACGTGCACGGACTCGATCGTCAGCCCCATCGCGAACGGGTGGTCTCCCGAACTGTGGTCCTCTATCCGGATATGAATCCGCCGAATGTGCAGCTACAAGAGCAGCAGCAACAACAACAACAACAACAACAGGAAACAGGTGAGTATCAAAATTAAAAAAATCTTAACAGCTGGAGACACTCCGCGCACCTCCAGGTTGTCGATGATCTTGTTGATTAGTCTGGCGGCGAATCCGTCCTCGCCAGCGGCGGCGGCGTCGGCTCCGTCCGCGCTCTTCTCCTCCTGGCGCTTGGCCTGCGCGTAGAGCTCCTCCAGCAGCTTGTTCTTGAGCGTGAACTCGTCCATCTGGCGCATGACGGCGTCGATGTCCTCCTCCGTGCGCAGCAGCAGATACACGTCGTCCACCGTGGCCACCACCGAGTCGGACTGCAGCCGGTTCCACGGGATCTTGAGCTCGATGGAGCCCACGAGGCCGCGCACGAGGCGCACGGCCGGCAGGTCCGCCACCACCTCGGGCTTGACCTCCAGCTCCGTGAGCACCACGTAGCCCGACCAGACCGCCACATTGATCTTGTCGCTGCTGAAGCACTTGGGCTCGATGTAGCTGCCCAGCGCGCTGGTCAGCAGCCCCGTCACCAGCGTCTCGAACATGGCACCCCTGCCTGGATGTCAGAGTGTTTGTTTGTGGTGGTCTTGAAACGTGGTGTGCAGCACACAGAGTAAAATTCGGTGGACAGAATGTGACTTTGCTTCAAGTTGTGTATCGAGGTTTTGGGGTTTTACAGACTACATCCGGTGCCGGTAGCACAAGCAGGCGGCCGAGCCTGCAGCCGAGGGGGCTTGAGGGGCACGGGAAGAAACGCCATACAAAGGTCGCCGACATGGAGAGCGTCGACGCGGCGCTGCGCTACCTGCAGCGGCAGTTCGCGAGTGTGGCCAGCGACGAGGCGCAGTGGAACGAGGAACGCCAGCGGCTGCAGGCGCAGGTGCGCGAGCTCGAGGACCAGCGCAGCGAGCAGGAGCAGGCCTACAAGGACGCCATGCTGCGCGTCAAGATGCTCGAGTTCGCGCTGCGGCAGGAGCGCGGCCGTTACCTGGCGTCGCCCGCCGTTGTGCCCAGCACGGGGGGGCCCGGCACCAAGCCCCGCTCCGAGAGCGCCGAGGTGTCGCGCGGCGTGACGGTCTCGCGCTCCATGGAGCGGTCCAAGTCGGCGCGCGCCGCCGAGCAGCCGTCGCCCGCGCCGTCCCCCGCGGGCAGCCCCAAGTCGTACAGCATTTATAGATCAGATAGCAGGAACAAGAGCGCGTCCAGCACGCCCAAGAACTCGCAGGGCAAGGGCACGGAGATCACGCGGCCCCGGATGATGTCGCGCACGGCGTCGGGCCGCGAGGTGGAGCGCGAGATGAACAGGACGGCGTCTGGGCGAGAGGTGGAGAGGGAGATGACCAGGAGCGCCTCGGGCTCTGGCCGAGAAGTGGAGCGCGAGATGAACAGAACAGCCTCTGGGTCCGGCCGAGAGGTGGAACGAGTAGAACGTACGTGCAACAACGCAGCAAGATGCGCGGATTGCTGCTGCGACCTCTTTTATTGATGCTCTGTGGGTGATGCTGGTCGCTTATGTAGGCACAATTGAGACGGCAAAGCTGCCGAAGTCTGCGGTCATCCCAATTGCGCCGAAGGGATCTTACCGGGCGCACAAGTTGAAGGTGAAGCTGTCGGGGCACATGGTACGGTGTGGTGGGGTATGCTCACATGTCATCTCAGTGTACGCTGACAATCGAGTTGATATATTATTGCAGGATGGAGTGCGGGCGCTTGCATTTCACCCGACCGAACCGATGCTGGTGTCGGGTAGTGAAGATTGCACGGTGAAGGTGTGGAACTTGTCGAGTGTGGCGAGTGGCCCGCCGTCGCAGCGGGCGACGGAGGTGGACTCGGTGGTGACCATGCGGACGCACATGCAGAGCGTATTGTCACTGGCCGTGTTTAGCGCTGAAAATTACCCCGATTGCCCGCCTGGAAGATCCGGGGCGTTCGCATCCGCAGGTCGCGATGGAGCATTGCACCTCTTCCACTTGCCGAGTACAGAAAACGACAAGCCAGAGCCGCACACATACGAGGAGTATGAGGGTGTGAAGGTCCATTCTATCAAGGACGCACACGACGACGCAATTTGGGATCTCCACGCACACCCGCTGTCAAACGTCTTGTTTTCGGCTGGTGCAGATGCTGTTGTGCGGACATGGGGAGTAACATCGGGTAAGTTATTGCTGGATATCACCGGGTTGGTCATTGGCCATGTTTGTTGGTTCGCTAACAAAACCTGGTTTTACTTTTGATTGTGTGTGTGTGGCAGAAATGACGCTCCAAGGCGAGCTTCGTTGTGCAGCCAAAACGAACACAAACGGAACTGGTATGTGCAAGGCTACTGTAGTGATCTGCGAATGCAAACTCGTGGGTGCTGACTTCGTCCGTTTCTGATGTTGCATGAACAGGGCCGAACATTCGTGGCTTTTTGGTGCCTACATCGGTTCAAACAATGCTTACGGACCCGAAGACGTGCGTGGTCGGCTACACTAATGGATCAATCGCTCAGTTTGACTACGCTGCTGAGCGTGTCATTCAGCTGACACGAGCCATTGACGTTGATACAAAGGGACGAGGGGGCCAAGTGAATAAGGTGCGTTCAGACTGCTGCGTTTTCATTGCCCTCTTCCAATGCTAACCATTGTTGTCTATTCATCTGTAGTTGGCTGTACACCCGACGATGCCGATTGCTATTGCAGCCCACCAAGACCGAAAAATCCGGATGTACGACATGCGAGCAGGTAAGACAACGCTGAGCGCGCGGTTTTGATGCATGTCTTGATAACTAATCGCACATTGTTGCAGGCGAGTGTGTCGGCTCTCTTACTGCGCACCAGGACTCCGTTACATCTTTGTCGATCGACGCGGCGGGACTTTACCTTGCTTCCGGTGGTACGGCACTGCTCCATGTCCCAGGGATGATTCTACTTAGCGCTGACGCTCTTCATTATATTTTCAGGTCACGACGGTTCTTTGCGTGTCTGGTCGGTGGCGGATCGCCACTGCGTTTTCGAGCAAACGGTCTGTCTACCTCTATGGTGCTGTTTGTTCTTGTTGTGTGTGTTTGGAGGCTGACAGCATCTTGATTTGTTGTTTTGAATAGGCACACCGGCCGAAGATGGGCGAGGCAGTGCACTCGGTGTCATACCACCCGACTCGCAACTTCATCGCCACGGGCGGCGCTGACAGTACAATAAAGATCTTCCAGTGAGCATTCAGCTGCTGAAGGACGCTAGCATCGCTCCCCTCGCTGTGCAAGCGAGCGAGCCGCCAGCGATGTAGCGAGGGCTGTGTGGAATGTTCGCACAGCTGACTAGTGGAATAGAACTACGACTAGCTTGCCTCCTCCGACTAACTGCGTAGTAGATGTCGATACACCTACCTACCTGTATGAGCCGCTACATTGTCTGCCGCGTCACACGCGTATCATGACGACATCCAAGACCACCACACCGCTTCCAACAGCCCAAAACAAGTCATTTAGCATACGAAGGCCCGCTCCCTCAGTCTTTCGGCGAGAGTGCAGCGGCCATGTATTGTTATTTCTTCAAGATGGCAAAGAGCGATCCCTCGCAGCACGGCTACGCCGAGCAAGTTTGACTACCTAGATGGCTAGACAGCTTAGATCACGCCAATGCGGTTGGCCACGTCCAGAGCGTCGTAGTCAGCGGTCAGGCGCACGTAAGCCTTCTTCTGGCCATCGGGTCTGCAGTCACAACACAAACAATCCACAGAGTCAGCATCGTTGCTCCACAATCCTTTCACTAAACACAGTAGGACGGAGAGCGGCCATAGTTGCAGACTAAGGCCGCCCCTCGAGGCCCCGCCACCGCACTTCCCTATCAGGACTACGGCCAGGCGTAAGGCACCTCAGGGGGGTTCGTAGATGGTCCCTCCATCCTGAGATCTCAAAGCTCGACGCGATGTGGTGTACCTGATAAGGGTGTTGACCTTGGCGACCTTGATGTCGTACAGCTGCTTGACGGCGTCCTTGATCTGGCGCTTGTTGGCCAGCAGGTCCACCAGGAAGACGAGCGTGTTGTTGTCCTCGATCTTCTTCATGGCCGACTCGGTGGTGAGCGGGGCCTTGATGATGCGGTACTTGTCGAGCTTGTTGCGCGACGGCACCGACTTGCGGGCGTAGCGCGGGGCGCGGGCCAGCTGCAGCGTCTTGGGCTTGTAGAAGTGCACCTTGGTGCGGATCTTCAGCACCTTGCCGTGCGAGCCCTTGATGACCTTCTTGGACACCTTAGCGGCGGCCTTGCCGGCCGAAGTCTTCGCGGTAACCTTCGCCATCTCTGCTTGTTTGCCTCTTTGAGAAATGACCCGCCCGCACTGTTGGCGGCGCTCCTCACACAACGCCAGCCAACGATTCGCGCGGGGGTTACCCTCCGTCGATTGGGTGAAGCTATCTGGCAGTTTCAGCCAGTAGCACGACGAGTCGTACTTTGACGGGAGGGATATACCGATAAACGGGTACCGTTTGTTTTTGATGCGCTGGTGCCATCAAGGGTAACTTGACCTTGCATAGCACAGAGGTTGCAGATTTATTTCGCTTGATCTTGCGACGACACCAGCACTTTGGGCCGCGCGCTCTGGTGATGGTGGCCATGGCTCCATTCCGCCAATTTCTCGACCGAGTGCGGGCCAACTCGATGGTCATGCGGTGCGGTGTCTTGCTGGCATTGGTGACGCTCGGAATCGCCATGACTTCGACTGCGTCCGTGGACTCCTTGGCATCGGAGAGCTCCACTTCCAGCTACGGCAACAGCGCTGGGGGTGACAATGCTGGAGAGCCGACTGTCCGACACATTTTGCACTTTTCGGACGTGCACCTCAACATCTCAGCGTCGCTGAACGCCAACGACTCGGCCACGATTCCTGTTGCCTATGGAGACGACGCGCCGACCAGTCTACTGGTGTCGGCGCTTGAGTACGCCAAGCAGTTGCTACCCGACCCGGACTTCTTCCTGTACACGGGCGACCATGCCGTGCATGGGGAACTTTCAGACGAATACCTGGTTGAAGCTGTGGAGGAGAACGTGGGCATTATGGCCAAGCACTTCGAAGCCGCGGCATTGGACATCACGGCAATTATCGGCAATGCGGACACAAGTAGGTGTTGCATTTTGTAGCAGTGTTAAAATATGTGGCGACTAACGGTTTATTTATTTATTCTATTTACTGCAGGTCCTGACTACACGATGAATGTGACGGACCCGGAGACGGAGGAGAATCCCAACATCGCACTCATATCGAAAGCGTGGGAAGACACGATGCCAAGTGCCAACCTCGACTGGTTCAATCACTTCGGGTATCTGGCCTACACTCTAGGCGACAATGTGACTGTGATATCGCTCAACACGCTTCCGTACTCGGTGAGTTGCGGAAATTCATTCTACTTGCACTTGTTGAAATAGCTGACACAATTCTGGTGTGCTGACATGTCCACAGCCTTATCACTTGCCCGACACATCGACGCTTCCGGATCCGTTCGGGCAGTTCGAGTGGCTGAACGCGTCGCTGTCGGAGTTGAGAAGTACCGGGAAGCTGGCCTACATCGTCGGCCACATCCCTCCGATCATTGACTCGTATGCAGGCGAGCCGATGTGGAACGAGACGTACATCAAAACGTACAAGCAGATCGTCAGCCAGTACACGGACATCATCAAGGCGCAGCTCTTCGGTCACGTGCACAGCATCGAGTTCCGCTTGCCCCTGTCCAGCGACCAGGTTGAGCATTTCGAGCGGAATGGAGTGACAGTCGACGCAGACTTCAACGACAGCGCGCAGTTGGTGCCGCTCTTCATGGTGGCAGCCATTTCGCCACTGTTCTTGAACAACCCGGCGTTTATGATCTGGGACTACGACGCCAACACTTACGACATCCGCGATTTCACGGTCTACGGTGGAAATATTTCTACCAGCACCCAGGACGTTGACTGGAAAGAACTGTTCAAGGCCAGCACCGAGTACGGGGTCAGTTCTTTGAATACGTCAGAGATTTCAAAGTTTGCGAAGCGTGCGGCCGCCGATGGAGAGCTGCTGGAGCAGTACTACTACAACTCCAAGGCCCAATCCCGTCTTCAGCCGTCGTGTATGGATACTACGTGCCAGGCGGAATGGCTGTGCTCGCTCTACTGGTGGTCTTCGACGGCAGATTACGCTGCCTGCGTGGAGTCAACTGTGTCGGTGAAGTCCCAACGCTCCTTCGGTATTCTAATGTCCGTCTCCTCGTCCGCCGGATCGCTGTTGTACGCCTCGGCCGCCATTATTCTCGGAGGGATGGCGGTTACTGTCGTTTTTGTACTGTTCACAGCCAAAGTTTGCCGTCGCGGTGGTGACCAAGAAGCCGCCAAGCTATTGCAGCGACAACGCGTTCACTTTGCGGCTATCGTGTGATGAAGGCGTATAAAATATATCAAATGCGGCGACCAAGTTGGCCACACATAGTAAGAGGACAGTGGTTGCTTTGATTCCAGCTAATGGTTTCGTGAAAGCATAGTCAACAAAAATCTAGAGCACTGTCTTGCGTCCGTCGGGTGGGATTGCATGTGGGCCCCGTAACTTACGGGCCGTAAGTGTACAGTAAGGTATGCTGATGTCACTGGCCATTATCACGTGGTACACGACAACAGTACGTGGCTGCTGTACATGTGTACCGCGAGCCGAGGAGCATCATCAAATGCAAAAGAGCACGCGGTGTTCTTGCTTTCGGATGTTGTGATGTCTTGAACTTGTGTGACTCGGCAGGTGTACATGTAAGTTGATCAGTGCAGCAGGCTGGCATAAACTGTTGTACATGTATGGGCCTGGCCAAGTTGGCATTGCCAACTGAAGGTACACGTGTACAGAAATCTGCCTCAATACCGAACGGGTATACAATACAAAACCTCATATAAATAATACTTCAAGGTCCAACAACAGGACGAACGGAGATGGGCAAAGATACTGATGTAAAAATCCAGGATACCTTTGTTTGGCTAAAAGTATCAATACTAAGCTGTGCAGTTTGAAAATTGGCGCCCTTTTGATTGTCTGTGCGATCTTCTCTGTATTTACGATTCCACTTTCACATTTGTGCACTACCCGCTAAGCCCTCTACGAGTAGTACAAAGTAGAGCTACTAACCGCACTGATGTGGTGCGAACACACTTGGTCGAAGGTCAGCGCTGAAACAACTCAGCACTGCTTTACTCGGGTTTGATTAACTAAGCAAGCGTCAAATCCCGTCTAAGATAAGCTAATTCAGTACAGCCTTTTATCTGGTAACGCTGAGATCACTTTATAAACCTAGATCCCTTATATATATCAGGCGTTCGGTATTCAGGCAGAGTTCTGTATCACGAGCTTGTAGAATCATTCGTATCCGTGAGTTGCATTACAGCAAGAGTGGCTAGAAAAGCGCGGTCAGTGTCAATCTCCACTCGTAATGCCTAAGTTCCACGATCTTTATTTTAATAGTTGACCACTGTCAGGGGAACTTCAGATACACCTTTAGTGTCGATTCTTTTCCAGCTCACACGGCTGGCAACTCGGTCTTGGTGAAATGTCATTTGTGAGAACATGGAACATACAAAAATACTTCTCACACAAGAAGTATTGCAGCAAATAGTGAGCGGTACATGCATGTACCTCGAACGTCCCTCATCCAGACCCCCCCCGCGTAATCCTACCAAGCAATCTCGTCAAAACAAAAAAAAATGTGCCAAGCTGCAACGTGCAGATCCGTGGTCCCCGCCTGCATGCATGGCTTATGACCGTGACCAGCTTCGTGGACCTGGCGGTCGTTCGGGCGTGGTTGCAGCAGGCGTCGACTCCTCTGAAGGAAGTTGCGGTGAGGCCATGTGCAGCTTTCGGCCTGCGGTCTTGTTGCAACAGCACCAGGCGCCACTGCAAGGAAAAGGTTGACCGACGACATCCAGCTCATGCGCATGTTGCACTTCAAGCGCGGGTACCAAGCTGGGGTGAGGTAAGCATACATTCCCATACATTACATCAATACACTGCTGCTTGGGTAAGTTTGTCAAGTCCACCACCGAAAACGTTATGGCACCATTTCATTGTCCACCGCGTGCCCTCCCAATTAATCAAGCAGGCGAAGTTGGACGCGGCGTGCTGATGAGCTCGCATGAGCAACCGCTGCAGCGCTGACGGCGGGAGCTCGTTGCGAAAGAGATGTTCCACGTTGGGACGTCTCCGTACACGAATCGCCACCACAATCAACGAGTTAACAAACTTCAAGGTGCCCGCCACTCTGTGAGAGACTGGAGCTTGCCAAAGCCCGTGAGTCAATGGCACGACACGGCTGGCGATTGGGGAGCAACAATGCTCCCCATCTCGCATTGCTGCACCATTTCGCTAGGAGCGCCCAGCGTTAAGTCCCGGGGCTTGACGAAGGCGACAAGGCAGTCGCGAAAGATCTCCAAGGCGGACGCCTTCGAGTATGTAGCAACTGCAACCATCTGCAGGCGAGGACCGGATCCTCCGATCACGGTGCGGGGGCTGCGCACACATCAATGTTTACAGACACCGGAGCCCCGTGCAAGGGCCCAGGACATGCGAGCAAACAAACCTCCAGTTGCAGAACTGTAAACTCGAACGGGTATGATGCCGGTCCGGGAAGTCGAGATGAGACGCCCGCACACGCAACAGCGCTTGCCTCGTTAGTACCTTCTCATGACCCGGCGCAGTCAACTCGGCAGAGAACGAGCCGCACAAGGGGTCTCACTCACTTCGGTCACTCTTGATTTACACGCGCGCCAACGATTTTCTAGCACGTAGCACGTCGCCGAAGTCTCGCGATCCGATGGAGTCGTCGCCCCCGATGCTCCCGCAGCTCTCGTCCTACCTGCCGGCGCCGTCTTCGGACACGCGCACCCCCAGCATGGCCACCACCGGCAGCCTCGGGTTCAAGAAGCGACGCAACAGCATCGAAGGCACCTTCTCGGCAGTCAGTCCACGACTACCCCCGACCTCCCACCGCTCCGAAAGCGAGCTGCTCAAGCGGAAGCAGTCGTCGTCTTCGATGTCTGTGCACGACGACGTCGAGGGGCCGAACGCGACTCCATTCTCACGCCTTAGCAGTCTTTACGCCGCAGAGGGCCAAGCCAGTCCGCTCATCACGTCGGAGGGGTTTTCCCATTCGTTCTCGTCTACATCGCCCTCTCAAGACGGCGATAACTCGACAAGCGGTTATTTCGCGTCACAGCCGGCCACGACGGCACCCCGTCGCGAACGCACATCAAGGTACTTGAGCGAGGAAGACCGCCGAGAGATCATCACGCGGATCGACGCGGGCGAGAAGCAGGTGACACTGGCGAGGGAGTTCTGCGTCAGCCGCGCCGCTATCTGCAACCTCTACAAGAACCGGTGGGAAGTTCTAACTCGCGGGAGTCGCAACCCCGAGTCAAAGCACCCCAAGAAGACGTGCAGCAGGAAGGCGAGCCCGCGGTTAACGTCCCAGACGACCACTGCAGAGCTGAACATTGCTGTGCCCAAACCTGAGCCGACGCCAGTGTACCCCGACGTGTCCACGATATCGATTCGTTCAGAGGAGAGCCCGCGTGATGACGAGGAGGGCTCGACCGTGTTCCTGTATCAATCCACGGGGGACGATGAAGACTCGACCCACAGTGGCAGCCACCCATCCGTGGTCCTTACCCAAGTCCACTCACCACAGAGTGGTCAATTCAAGCACCAGCATCAGGTGCGGTACCAGCAGAAGGAGGCCAACCAACCACCACGCGACCAGCGATCGCATTTCGAGGGGATCGTGGAGGACGTCGTGGTCTCCAGGCCATTCCTTGTCCACGAGGCCTCAGCATACTCGTACCCGTGCAGGAACCTGGTCGCCGCACTGCGGGACGAAAGTATCAGTACGGTAGTCTTCCAGCAGCGAGCAACGCGTTTGGTACGACTGGTGATCGAAGAGGCGCTCACCTGTTTGCCGCACGAGAACGTCGAGATCACAAACCAGTTCGGAGACGTTTGCCACGGAGCCAAACCACTGGATGAACGCGATATCTGCGCTATCTCCATGGAGGACAAGGGCATGGTTCTGCTTCGAGCCTTCTCCACGATCAGTCCGACATCACCTACGGGTGTGATGTCTATCGACACAAGAGCTACAGACGTCTCGCCGTCATTCGTACACGCCCAACTACCGCCCATTCACCCTCGTCAAGCCGTGCTACTCCTTGACATCGAGTGCGCCACAGGTGAGGAGGCGTGCGCTGTGCTACACCACCTCGTCCACGAAAAGCAGATAGCCGAGAAAAACATCTATCTCGTGACAGTCATCAGCTCCTTTGAGGGCCTTCAAAACGTGTTCCGCAACTTCCCAGGTGAGTCGGCCAGACGATTTACTTCCCATTGTGCGCTTCTTGGGACTCACATCTCCTGCTGTGTATTCATTCGTACAGGTGTGTCGCTCATAACTGCACAAGTAGATACTGTCGTAGACGTGAACAAACGCATCCGACCGGGCATTGGCAACTTCATGCAACGCTTCTGGAACGTCCAGGCGGACGTCACACCTTAGCCGCTACAAACTCACTTATAAGTCAACGAAGCGGTAGTGCATTCATGCTGCACTCCAACACCAACTGCCACCTCAGTTGGGCTCACTCTCTATTCGTCCACTACGAACCCTGCAATTTAAGAAGTTTACTGCAAACCGCATCGCTGTTGGTATGGCTTGTGTGTATGGCTGCCCTACTACTACTACACCTTTGCCCAGACTTAATAGTTGTCTAATCCGCATCCAAAGTTGTCAGCTTTTATTTTGGGTGGGAGCGAGGCACCCGAACTAAGGGGTACCACTCTCCTTAGGGTGCGTACTGCAGTTCCGCTGGAATAAAACGAGGGATGACTCTATCCACTGGAACCGACTCACCCGCTGGAACGAGCAATCCACTGTTTTGTGTTGCAGTGCGCGATTTTGCAGTGCGCGATTTTGCTGGATTGCTATTTTACACTGTCAAATATTATAAACAGAGTGTGCATTAGAAGCAAACGTATATTGAGTTGCGGAGGGGACAAAGTCGTATGCCCTTCTTACTGCAGGACTTGGCTCAAACTCCCTGTGAAAGTGTCGACCTGGATGACGGGTTTCCTTCCTACCACAGCGGCGACAGCTTCCATTCGATAACTCCGCCGCCGTGCCACGACACCCCCCCTTCGCTGTCTTCGGCATTGCCATCGCCTCCTCAAGCGGTGTGCCGCGGGCAGCCACAGAGACGCGCTTGTGAATGGAGTCCACCTACTCTCTAACGAAAAAATGACTTTGCAAAGGCGCCATCTGTTCAATCCGCTGGATCAATCCGCTGCCTACCCGAATTCGGGCGGATGAAATCCGCTGGAATATGCTCAAATTTCCGCTAGAATTGCATGCAGTACGCGCCAGCGGATCGGCCATTCCGCTGGAATTGGCCCCATTCCGCTGGAATTTTTTTGCGCAGTACGCACCCTTAGTGCAAGCAAAGTCGTCTAATCCCCAACCAAAGTTGTCGGAACTGACGAAAACCTGACGTGAAGTTCCCGCGCGCGCGAAGTTGACCAAGACTTCGTGCTTAGCGCGCTCACTCCTCAATCTACTCTGTCCATTCCCGCTGCTTGTTGCTTGAAGTGCTTGTTGATTGCAAGCTAAAATGCAAAGTGAGAGACTGCATGAAGCAGAAGCTCTTTGCTCTACAACCTAGCTCTACAGAGGCTGCATCTAATGGTTGGCTCTAACCAACACAACTACCAGAGTAAACTTGGAGTAATCGCTGCAGGCAACAAGTGCCAGAGTAATCCTGAATAATCACGACACTGCCCCCTAAGGATACGCTGGAGCTTCAACTTGGCCACTGACTCAATGTCCGGCGGCAGGTCGCTGGCCGAGAGCTGCGAACGCCGCTTGGAATGCTTCGTCTTCGCAGGTCTGGACGTAGGCAGCAACGGGCACAGGAACTTGAGCTGCCAAGCTCTCAAGGGATTCCCATGAGTCTTCTTCCTCTTACAGGCCCTCCCATGAGACGAGTAGCTGCCAAATACCATCGATATGACGGTGTTGTTTGATTCCTTCAATGCCGAGAACCATGCCTTGATTGCTAACATGAGCGAGCAGCTCTTCATCCACATCGAGGCTAGCATCGGCGTAGAACTTCAGACGTGAGCCGTGGACCGTGTACTGCTGGTTCGTGACAAGGTGTCGTATGTCGAACGAGTGAGGTGCGGTGTTGACCACCTCGAACGGACCGGCCCATCGGGCGAGAAGCTTGTCCACAGATGAGCGAGAGTGGATTCGCGACCAAAGGACGAAATCTCCTACGCTGAACTTGCACTCAACGCCCTTGGAGCGCGCCATGTTCTGCAGCCGGCGCTTCTCGCGCTGGTCGATCACCTCCCTGTGCATGGCTGCCAAACTGTCGCGCAAAGTTGCAAGTCGCTCCGCCGGCAATCCGTCCCAAGGCACCAGCATCTCAACCTTCTTGCCACGCTCTAGAAGGATTGGTTCAAACGGCGTTGGTCTTGACAGCCCAGTAGAGAGCTCGCTCGGCGACTTATCGTCTAACGACTGCACGGGCGTGTGGTTCAGGTTGCCTTGAACAAGAGGGAGTACGTAGACCCACTCACGAGTGCCCAGCTTGTACTTCATAAGCAGGACGCGAACAACTTGCAGTACATCGCGGTTCAGACGCTCAATTGTACTGTTAATCCACGGCGCGTAAGCTACCACAAGACTCTGTTCAATGTCCAGCGTTTTGCACACTTGGCGGATCATCTCACACTTGAAGTGACTGCCCTGGTCTGATACGAGCACAGAGGGGGGGAGGCAAAGCGCTTCCACCAGTCCAGCATTGCACTCGCAGCAACGGCACTCGTAGGCGAATCGCACGCTACAAGCTCACAAAAGTGAGTGAGGCCGTCTTTCAGTACCAACACATACTTGCACGCACCCATGCTGTCGCCCATGTACAAGTAGTCAACGTGTAGGAGCTCATTGCGTTCTTTGGCATCGTGCGTAGGACCCCACGGACGTGGAATAACGTTCTCACCTTTCACGTGCTTGCAGAGCAAACACCTACTCAAAAAGCGGCGGCACACTTGAGCCAGGTTCACGACCTCAAAGAGCTCAGTCACAGTCGTCATCATAGGCTCAATTCCACGGTGGCCCTGACTGCCACAATGCGCGACGATCAAGATGCGCTGTAGTAGCGCCACCTCCACCTCAGGAACCCAAACACGTTCTGCCACCATAAGCGTGCCATCACAGTCGTGTTGCGCGGTCGGTGGTGCAAGTCCAGCGTGCTTCCGCTGTGCATCCTGTATCTCGATCAGAGTAGGAAACACGAAGTCATCGGCGCGAAGGTGCAGTCGTTGCATTTGCTTGTCTGCCGCGGACGTCTCCCGGGCCCGACGGCGGGTAATGGCCTTGCACTTGGTCACACCACCTTCCTCTCCTGAAGGTAGACCCCACCGTGAAAGCAAGTCGGCCCACAAGTTGGCCTGACCATCGATGTGCTCAATCTGGTACGGAAGCCCCGTCAACGACATAGCCCAGCGCTGCAGCTGGCCACGTACGTGGCTCTTCACCTCTTGGTCCGGAGCGAACACGTAGATCAAATTTTTGTGGTCGCAGTAAAGGCGGAACCCGTTAGCCCGAACGAGCAAGTAGGTGAGGAGACGGGCGGCCCAAATAATGGGGAACGCCTCCTTCTCAATAATGCTCCAGCGCTTGGCAGTTGCGTCGAACTTGCCGCTTTTGCATACGAGCAGCTCGTGCTGCTGCTCTGTCACAGGCACGCCTTCAATCCAATCCCGGACTTGAGAGACGACCAGCCCCCAGCCACGATCGGAAGCGTCCGACATCACACAGATACTGGCCTCGGAAGACGGGAAGTGCAGCGTCTGCGCCGCCGCAAGGAGCTGGCGAGCATCAACGAAGGCGGCAACATCGTCGTCAGTCCACGTAATAGTAGCCCCAGCTGCCAGCCTCTTCGTACGCCCCACCACTTTCACCACTTCCTCCAGCTTGTCGTGCAACGGCTGCATGACTCGACTATAATCCATGAGTGAGTCTCTCATCCACCCCGTAGCACAAAGGAACTGCTGCAAGTCAGCAGCAGTAGCAGGAAGGGGCATCTCACGCAACCCACTGGGTCATGGCGAATGTCGGCACCACTAAAGATGCGACCACACCACTTGGCTTCCTTGCGAAAGAGAAAACTCCTCACAACATTCAACTTCAGGCGACGTTCCCGCACTCGAGTCAGGAATCGGCGCAGGGCAGCGACGAAGTCGCGAGGCGTGCGAGCGTAGAGAAGGATATCATCAATCCAAATCAATAACCCCACGTAGAGCATGTCCGCGAAGGCCACATTCATTTGATTCTGAAAATGCAGGGGTGAGCCAGCCGCTCCTTGCTGCACTCGACACGGCGTCCACACACCGTCGTCCGTAATGAAGCTCATGATCTCTTGACTATCATCGTCGAGCGGGAGCTGCGAGAAGCCACTGGGCATGTCAAATCCAGCAAACCCGTACGCGCCATCCACGTTCTCAGAGGACGACGTCAAGTCCGCACCCGTGCCAGCGATAGGAATAGTCAACACATTCACGGGCCGATAATCAATCGTGAGACGAAACTCGTTGGGCCTGCCTGCTTTCGGCACCGGCACAGCCGCGCAAGCCCACCGGCTCATATTGTTTCGACGAACAAACCCCATCTTCTCCAGGGTATGCACGTGCTCTGGCAAGACCGCACTCTGCGCTGCTCCATACCGCCGAGTCCGAGCACGAAATGGCTGGGCACCAGGCTGCAGCGTGATCCGCAGCGGCTCAACATCGGCAGGCGGGTCTGCCAGCAGATCGATGCGAAAAACATCCTCAAACTCGAGCACAGCTTCTCGTAGGAAACGCAGGTAGCCCTTGTCAAACCCATTGTCCCCCGCAGTTGCCACCATTTCCTCAAGCTTCGTCCGGATCTCAGACGGAGGAACCACTGCCGGGAGCCCCAGATCAAACGGGTCTTAATCACCAGCAGGAGGCCCAGCAGCAAGTTGTGATAGCTGCTCGTTGACGTCAATTCCCAGCGCCACTAGCGTGTCATTGCCCAGGATAAAATCTTCTTCACAACCCTCCATGACCTTGCAGGTCACCTCCGACTAGTGCACTGGCCAGCGCTAGGAAAAAAAAATATTGCTATTTTTGTACGGAATTATTAACTATTGTAATATATGAAGAAGCCATATTATTGATATCGACAGCAATATATCAGTAATATAATATTTGTCGGTTCGGTCTACGCGGACCGGTCAAAACGACAACTTGAGTGGCTCTGGAGAGGCAACAGCAAGCTTTCTCCACCGTACAACCAAGCTGTGCTTCGCGCACTCACTCTCTCATTTCCTATTCTCCCTGCTTGAGCCTCCACCGTTCTCCACGCTATGACTTCGACCACGAACCGCGACCTCTGTCGCTTCTTCTAAGCGGCGACAACTGACCACTACTACGCCTGCAACTACTGCGGCACGCGCCGCAAGCAGCTTCCCTCAAGTGACTACACCAACCTGCTCAGCCATCTCAAGGACAAGCACCCCAACTACGTCGAGGACTACGCAGCCCATCAGCTCAGCCAGGCTGGATCTCTCTCCGCCTTTGGCTTTGTCAACCCGATGGTGTGTATCTAATCTGTGCACTGTCTATAGTCGATTCCTCACAGTTTTTACGGTGTTGCATTCAATGCGTGTGTTGCATTCAAGCCGTGGTTTACGGTACTATGAAGGCGCTTGTCGAGGGCATGATTGGTGTCGACATGCAAGGGGTGTGCGGCGCCATGTACGACGGTTGGTCGTGCAGCTTAGAGCACTATGTTGCTCTATTTGGCGTGTTCTGCAAGAACGGGAAACTTGAGCAACCGCTCCTTGCTATTGAAGCAATGGGAGAGGGCGATCTGACGGCCCCAACACATTGCGCATTCATCACGCGCGTGTTCGAGAAATACAACCAATCACTGGAGAGCTTGGCGTTTTTGATTGGCGACAATTGCGCCACCAACCGAACAACTGCGACACGCCTCGAGGTCCCGCTGATTGGCTGTGCATCTCACCGCTTTAACTTGGCGGTGAACAAGTACCTGGAGGACTACACGGACGAGGTGAGCGCAGTGAGCGCGCTGATGCAAGTGTTGCGCACCATCAACAATCGCGCTGCGTTGAAGGACCAGACGAAGCTGTCGCCGCTGCGCCCGAACGTGACCCGTTGGGCTCAACCTTCAAGATGTTGGTGCGCTACGTTTGTATCCGGGACGATATCAAGCAAGTAGAGGCTGTCTTCGATCTCATCCCCAAGGCGGCAATGCACTAACGTATCAAGAGCCTTTTCGAGGACCTACGGATGTTCGACAGCGTCACCGTTGCACTCCAGTCCGACGACCTGTCACTCGCAGATGTGCGTGTGCTTTTAGACTCTATTGTTGAACGCTTCCCGCTGCTGAAGCCATAGCTCGGCCCCACGGCAAGCATCGTGCACTCTCCCAGCTTCGAGACGGCTGCTGTGAAGGTATGTTATTATTTTCAGTATTAATCATGTGCCTTTGGACACTACTAACGAACATGTTATTTGTCTGTAATATCCAGGTAATTAATGGGGAGCCAATGAGCGCAAGGCCATTCGTCATTTCGAGGTCTCAACAGCGCCAGCGGCCGTGGGAAGTAAGCGCAAGGAGAGGGACGAAAACGACGACGCGCAGAAGAAGAAGAACTTCGCGGCCGCCGTCCTGAAGACTAAGAAGATGAGCGCAGCGCAGGGTGGGCTATCGCTGTATTCGGAACTGCTGAAGAGGATGCCCCCTACGAGCAACCGCTGCGAGCGCCTGTTTTCTCAAGCCAAGTTGGTGATCACGCCACAGCGGTGGTCGTTGTTGCCTGAGAATTTGGAAATGTTGATGTTTTTACGTGCGAACAGGCACTACTGGGACATCAACACGGTCAACGACGTCTCCAACTGAGGGGCTCCTCGTAAGTGATTCCGCATTTGCGGAGGGCGATGTAAGGTATTGCAATACATTGAGTATTTTGCTGGCGATGCGGGATGAACCGAACGCAAAGTTAAAGTGCCAAAATGCCCGCTCACCTAGATACCATAAAAGGTGTTGGTTCATTTAGACAGCAGGACGGTGGCCATGGAAGTCGGAATCCGCTAAGGAGTGTGTAACAACTCACCTGCCGAATGAACTAGCCCTGAAAATGGATGGCCCCACCTTGCAGTCCCAGCACCCTGGTTTAGGTGGCGACACCTCCTTCTTGATCGAAGGATACTTTGCAGTGCCGCCAGCACCTCCGGCACTCTTAGTCGAGCTCACTGGTTTTGAGTTCCCAGGTTTGTTGCCTGGTTTGCTGCTACGGTCCAGCGCTTTCTCCTTCTTGGACGTCGGGCTGACCTTCTGCTCCTGAGCAAGCACATAGTACTTGTGCTGAGGGCGAGCCTTCTCCTTGATAATACCGAAGAGAGTGAAGTCATTGCGTTTGGCCTCGCGGCACTCGTACTTCACATGCCGGCGAACATCATCTCGAAGCATCTTCGGCTCCAAGTTGTCGATCAGCACCGTGCATCGGAGTTTAATGCGATCCTGATACCCGCTATCCGCAGGGTTACCTACTCCGAGGATTTGGCTCAACCCGTTCTCCTTAATGAGAGTTGCAAAGTCGCGGTAATACTTCAGCACTCTGGCGTCAATACCATCTTCACGAAGGTCAACCTTCAGCATCTACCGAAAGAAATCATCGAGGTCGGGAACTTGGGCGTTTTTCACGGACCGAAGATTGACATCTATCAATGCGACTAGTTCTTCACTTGTCGCATCGTCGACAGACTTGCGTAGCTCGTAGAGGCACAGTGCTTCGAGAAGCTCCGGCTCAATGCAGTTCTTGACCGAGCGTAGAGCAACTTCCACTCTCTCGCCGCTCTCCATACAGCGTTGGCGGACAATACCCACGTACTGATCCCACCTCCTCTTCCAGCTCACGACCGCATCCTGGCTCCAGTCGGCCAGTCTGGGCGCTTGAACAAACTCGAACACCGGCTGATGAACACTCTGCATGATGGCGTCCCCGTCGACTTCGTATCGAGCTTCACTGCTTTGCATCTTGTTGCGGTCCTTGAAGGACTAAAATATACTTTGTGTCAATTTCCGCTGCTTGTTGCTTGAAGTGCTTGTTGATTGCAAGCTAAAATGAAAAGTGAGAGACTGCATGAAGCAGAAGCTCTTTGCTCTACAACCTAGCTCTACAGAGGCTGCATCTAATGGTTGGCTCTAACCAACACAACTACCAGAGTAAACTTGGAGTAATCGCTGCAGGCAACAAGTGCCAGAGTAATCCTGAATAAACACCACATCTACCCAGCATCACGCGAGTGCTATAGGATCTGCTGGGACTGCGCTACAACGGCTTCAGTCATGAGCGACAACGTGATGCGCACCAACGAGAATGTCCGGCGGCGCGCTGCGCAGGAGCAATAACAACGGTGGCCGCAAGCGCTAGCAGCAGTATGACCGTACGCCACAGTACACAACGCGCATCAAGAGAACCATCCGCGTAGTGCTCTACATGCACTTTAGATAAATTCCTGAACACTGCTCATCAGCGACGACCAGCCGATGATGAAGACCGAGGCGCGCTTGCGCATTCTCGAACGCGCAGCTCATGTGAACATGGCCAAGATCACGCAGCGCATGATGCAGAGTATGGAGCTGCACGCGGCCAATTCGTCAACGCCGCAACTCGCAGCGAGGACATGGTGTACGGCGAGTAAGTGCAGGTGCAGAAGCCCATCGGTGCTTAGTTTGATGCTGTGCATGTGTAGCTTTTGGTCAGTGCCAACTTTGATTGGGAATTAGACGACTTTGCTTGCACTAACGAGAATGGTACACCTTAGTTCGGGTACCTCGCTCCCACCCAAAATAAAAGCTGATAACTTTGGATGCGGATTAGACAACTAAGTCTGGGCAAAGGTGTACATGCAGTAGCCGAAAACTTGGTTTACGACAGAGGGAATATTCAAGAACTCGCAGGAGGGCCATTCATTCACCCACGACCTGGCAGTTAGAGCTCCTTGAACTGGTGCACATGCATGCTTTCCAGACCGTTCTCGAGTAGCGGCAGCAACGCGCTAGCAAACGCTTTGTATTCCGGGTCCTCGCGGTGTTTCGCCAAGCTCTGTTTATCGGAGAAGAAAGACGTCGGTTAAGCCTTCCTCGGTATGAAACTAAAACAGAGGCGCACCACTAGCTACAGGATACGTACACTTTCTTGATCCAAACGCTCGACGATGGTCCACTTGCGGGGGTCGGCGATGTTCTGCATGGGGTGCCAGCCAACGACGTTAGCGTCCTTGGAGTACGTGTGCGCGGCGTCCGCCAGCTTGGCGCGCAGCTGCTCCTCGACGACCTTGCCAACCTTGGCGTAAAGTCCGACGATAACCGTGAAGACCATAGTTTTTGGTTAGGTGAGTGAGTGGAGCAGGGGAGTGTGGTTATTTGGGGAGTCGAAAGTGACTTCGAAAGTGAACGATGTGGGCGAGACCGCATTGAAGCTATTGTCGAGAGCCTAGGACGGCACGGCAAGATACACACGTAGGTAGGCCACTTCAACGTGACACCGATTACGCCGTCCAAATTGCCAGTGCGTGTTTTGACCGATTGGGAGGCAAACGGTTGTCGAAAGCTATGCGTGTGAAGACATGACGTGACGCTAGAAGGCAGTCGGTGGATTTTCGCATAACATTCGCCGCTCGGTTTCAATTGACGTCGATTTGCGTGTTCTACGACAGCTGTTGAAAGATTCATAGTGATGGCGAGACGCTAGATTGTAACCCACCGGCGACCGTTATCCCCGATTTTGCAGGGATAAGAAAAACCTCGGGGGAAAGTGCCGTTTCAAGCCATACGGCCGTGGCGACCTTTCGAGATCCCGCCGACTTGGTTCCGGCCAATCAAATTGCTTTGCGGATTTCGTGCGTGGTAGGTCCATTCGCGCGCGCGAACTCGTTCGCGCCTCGATTGGGTGTCACGCGTGGGTTTACGTTTGAAAGTGCAACATGAGCGCTAAATTTTAGCGTTTCAACCTAATGTAAATTTCTGAAAATTAGCGGGAGGTGGACCGCGCACTATCATAACCAGTAATGTGACCATAGCGTCGCTCGTGTATTAGACGCTCACAGGTCCATACCTTTTGGTGTATGCCTGCAAGTCTCGGTATGGGCTTGTCTTGGGTAGGCGTCGTGCTGTGGACAATGCTATCCATACTCCCAACAAGTACTTTACACGTCAGCATGTGGGCATGAGGATCATAGTAGTTCCCAGAAGTATAGCGATTACAGAGCGATGAGACTAGCACATGGGATCACCGGGAAGACGTCACACATGCGTAGAATATATCATGTGTATTCAGCTACCACAGCGGATTCTCCTTCGTTATCGGTATCTCTGCCGGCCTGTGCTCTCCAGCTGCTAATCCGGACTGTCATCGCTGCCTTGGCGCCCCCTCATGCTCTCCGATTCTCCTTCTTTTCTCCTTCTAGCATCACGAGCGTCATTATGAGTGTAGCACTGACGGTCTGTAGCATCTTGTCTTGGCCAAGAAAATACTATTCGATAACTGGGCGATGTTTTAGATGGTCTTGGATATTTCATACTCCCGCTGTCGTTGTACACTACAGAGGCTAATACTACCGGTCTATGATATTGAACGGGCTGAAGGCGAATATGCTGCGCCAACAACGTCTCCGCAACGCGCTGCTGTGAATCCTATCTTCTCAGCGCGGGGTTCACCTGATCCTACTAACGCGGTACTTCGCCCCTGGCAGGTTATTTGAGATGACGTCTCGACATGAAGAAAATGGAGATGTGTTTACATTGGTTTCTGTAGGAGCTTCGCGAAGAAACGTTGAGGCGTGACAGTATGTATCGGATTTTGTATGGTCAACCATGGCAACGTGGCTTCGCGGGTTCGTCAACACTGACATGTTTGTATAGTTCTTAGTATAGAGGTGTCATGGTTGATTCAGAGATGTCGATATTGACATGTTTATCTAGATTTTAGTATATCATGTCGCTATTGACTTTGATAAGTCAATATTGAGATTTTTTACTAGGTTTCAGTATATCAAGCAAACGGTTTGATATATTGCTCCGTTAATCGAATGTAAGCTAAACCTAGAATGAGCTCCGGTCGTTCGCCGATCTACGAGCCTCACTGGGAGCTACGACAGGCTGCCCATGTGGGGCTGGTCGAGGCCCGAAAGCGCGTTGTACATGTCCGGCTTCTGAGAGACCGCGGCCATGCCGTCCACGCAAGGCCTCTAGAGGGGCGCGGCCGTGCCGTCAGTGTCGAAGTTGTCGATCGCCACGAACGTGCGCTCCGTATCGAGCAGATCGGGGGCCGCGGGTCTGCCATCCGTACCGTGATGGTCTGTGTCCGCGAGTGTGCTGCTCGTGCAGGGCTGATCGGGGACCGCGGGCGTGCTGAACTAGACGAGGTCGTCGGCATGGCGTTGGTGCCGGGTATGTCGGGGGCAGTCGGCATGGCGTCGGTGCCGGGCATGTTGGGGGATGTCGGCATGGAGTCGGTGACGGGCATGTCGGGGGCAGTCGGCATGGTGTCAGTGACGGGCATGTCCGGGCCCGCGATCATGCCGCCCCAGTAGACAGCAGCAATTTGAGTTCGGCAGAGGTCGGATTGAGAGGACGCAGGTAGCCGGGCGCGATCACGACATTGTAGGCGCTTGAGTGCTTGTCAGCAGTTTTAGAAATGAGCTTTCGATGCGGGGCGGCGGCGAGCTTTGGTTCCGTTCATATGCTCACGAAAACGCCTCTAGATTCCGTACCCAGGGGGGAAATTGTAAGCAAATCTATTGGTTATTTCAGGAGTAATTGACGATCATTGGTGGAATCGTTTGAATACGTGCGATGATTGGTGGAATTGCTTGATGGCAGCAGGAACCGCCCAAGCAGGATGGCGCGAAAGGTGATGAAGATGTGCACGTTGAAGCTTTGCGCGTTGAAGTGATAGCGTGACGTGCATAGCGTAGCTTAAGTGTGGAAGTCGTTAATGGCAGTAGTGCCACAAACTAAATTCTCCCGCATTTTGCTACCCTACAAGATGAGTTCATTTTGGCCGTAGTAGCGGTCACCGGCGGCACGAAATCACAGCGGCCTGACGTCTTAGCTTTAGGACCGCTCTCACACCCATGTAGAAGATGTAGTAAGTGTATTCTAGGCCGCGGCGCCGGCTCCCCTCATGTCAGTGGCGCTGCCGGCGCCGCGATTCCTTCCTTTTTGCTACCTTACATAAGTACCCGGCCGAGGTGTCGGACACCGGCGGCATGAAATCCTAGCCGCCGGCTTAAGTAGCTGTAGAGCCTAGCTAAACACCAAGCAAAGGATGCAATGGAACTATTCTAGGCCGCAGCGCTGGCCTCGCTCGTGTTGGCGGCGCTGCCGGCACGGCGATCACTACTTTTTTGCTACCTTACAAAAGTACCCATTTCGACCGAGGTGCCGGACACCGGCGGCATGAAATCCTATCAACCGGCCTAAGTAGCGCGGCGCCGGCAGCGCCACTGACATGAGGGGAGCCGGCGCCGCGGCCTAGAATACACTTACTACATCTTCTACATGGGTGTGAGAGCGGTCCTAAAGCTAAGACGTCAGGCCGCTGTGATTTCGTGCCGCCGGTGACCGCTACTACGGCCAAAATGAACTCATCTTGTAGGGTAGCAAAATGCGGGAGAATTTAGTTTGTGGCACTACTGCCATTAACGACTTCCACACTTAAGCTACGCTATGCACGTCACGCTATCACTTCAACGCGCAAAGCTTCAACGTGCACATCTTCATCACCTTTCGCGCCATCCTGCTTGGGCGGTTCCTGCTGCCATCAAGCAATTCCACCAATCATCGCACGTATTCAAACGATTCCACCAATGATCGTCAATTACTCCTGAAATAACCAATAGATTTGCTTACAATTTCCCCCCTGGGTACGGAATCTAGAGGCGTTTTCGTGAGCATATGAACGGAACCAAAGCTCGCCGCCGCCCCGCATCGAAAGCTCATTTCTAAAACTGCTGACAAGCACTCAAGCGCCTACAATGTCGTGATCGCGCCCGGCTACCTGCGTCCTCTCAATCCGACCTCTGCCGAACTCAAATTGCTGCTGTCTACTGGGGCGGCATGATCGCGGGCCCGGACATGCCCGTCACTGACACCATGCCGACTGCCCCCGACATACCCGGCACCAACGCCATGCCGACGACCTCGTCTAGTTCAGCACGCCCGCGGTCCCCGATCAGCCCTGCACGAGCAGCACACTCGCGGACACAGACCATCACGGTACGGATGGCAGACCCGCGGCCCCCGATCTGCTCGATACGGAGCGCACGTTCGTGGCGATCGACAACTTCGACACTGACGGCACGGCCGCGCCCCTCTAGAGGCCTTGCGTGGACGGCATGGCCGCGGTCTCTCAGAAGCCGGACATGTACAACGCGCTTTCGGGCCTCGACCAGCCCCACATGGGCAGCCTGTCGTAGCTCCCAGTGAGGCTCGTAGATCGGCGAACGACCGGAGCTCATTCTAGGTTTAGCTTACATTCGATTAACGGAGCAATATATCAAACCGTTTGCTTGATATACTGAAACCTAGTAAAAAATCTCAATATTGACTTATCAAAGTCAATAGCGACATGATATACTAAAATCTAGATAAACATGTCAATATCGACATCTCTGAATCAACCATGACACCTCTAAACTAAGAACTATACAAACATGTCAGTGTTGACGAGCCCGCGAAGCCACGTTGCCATGGTTGACCATACAAAATCCGATACATACTGTCACATGGCCACAATCACCATTGCTTCGTGATATCATACTGAAATCCACAGATGCACGCTCATTCGGCAGAGTAGCCATATCATCGGAGCACCATTGATGTTCTTGTCGTCACGTAGGTCTCGCAGGGAACAGAGATACCGAGTAGTAAACTAGTCCAAGCTTTTGATAGCGTGTTACCTTCGGTTCGGCATGTTTTGAAATCCACTTCAGCATGAAAGCGGCGCTCTCTAGCTCGTCTACCCGCCTCCAACGCATCCATCTACTTACGTTGGAGCTACGAATTTGGAAGGCGTCGAACTTGCATTTGGCGTGGAGCTACCCAAGCGGGCAAGATATCGTGTTGGCAAACATCAAGAGTTACAGTAGCCTGCCATCGAGAGCGGAAGCATGAATCAACGCGCTGTGCAGGAATGGCAGAGGTGGATCGATGCACGCCATATTTCAAGCCGCATCACGGACTCAGTGACTTCCTCACGTGCAGTACGTCTTCCTCATCTTCGAACGGTCTTGTACGGCCACGGCTTCACCCGCAGGATACAATAACACTCTAGATACTGAACGGGTTGCTTATTGACCAGGATTCTGGGTATTATATCTCTCACGCTGACAGACTATCACGGCAGGCTTGCTGCCTCAGCGTCCGTATGCTCGCGAGGGACCGTCCCCGCCGCTGCCACACAGGGTCATTCCGAGCATATTAAAATACGACGATACCAAATGTGAGTCTATCAAGTACTCTGCTCACGTATCACAACATTCTGGTTTGGATTCTCTACATATGGCAAGTTGCCACTTTAGTAGAGAGTGAGCAGTTTAGTAGAGCGTCACGTCGACCAATGAACAGACAATATTTCGCGTATAGCTTCCATGATTGGTTGATAATATAATTATTCAAGGTACAAGGGAGCAAACAGCTGGTATTTCAATACAAACTAACTGCTAAAATCTCTACTAAACTGGCACAACCTCGAATTCGAGATGGCTTAGTAGCTTGCGTTAAATATGCTGAATATTGCATGGATTTAGTTAGCTGGTATCGTCTCTGATTGTTGAAATCTTGAGCTACAATTTCATACCTCACTCAGTACCTTGCGGTCAGTATTACAAGCAGGGGCGGTTGGCTAAAAGTTGCCATCGAAAATTCTACTAAAGTGGCAACTTGCCTTATGGGGATATCTCGAATTTTAGGGAAAAATAGACCAAGGTTTTTTTCAGTTGAGTCTTGAACCAGCTCATTATTACGCACATAGCCGACATTTGATTGGATAACTCTGACCAATGAGATTGAAACCTAATGGAACCCAAAGGGTCGGCACCGGCCGCTGGGGACCTCGCTTACCCACCCCACAATTATACAAATTTCCATATTAATCTTATCCCTGCAAAATCAGGATAAGAGCGGTCGCCGGTGGATTAATACATATAGCTATCGAGAGCATTACGTTCGCGATGACCAGCTACTCCAGATGTCTTCCTAGAGAAAAGAGAACAGCTCCACCACGAGGGACAAGACTAGGTGAGTGGGTCGAGTCTGCCTCGAACATAAAACCACTTGGTGTTGGAGATTTTGTTTTTTATCCGCGGATTCTTCCAAGTTTAGACAACATTTTTTACCAGCTGATTGTTTTAAGTCCAGATGTTCTACCTATGATAGTTGTAAGTTACGAAGATACGCTTGTTAACCCTTAACTTGAGATCCTGGACAAAGTCGTGTTGTGTACAACCCGCACAAATGTATGTGCCCTCGATATGCTCCAGTAGAACAGCACGACTTTTCGTTATTCCAAATCCACAGATAATTATTCCATCATGAGATGCTCCAACAACTAAGTTTGCTACTCAATAATATCTATGTTTGTACGGTTTACTGAGTATATGGTTGTCCTGCTCTACTACAAACAGTAGTCCAAACTCCATGGACGTCAAAGGTAATCTGCAAGAACTCGCAAGAGGGCCATTCATTCACCCACGACCTGGCAGTCAGAGCTCCTTGAACTGGTGCTTTCCAGGCAGTTCTCGAGTAGCGGCAGCAATGCGCTAACAAACGCCTTGTATTCCGGGTCCTCGCGGCGCTTCGCCAAGTGTTCGCACGTGGCCCTCTGCCAGGCCGCCGTGCCACTGAAGTCCCGGGTGCTCTCCGCTGAGCAAATCTTAAACTGACTGTATTTAGTGAAGTCACTGGCTGGCGTAGCGGCCAGCTGCTCTTGTTTCGTCAACATGTAAAGTATTCGGTTGAACTACCGGTGGGTTGAACTACCGTTGGGAGGATCCCAGCGGATCACTTCCCCCCCAAACGTGGAGGACTTGTGTTACTCGGTAGCAACTCGCTGTCGCGACCGGCGCCCAGCAGCACGCTGGCGTGGCAGTGTCGGTGCGACGGAATCATGAGTGGTAGGTCGCGTGAGGGTGCGGGCCATGGCTAAACGAAGCGGATCATCCGGCACCGCATCCACGAAGGCTTGGAACAGCTGCGGGACATCCTGCTTGATACTGTCCGCTGGCTTCCATGAACTCTCAACATCGTCGAGGCCGTACCACTTCACAAAGATCTCATACCGGTGCATGGCTGGACTCAGCCGGCAGTCGCGAATCGCTTCAACGAGATGGCCACCTTCACCGTAGATCGCCTGCTCTTGTAATTCGTCGACTTGTCCACGACCAGCGTCACGATACAGTTGTAGACGAGAGGGGTGGCGTACGGACACCTCAAACGGCTGCACGATGTCTTGGACTTCAAACTTGAAGTCGTTCAGCGCGCGAAGAATGCGTTTGGGGCCTCGCCACACCAACGCGAGTTTATTGCCGGTGCGCCCCGTAGCCGTCGCGGCGAGCACAAAAGCGCCCTCGCTAAACTTTTGCAGCCTGACCCATTGGCGGCGGGCGTGTCGTTCCCTCGCGGCGCGTCGTCGCTTCTCGCTAGCGTCGGCCATCTCGGCGTGTAGTCCGTCCGATGCCACTCGGACGTGGTCTAGATGTGCATGTATCTCTTTCTCAACCCAATGAAGGGAAGCGTCCTCAGCCTCGCGCGGATGGAGGATGCTCGTCAACTGGTTACCACCGGGTAATGCAGTAAACGCCGTGATCGGGGTGTCGTGTAGGAACACGCACTAAATTATATAATAGCACACTTTCCCCATCAACAACACCCACCAAGACCCGATGACGCAATGGGCTTGGTAGGGTTAGAACCTGAAGGCTCAGGAACTTTCCGGGTTGATATTTCCTCTGTGCACCGTGTTTCCGCTTAGTCAACTGACGAAAACCCCAGCGTCACCAGCCACGAGCAAAGGCTGGCACGCTCTCACACACAATATAAACCTCGCAGGCCCTCAGGAAGGAAGGGTCCCAGACAGTCACGGCTTGATACGAGGGTGCCGGAGCTATACTCCGGCGGGAAGGATAAATGGAGTGCGCTCTCGCTCCTCCACTACACGGCGATGACTCGCCCTTCGTATACACGGCCACCTCTTTTCTTCTCTTGGCCTGACCACGGGTAAACGCACGCTACGATACTAGCAGGCGCGTCCACCGACAGTCATAATCCTACCAACAGGTTTATCCAATTGCTACGGGAACTCACCGATAGCCCGGACGTCTTCCTTGAGTGGTTGGGAGGAAAAGCTGTTATGTTATTGTTGCCCAAAGGGCTTATCTGTTCTATCTTCTCTTTCCTATGGTTCAATACAAATATCTAGTATAAACGCGTCCGTTTTGGATCTTCCCAAGTAACCACCCGACTCTTCAGAACTCTCTTGAAGGCTCGGACGGCCTCCCGATGCTCGAAGAGTCGCCTTAGGTGCGGAACCCAGGCCAAAGTTCGCCGTAGGTTCGGGTCGTCCTTGAAGTCCCGGTGTTGTGTGGACACACCACGGCTTGAGCTTGAGTGTCGACGAGTCATCGTCATCTGTCCAGACTGGCCAATCCGCGGCCGCCGAACACCATCGAACGAATGGCGATGTGCCTCGATCCGCCAGTTGAGTTGACGCCGAATGCCGCGGGGCTTGCCGTGAGCTTCACTCAACTTTCTCGACACCACAGGGGTCTTACCACCAAGACGATCAGCGGGCATACTGTTCAGCGCTGCTTGGACGATCGGGAGCAGGATGGGCCAATCTCGGATGGCCAGTCTGTGCTCACTGAGGAGCGCCTTCATGCACTTCAGGATCTCGCGATTAACCACCTCAACCGTTCCATTCGCCCATGGCGTGTAGGCGGTCAAGAAGTGATGTTGCGCGCCAAGCGCACGCTGCAGCCTGTCAATGATCTGGTTTCTGAAGTGCGCCCCTTGGTCTAAAACCCATTGGTGCACTACTCCAAATCGTTTAAACCAGTCGATCAGCGCCTGGTAGGCGTTGTCTGCCGTGGTTTGGAGGCAGGCAACCAGCTCCACGTATATGCTCATCCCATCTTTCAGCACCGGGACGTATTTTACGCCGCCTTCACCTTCGACCATGGTCAGGTAGTCAAAGTGAAGAACCTCGTTGGGCTTTGTAGCTCGCAGCGTTTCACCATACGGACGGGGAATGCGGCCACCTGCAGTCACCATACAGTGTAGGCATCCACTCACGAACGCGGCGACGTCTGCCGCGAGCGTCTTCCAGTAGAATACCGCCTCAAGGGCTCGTTGGGTCGTCAGAGCACCTCGATGTCCACTTGCGCCGGCATGTGCAATCACGCACAATCGCTGCTGAAGATCTTCCGCAGCAGCAGGAATCCAAATCTGGCCAGTCGTCGTTACCAGAAGCTGACGCTCGGCGACATGCTGCGAGCCCTCAAGGTCGCGACCGGCGGCACGTGCCTGTTCCTGACTTGCCCTGATCTCACGCTCCGATGGCCATACAAACTCAGGGTCCTCTAGTGGCGATACTCGCTCCACCACGGCCAAACGCGCTACCCTCGTTGCACGGTTCTCGTCCGCCCAAAGTAGGCCCGCGCCCCAACGGCTGAGCAAATCGCCCCAGACGTTCACCTCACCAGGTACATGCTCGATGATGACATCAGCGAAAGTGCCCACCGCTGCAATTTATCAGCCTGATATCTCGCCATGGTGCCATCAGTAGCATACGGGTTGAAGATGTATACGAGGTTTCGATGGTCGGTATACAGTCGAAAGCCACGCGGTCGGAGCAATAGATACTCCAGGCGGCGTTTCGCTTCAACAATCGCGTAGGCCTCCTTTTCGATCGTCGACCAGCGACTTGCAGCACCCACGAAACGTCTACTCAAAAAGGCTAGCGGGCTATGGTTCTGCATGTCGAGCGGGAGATGTGCCTCGTCAGGTGGGAGCTGCGTCACAGCGGCACCCCAGTAATCCTGACTAGCATCCGTGTACAAACAGACGTCCACTGTTAGGCTCGGATGCGCGAGTGGCACCATCTTCAGCAATGCAGCACGCACAGCTTCAAAACTTGCAGTCTCCTTGTCTCCCCGCGCCACTTCTTCGAGGCGCACCTTCGCCAACTGATTCTTCTTTCGTGAGCCTGCGACCTGTGCCGCGCGGTCCAGTACTTCATAGAGGGCTGCCGAAATGCGCGAATACTCCGGAATACTTTGGCGCATCCAATTTGCTGCGCAAACGAATTGCTTCAGGTCTCCAGCCGTACGGGGCGGCTGCATCTTTGCTAGCCCCTGGACTCTCTCCGGACAGTGCTTGACGCCGTCGGCGGAGATGATTCTGCCGCACCATTTGACCTCGGTGGAGAAGACTGTGCACTTCTTGGCATGGAGTTTTAAACCATACTGTTCACAGCGTGCGAGTACCTTGTCCAGCACTTCGAGCAGGGCTTCCTCGGACTCTGCGTACCCGAGAATGTCGTCTAACCAGGCCAGCATGCACTCCCCTAGCAGGTCTCCGAAGATCTCTTCAACGACTCCCTGACAGTACGCAACAGCGTCTGTGGCGCCCATCGGCACTCGCGTCGGGGTGTAGATTCCGCGATGAGTCACAAAGGAGTAGAACTCCTGGGAGTCCGGGTGCAGAGGCAGTTGCCAATAGCCTCGGAACCAATCCAACACAAAAAGAACTTTGCCCCTTCCAACTCGCCTATGACCACATCGAGTACTGGCATGGGCCAGGGCATCGGCACCGTCCTCTCGTTCACACTTCGCGTATCAATTGTCATCCGAGGGTCGGCGTTCGGGTCGATGTCCTGCTCCTTCTTACGCACAATCCTTGGCGCCGAGGCCCAGCGACTGCGATGATTCTTAAAGATGAGGCCGTTCTCGATCAAGGCACGCGTATGCCTGTCGAGGAAGTCACGATCGGTAGGAGAGTAGCGACGCGGCTGCGCTCGAACGGGCTGCGCTCCTTGTTTAAGGCGGACCTGCATCGGTGCTACGCTCACAGGTGGGTCGTTGCCGAACTCCACGCGAAAAGTATCGGCGCGCACGCGAAGTATCGAGGTCAGTTTTGCAGTCCCATCCAGTGTCAACCCCATTTTCGCTGCAACCTCGATTTTCTTCTCGAGATATTGGATGACTTCGGCCAAATTCGTGGGATTCATGACAGGCGTCGTCGTGCGGGTCTCGTGTCGCTCCACCTTCTCTTCTTCGTCTGCAGTCCGCGGGTTCACCTGGAGCATGCGCATCTTCTGCGTCGTCGTCGGCGCCTTGACTCCCTTCGCAACGCTCGAGTGGCTACCCCCGAGCTCCCAGTCAGAGCTTACGCTCCGCGCCTCCACTAATAACTTGTCGGTTGAGTAACCGAGGAGTTACATTACGGGACGCCCGACGATGACCTCCATGCTCAGGTTGTCTTCTTCCACATAGAACGACAAATTCCGCAGCATCAGCGGCCCCGCTGATGTAGTCAAGATGATTTCTCGGAAGGTGACCGCACGGGCCACGCCAATAGTGCCTTTGCCGGCGGGTGAGAGCGTCACGGCCACCACCGGGCTTATACTCAGCACCTTGCCCATGTTCTCCAAAGCTTCAAGAACGCCCCGGGCAACGAGCGACGTGTCTGCTCCGGTGTCTAGCATGAGGGTAGTGACAGCAACCCCATCAACAGCAGCTACGACCGAGCCACGATCGTCAGCCTCCGATCGCCTAGCGGTGTCTTCGACGCCAAACTTGCGGATGCCTGCCTCCCGCCGTGCCTCTCGACGCTCGCGGAGCTCCCGTAGCAGCCTAGCAGCCTCTTCCGGCCCACAGCGAGGGCACTCGCGCACTTGATGTTCACTTGAGTGACATTTTAGGCAAGAGCCTCTTGCGGGTCGATGGTCACTTGTCGCTGCCGGGGGTGCCGCACTTGTGCCCGCGGTCGATGGTGCGGAGGTTGCCTCACCTCCGCGTCCACCCCGGCCGCCACCAGAGTCTTGACCTCGTCCGCCTCGCCCTCGCCGACCAGACTGGTGTCCGCGGCCTCCATTTCCTCCGCGACTAGTGTTGGCGTCCCGGCTGGCGGTAGGCGGTTGCGAGCGTTGGACCGTTGCTTCCCGCGGCACAATGTGCTCCCAGGTCATAAACTCTCGCAGCAGCTGGGTCACCCACGCGCAGAAAGGAACCACCTTGTTCTTGTACTGCTTGTTTTGCTGCAACGTCAGCTTCGTCGCGACCACAGCTTTGAAGCTTGGAGGAGCTTATGCATCGGCGAGGTACCTTACCAGCCGACGCTGCTCATGCTCAAATGCCGTATCCGTCAAGTTGAACTTATCCAGAATACTCTCCAGATCCGCCTGCAAATTCATCATCCTGCTCTCGGGTTCTGGCCACGCTGTCTTCATCTCCAGCTGTTTCATAGCGACATCCACCGCCGCATAGTCAACCAGGGAGAGAACCTTAGCCTGCAAGAAGTAGTTGATCCACGGCTGCTCCGTGATCAGGTCCGGCGAGGTATTGAACTCGTACCGCGCTATCATTCGTTTTGTTCTCGACGCGATGCAAGCGGCCACAGGCATCGCGAATGCTCCGCCGTATGGCGTCTGCAGAGCATTTACAGCCGCTAAGTAGGTCTCGTACTTCTGCATAAAGTCACACCGATCCTGCATCGTGCGGCCGGCAAACCTCGGTGGCTGCGGTAGCGCAGGAGCTGCGGCGACACGTCGTTGAGTCGGCAGCTGCGCCGCTCCGGGGCTTGCTGTCGGCATCTCCACATCGTCGTTCACGCCGTCCATAGCGTCGAAAGGGTTGGGGATACGAATAATCAGTCCTGGGGAGCCGGGCACAGGCGAAGCCGCGCTCTCCAACCGCATCGCAGCCGTCCGTGCCGCCAGCTCGTCGTCTACAGCGTCTGCCTTGTGCTCACCGACGCCGGCGTGCTCATGACCCCCCCCCCCCCCGGCATTGTGAGCGCCGCGTTCTTCGCCACTCCTCTCTGCACCGCCACGATTCTCTTCATCATGCTCCATGGTGTCACGCGCTTGAGCTCGCGCGGAGTCGGATTGTCTTGGAACTTTAGTAATTGACTAAAGTTAACTTTGTTCGCACGTGGTCCTCTGCCAGGCCGCCGTACCACTGAAGTCCCGGGTGCTCTCTGCTGAGCAAATCTTAAACTGACTGTATTTAGTGAAGTCTCTGGCTGGCGTAGCGGCCAGCTGCTCTTGTTTCGTCAACATGTAAAGTATTCGGTTGAGCTACCGGTGGGTTGAACTACCGTTGGGAGGATCCCAGCGGATCACCAAGCTCTATTTATCGGAGAAGAAAGACGTCGGTTAAGCCTTCCTCAATATGAAACTAAAACAGAGGCGCACAGCTAGCTATAGCACCAGATTAACATAAATCTGAACCAACTTCTACGTTTCATCCATACGACCCCAAGATTTCGGAGCTTCAACAACACAACTCGCACGAAACGGATTACCAAGAATCGCCTACTGCGTGCCCAGCGCAAACGGGATTAAAATGCCAGATTGAAGTGACGTACGTATCCAAAGCGACAGGGCACGCCACGCCACGCCTCGGCAGCGATGGTCGTAGACCGAGTATATCCATCGCCGTCTGATACAAGCCTGCGTCTCGCTCGCTCACTTTCGAATTTCCCCTCGAATCACCAAGCAACACCCCACCCCCACTCCACCCCACCTCTCTCTCCACCACTCCAGAAACCATGGTCTTCACGATTGTTGTCAACCTGTACGCCAAGGACGGCAAGGATGGCGAGGAGCAGCTCTGGCCGAGGCCTCGCAGACATATTCCCAGGACGCCAGCGTCCTCGGCTGGCACTCCATGCAGAACACGAGCGACCCGCGCAAGTGGACCATCGTCGAGCGCTACGACCAGGAGAGCGTACGTACACTGCTTACTTGACCATTCTTCCGCGCTCGTTCGTTGAGGCATGCTGCTGCACTAGTGCTTTACCGGGGTGTCGGTCGGCTGATGCTTGTTGGTTTGTGTATCATGGGAGTACTGATCTTGTTGCTTGTGTGTGTGAACTATTGCCTTGTGCGCGAGTAGAGCGTGGCAAAGCACCGCGAACACGCGGACTACAAGACGCTCGCGGACGCCTTGGTGGCGCTACTGGAGAAGGGCCAGGAGAGCCTGGACGTGCACCAGTTCCAGGAGCTGTAGATGGCGTTTGGCACAGCTCTCGGATAGCGGCGACAAGTTGACTGATGAAGAAGGTATCAGGAGAACCTTGGGGCCGCTGAACCGTGGATCTGCCGCATACACATCTCACCCTCCAGCTAAGCGTGAATGTCTCCGTTAAAAATCTGATTAAAAAACGATAGCAAACATTGCTGAGTCGAGTTTGAGTCGGGACAGAGAAACCCGTTTGTCTGAAATGTTTGGAAACCAGCGTATTACTCAAGTATTAAGAGTGGCGTATTCTTGAAACGTTCACTCGACGTGCACGGGCTTGCTCGTGTCCAGCTCGTTGAACTGGAAGATCTCCAGCGGCTGGTCCAGAAGAGCTCCCATGTAGACGCCGAACTCGGCGTAATACGGGTTCGCCTGGTGGATCTTGAGGCTCTGCTCAAACACCATCACCATTAACAACAACAGCGACAACAACTTTAGCAACTCCGTAATGGAACAAGTATACAGCGAACGTCACTATCTGCACAACGTACGCTCTGGCGCTCGTAGCGCTCGACGATGGTCCACTTGCGGGTGTCGACGTGGTCCTGCATGACGTGCCAGCCGATGACCTCAGCGTCCTTCATGTACGTCTGCGAGGCCTCGATGAGCTTGCTGCGGACCTTCTCTTCGACGTCCTTGCCTTCCTTGGCGTGCAGGTGGACAACGAGCGTGTAGACCTGCTTCGACGGGTGCTTGGTGCTTGGCAGCAAATTGCAGAATGACGAAAGCAAACGTGGGTGAACTGCGCTGCAGATACGCATACAATCTTGTTTACGTCGTGCAATCGCCACATCAACTGCAGGTGTAATGACAACTACAGAGCAGTGTCGACGAACACCACAGTGCAAGCAAAAAGTAGTGTCGGCACCGTGGCTTGCCTGTAAATTACAGGCCCAGTCGCCTGGCCAATTCTCCTTACGGTTTGCTTGTGTACAACGTGCGTGTCGACTGCTGAAGTGGTAAGATATCGACGGCGCCGCGGGGAGCGACAGCACTGTTGCTCCTGGTTGTGGGTCTGTACACGCACAGCCAATAGACAGCCACACTCCTCGGACTGCTCAAACTGACTGCCATCTCCTCAGCATCCAGATAAGCACTGAGAGCTACAACCCAACACCGACATTGCTCCTCAAACGTACGTGATATTCATCTTTTTATACGGGCAGCAGCGTTGCTGCTCTCATACGCTCGCGGACGCACACGACAGACACTAGAACTCCACTAAGAGACCCCCAAGGCGCCAGCGACTGCACCAACAAAGGCTTGACCAAACGACCGCGAAGACTCCTCTCACCGCAAACACCGAACAGACTCGCGCTTGGTTGACTTGGCGACCAGCTCCGCGGCCCCTCGACCTCGTTACTGCTCAGCACAGCGCGCTGACGCCTCGGAGACCACCTGCTACGCATCCGAAGGCGGGCGCTTACTCGACGTGCACGGGCTTGCTCGTGTCCAGCTCGTTGAAGCGGCGCAGGTCCATGGGCTTGTCGAGCAGCGGGATGACATACGGGTCGAAGGTCTTCCAGTACGGGTTGCCCAGGTGGTACTTCTGGCTGCTCTCGTGCTCGTAGCGCTCGACGATGCACCACTTGCGCGGGTCCTGGTGGTCCTGCATCACGTGCCAGCCGATGGTCTCGATGTCCTTGGAGTACACCTGCGAGGCCTCGATAAGCTTGTTGCGCAGCTTCTCCTCGACCTCCTTGCCCTCCTTGGCGTACAGGTGAACGACGATCGTGTAGACCATTGTGGTAGTAGTTGGGTGGTTGCTTGTGAACTTGACAGGAAAATGAAAAGTGAGATCTCGAGGGCGGCGGAAAGTCTCGCTCGGCTCGCTCGCTCGGACGTGGCGCTCGGCTCGGCTGCGTGTGCCATGGGTCTCGGCAGTGCCTGCAACGTCATTGAAGTAGGCGTGGAGCATCACGGATACGCAAAGGTATCCGGTTCACATCGGAGCGGTCTATCATGGAGTTAACTTCAGACTTGAACTTTGAACGCCCTCGCTAACCTGAATCCTTCAATATGCGATAACCATGCTTGTGATTGCTATAGTGTCTAGTCAGTACGTGCCGTGGTGATGCTTCTACAACCTGAACATCTGCTTAATCGAATAGAACCCTGATATACAGTATTACAGGCAGTTCTAAATTCTAAATCGGAGTGGATTTGCGCTTGAATCACCTTGACCTCCACACGCCAAGCAGCTGGCCCCAGCCTGTGGGTCAGCAGGTCGTGCCACGCAGCGAGCGATACCGGTACATGCATTGACCAGGAGTGGCCGGTCAGTTCGCTTCCTTCGATGCGGTGTCAGCCTCGCCCAGGAGGGCTGGCCTCTGGGAGTCGGTTGAGTTGACGAGGGAACGCAGAAACTCGCCGTGGTGCACGTACACGTGCAACTCAGTGCCAGCACTGCGGATGCAGCTCTCTGCTGGCAGATCGTCTGAGTCACGGGTTGAAGTTGTCGTGGTCCTCCTTTCTCTGTCGACCATCGAGCCACTCGCCCAATGTTACCACAGGCAGAGATGAGGCACAATTTGTGCCGTACAAATTCGGTCGCGATCTCGAGGAGGCGCCAGTGTCGGAGCAGCTACACTAGTGGTTCTCACGGTTGGTAGATTTGCAGGTTGCAGGTAAATCTAACCAATCAGCGTAAACCTGCAGGTGTGTTCAGAAAGTGCATTGCAGGTTAGCCAGCATACTTTGTGACTTGCTGCAGGTTTGACTGCAGGTTTGCAGGTAAATCCTATTGGCTGATGAAACCTGCGGACCTTCCGTGAGAACCACTACTGTACTGTACCGGTAGCAGTGCTATCATAACCTTGCACCAGGCGTGATTGTTCGCTACGTTGGTACGAATCGCACCGCACTGCGATCAGTAAAGGCTAACTGATTGATACGTACGTGTACATGTACATTTTTGTTGAGACTTCTATTGTGGAAACCGATTAGATTGCCCGAGCGGATTAGCTGATAAAGCAGCGTCCATGAGAGATTTGACTGGTACTAAATCGGGGATCCTTATGATTTCATATGGCATTGGTAAGGGTATAAATCGGTGTAAGGTTAATAAAATGGGGGTTGCCTCATTACCCGCCAGAAATACGACGAGCGACCACTTACCGCCACGAGCTGAGTGATTCGCGTACCTACTAACGAGAAATAGCATCGCGTGCATTAAATACGCTTCTGTGAGATTCGATGTGTACTGCATTCTATTTATCAAGTTCTGAAGTCATGTATTTGCGCTGTCATTTCTCGTCAGCATTAGCGTTTGTCGGTTTTACGTTAAATCGGCCACCGAATGCCGGGGTGTCGGACATTCGGGCTGATTAGCATGCAAATCAGCTGTCCCGGGCTTTGTAAGCCGTGGAGCAGCTAAATCAGCTTGCCACATGGCGTTGTAGGCACAACTGACCGCTCTGTCAAATCAGAGTACAAATCTTAGTCTGTCGATCTAATTAGGAGGTCGGATTTAGCAAATCAGACCCGATTAAGCTTAATCATCTGCTTAATCAACCGATTTATATCCCAATTAGACAATCTAATCGGTTTCCACAATAGAAGTCTCAACAAAAATGTACATGTACACGTACGTATCAATCAGTTAGCCTTTACTGATCGCAGTGCGGTGCGATTCGTACCAACGTAGCGAACAATCACGCCTGGTGCAAGGTTATGATAGCACTGCTACCGGTACAGTACAGTAGTGGTTCTCACGGAAGGTCCGCAGGTTTCATCAGCCAATAGGATTTACCTGCAAACCTGCAGTCAAACCTGCAGCAAGTCACAAAGTATGCTGGCTAACCTGCAATGCACTTTCTGAACACACCTGCAGGTTTACGCTGATTGGTTAGATTTACCTGCAACCTGCAAATCTACCAACCGTGAGAACCACTAGTGTAGCTGCTCCGACACTGGCGCCTCCTCGAGATCGCGACCGAATTTGTACGGCACAAATTGTGCCTCATCTCTGCCTGTGGTAACATTGGGCGAGTGGCTCGATGGTCGACAGAGAAAGGAGGACCACGACAACTTCAACCCGTGACTCAGACGATCTGCCAGCAGAGAGCTGCATCCGCAGTGCTGGCACTGAGTTGCACGTGTACGTGCACCACGGCGAGTTTCTGCGTTCCCTCGTCAACTCAACCGACTCCCAGAGGCCAGCCCTCCTGGGCGAGGCTGACACCGCATCGAAGGAAGCGAACTGACCGGCCACTCCTGGTCAATGCATGTACCGGTATCGCTCGCTGCGTGGCACGACCTGCTGACCCACAGGCTGGGGCCAGCTGCTTGGCGTGTGGAGGTCAAGGTGATTCAAGCGCAAATCCACTCCGATTTAGAATTTAGAACTGCCTGTAATACTGTATATCAGGGTTCTATTCGATTAAGCAGATGTTCAGGTTGTAGAAGCATCACCACGGCACGTACTGACTAGACACTATAGCAATCACAAGCATGGTTATCGCATATTGAAGGATTCAGGTTAGCGAGGGCGTTCAAAGTTCAAGTCTGAAGTTAACTCCATGATAGACCGCTCCGATGTGAACCGGATACCTTTGCGTATCCGTGATGCTCCACGCCTACTTCAATGACGTTGCAGGCACTGCCGAGACCCATGGCACACGCAGCCGAGCCGAGCGCCACGTCCGAGCGAGCGAGCCGAGCGAGACTTTCCGCCGCCCTCGAGATCTCACTTTTCATTTTCCTGTCAAGTTCACAAGCAACCACCCAACTACTACCACAATGGTCTACACGATCGTCGTTCACCTGTACGCCAAGGAGGGCAAGGAGGTCGAGGAGAAGCTGCGCAACAAGCTTATCGAGGCCTCGCAGGTGTACTCCAAGGACATCGAGACCATCGGCTGGCACGTGATGCAGGACCACCAGGACCCGCGCAAGTGGTGCATCGTCGAGCGCTACGAGCACGAGAGCAGCCAGAAGTACCACCTGGGCAACCCGTACTGGAAGACCTTCGACCCGTATGTCATCCCGCTGCTCGACAAGCCCATGGACCTGCGCCGCTTCAACGAGCTGGACACGAGCAAGCCCGTGCACGTCGAGTAAGCGCCCGCCTTCGGATGCGTAGCAGGTGGTCTCCGAGGCGTCAGCGCGCTGTGCTGAGCAGTAACGAGGTCGAGGGGCCGCGGAGCTGGTCGCCAAGTCAACCAAGCGCGAGTCTGTTCGGTGTTTGCGGTGAGAGGAGTCTTCGCGGTCGTTTGGTCAAGCCTTTGTTGGTGCAGTCGCTGGCGCCTTGGGGGTCTCTTAGTGGAGTTCTAGTGTCTGTCGTGTGCGTCCGCGAGCGTATGAGAGCAGCAACGCTGCTGCCCGTATAAAAAGATGAATATCACGTACGTTTGAGGAGCAATGTCGGTGTTGGGTTGTAGCTCTCAGTGCTTATCTGGATGCTGAGGAGATGGCAGTCAGTTTGAGCAGTCCGAGGAGTGTGGCTGTCTATTGGCTGTGCGTGTACAGACCCACAACCAGGAGCAACAGTGCTGTCGCTCCCCGCGGCGCCGTCGATATCTTACCACTTCAGCAGTCGACACGCACGTTGTACACAAGCAAACCGTAAGGAGAATTGGCCAGGCGACTGGGCCTGTAATTTACAGGCAAGCCACGGTGCCGACACTACTTTTTGCTTGCACTGTGGTGTTCGTCGACACTGCTCTGTAGTTGTCATTACACCTGCAGTTGATGTGGCGATTGCACGACGTAAACAAGATTGTATGCGTATCTGCAGCGCAGTTCACCCACGTTTGCTTTCGTCATTCTGCAATTTGCTGCCAAGCACCAAGCACCCGTCGAAGCACAGCAAAGATGGTCTACACGCTCGTTGTCCACCTGCACGCCAAGGAAGGCAAGGACGTCGAAGAGAAGGTCCGCAGCAAGCTCATCGAGGCCTCGCAGACGTACATGAAGGACGCTGAGGTCATCGGCTGGCACGTCATGCAGGACCACGTCGACACCCGCAAGTGGACCATCGTCGAGCGCTACGAGCGCCAGAGCGTACGTTGTGCAGATAGTGACGTTCGCTGTATACTTGTTCCATTACGGAGTTGCTAAAGTTGTTGTCGCTGTTGTTGTTAATGGTGATGGTGTTTGAGCAGAGCCTCAAGATCCACCAGGCGAACCCGTATTACGCCGAGTTCGGCGTCTACATGGGAGCTCTTCTGGACCAGCCGCTGGAGATCTTCCAGTTCAACGAGCTGGACACGAGCAAGCCCGTGCACGTCGAATGAACGCGTCAAGGATGGGGGGAAGTGATATAATAATCTCACGGAGTCTATGGTTAACGTTAACCCTTTCGCGATGAATGGGCTTAGTTGCGGGAGCTGAAGCTACCTCCTTGGAATCAGCTGAATTGTTGTCTTAATGCGGTCGATCGGTACCAGAGCTAAGATTCTAATGCACTTGTGCGCTGGAGTGATCATTGCGGCGAGGCGGAGTGCGCTTGAGGCAAGTTTCTGTATGTGTCGACCCCAAAGCGAAGATGTCGTCGTAAACATTTTTGAACCACCATCTTCAACTGCTCCCGCGCTACGCTCGACTCGACCAGGTCGAGTCGACCTCCAACGTCATTCTACAATCTGCCGAGTTCGTTAAACGAGGAGAGACGAGTGCAACATGGTCTACACGATCGTCTGCCACCTGTACGCCAAGGAAGGCAAGGAAGTCACGGAGAAAATCCGCAGCAAGCTGGTTGAGGCCTCGAATGTGTACATGAAGGACGCGGGAGTCCTGAACTGGCACGTGATGCAGGACCACCAGGACCCGCGCAAGTGGACCATCGTCGAGCGCTACGAGAAGAAGAGCGTATGTTGCAATGCGCTGCGTGCTGACTGTAGATTTGCATTAACGTGATGTGTGTTCTTGGTTCACGCTATTCAACAGAGCTTGAAGATTCACGTGGCCAACCCGTTTTACGCCACGTTTGGGGCCTACATGGCACCTCTTTTGGCCAAGAAGCTGGAGATTCGCATGTTCAACGAGCTGGATACGAGCCGTCTCTAAGAGATTCGACTACAAGCGATGACGCACTGTAGCTTTTCGCAAAATAATTGGAATCCCTTGAGGTCGCACAACTCTGCTAGCTCCACTGAGGACCGTAGCGTACACAACTTGAAATACAACAGTCTTTATGGCAACTAGTGTAGCGAATCACTCTCATCAAAGTGCTTCGGTGGCTGTGCCTGCAGTGCTATGCCCGCCTCAGGAAAAAGATTGATGCACAATACACGTTGGCATGGACAAGACCATTTGAATCTGACGAGTCATCGTCAGGCAATTGACGCTCACTTGGTCAGAGTTACCGCACCGGTGCGACTGGTACAGCGCTGATCGCTCACCGAGGGCTTCAGTAAAAAGCGAGGCTTGGTGCACGCCTGAAACAACGGAGGCGAGTTCATCAGGGAGAAAATGAGGGCATAGGATATTAGAATGCAGAGCGCTAGGTTTCCCGATATCAGACGACACTGGAATCCTAGCTTTCAAAACTCTCACAGCAAAGATTCCGGAATCTCTACATGTACACAATAGTGTACATTCTAAACGATCGGCTGAGCACATCATACTGTATCTCCTTGCTGACGTCGAGAGGATCACAAGTCGCCCCGAGCACATCATTTGGCGTGGAGAGTGGCAATTCCACACATGCAGATCCCCTGGAGTAACTTGAGCGCCTTCAACTCGTCCATCTACGAGCTAAAAGGGGCATGTCGGCAAGCACAACCAGGTGCTGGCTGCGCAAGCATTATCGATACAAGACATGTCGGTAGCCAGCTAAGCTCTATTTCTCTCTCATTCATTTTTCAATATCTTCTGTCGAGAGCAAACTCCAAGTGGCCATCGAAGTTACATCGAGACGACAATGCGCGCAAGTACTTTGTTAGCAGCCGTCGCCTTCGCTGGAGCTGAAGTCGTATCAACATCCACGCTCCGATTTACCGGCATCTCCCCACGAAGTTTAACAAGCGCGCGCGACGTCAAGCACATACTCCACTTTTCGGATGTCCACCTTAACATTTCCGAGTCACTGAACGCTACCGAGTCCGCGGAAATGCACTTCGAGTATGGAGACGACGCCCCAATCACCCTGCTTACGTCTGCGCTCGAGTTCGCCAAGAAATTGATGCCCGACCCAGACTTTTTCCTCTACACTGGAGACCACGTCGCGCATGGTGAACTGATCAACGAGTTCCTTGCCGAGACGGTGGAGACGAACGTCGAGACCATGGCGCACTACTACGCGACTGCGGACAACGACACAAACCTGGACGTCACTGCTCTGATCGGCAACGCTGACACTTGTACGCACATCTCGAACGAACTCTCGGAGGATTACACTGACGAGTTTTGTATCGCTTCATCGACTTACAGCTCCCGATTACACGATGAACGTGACGGACCCTAACACCGAGGTGAACCCGTCGATCTCGCTGATATCGGCGGCATGGCAAGACACGCTGTCCAAGTCCAACCTCGACTGGTATAACCGCCGCGGCTACCTGACCTACGACCTCGACGACAAGCTGGTGGTGCTGACGCTCAACACGGTGCCCTAGTCGGTAAGTTGTTAGCGCAGTCATTGCACTAGAAGATCTGTGCTGACCAAGTATGCATGCCGTCCAGCCAAGCCACACGCCGAACACGACCAACATGACGGACCCCTTCGGCCAGTTCGCGTGGCTCAACGAAACTCTCCTAGAGCTCCGAAGGTCCGACAAGTTCGGGTACATCGTCGGGCATATCCCTCCCATCATCGACTCGTTCAGCGGCGCCCAGATGTGGGAGGCCTCATACATCGCCACGTACAAGGCGATTGTGAGCGAGTTCACCGACATCATCAAGGCGCAGTTCTTCGCCCACGTTCACAGTATCGAGTTCCGCGTCCCTCTCTCTTCCGAGCAGCAAGCGCAGGAGGAAGCCGAGGGGGCGGAGCTTGTGCCGCTGTTCATGTCCGCAGCTATCTCGCCCATCTACGACAACAACCCAGCCTTCATGGTCTGGGACTTCGACCCTGCCACGTACGAGCTGCTGGACTTCACCGTGTACGGCACCAACATCTCGTCCGACAGCCAGGAGCTCGACTGGCAGCCGCTCTTTACCGCCAGCACGGAGTACGGCGTCGATTCGTTGCGCACGTCGGAGCTGAACGCGTTCGTGGACCGCGCAGCGTCCGACTCCGCCTTATTGGAGCAGTATTACTACAACTCCAAGGCGCAGTCGTACCTGCAGTCGTCGTGCCAGGACGTCGCGTGCCAGTCCAAGTGGCTCTGCACGACGCAATGGTACACGACGTCGGAGGACTTCGAAGCCTGCGTGGTCGAGCTGGAGACCAAGCGCAAGTAGAGAGAGGGAGAGAGGAAAAAGTATCTTTTTCGACTAGCAAAAGGCGATACCGTAAGTTGAAGTGACCTATTTCTCGTACTGAAATATCGACACCTATTCTACGTGACCACACCAACTCCATTCATTATCCGCGAATCATCATCGCCCGTCATTTTGCAGCTCCATACATTCCACCTCGAAGACATGGAGGACGTCGCCTGGAAGTGCACGGCCGCCTTCGTGCTGGGCGCGGCGGCCCACTACTTCATCTCCACGCAGTTGCTGGGCGATGCCAAGAGCTCCAGCAACAGCAGCAGCGACAAGAAGAGCAGCGAGGCCGCCGCTGAATCTCGCTCGGAGGCCTCGTCCAGGTCTTCTTCGGGCTCGTCGGAGGACTGGGAGGGCGCCGACTCCGCCAGTTGGGTGCCCCACAAGATGGTCATGTGCGTGCGCACGGACCTGAAAATGGGCAAAGGTGGGTCAGCTTTTTGCTTTTGGGTACATTTATTGGATAGCGTTGAGAATGATGCGGCTTAACGTTGATGATGGTGACGTTGATGTTGGTGTTGTTTGACAGGCAAGATTGCGGCGCAGTGCTGCCACGCGACGCTGGGCGCGTACAAGCGCGCGGTCAAGCGGACGCCTGACGCGGTCCGCGCATGGGAGATGCTGGGCCAGGCCAAGGTCTGCCTCAAGGTGGACTCGGAGGAGGAGATGCTCGCGCTCGCCGAGAGGGCGGCGGAGCACGGACTCGTCAACTACGTCGTGGTACGCTCAACGTTGAGGGCAAAAATGGCATTGAGTGCTGGGAGGTACTGATGAATTGATTGGTGCTTTTACTGTTTAACGTGAACAGGTTGACGCTGGGCGGACGCAGATTGCGCCGGATAGCAAGACAGTGCTGAGCATTGGACCGGCCCCGCTGAAGGCTATTGATGAGGTCACGGGTCACCTCAAGCTCATGTGAGCGTCTGTGTAGCAAGCAGTAGCAACACAGATAACAGGTCTTTACAACTGAACTTCGTTAACTGAGGTCAAGTTTTTACGGTGTCTTCCACTCTGCGGTGATGGCAGATGCGAGACAAACAGTGAGTGCTGCTAGAGCGTGGCGATGGTGTCGTACTGCGCGCGGTTCTTGAGGATGCCGGTGCGTCTTAGGACTTGAAAAATCACGGCGACGCATGCCACTGCAGCGATAGTTGCAAGTGATGTTGCTCCGATCGTCATGTACACGTATTCCGTTGCCAGGTCGTTCTGCGAAGAGCTGGAGCCGGATGATGTCGCGCCAACCGCCTGAATGGGCGACGCAGGTGTCTGCTCGATGTCATACACCCGCGTACTAGCCAGCGACTCGACAGTGTCGACGCAGGCTAGGAACTCACCCTTCGTTGTCCACCACTTAAGCGTGCACAGGGTCTTGGCATGGCACTCAGCGTCCTTGCAGGGGCGGGCGTTGGGCGAACGGGCCTTCATGTTCCAGTAGTACTCCTCCACCAGGCTCGCGTTCTGTTCCACGCGCTGCACGAATGACGTAAGCTCGGTCAAGGAGAGCGATTTGAGCCCGTACGCCTCACTGGCCTTGAACAGAAGCTTCCAGTCCAGCTGTGGTTCGGTCTCGGCAATGTCGGAAGCGTACACAGCGTAATCTAGAATCTCATACGTCTCGGTATCGTAGTCCCAAACCATAAAGGACGGGTTGTTGCCGAAGAGGGGCGAGATCGAGCCCGTAATGTACATCGGCAGCAGCTGGAAGGCGTTGTCTTCTCTATCAAGTGACGCCACGGGCACACGGAACTCGACGCTGTGTACATGACCGAAGAACTGCGCCTTGATCACGTCGGCATACTTGCCCACAATCTGCTTGTACTTGGCAATGTACTTGGTATGCCACTGCGGATTGCCTCCGTACGAGTCCACGATCGGAGCAATGTGCCCAGCAATATACGCGAACTTCCCAGCACTCTGCAGCTCAGCAAGGATCTTGTCGAGCCACGCGAACTGCCCAAACGGGTCCGGCTGGTGCGACGTATCGGGCAAGTGACTCGGCTACAAACCAGCAACAAAACGTCAGGGACCAAGTCGACACCACTCACCCCTTTCAGCCATCCACACCAACCGAGTAGGGCACCGTGTTCAGCGTGATCACAGTGAGTTTGTCATCCAGAGGGTAACTCAGATACCCTCGATGGTTCAGCAGCTCCATATTGGCAGCCGACAGCGAGTCCTCCCACACCGTCGAGATGACCTCAATGGACGGGTTTGCCTCCTTCTCCGGGTCGGTCACCTCCATGTGGTAGTCCGGGTCTGCCCAGAAAATAATCAGCATTATTCTAATACATATCAATAATAACAATAGTGGCGCTTCTTACTCCCGTCTGCGTTGCCAATGATGGCGGTGGCCTCCAGCATGTCGCTGTGCTCTCCCTTCGGCGGGTAATAATTCTCCATAGCGTGAACGTTCGTCTCCACCGCCTTGGCAATATATTCATCCGTGAACTGCCCGTGCGCCGCGTGGTCCCCCGTATAGAGGAAGAGCTCCGGTTCCTCCACCACGTGCTCCTTGGCGAACACCAGCGCGGACTCGAGCAGCGGCAGTGGCGCGTCGGCGAAGTAGCGGATGGGGATGCGCGCGTTGTCGGCGGCCGAGAAGGACGCGGAGATGTTGAGGTGCACGTCCGAGAAGTGCAGGATGCGGCCCACCGCCGCTGACGCCGGCGCGACCAGCAGCGCCGCAAATGCCAGCCCCACTGCTTCCAGCATGATTGACGACAATGTGAATTTGATACTTTCGTGAGATTTGATGCACAAATGCATTCTTTGGTTTTTGACAAAATTTTCCGGAAAAAATAAGATGTCGAAGAATAGTTTCCAAAACATGAGATATTAGTTTTTGCTGGCGATGTACATGTACAATGAGCATTGAGGAATATGTGGCGAGTAAGTCGTTGTCTACAAGTTGTAGTACAACGCCCTCACTCAATGCTTGACAAATATTGCTTTCAGCTTGTACAGAAAAAGTTGCTTGATAATACATGTATCTTGACAAACTCGAGATTTTCTGGTTCGGCACTTCTTCGCGCTGTCGGCACATAGTTCAGGAAGAAAGGGCTTAATAATTTGCTTAAGACCTTCAGCCATCGGCTGCGAATGACTTGTGCATTGGTGTGGCGAAAGAGCTTATCCACTTTAACCAAGCCCGACGGTTGCGGCAAAAACGACGCTATCGGAGGATCGCGGCCAAAGGTCTCTTTACTATCCGCGGGGCAAGATGCTGCAGGAGAGTCTGGGAGGAGGTGGGGAATCCGCTGCAAGCGCCAAGAAAGCATTGACGCATGTGCAGAAGTTGGTGCAGCTCGCCTCTGCAAGACCCAATGCGCTGACCCTACGTGAATACCGCGACGCCTTGGAGGTACGCACGCATGGAACGAGAAGACAATTTGCAGCGTTGACTCAATTATCTTGTGAATCTTCACAGGAGTCTTTGAAGCCGGAGGGCAGCGCCGTCATGAAAACGGTCGGATTTCAGCTCGCCGGGATCGCTCCTAGGTGCTGCACTCACGAGGTGTGGAGGTTTATCCTGGAGGCGGTAGTCACCGAGTTGGGGAATTCCGAGAACACGTCGTCCCTGGCGGCTGCGATCTCAGTTTTGGGATCCGTCCCGTTACCTCTTGTACTGGGGTTCTTGCTGTCGCCCGAGAGGGAACCGATGAACAAGCTGCGCTCAATACTGACTCACGAAGATACCGAAGTACGCTGCAGCGCTATTGAGACCCTCTCGAAGTTGACGCTGGATGTGGTTATCAACGTCGCTGGAGACGGACTCTTTGTCTTCCCATTTGAGTCGCACGAGGCGCGTATCTGCTGCCAGCAAGATGTCGAGACCATGGTGAACGACTGCTGGAAGTTGATATTCCACACGCTGTCGTTCGACGACCAATCCCAAAGCGCGGCCTTCGCTGCAGGAACTGCTTTTACAGCTTTAGCGAACCTATTTGCTCGGTCGAGCACGCTGGCGCAATTTTTCACTAGTAATCGAGAGTCAATCCGCGCACAAGCTCATATGGATGATGTTTCCTCCACGATCTACAAGCATGCGTTCCCGCGGATTCGAGTGCTAGTCGCTACTGCCCGCGTACTGCCCATAAAGCAACAACCAGACGCTATGCTTTGGATTGCCATGTTGCTCTACACGATGATGGAACGTAGCGGTGCCCGATGCCCAGGTGTCAGCGTACCATTCGTTGAGATCGATACTGAAGACAACAACGCTGACGGTGCCGATGATGATGAGGAAGGCGCGCACGAATCCACTGAGCCTGTTCGAATTGATGGTCTGGCGAGTGATTTGCTTGAGTTCTGGGCCTTCCCTACGATTTCAAGAAAAGTATCGCTTACTCAGGCTACGAGCATGTGCCGCGCCATTTTCATTTTGCTGTCACATCCGTTACAAGCTCTCACTCGGATGGGTTGGGCTGCTCAGCTCGCCAACCATCTCATCGCGCAGTGTTACCTCGCAAACAGAAGTTCTAACAACAGCAACAGTGCTGAGTTCAAGCACGAGCTTTGTACCATGCTCGTGAAAACGTTTGGGTGGCTGTCCGGTGTGAATTGTCAGTCGCTGTTTGTGCGTACGACTGAAGCTCTTTATCTTGTGGACCAGGAAAAAGACCGCCGAGATCTCGTACAAGCTCTCATGGATACGATTGCCGCACACGTTGTTGACAACCGGGACTTTCAATTGCTGCAGGGGTTGTGCACGATGACGTTTTTTCGACAACCGAAGGGGTTCTCCAGATTATCCCCGCGTACCAACGGCTCCGAGGTGTTCCGATCATTATTTCACGCGTTAGCCACCACGCCCGAGCTTACTTCTCCGCCTCGACGTGGAGCCATCGAGCACCAAATATCGCAGCTTATTGCATTGAGAGTGTTCCGTGGGCTTCTACTTCTGCAGCTCGGTGGGTCAGCTACAACTTCGCCTAAGGCGTATCGTCGGTCCTGCGAAATCAGCGAGAACATCGTATACTACACGTGCTTGCTAACATCGCACTTCCAGGGAATGCTTGCGTGCCCGGAACTTGCGCTACGTGAGTCGCTCGACTTTTTCCAGCAGGAATTGTTCCCCACTATGGACCAGATCGCCTCCCAAAGCGCTCGTCTCCAGATTCTATGGGTTGGTGTGCGTCTTCACCGTAGCTACGCGTCACATGTACCATTCGAAACGATGGTGCGAGAGCTCCAGCGTGAGGCTGGTCGGCTCTTCATAGCGATATGGCATGACGACGACGAGATGGAGGGCGCGACTTTCGACAACGGATTGCTAGGGTGCGGTGGCGCTGGGGAGGAGACGCTGGCGAGTCGTAAACGCGCAGGGGATGCTAACAACGTGGATGCATTGATGGTGCTCGGCGACTGTATCACGACCCTCGCGCAGTACCAGCCCCAAATGCAACCGCAGTTTCTTCAGATGTGCGAGAAAATGATTGCAGCGTTATCAGCGTCAGGAAGTCCGCCGGCAACCACATCGCAGCAGTATCGTGTGTACGTTGAAACTATCTATCATTCGATGACCTTGGCGACTAATAACTGTGTGCGTGCTTGCTTGTTTGCTTGGTTTTGAACAGCATTGAAGATGTTATGGTTCTCCTATCATCCCCACCAGCCACAGACTCACAGGCGGGCTCGGATACCCCGTTTTCCAAAGATATATTCGACCCACAAGATATTTTCCTGCCACGAAAATGCCTGAATGGGGACGATAAAGAGAAGCATCTGGAAACCTTGTCAGGTGAAGAATATCGAGAAGCCATCACCGTCACTGGGAGCGCTGACCCGGTTTCCGTGCGGATCTCACATCACCACCCTTTTATCGAAAAGGAAGAGATTATCGAACTCGAGGTTAGCTGCTGCAATCTCACGACGTGGCCGCTAAGTGACCTGGAAATCCAGCTCCGTCCCCTTGGAGGTGTGGGTGTTGTTCAGTGCGTCGACGCTTCAAATGACTTGAAGCTTCGTTTATTGCGTGCCGGGGAGACCGCCAGCGTTGGTACGAGCGGAGGCAGCACCAGCTTGCCGCCATTCGGAGTGATCAAAGCGGAAAAGCGGTTCCGTGTGTGCAAGTTCACTCAGGCCACCTTCCTGGTACAAGCTGTACTCGTCCAGGAACCCAGCCAAGATGGCGACGACATGGGTGCCAATCCAGCAGAAGAAGTATCCCCGACTCCGATCCGTTTGGCCTTCAGTAACCGCTACGTGCTTCACTTTGATACTCTGCTTCGACTGCCGCAATCTCAATTCGCTACTGCGGCATTCTTCCAGCACTGTTGGCAAAGGTACGTATCAAATCCGTTGGTTGGATTTTTTTGCTGTTATCCATTCACTGTTGGTATTGATGGAACAGTGCCAACTCGAGCCTATTCTGGCGAGTCAAGTCGCAGGAGGGATTCGGAGGCAAGCTTAGTGCATGCCGGCACGCGCTCCACTACATGAACGCCAAGATCGCCGCTGTCTCCGAGTTGCTCCTCGACCTGCCGATGAACTTCCACGTACGTTATCTCCCGACTATCTAAACCAGCTGAGGAAGAGTTCTAAACATCTCTCTTGTCCAGATTGCTATGCTCACGCAGACACGCTGGGGATCGTACGTGGTTGCTTCACTGACTATGAGCCTGGACTCTGCTTCAGCGAATTGGTCTGGAACATTAGAGGTCCGCTCAACTCGCGACAATATCCGCGAGCTCGAGAAGTGGCCGAAGGACACCACTCGTCTCTTTGGCGGAGACCACGCGCAGCTCTGCAGCACGCCTACGGTCTCCACGACTGCGTTGGACCCCGTCAACAACGCAGTTAACACCGCAACTCTCCCAAGTCAGCCACCAGCATTGGACGATGCATTCTCAGTCCCTGCGCAGCCTCCCGCTGCCATCGGCGCTACGTTCGCCATTCCAGAGGCTACACCGTCGACCTTCGCCATGCCAGACGTGAGGTCCACGGCGAGCTTCCACAAGGACGTCAGCATCCCCACCGACCGCCTGTCGTCGTTCGCGCGCACGCAGCAGCTCGAGCAGCTTCGCGCGCCCGAGGCCGCTCCTGCCCCCGACGAGCAGTGGGGCAGCTTCCTGTAGCCAATGACATAGTTAAAGGCAACTTCAACTTGAAGTGGCAATACATAAACTTCGATGGTCGAAAAGATCACCGCCCTCCCCTTGTCATTGGCCAAAAGTCGTGTTATATCACTCTCGTGCGGCATCAGATCCAAGATGCGGCCTTCCGACCGGCAGCGCGGCGCCGCGGGGGCGGCTCTGGGCGGCGGAGACGCAGAGGAGGACCGCGTGTACCGCCCGCTGCTGTTCCAGTCCACGGGCTACGCGTCCTCGGAGCTCTTTCGCGACTCGTACGAGATGCACTCGCGTCTGCCAAGCGTGTCCTCGACCGCGCCTCTATTAGGGGTGGAGACTGCTGCCACCGACTCAACTCAGAATCAGAAACCCAGACATGTGTTCGAGCCACAGATTCGACTCGAGACCTTGTCGTCCCGAGCTGCTACAGCGGTGCTATGGGTCACGTACCTGGCCTTCCTCGTGGCGATGGCTCTGCCGTATCTGCAGAGCAAAGGGTACCTGGAAACGGTACGAAATGCTGTGTAGAATCAGATTTCTTAAAATCGGATAATATTTTCTGATACACTGCTTTTGTGACTTCAACATTGTAGGCGGTGGAGCTGCCTGGAGGACTGTGCAAGCCGGACCAAGTGCGAAGAGAGCCGTGTATCGAGGTGGATACGACCAGGAACATCGCTCAGTGGGCGGCTTATGTGGCCAATGTGTCGCGATACAGCGGCTCCGTCGAGATCAAGCTGGATGTTCGAGAGCAGGTGAACACTTCAACGTCCGAGGCCTTGCTGTCGTCGCTCGTGGAGAGCAATACTTTCCAGGAGCTGGAACGTGTGGGCACCGCGTGGAAAATGAATCGAGATGCAACCAGGGTCAAGAGCAATTTAGAGGCTGAAGGATCGGAGATATCTGAGATTGAGGACGGGGAAGTGGACCAAGAGGCGGGATATGTCTTGACCTACGATGCCAGGCTGTATGGAATTGACCACGATGTGACTCCAGCTGCGAAGGATCTCGTCATGGACGAACACAATCAAAGTGTCTGGGTGGAGTGTCATACAGGGGAACCTTGTGAGATCGTGAGGCTGCTTGAGATAACGCAAGATGTTGATCGACTGGTAAGAACGAAATGATTTTTTCAGTTCATGATGTGCATGGTGGCGATATTGACGCTACTATTGTTAAAATTGATCTGTGTTGCAGGGTGGAAGCGGATACGATGCATATTTCGCTATCTTGACCTTCAGAGGCATGTACCCGAACGTGTTCGGGAAAGACGTTGTCTACCAATTTGCTTACACGTACGGAATATTTGCTTGAGGTTGATGTTGCCTAAATCCTCTACTAATTTGTTTTTTGTGTTACAATAGAAAGCCAGCTATACACGTGGGCGAGGTGGTTGTGCGTGGGGTGATGGTTCTGGCGTCCATTCTTGCGCTCCCATGTTGGTTCATTTCGGTTTTGAACTTTCATGAAGGGTCATGGAGTCAAGTACTCACCGTTCAAAAGTGGTTGCTGGGAGTGGGGGTCGTCCTTATCCTCTGGCAGAACCCTGTGTACGCTGTATCAGAGATGTATACGTCCGTCAGTATGCGCACGCGCTTTGTTTCGATTACGTGCCAGTCACTTGCGGAAGCTTTTTTCTACGTATTCTGGTTGAGCCTCCTGGACCAGCACAGTGGTGATTTCTCGTCTCGACGATGCGCATTCGCCCCGAAGTTGATGTTTGGACTGGTACTTTTTGCCGTGGACACGGGGATGACTATGCTACGAATGCCCAAGTTATTTTTTGGGGCCGAAGTAGCATCATCCACGTATGACTTTCACCACCAAGAGCTCTACGTTCTGCTCGGGTTTATTCGCACAGGGTTGATATTGGCGTGGCTCGTGTGGATCATGGCAGTTGGCGCTCGATCGGGACGGCATCTAAAAGCGCTTCCGTACATGGCGACTCGCTTCAAGCAACTATCTTACCGATTTCTGGTGCTCGAGACGCTTCTTATTTTCGTCTACGTGTTCGTGCTATCGGCTGTCCAGATATTTTACCTCACAAAGATGTGGTATTTCGTTGGGTACGATGCCTTCATCCAAGATGCAGTGCACACATTTGTAAAAATGCACACTGGGCATCCGTCTCTCGGCAAGTTTCTCTTCTTGTCGGTGTACGTGTATCTGGTGATGTTTGTTCACCTGCCACCACTGGCGGGCGATGGTACCGGCTTACTGGCGTCTACAGCGTTTAACGTCGACGAGAAACCACGTGTGGACTCTTATGGTTTCCTCACACCTGAATCGAATTTGTTCTGCGTCGAGACGTCTGGATGGTTATTGGAGCTGGCATACCAGGCTTACTTCGATCCGCCTGGCTGTCCATCGCCCTCTGGGTATGGTGAACTTACCTTGGAGCGATATGGGTTTGAGCTCATCACTCATCTTAGGAGCAACCTTACAGATACTCACGCGGTTGTTGCGTGGAGCCAAGACGATCACCGCCGCCTGGTGATTTCTTTCCGGGGGACGACCAGCAAGGAAAATTGGAGGAGCAATCTCCGTGCCGACCAACATGTACTGTGGATAAAATCCCGAGGGCTTCGCTGGAGAAGGTCGTGCCTCGAAAAAGTGAAGGACGTAGCGGCGAAAATTCCATTGCTCAACATGGCTCTGCCGCGGGTCCACCGAGGTAATTGCATACGTGTTAATCCTCGGAGAATGCCGCTCGTCTAATGCTTTTGTTGTTGTTTCATGCCAGGATTTTGGATTGCTTACGAGTCGGTCCGAGACCAGCTGAAGGAAGTCACACGGCTCATTCTAGACGAAAATCCTGGCGTGTCGGTGTATATTACAGGCCACAGCATGGGCGGTGCATTGGCAGTCTTAGCTGCCTATGACCTGGCGGTGAACTTCAGCATCAAAGTCAACATGTACAACTTTGGCGGGCCACGCGTTGGAAATCCAAGCTTTCGTCAGCACTACGATAGCTGCGTGCCTACGAGCTATCGCGTTGTTATGGACGGCGATATCGTGCCGGGATGGCCGAAATTTGTACGTTCTGCATGATTGTCTTTCTGTTGTATTTGATGAAGCGCTTATGCTGATCGTTCGTGTCATTGGTGACGGCAAACAGTGGGGACTCTACCAACATATTGGAACTGAAATTTCGCTCGACGTCGCGGGTAATCTGATCGTCGATCCAAGCTTCGTGGAGCGCCACCTCCACCATTCGTCAAGGCGCAAGACGACGATGCATGGTACCAATGTCTATCGTGTGTCCATTGCCAAGTGCCTAGAAAATTTGACGACATCGTAGCCAGTCTTCGGATGTTGCGGGGCTGGTGCATTTAATGATCTATCTATTGGCACCACTAGCTATGATGCCGCTCTTTCTTGAGAACTACCTCCACCGAAGCGTCGCTATCCGTTTTCAGAAAACTACCACAGGCTGTTGCTTTTGTTATTTTCGAAGAGTCTGCTAGTGTTCCAAGCGAAGCCGCCCACAGCGCGACGATGGATGACCAACAAGCCCAGGAAGGAGTGATTCGCTCGCACATCGACTTGGCAGAAGCCGCTGCTAATGGGTCCCGGGCTATGGTACGATTCATAGTGATACAACCTGCGATTTCCCCCACTAACTGTATGGTTTCGCGCATTATTTACCTTTAGGTGGAGTTCTTGTTAGATAGTGGAGTTCACATTGACACACCGGGAAAAGGTGCTCAGCTTGCACTGAATGTATGTTCTGGTGGATAGTTGTCGATGCTAATATTCGCTGCACCATTAGATGGAACGACGCCACTGTGCGCTGCGGCACTGTGGGGAAACGACACGATGGTTACGTACTTGCTCGATAAAGGCGCTGATGTCGGAGCTAGGAACGAAGGTACGCGGTCTTGAAGCGTCCGGATACCTGGTGGAGAGATTTTGCTCACCTTGTTCTCGTGTTTAACAGGAACAGGTTGGACACCGCTGCATGCGGCTGCGTTTCAAGAGCACGGCAAAGTCGTGCACATCTTGCTGGGCAATCAAGCCGACCCCAAGATGGTCGACGCGGAAGGACGAAGAGCGGTGGACTACGCCAGCATCTCCGAGGCCATTTGGCCTTTCTTTTCAGGTGGGTCTGAACTATATAAGCAACAGTGAGCTCGCTATCTAACTCGCTCATTTTGTTCTAGCCCGAGGCTGCAGCAAGAGCTTGAAGGCAGATCTGGTCGCCAAAGGAATCATCCGCAAAATCGCCGACCAGCCCGAACAGTCCCAGCCGAACGACAAATACGCCGACAGTGTACGTCACCCTCAGTACGACTGTAGCCATATCGATACGCTTTGCCCTGCTGATCCTCTCGCTGCTGCAGATCTCGTCCTTCTCGCGCCCAGGATCCGCCTACACTCGAGCGCAACTGTACCCCCCGCTAGGCCGCCGACCGAGCCCCGCCGTCAAGGTAGAACGAATAGAACACGGTCTCTCGTCCTGTTCATTGCCTAGGTGCAGTGCTGACTCTGTTTTTCCATTGGTGCAGTCTCGCGACGGCCGCATACTCACGGGACCCATCGACCCCCTAGGCGACATGCCGGCCGAGCCCGAGTCGAACCAGCGGCGTCCGTCCCTGAAGCGAATGGGCATCTAAGGACGTGGGGCCATGGTCTTCAGCAATGCGCATAAGACGCTCGACTGTGATAGGCTGCCGTCGTTGAAGCCGTGAAGTAACAATTCTTTTCGACCAATGAAAACGCTTGCCGCATGGAAAAGAAAATATGCTGTACGACAGGATTACAATGCTATACCGTAGGAATTGTGCCATAGAAAAGTGCCCTTCCTCGCTGGCCGCTCGTTTCAAAGCCCCCCTCGGCCGCTCAGTTCTTGTATCGCCTCGCCGCCAGCACGTCGCTCTACTATGGTGAGTCCCGCACCGCCGGAAGGAAGCGCGCTACACAGACACAGAGAGACAGACACAGCACAGACTCAGCAGAACCTCAATGAACTAACCCATCGCCTTGCCATGCCGTCCACAGTCGCTTCTTAACAAGGGATCGCGCCTCATGACCCAGTCGCTCCGCGCTGGCGTCCGCAACATGTCGAGCGCCACCGAGCAGGAGGCCAAGGGTGAGTCCGCTCTACCCCCGTTCTACCTACGATTCTGTATGCATCGCGTTGCTCACCGCCTGCTGTATTATTCCCCGACAACAGAACAGATGCACCGATGGACCACCATCTCTAAGGGCATGATCGCCCTGACGTCCGTGTACACGGTGTACGCCATCGGCGACCACCTGAGCCACGAGCACCACGAGAAGGACACCCCGGCCTACCCGTACCTCAAGATGCGCACCAAGCCCTTCCCGTGGCCCGAGTCGAACTGCGACCTGCTGGACTTCGACTGCAAGGCCAAGGCCCGCGCCGCCAAGAAGGCCCTCGAGTAAGCGTCGTCAATGCAGCACAGGCTAATAGGACAGGTGGAGGAGCAGAGAGAGTGGGCGGGGCTGACTTGTCAGACTTGCTTCTCTCTTGCTCTCTATTTGACCTATCGTCTGTCAAGTCTTCCGTGTTGTCTCGCTCTTTCAAGGATTCCGAGTCATCGCACCACACACACGCAGTCGACCATAATTGAAGAAAAAAAAGAAATAAAAACACGAGACCGAGTCTTCGTTGTCCTTATTAACTACGCCACTTGTTATTCCGAGACTGTAGGTGTCTCGGTGGTCTGTCGGCAGCACCGCACCAGCATGAAGTAACTCCAGAAAGTAGTAGATGGAGTGGACCACAATAAACGTTGGAGCTACTTCAGTCTAATTGACAAAATGGCTGATGCGCCGGTAGTGGAGCGCTGCCCTGCCCAGCGCCAGCCTCAAGCGGGCGAGCCTGTGTGCGTGGTAAGCCGCAATGGCAATGCAAAACACCATTTCCTTCAATTATTAATATTTGTACTATGTAAATTAATTGTTCAGATCTGCGGTCGCTATGGCGAGTACGTGTGCGACGCCACGGACGAAGACGTTTGCAGTCTCGAGTGCCGCGACACGTGCGTGTCAAGGCAAAGTCAGTCCCAAACGACTCAGAGTTCCCAGCTGCAACGAGATGAAGAAACTCTGAGGCGAGCGCAGCAACTCCGGAGCAAGTTGGGGATCGAAGTCTCCGCCGGGTCAGCAGCTGACACCGGAGACCATGCTCGTAATTGGCCGATTCCGCTCGTGGACTTCGCTCAACAGCAACATTGCGTTCAGCTGCCGGCGGAATTACTGGCCAACTTGGTGACGAATGGCTTTAAAAGGCCCACGCCAGTGCAGATGCAGACCATCCCCTGTGTACTGCAGGGACACCACGTACGTACTGTAGCTGCCGAACATATTGATGACATGAGGTTGATTTTTGTCTGTGTATGTTGCGCTAGATTCTTGTGAGTGCTCCGACCGGCACCGGGAAGACAGCGTCGTATTTAATTCCAGCGATTGCGCAGGTTTTATTTGCGAGAGAAGAGGAAAACGAGAAAATTGTGGCGTTGGTGCTGGCCCCGATTCGAGAGCTAGCGATTCAGATTGAATCGGTGGCGAAACTATTGATGAAAAGTATTGCGAACATGAAGACGGCGCTGTTGGTGGGAGGGTTCCCTGTGCCGACTCAGCGCTATCGGCTTCAGAATGGCGTTCAAGTGATTGTGGCTACTCCGGGACGTTTCCTGGATATCTTTACGAACTACGGCGGTGGCGAGGCAATCCTGGCCAGTATCCGCACGTGCGTCGTTGATGAAGTGGATATGATGCTAGACGTTGGATTTCGTCCCCAGATCTCGCAAATTGTGGCCTTGTTGGCGACATTAGCTAAGAAGACCAGTCACGGTGTTCAACTGCTCTTCTTTAGCGCCACAGTATCGGATGAGGTCGAAGCTTTGGTGCGACAGATTTTGAAGGCTCAAAGCGAACAGTCATATATTCGCGTTAACGTTGGCGGGAGCGAAAGCAAAACTGCAGGAAGAGCGCAGTTTTCGTTGAATCCACGCGTTCATCAGCAGGTCCGGTGGGTGGAAGACAAGGCAAAAAAGGACGAGCTCTTTACGTTCCTGAAAGGGAAGAGTGAGGAGTCGACGGTGCGTAAACTACTTGTGATCATGTGGGGGAATCGCTCGAAATTAACGGATTGGTGGATTGTTTTTGCGGTCTGTAGCTCGTGTTTGTTGGGTCAAAAATCGGCGCCTCGATGCTGGCTGAAGCGATTGAAAAGCGCTGTCGAATCGGAGCAGCAGCAACCCACGGTGATAAATCGCAGCAGGAGAGGCTCACGTTGCTCGAGGCTTTCATAAACCTGGAAATTCCTGTTCTCGTCTCCACGAATGTGCTGAGTCGCGGAATGGATCTGTTGCATGTTCAGAACGTCGTGGTCTACGACTTCCCCAAGAAATTCACAGATTATGTTCACCTCATCGGTCGCACTGGGCGTGGAGACGAGGTTCCTGGGAACGCGCTAACTCTGGTAAATTCGGAAGACCGAGCACACTTCCGAGAGCTTGTCCCTTTGCTTCGTGGTGTGAAGGTGTCGGTGCCCCATGAGGTGTACCAAAGCATTCACTCTGACAATGCCAAACAGCGTTCTCAATCGAGAGAACTCGTGGTTGACGAATCCAAGCGGGCTTTCCGAGTTCGAAAGCAGCTTAACGATGAAATTGGTGCCCCAATATCCAACTGGAAAGAATGGAATAACCAGGCGAGTAAACGGCGTCGAGTTGGCCCATATCTCTGACCCGGAGAGTCATCAGAAAGGATCGTCATTGGGGATTAAGCGCGCCTAAAGCCGAGAATCCGGGTCCACGTTTGGTGCTAGCCACGGCTGGTGCGATACGGTCTCGACGATAGGTACGTTCTCTTTGACTCGACCTTCTTGTCCTCTTACCTGAGTGCTGACGTTTTTCTTTGGGAATATAGTTGTAGCACACGACGCCCCTGATGATCGCGACCTCCGTCTTTGAGGCCATGATGAGGCGCCAAATCAGACGCGGACACCACAGCGATAGAGTCACGACTCGGCTGAAGTAAAAGGGCATGACGCGAACTGTCAGAGAGCGACCCCAAACAATATCCTCGAAGAGGATGGCATCCTGCAATTCTGCATCGCCCACGAAGAAGATGCGGTTCATGATAACGATATGACCCAAGAGAAGTAGCGCGACCACTGGAGCCGCAAAGCGTACGCGAAAGCGCACCTTGTCTCTGACGATGGGGGTGAGGGCATCAAGTGTGAGAGCCCACAGGAACCAAAGCTCCCACGTTAGCACCATCAGACAACGGGACAACTCCCACTTGCACAGGATGCACACGCATACGTTGGCTGCGGTGATCTGGAACGCGTAAAAGATAAAGTCGAAGGAGCCAACGAGAAGCTTGAAAAGGTGGCGATGGTACAGGCCGGCGAACGTAGCTACAAAAGCCAGAGTCGACAGTAATGCAGTCCACCCCTGAGTACGCAACACACTGCGATCGGTGCCGACAAACCTACCCAGAAGGATCACGAATGAGAGAAGAAGGCCAAGTACCCCAAATAAATACAGCAGAACCAAGCTTCGAGTCGAAAGTGGAGCCATATCAAGCCCCCGCAGTGGAAATACCGTATGGCCAGCGTTAAAGGTTTGGGACGTTCTCACAAACCGCATCTTCTGGATCACGTTGGTCTCTCGCAGCATGACCTTCCTCGCTGTGTCTGTACCCGCCGCTGCTCGTCGTCGAGCTATAGTCTTCACGGCTTGACTCTTAATGGTGGCGCCAACTGCCGTGTAGTGAACCTGCACTAATTGCAGGGCGCATCTGTAGATCACGCACTGGATGGACGATGAGTTCTGGTTCGATCGCAATGCTCTTCGCTTCCTCACGGCAATCTTGGTGATGAACAATGCGAGTGTCAACAATCCATTCCCGATCACGTCCACTCCCGACAAATGAAAGCTGTGGTGAGCGTTCTCATAGTTCAGGATCGAATAGCTCGTGCACCCATCCACGTGTCCGAGCATGATCCAGACGAGAATGAAGAGCACCGGCGGGATCCCGACGATCGTCATGAATGCAAACTGACGGACGCCGCGGACGTGGGCGTCGATGCATACGATGTGGTGGAACCCCACCCAGTCAATGACCATGCGAAGAAACCGCAGATCTCTGAAGTACGCTGAGACCATCGCTGCTGTCATACTGGTCACGAACGAGAAGAACCAGAAGTCAAACGTTCCCATGAGCAGCCGCACGACGTCGTATCTCAACGTGCTGAAAGCTCCGAAGCCCAGTGGCATCCAAAGGAAAATGCTGATTAACGATAAAAACTGTCCTGTCCGAGCATTCACCACTGCCACGAAACTAATCAAGCAAAATGCCGTCACGTTCGCCAGTAGCAATGGCTGGTGATACTGCGTGAGGTATCGGTGGATGAAGTCGTGGACTTTTGCCGGGAGGAGCTCCCCTCTGAGGGACTTGGACAGGTCAATCGCAGGCAGCGGCTTGGCTGGTTTGAAGATGTAGACGTACTCGCAGCTGGTGCTGCTAGCTGCAGCAACTTTAGCCATGGAAGAGTCCAACCGCTGCCAAGATGCGCTGAGTATTCGTTGACTGGGGCGATAGTGCAGTGGCGGACAAGCTGGAGAGCGAACGGTGAGAAGTTGGTACACATTAAGCCTAATTTTGGGACATTCAAAATGGCTCAAGGCAACCTGTTGATGGTGGACAATCAAGTCAGCCTGGGGTCCACTTTGCGCCAAGATCTATTGGAGTTGGACCAGTCGGAGCCTTTCGATCGGGTACTTCCGCAGGTGTAACGCTAGCGCGACGGAATGGCCACTGCAGCCTTGTGCTCTGTATCCTTTTGGTTGAACTCTCACGCGAACGTCGGCGCCCGTGCTTCGCGAAGTAGTTGTCGTAGCACACGCCCCCTCGAATGATCGTGACTTCGGACTTTGACGCTGTGCTCAACCTCCAGATCAACCGTGGACACCACATGGATAGCGTCGCTACTCGACTCACGTAGAAGGGAATGGCTCGTACTACGAGCTCACGGTCCCAAATGATACCTCGATAAAGCTCTGCATCGCGGAGGTCTTCATCACCCACGAAGAACATTCGACCGATAACAGCCATGTGCCCGATAAGTACAAGAGTCACAACGGGGGCCGCCATGCGTAGTCGAACGCGCAGCTTGTCTCTCTTGACAGGAGTGAGGGCATCCAACGTGAGGGCCCATTGAGTCCACACCCACCACGTGAACAACATCAGGTATCTCGAGTACTCCCAATTGTACAATATACAGGCAGCTACGGTGGCTGTAGTGGTCTGAAAGACATAGAGAAAGTCGAATGAGGTGACAAGAAGTTTGAGGAGCTCCCGCTGGTAAAGCGCAACGAACGGAGCCACAAAAATGACTGTACACAGCAACGCAAGAGCGTGTAGTATGCTGGCATCAGCGGAGCTGATAAAAGTGGAGAAGGAGAGAAGAAATCCAAAGAAATCAATGGCGTATAGCAGCACTATAACGTTGCCAGCGGTACGTAGAGGGAGCATGACACGGTTCGAGTCGAACGTCCGAGGGAACTTGATGAACTGCATCTGCTGGATCAGACTTGGTTTGCGCAGCGTGCTCGCACTCGACTCCTTTGGGTTAATTGCATTCTTCCTCGTTCGACCAAGTGTCGATCCTTCGACCTGCTCGAGTTTCAGCCCGCAGCGATAGATGACGCACTCGAGCAAGGTCGACATGCGCTGCGATTTGAGTGACTGGCGCTTCTTAACGACGATCTTTGTGATCAAGAGGGAGAGAGTTACCATGCCGTTGCCGATGATATCCACACCCGTGAGATTGAAGTGTGTGTGCTCGTTTCGAATGTAGTGATACTGCCGAGTCCGATTGGCATCCACAAGATAACAGCCAGCATCGCGAGAACTTCACCGACGCATGCTTCGACCATGGGCACGACGAAATTCAAGCAGTAGGATACTGCCGCGAAAAACAGAATTTTGCGGTAGTGATTGTAGTATCGGCGACGGATGTAGGTGTGCACTGCCTCGGGTAGAAGACGGCCTCGGAAGGACTTGGACAAGTCGACTGAGGGAAGGGGTTGGGCAGGCACGAGCGTGTAGACGACGCTGCACGGCGAGTTATCATCTTTCGGTCGGGTGGCCATTCGTAATAGCAGTAAATATTGTGTGCTACGTCTTGCGCGTGGTGAAGACTCACCTGCCTTCAACTGAGTCCAAAATAACTATAAAGCGGATTTACTCGACTATCTTTGGGTATCACCCACTAAAGGTTTAGTTAAGCGACTGGGCCGAACCATAGCGTTTCTTTAACTTATAAGCTGTATGACTGTGCAACTTTTGAGAGATTTAGTCTCGGTGAAATGACACAGTAGGTGATACCTGTCCGTGCCGCGATAGCGATTCAAGAGCCTTCACCTCAATGACCTGAGTAAGTTGAGAGCTGGTCCTTCTCCCGTTGGCAAAAAAGTTGTCATAGTAGACTGAGCCACGAAGGATGGTGACATCATCAGCGCCACCAAACGTGAACACCACAAAACGAGTCAAGGACCGGCTGACGTAGAACGGCACTACACGAATGGTTACATTCTGCGTCCAGACCACCCCTTGGTAGATCACCGAGTAGTGTCACCGACCAAGAAAATCTGGTAGACCAGCCCTACGTGGTCGATCAGCAGCAGACACAGAACGGGGGCAGCGTACCGGACGCGGAATTTGAGCATACTCCTCATGGTCGGGGTCAAGGCATCCAGGGTAAAGATCCAGTGGGCCCATAGCCACCACGATAACGCCATTAGGCATTGTGGTAACTCCCAGTCGTATAAGCTGCATACGCAGATATACGACGACGTAACTTGGAATGAGTAGAACATAAAGTCGAAGGAGGAGAAGAGTAGTCGAAGCAGCTGCCGTTGGTAGAACACAGCAAAGGAGACCGTAAACGTGAGTGTGCACAGCAACGAAACCCATGATACCAGCAACTCCAACCGCTTGTGCGATGCGCTCTCGATCGAGTCACCGAATTCATAGAAGAGAGAGCCATGAGAACAAATAAGCCCAACCGCCCCTGCGCCGTAGAGAACCTTGGCCAGCCACGCCGGAATGTAAATCTGTTTCAGTAGTCTCCAAGGCAGAAGCGTGTTGGTCGCATCAAACTTCTGAGAAAACCTGACAAACATCAAGTGCTGAATTATATCTCAAGTCATTCCCTGATGCTGATGAAACGTCTGACGCCTGTACTGGCTCCCACTTCAGTCTGCATCGGTATATGACGCACTCAACCAGTGACGAAGACCTTTTCCGTCGTACTCGAAGCGTCTTCCGTCTCCGAAAGATGATTTTAGCCAGGAGAAGCGCAAGCGACGCTAGTCCATTCCCAATCACATCCAGCCCTGAGAGCTCAAAACCGCCATGCTCGTTCCCGTACTTGACAACCGTGAAGGTAGAACCTCCATCTACCCGCCCCAACATTATCCAGACGAGGACGGTGACGAGCGATATCATACCGAAGATTAGAATATAGATGAGGCTCCTCAGGCCGAGCACATGAGCGTCGATAAATATGACATGGTGAAGTCGAAGCCATTCGATGATCATCCGGAGCCAGCGTAAATCCGAAAAGTACATGGAAATCGTGACGACGATCACACTTGTGATCGTAGAGAAGAACCAGAAATCAAACGTTCGACACACCAAGCGCACGATATCGTACCGCAAAGTAGTGACGCTACCGAATCCTGACGGCATCCACAGGAAAAAGGCTAAAAACGCGAACACGCGCCCTGTAGACGCCGGGACTAGCGGCACCAAGAAACCCGAGCAGTACGACACGGTAGCGCATAGCAGGATCTGGCGGTAGTATCTCGAATATCTTCGGCGGATATACGTGTGGTGGATAAACCCTGGGAGAAGCCGCCCTCGAAACGACTTGGACAGATCTACTGCTGGAAGAGGCTGAGCTGGCACTAACGAGTAGACGAGGCCGTGGACGCTGCCATTACTGGTGGATCTCAATGACATGGCGTTGCGTAACCTGATGCTGACTCGTAGGAACTTCACGTGACTTCGAACCTGCCTTGATTGTTTCGAAAATAAACAACACTACCAGCTCCTATCTTTGGTCATTCCAGCTGATAGGTACTTGATTAGGCCCCGAACTTCAGGGCCCGATGCAGCCCTTCGTGATGCATTTATCATGCCAGGCATACATAATACGCCTTACGAGTTTTGCTTCCCGCACTCAAAAGTCTTTGGCATCCAACCAGGTAGATATGCTGAGTTTGATTTGTGACATTCAGATCTCCTGTGATGACGACTGCATCCAAACGAGCGAATTGTCGTGGCTTTCAAAAATAAAGATGATTCTCCTTCATTTCTAGCGACGAATATTCTTGTCTCCCGAACGAATGCGAGGCACTATTGATAGCATCCAAGCCCCCGACGTCCAGTGTGGAGCGAGGTCCGTCGGGGGTCTGTCTACCCACGACACCCTCACTTTGTTGACTTCACAGCAGCATCGGTGAGGCTTGTCAACGTCTTGGGGCTTGACAATAGAATAATGCCGTCCGAACCTCGCCGTACTCCCAAGAAGATTTTAAGGCCCCGGCAGAGGTTGGTACGATCAGCATCCTCGGATACACCTGAATCACGGGGCAGCACAACCCCCGCCAGATCACCGAAGAGCCTTCACCGCTTCTGGAGACGGAAGCGAACCGTGACTCCGACCGCAATACGCACGTTTCAGGCGGAGGAGCAGCAAGAGCAAAACACTGGAGCCAAGTCACCTGCGGCTCCATTCTGCTTGGAAGATGACCCAAATGATAGCATCATCTTCCTTAACAACCCCACGGAATTCGACCTCCGCTCCTTCTTCTTCAAGCGTCCCAAGTCAGCCTTGACTACCGACCATCTCGAGAGATCCGCCATCAGCTTCGGAAGCTCCACCAGCAGCCACCGCTCTAATACGAGGGGGATTACATCCACTGACGCGTCAACCAAAGGGACTTTTCGGAAACCGGAAACGATGGACTCGACTTCAGATACTCTCGCGACAAAGCAAACAGGAAAACCGCGACGAAGACTGCGCGCCATAGAAGAATTGTGCCTGGTACTGCCTCGCTCTATGAGTCGTGGACGGACTAGATCGCAGAAATCTTGGTTCCTTGGACCGGGTTTTGTCGGACGGGATGCTGGCGAGGGAACCCTCGTAGTCACAAAAGACAAGTCCATGGACCCTGTCCACGCTGAACTCTCTGTAGCTGGTGACGATTACTTTGTACGCGACGCAGGGAGCACAATGGGCACTTTTCTCTGCTTGAGCACGCGATTCCGACACTATCCCCAACGAGATGGATATCGTTTGCGTAGTGGGGACGTATTCCGGGTCGGTCCAACCACCTCCATTCGCGTGGTCGAGTTGCAAACCACAACTGGGACGCCTAAGCTGCAACGTAAGCGAAGCGCTAGTTCCACCTCCAGTTTTGTATCCAAGCCAGAGTATCCAGCTTCTATAGGTGACTCGAGTAATGACCAACCTCCCAAGCTGGACAAAACGCCAAGCTCAAGTAGCAATCCTCAGCTAACACTGAAGCGAATGTCCACCGTCGAAGAGCTCCGTCTTCTTGCTGCTGATATTGAAGACGAGTTCATGAATGACACTGGAAGAATCCACTCGAAGAGGATTACACGAAAAGATCCCAGCAGCGCGAGCAAAGATAAGGCCCAAGAGAACAAGCGACCGCGATCCAAACCGCAGCATACAGTTCGCTTCTCGGATACGCCTCCAGTCATGTCCGACGGATCCGTGTTCTTGGGGAGCCGCTATATCCGCCCGGAAGTCAAGCAGCTGCACTACCACGAGCCTTCCCAGGTAGAAGACGTCGACGACGACATGGTCCATCAACTCGTTGGTAGCGAGCCCGAGGCGAATACGCGGCACCACAACATAGCCCACACTAAAAGTCGTCGTCCAGCACTGCTCCGTCTCGTTATTTTTCAGCATGACCCCACCAAAGCCAGCACTGAACCTTCAAAACCTCGCGATGCCCGTGAAGTGACTCTACCAGGACAGGACACGTATCTCATCGGCTCCTCAGCAGCTTGCGACGTTCGTATTTTCCCATCGGAAGGCATTGAAGTGCGTGGCATGCACGCTCGAATTATGTTTGACGGGGCGTCCTTCGTGCTGCAGGACATTTCCTTTGAACGGGATCCACGACGTCAGACGCGCGTGTTGCTCTCGCAAAGATTTACGAAAATCACTCGGGGGGATTGGCTGTTGCTTGGTAAATGCGCGCTGTATATCACGACTGTAGCGAGAGCATTCGGCTCCGAGCGGCGCCCTGACATGAAGGAGGCGGCGATGCGCTTGGATGTTTTGCGGCTTTCAAAGCGGAAACCGCGGACCCGCGGGATCTTCGTTCCTGTTGGTTTTCGACTACATTCTACCTCGGGTTCCGGAGCATCCAGCGGAAGCAGCGGCTGGGGTGGCAGTAGTGGTGGGCCTGTTACCTTTGGCAAAGGCCGCGACTGTGACGCCCAAGTCTTCACTGCGTCACTGGCCACCGAGCAATTTAGTGTTCAACTTGAACGAGGGACTTGCTTACTCACCCCAAAGCCCACAGGAATCAACGCCGGCACATATTTTCTAATTGGTCGCGACGAAGCCAGACAACCAGTCGTTCAATCAACGGGCGTTGGCGATGAAGACGCGGGTGACGTCGACACAATGGGTGACGTGGTCAAGCACACGAGTAAGCCACTGTTGCTCTCCGAAGGCTGCGTCTTTCGGTGTGGCGGATGTGAACTTGAAGTCATCTACTCGAAAAGCTCGACAGACGCGAAAAAGGCGACAACTCATGACGAACAGGAAAATATTCGGCTTTTGAGTGCCCTGCCGTGGCTGCAGCAGATCGGCTCCGACTCGAAAACAATCACAAACCTCGCTCGTTGCGGACAGAGACTTCAGCTTCGCACTGGCGAAATGGTATACGACAAAGGAGATCCGGCGAACTTCGTCTTCATCGTGATCAGTGGAGAAGTAGCGCTCCAGATGACCACGCCCAATGACGACTTCGATCGTGGCGACACCCCCCAGACTTACTTCGAAAACGTGGCGCCGGGAGGTTTCTTTGGCGAAGTCTGCTTGCACAACCCCACAGAGTCGATCGATGACCTTGAATACGCCGACACCGCGAAGGTTTCCAGCGCGTGCGTCTTATTGGCACTGGCTAGGGAAGACATCTGCGGGTACCTCGAGCTGTACATGGATATTGTACGCGCCCATTTGCGCCATGACCGATGCCGAGACAGGATCATTCGAGCAGCTTGCAGCAGTGTGCCGTGGCTCCGCGGACTCTCGCTCCAAGAGATGCGAATGCTATCGGCTGACGCGGAAGTTGCAGTGTACGGTACCGGCTCGACCTTGTTCGAGGACGGCAAGTTGTTCGTCCCAGCAGCATTCGCCGGCGGTAGTACTCTGCAGCTTCGGGATGGTTTGCTCGTGTTGAACCGCGGTCGAGTGCGCATCATACGAAGCAAACGCGAGAGAGAACGGCGACGTACTATCAAGGTGTACGAACAGGACTACGAGGAAGAGCAGCGTGATCCCAACAGCGTAGATAACGTCGACGAAGCGCCTGGCACTGAGCCAGACGAGTGGTGGAGTTCCATGGATCCGGTACTTGTGATGAGCTCGACGTCGTCACCGTCAGTGCTGAGTTTCTGCGACTTGTCCTTCCGACTGGAAGCATGCTCAACCGTCGAGTGTTTCTTTGTTGCAGCCGCACACCTTGCTCATCTGGCAATCGGCACACCGCGCCAACAGGACCTCAGCTCCGGTAGTGGGCCAAAGCCACCAACAGTGGCCCAGATTCCGGCTCCATTGAAGCGAGGCAATTCGCTGGTAGGACGACGAATGCACCACTCGCAAGTGGTGACCAGTGCCTTGCATGGGGGTGACAGCAGCAGCGGAGAAGATGAAGACCACAGTTCAATGGATGGGTCTGACGGGGAAGGCGACACCACAGGGGCGCGGCGCTGGCGTCGGAAAAAGCGCAACAAACACCTGCTGGAGCAGACCGTTCTGGAGACGCAAAACGATGCGCAGATACCAAACGCTTTGGTTCTGTACGTGCTTGGAGGGGCACAGCGCGGGGATATCCATGTCGTACGGAATGTTGCTTCCATCGGTGGGCTTCTCAGTGGTGCCGACATCGAGCTCAACGATCGTTACGTGTCTCGATCACACGCCATCATCGAATATCACGACAGCAGATACTGGCTTTATGACAACGGCAGCAAGTGGGGAACCTTCGTGCGGCTTGAGGAGGACAACGCCGTTGACATTAACCCCGGAGACGTATTTCTGGCCGGTGAGGTCGAATTCACATGCCTGGCTTCGTATCCAGAGCGCAATAAGCCAAGCATGTGCTGTATAATGTAAGTTAAGCGCCCCACCATAGAGCAAAACAGCAAGTAAGTAAATAAAAGAAATAGATGCAACACTCACTTATCGGATTAATTTCAAGGGCCTTGCGGGGGAGGAGCAACCAGCACGTGCGCCAACACAGCCGACTGAGCGAACTCCTGGCCCGACCGGATGTCTACACACACAGCACCACCCAAAGCTTGGAGACCACCCACCATAGGCAAGAACTCGACCCACATAGTTTTCGACGTTTTTGCGTCCATCACACCAAGATTCTACACAACCAGTCATAAACCAAACCACGGAGTCAACAACCTCTCATTCTTCCACTTCAACAACTCCCAAGCTCACTTACCTGGTGAGACGCGGAAGAGCACACCATGCCATGCATAAGTTCCTTGCGAAATTGCAGTTGGAGCGCCAGGCTATGCATGGATTTGTTTGTCACGGACACGGCCACCAAGAACGGTTGGCCAACCATAACTTCTTTGGGCAGCTCTTCGACAGCAACAGCCACTTCGCTGTGCCCTGCCCCGCCATGTCCAGCAGCACCCGGAGTCTTCCGCATCACCGGTTGGCTTTGGACCGAACCTGCTTCTCCCATCGATGTCTTCCACCCCACATGTAGTCGCCCAAGGTTTTGGGAGCCCTGACGCAAATACAAAAGTTAGTTTTTCCACCACAACTTCTACTGCTTGGTTCGCTGCATACCTGCGCTGATGACAGCAACGTCGGGTCAGAAGCGGGGTCGTACGAGACGCGGAAGACGCGCTGAAGCTCCTCCTGCGGGTACACAAGGGTCTGCGGGGAACTATTCACCGACAGCAAGTCTTGAATCGACGCTTGCTCCCCTTCCGCTTTCTTGCCCACAGGATCCACCCCCATCTCCTCCGACGTAAACGGCGGCAATGGCAAGAATTTGATGCTATCCACGAAAAGCGGCAACTTGGACACATTCCTAATCTGCGCCTCGACAATTGCTTCCCCCTTCAGCGCCTGACCCGTGGCCGAGTTCTGCTTGAACGTGATAACCAAGGGATTCTGCACCGCGAACCGGTAAAACTTGCGCAGCGACTTGCTCTCCCCCGTGATCGGGTCCACGTAAGCCACACCCACTCGAAGCACGTGGTTGCCCACTTGATTGAGAGGATAATCCACCACCATATCGAGACTGGAACCGGCAGGCAGCACGGCCACAGGATTCGGCGGCGGCAGCTTCCCCGTTCTCGCGTAGCGATTGTCGTGCAACTCCACGCGGTCATTGGCACACTGGATATTGGCAGACAGCCCCACGTCGCGCAGCTCGCACGAGTACGGGTTGATGACGCTGATGTAGCTGCTGAAGGTGTTGCCCAGGAAGATCTCTCTGTAATGTCATACACGTATTGCAATTTAGAAACTCAGGTTGGGACGGGAATCAGTGCGACCTCTGGCATGTCATACCCGAAGCTGTCGGGCAGGATGAGCATACTGGACAGCGCGAACTCGTGCTGCGAAGCCGTCGCCTCCGACATGGACGTGGGCAGCATGGAGCCCCCGTTGGCGCCCTGCACGTAGAGCTTGGGCTTGTACAGCCGCATCACTAAGAAATAGCACCGTCATTTAAGGATAAACGGATAAAAACGTCAATAATTCATAGCACAAGGCAATAAACCGCACTAAAACTAGCTAAGTACCTTTAAGTGTGGGCTGCACAGATGGGGGAGGCGGTGAAGGCGCCGGTGGGGCGCCTCCGCCCCCGGAAGAGGGCGGGCCGCTGGTCGCGTACGAGCTCATGCCGATAAAATCGAAGTGGATCGGTCGGTCTCCTCTCTCTATAATGATAAAATACGTGTGTGTACCACGCCAAATAGATGTGGCATACGCAATCTGCTTCAATCATTGCGGCCTCCCATTCGCCGAGTCACTCGAAGGAGAGGAAGATGCTGGCCCGTTCGCTGTTCCGCGCCGCCTCGAGCGCGCGCAAGTCGCCGTCGCTGGCCGCTGCCACCGCCAACTTCGGCGCCACGCTGAGCGCGAACTTCTCCGACGCCCCCACGGTAAAAATCGCGTTGAAAGGAGTTAACTTTTAGGCTAAATCTTTGATTAACCCTCATCTCGTGATGATACACCCGCGTTAGATGCACGGCACGACGATCCTGTGCGTCCGCAAGGGAGGCAAAGTGGTGCGTTGCATGGAGCGACTGATTCTGTGTCATTGTGTGCTAATATGGAGTTGAACGGAGACTAATTGATGCTGGAATCGCACCTTAATTCTGTGCAGTGCCTGATCGGAGACGGCCAGGTGTCGCTGGGCCACACGGTGGTCAAGCCCAACGCCAAGAAGGTGCGTCGCATCGGTGAGCACATCGTGGCGGGCTTTGCCGGCTCCACGGCCGACGCCTTCACGCTCATGGAGCGCCTGGAGGCCAAGCTGGACGAGTACCCGGGCCAGCTGACCCGCTCGTGCGTGGAGCTGGCCAAGGCCTGGCGGACGGACAAGTACCTGCGTCGCCTGGAGGCCATTTTGATCGTCTCGGACCTCAAGCAGTCGTACACGCTGACGGGCAACGGAGACGTGCTGGAGCCCCACGACGGCATCATCGGCATCGGCTCGGGAGGCACCTACGCTCTAGCTGCTGCTCGTGCGCTGATCGACCAGGACCTGGACGCCGAGACGATCGCGCGCAAGTCCATGAAGATCGCCGCGGAGATCTGCGTTTACACGAACGACAACTTTGTTGTGGAGATGCTCGAGGAGGGAAAGGATGACGTTGTGGAGGACAAGAAGGAGTAACGTAGTGTAGAACGAGTTACATCGAGCTTCTTTGCAGATATATACCAAACATCTGCAAGGAATGCTCAAGAATAAAATGTACTGAGGCTACCCACTGCTTGAGAAACCCATGTGCCGTATTGGATGCGTGTATAATATGTATTGGTGCGCTGGAGCGCTTTCCTGTGTTCCTGCAGCTGCTTAAATGTTGTTGGCGATGACCGAGTTGTACTTGTCGATGTTGCGCTTCAAGATGTCTTCTAGCGGACCCATCACGCGCTTGAACGTTTTACGGTCCAGCGTGAGGCATTTGACCTTGCCCTTCGCGGTTACTGTTGCCTGGCGAGGTCGAGTGGTGAGTAGTGCGATTTCGCCAAAGTACGCGCCTGATGTGAGCTGCCCCATTTCCACGGGCGGGTCAGCGGGTGAGAGCTGCTTCGTACACACTGCCGTGCCTTCCTCAATAATGTAAAACAGGTTACCGTCATCGCCCTGTGTGATGATAACCTCGCCATCGCTGAACGTCTCCGTCTTGAGCGCATCTGCAACGGTGAGTCGCTCATACTCGCTGAGAGACTCGAGGAGCGGTACGCGCTCGATGAAGCCCTTGTGCGCCTCGCGTTTCTTTAATGTCGTCTCCATGATGATGAATTTGAACGTCTGCCGATCTAATGCCCACGCCTTCGAGTGCTGGACTGCCTTCACAGTAGCAGCGCGGGGAGCGTTGTACATGAGTGCCAACTCACCGAAAGACATAGCTTCCGTGCACTGCATTCAAACAACGGAACAAGGCCCAGAAAATTATTAGCATAACGTAGACTGCCGACACCCCAACACAAGCCACCAACGCACCGTTTGTACGAGCTCGTCGTCCTTGTAGACCTCGCAGACTCCGCTCTCGAGAATGTAAAAATTGTCTCCGTCGTCTCCCTGCTTGATAATAATGTCGCCGGGCTCGAACTCCTTGGGGAACATGGCGTCGAGCACGATGTCGTGCTGCTTCTCGTCCAACGACTTGAACAAAATGTTCTCGGCCACCATGCGACTGATTCCCTCCCGCTCCTCGGCCGACTTGGGGTGCACCACGCGCTCGAACTGCCGCGCGCTGCCATGTCACATGCAGAGCAAGAGCAACGAGGTCAGTTTAACATCAGACAGGCCACCACCTCCACATATAGATAGCAGCAACTCTGGTCACTCACCTCAGCGGGTCGATGGTTTCAGCGGACACCGAAGTGCGTCGTCCCTTGGCCATGATCTTCGGAGGCGGCACGGGGGCAGCGATCTCGCCCACGGCGTCTCCACCTTCGTCTTCGTCCTCGCTCTCACTCTCGTCCGAGTGGTCTGCAAGTGAATAACAAAGTTAGTGTCTTCAGAGCTTCTCCATCTCCACCTCTCCCTCTCTCTGCCATCTTTTTTGGCTCAAAGCGTCGCGTACATACATTGCACGTTGGGCGAGGCCGCCGGGTTGTCCTCCTTGCCGCCGCCAGACTTGCGGCGCGGCGTGGCCTCCTCCGGGAAGTTGGTCTGCAGGTACTGGATGATGTGCAGGATGGGGTTCTCGGGCTTGGCCAGCAGCAGCGACTCGACCAGGTTGATGAACAGCGTGTTGATGCCCTTCTTGTGCAGGTAGTCCTGCAGCTCCTGCTGCACGCCCTCGGCGTCCGTCATGGCTCTGCTGTGCTGTGTGTTGGTGCTGTAGCTGCTGGGGCTGTGTGCTGTGCTGGGCTGGGGCTGCGAGCGTCTGTCGCAGAGTGGATCGCCCGCTCGCTCGCTGGTTCCGCGTCCCGGATCGATCGGCCGGAGCTAAACTAAACTGAGTGAGCCTGGCGCCACGGGCCTTCGCTCCAAAATGGAAGAAACTCCTGCTCGCGTGGAGGAAAAAACAGCAGCAGGCGCTGAACCCACACGCGGCTGAAAGATCGCTGCGCGGTCGCGCGTGGCTCTCGCTATGAATAAAAGTAGTGGGCACCGCTCCCGAATTAGAAGCGCGCGGGAGTGGTTACTGCGCTGGACTGTGCTGGACCGGCACTGCGGCTGGCGGGCTGGCGGTCGCGCTATTCGCGGCGGCACTCCAGGAGATATAAATAGTGAGCAGCCGCTCCTTCTGCGCTCTCGCGACGCTTGGGGCGGCACAAACTCGAGCCACACCAATTTGGTGTAGGGTACATAACAAACACTATAGTAAGGAATCTGCCAGTTTTATGCACTTTTCGCGGTGCAGATTACTTTTGGTCTCTCATCATTTGACACTCTAATTACCGTCGATGTTCTTCAAAAATGCTGTTAATATTAGGTGTTTTGATTGGCTAAAACTACGTTTTAACAGGCGCGGCCCCTAACGGTGTCCAATATTACCGAGAAACTGATAAATTCGTTTTGTCCTGTGCTTGTCAGATCAACGCCATAGTTCAGAACGGGATGCATCAATACCTAAAAGGAGTAATTGACGCGTTTCAGCGCGGAGACCCCCTCTGCTTCGTCAGCATTTACGTTCTTCTGCAAGATGCCATACTTAGACGTAGTCAATTTTGAGTGCAGGCTTTCGTACCGCGAAAGGTCGCGCTGAAAAATACGTGTCCAATAGATTACTTCGGTGTGGCCACGGCACCCAATCTGTGGGGAAGACATCTGCACAGCGGGTTTCCAAGCAGAAGCCGTTTAGCAGGAATACCCCAGTGTCTACAACTTTCGTCGATCTCTATAGCTGATAAATATCATAAATTACTCGCACATTATCATAAATACCTTGCATATGAAAAGGGATTACCGTAATTTTTGTTGAAGAGTCGCATGAATGGCAAACTTCATGTGCTCATTTCTCGTGAACTGGAGCACTAGTGCAGCTCTAAGCATCACCGTTGACCTAGTGGTAGTAAGACCTATCCAATGATACCTTTTGTGTCTGCACTAGTAGTCTCTTTCTGGTACCTAAATATGCGTCTTCTCGGAGAAATCCAGCTATAGGTACATTCTTAGGGGTCGCGCCTGTTAATTTCAAAAGAATTGACCAAGGTCTTGAAATGACGTTTTTATTGGCATTAACTATTCTTTCTGCAAATTAAGGAAATTACGTACTCGCCCTATTTTATAGTACATGCCTTGAAGCTTAAAATTATCAGATATTCTATCAGCTCTAAATCTTGGAGTTTGTATGTACAAACCGTTAAGTATTTCTTGCGACAGGCCTATATTCGGGAGGGGATTTTATTCGGGCGAGTACTTTAAGCATTTATTGTCGTTACCCGAGCACGAACGAGCAGTTGGTCCGATCTGCTCACAGAGAACCTGGCAGGAGTGCGAAAAACCTGCATTTCATACACCCGGGGACTGGTATTTTTAGGGCATTAAACGGTAGCTACAGAGTGAATTTCCTCCCCCAGACGCTGCTATGGCGATGTAACGGGGTATAATCAAGTGTACCCATTACATGAAGAGTGACGGGTGTCACTCTCCCGAGTACATGGTACATGGTACCAGTAGCTCCGCAAGCCAACCATTTGAGTTTGCGTGGGCTTTTGTATAGTTAACTTGTAGTTTGTATTACGACCAAGTTAACCTCTACCAAAATACAGTCAGTCTTATAACCTACTCCTTTGTAGCAAACCTTTCCCTTTGATGCCGGGAACTGGTGAACTGCTGTTCACCTGGATAGTAATATCCGCACGCACTTCCTCTGTGCATTGTGCTGTGTGACCCCGTCACACTTGGTAGCACTTGTAGTCAATCCTACGCCTACGCGGGTAGATTGGTTTACCTGAATCCTCGGTGGCTGTGAGCCACGATGGACCGAAGTGAGTTTCCTCACTTGACGGACTCGCAGTTCGAGTCGGTGCGGAAGATGGCGGGCATCTTCGGAAGAGATGCCCTCCGGAGCTTGGCGGCGGCGACGCCAGCCGAGCAGGTCGAGCGGGTAAGCGCGTTTGACGAGTACGAACACGGGCTCATCGCTCATGTGCAGGGAAACCTGCTGGCTCAGAAGAGTGAGCACAAACGGGTGCAGCATTAGCCTCTGCGGCTAGCTGTGCCTCCGTTCGAAGGGAAGGAAGGTGACAACCTTCACTTCTGGATCCGGGAGACCGAGATCGCAATGAGCGCAGGTCTCATCTCGGCCGAGAACCTTCGAGTCGCCTTCGCGCTCTCCAATCTTGGCGGACGTGCCAGGACTTGGGCGTATACGCGCGAAGCGATGTCGCCTGGCCATTAAGTTGTTGGGTTGGTGGGCTTGCATCGTTTACTGTGAAAAAATTAGAGTGTTTAAAGCAGGCGTTTGCTCATTTGAATACATTAGCATGTAATAGTAAGATACGGCCTTGGTGGTCTATTTTGTTGGTTTGCACACCAGGGTAATGATTAATAGGGACAGTTGGGGGTATTCATATTTCAGCGTCAGAATGTTTCACATCCTGGGCTCAGCTGTGTGAGCAGCTTCGAGCCGCTTTTCTCCCGGCGAACACCGAGTTCCGCCAGCGCTCGCGCTTCCTTGCCTGCAAACAAGGGGAGCGCGAGCTGTACGCGTACGTACAGGAGATGCGCACGTTGGCAACCTCGCTGGTGGGGAACCCACTGTCGGAAGACGTCAAGATGACAGTCTTCGTGGACGGCCTGAAGGTCGGTCCTGCGCGCACGCAGTTGTTCCGCGTGCGCACCGCCACTATGGATGAGGCGATCCGAGTCGCCCTCCAGGAAGAGTAGAGCCACAAGCAGGCTGGTGCTCTGACTGTTGTACAGCCTGTGGTCGCTGACAGCGAACCAGAACCCATGGATCTGAGTTCGGCTGAGCAGTACTCAGCCCACTGCTACGGCGGCGGCGGACTAGGACACTATCAACGTGTCTGCCCATCGCCTGGGTCTGGGAAGAAGACCTATCCGAAGACCAGAGGGTCAAGGGGGCGCCGACGCCATGCACCGTCAGGTGCTCAAGGGGGACACAACCACCAGTAAGGACGTGGGCCTTGCTGGGGTTGGCCCGAGTCTTTGTGATGGGTGTACGGAAGGCGTACACCACAGATACCCGGGGTCCCTTGCGAGCACTGACGCTCGCATTGGTGAAGGACAACGGTGGGTTGTCGGTAGTACACGTGAGTGTGCGGGGGTAATGGTATCCCTAGACATGATTGAGTCTGGGACGTCGCGTGGATGTTCGCACATCGCCAGATGTGTCGGTTGGAATAACGACACAAGTGCCGAGACTCTGCGAGAGAGTCTAAGCACAAGGTCAGATCTCATTGACTGAGGCTGGGCCGAAGAAGAACCTTGGGGTCCGCTGTGACCCTGGCCGCCGCGCTCGAGGGCGCTGACAGCAATGGAACCGCACATGGTCCCGGACATGGAACCGTACATCGTCCTGGACATCGTGCCGAAGCCGGCCCTGGGCGTGGAACCGTATATGCCCTCGGCTTGAGCAAGTATGACTTGGCCCTGAATGCGCCGTGCAAGCTGCACAGGCTCTCGGTCGAGTAGCGCGACAACGCCTTGAGGCTAAGTCGGTCCTCTGTGTCTGACATAGCATTGGTGAGTCATGTTCCCACCTCTGGACAGACACAAGGGCGTCCGATGGGACCACCAGGGCGCTGGATGCGTCCGACAAGACGAAGAAGAAGAAGGGAGGCATCATTGACATGCTGATCTCCATGAAGAAGGTGCAGTGTATCTGCAACCGAGGGCTGTTATGCCTGGTATGTGGAGCTGCCTCAACAAGCAACTCCAGTGCTGAGAGTCATTGCTCGGCATGAGCATTGACAAGGGTGGTGTTCGATGACACCACCAGGTAGGTATCCAAGGACCACTGACTAGCGGGTAACTTAGTTCCGCACAGAGCATGTAATGCTGAGGAGGCCGCTCAAGGCACCTCCGGCGTGGGTAACCAAGTACCACGGACGGTAGCCCAGACCTTAACTGAAGAGGAACGCGCTGCACGCGCTTCCTGTGTGGGTAACCAAGTACCACACCCGGTCGCCCAGACCATAACTGAAGAGGAAGGCGCTGCAGGCACTTCCTGTGTGGGTAACCCAGTTCCACACCAGGTCACTCAGACGGTAACGGATTGTGAAGCCGCATGATGCGCTTCCTGTGTGGGTAACGTAGTTCCACACGATGCCGTAAGGCTCCGCATGAGCCGGAAGGAGTCGCTCGAAGCGACTTCAGCGTGGGTAACTTAGTTCCACGCACGGTCAGTATGAGCAAGACTAGTGATCAGGTCACTTGGGTCTCCTCGCGTGTGGTGGATGACCACATGGAGTCTAAGAGGCTCGTGACACCGTCACGATGTCATAGCCGCACGGTCCTCTTGAAGGCGCCGCGCGGCTTTGATTTTAAGCAGGGGAGGAGTGCGCGGAAGCACTTCCTTCCTCCAAGGGCTTGGCACCCGGTCATCATGGATGACGTTCGACTGGGTGTCGACCAGCGCAGCTGTGGCCATGCGCACAGAAGACGTGGCTTGGGTACACGACGTACCTGCGGCGATGCATGTTGCGTCGCCGCCGACTCGGCGAGCATGGTCGATCACGACTGGAACGTGTCTGCCGGAGGGCGACACCTCAATGACCACATGCAGGAGCATGCTCGGTCTGAAGGCAAAGGCCGCTGCACGGCGGGGATCGTTGGTACGGTCTGTCGCGCCTAGCACTGTGCGGCGTTGGGACAACAAGTGTCCATGACTCGGTGCCGAGATGGCATGTCATGCAGCTACTCTGAATGCAGGACAAGCCGTACGCTGTCATGGGTGTCATTGTCCGAAGACGTGGGTAACAGAGTAACACGTCAAGTCACGCAGACTCAAACTGCATCCAGGCTGGTAGATGCCAAGCCCTGGTCGACAATGTTGACCCAGAGCCAAAGAAGGGTAGCTGCCCGTGCCACCGGAGTCTGCTGGCACGGTGACTCGGTGCTGCAGGGCGGCGCGAGGTTGGGCGGCCGGTTGGCGCCTGACCGCCGGGGCTCAAATCGTAAGTGGGGGAGGGGATCGGAAGTGCCCTTCCTCCCGAGGTCTCTGGCATGAGACTTGCTTCGTCGTAGAAGCCAGTGTAGTGGCTGCATGGTGTAGCCACTCACGAAGTATTGCACGAAGGTGCTGGACCTGATGCATCGCTGCTCAGGTTCCATGGTCATGGTGACCGATGGCCAGCAACCCTGGCAGCGGCTACTGTCGCTGCTGGGCCGAAGATGGCGCGCGCATTCGCTGCTGGAAGGCTGCCTCTGTCAGGCAAAGACATGGCAGCCAGTCTGCGGCTCGGTCCGCGGGGATGTGTACATACGCAACACCATGCCGCAGCGTGATGCTGTTGCAACACTGGACGCGGTACGTCTACCGGCCAGGTAGCCACCAGCACCACGCCAAAGCTCCAGGCTGTTGCTACGCTGGGCGCGGCACGTCTGCCGGCCAGGTAGCTATCAGTCCCGAGCATGGGTGTTGCCCACGAGGGGAGAACCCGAACGTGTTGCCTTTGCAGACATTCACAGTTGGCGCGGCACATGCCGCACCTGGTGTTGGTCGCCGCGACGCAGGATGCGATCGCCGGTGACGGAGGGCAATACACTCCACACCACGATGAAGTACCCTTGCGGTACCCTGGCGTCGAAGGAAGACACCTTAGCGTCGGCGACGTGATGGCCGTGACGCGCTGCAGGGCTTTAGACAAGTCCGCCGCGTTGCTCTGTATGATGAGCGGGTTGCTGGAAGCAGCCATGGTAGCTCAACGTTGAAGCATGAGGCTTCATGGCTGTGGTCAGCGCTTGACCATAGCCCATGGGTCGAGCCGACGTATTCGGCCGACTGGCACACCGTGCTGTGACGAGCGGGGCCCTGTCGGGCCGCTGTCATGGCCGGAGATGAGCAGCACAGCTCTCTCCATGGTTACGCTACGCGCTGACCGGAAAGGTGCTGTCCCTCGCGGGAGGCACTGCAGCACGAACGTGCCAGCGGGGCCAGAGGGCCATGCGACGCCAACTGCTGGTTGTCTACGAGGGACACCGCAAGTTTGGAGGCACATGCATCCCGTGCTGAGGCACTCTGCGCCTGCTAGCGCTGTGAATACGGCCACTAAACGCGTCGGCTTCGCGGCCAACATCGCCGAGGGCAGGGGGGTTCCGCGTGGGGTGCCCGCTGCGGGCACAAGCCACTGCGGGCGTGACGATGAGGCGCGCCAGCCTTGCGGCGGCAGCGCCCGAGAATTCGACCTTTGGGTGTTCGGATTCTCTCAAAGCTGATTGGAGAATCAGATGTGATTCTCAGATAAGTGGGGGAGGATGTAACGGGGTATAATCAAGTGTACCCATTACATGAAGAGTGACGGGTGTCACTCTCCCGAGTACATGGTACATGGTACCAGTAGCTCCGCAAGCCAACCATTTGAGTTTGCGTGGGCTTTTGTATAGTTAACTTGTAGTTTGTATTACGACCAAGTTAACCTCTACCAAAATACAGTCAGTCTTATAACCTACTCCTTTGTAGCAAACCTTTCCCTTTGATGCCGGGAACTGGTGAACTGCTGTTCACCTGGATAGTAATATCCGCACGCACTTCCTCTGTGCATTGTGCTGTGTGACCCCGTCACAGGCGATGACGCGTCCGGGTTTTGTGTGCTGAGCATAGTTGACGCCATACCTGGATGCATTGGTGGTCTGGTTCTACCCAACTATAATGCCGCGCACCCAACAATAGACACCTTTTGCTTACGTATTTTACGGATTCTGCTGCCTCCCTGAGTTTCGTAAATTGTAAAATTCCCAACGCCACTTTTTTGGGGAAAATTAGGGAGCAATGAACTGGGGAGCATTGGAGGAGAAAACCCGCAGCACATGGCGTTAGCTACTCACCATACGAGCAACTTGAACGCAAAGATCAGCAATGCAACAGGTAGTGTGTATATACAGAATTTAATCGCCTAGTTCCCGTAGCCCAGCCTGCCCCCACGCGCGAGGGCGCAGGAACGCTAGTTGGAACTCTTCGTCGTCTTGGTGAAGTAATTCTTGATAAGACATTGTTAGTAGGGCCATGCTTACCCCAGAAGCCTCGAGGCTTCTCTCGATCAGCTCGAACCTCGACGGCTCGCGTCGCGTGCTGTCAATGCCGTGTCCAATTTTGTGCAGGCGAGGTTCCGTGTCCACTCGTTGCCGTTTCTGTCGTGGTGCGGGCGGCTCGAGCTGCCGCTGCTCCAGGAAGCCACCAGTGCTTGTCGAAGTGCTCGGGCATCAGCTTCAGAGCCCCGGCAGATTCTATGATAGCAATCAAGTCGTGCAAACAAGGGCGTCCATGAATCCGTCTGTATACCCCGTTGCAAACAGTGCGCGTCAGACTACGAACCACGATCTTGTGTGCATCTTGCCACTTCTTACGCGTCTCTTTTAGTGCATGAACACTAATTATCTTGACCACAGCGGAGTAATTATCGTTGCGAAACAAGACAGGGATATCCTCCATCTCGTAACCTGCCTGGTATTTGGTGGCCCTTGCAGATTTCATCCACCACGGCAACAGGTCTTGAAAAACTGCAAGCAAGTCGCCGAGCTAGTTGTCCAGCCACTGTTTCGTCTTTGCATGAGTTCCTTCAACGGGGGACGTGGTGTGGCAGCCAAAGTGGCTGTACTTGTTAGTCCACGCGCTCACAAACTTGGCTCGGTATGGCCACCACGTCCTGGTCAGGTACTTCTGCATGGCTGGGCTCAGTGCATGCAGTTCTGCGCAGAGCTTATCATACTCAATCTCGCTGGAGGCGTTAATTACATCATCGAACTTAGCCATGTAAATCTAGACCTGTAGTTCATGCTGTTTCTTCACGGCGGTGGACTCGGCGCCTGGATCTTCGGTAACGGGAAGTTTTTTCTTCGCTTGAGCAAGGACGTTGCGGCGGATCTGCCAGCGGCACAATAGATTCGCCGCCATAGGAAAAACAGTGTCTGAAGCTTTGTTGCACGCCAAGTCTCGCTCTGCTCCATTGACCTTCGGCATTCGCACCGATTGCTCGATCATAAATGCCTTCAGCGTCGACAGCGCCCAGATAAAGTTAGGCTCCGCTTCACCAGGCATCCAAATCTGCGCAAAGGGTAGAATAGTGTTCATACCAGTGAGAATAATCACGTCCAATAACGGGATGCGGAACCGGTTCGTGTCATACGTGCAGTCCATCACCATGATATCCATAAAGTGCTGTGCCAGCATAGTGGTGTCAGGGTGCGCCCACATCAAGTAGCGCAGTCGGTTGGACGACGGGTCGGTCTCGTAGGTGTAGTAAAACTTGTTCTTAGCGAGCAAATGAAACAGTGCTTCATTACTGGTCTGCTTTGCCAAAAGCTGGGTACGCCCTTTCTTCTTTCGGTTGGATATATCCTGTGGTATAGCCAAAGTGTCCTCGTTTGATAGCACCAGGGTTGAATAAATCTTAGCTGTAGGAACGCCAGCCTTGGCCTGAAGCTCTACCAAATCACGCACTTCATTTTGACGTTGAGCATCAGGCTGACGGTGCGGAACATGAACGCGGACATCATATGAAGGAGGATGATTGTGGGTTTGGCTGCCGTCTCTGGTGTGGACGATCCTCCACTTCCCAGCCGGGTTGAGGGCATCGACGGTTTTGATACTGATGCGCATGTCGCACCCGTCTCGCTTCGATGTAGCCATCAGTCGCTGGCGATCAGCATCCTTGACCTTCCTAGTGTTTTTTGGTTTTCCAGTGTGGACGCACGCGTACAACCGGTACCGAATCTGGTCGTTGGCATTACGGCCGACTTGACTGCAGGATACGTCGAAGTCGTGGGCCCTCGTCCAGTCGTGAATGGCTGCCTCGGCCGCTTCTTCGCTGTTATATTCGCGCTCAGGTGGCGCTGGTATTGTATACGTGGTCGGTGTGTTTGGCTCTGGTGGTGAGCTCTGCGCTGTCGGCGCAGGTGGCGGGCCCACAAACGATGTCAGCGATGAAGGTGTGCTGGGTTGAATGACACGAACCATGCCTTGACCGTGAAGAAGGTCGAAGATAACTGCTCGGTCTTGTTAGCCGCAATGCGCAGCTCAAGCTTCCTCGTAGCCTTATCGGAACTATTTCAAGCAAAGATGTTCTGGGCGTACTTTGCACAAGCAGGTTTCTGCTCCAATGCTCCCGAGTCCATTGCTCCCTAACTTCTCCCCACTTTTTGCCCACGTATATTCAATTAGGTACGAATACCAATCTTCGACAGGGAATCGAGGCCAGCAGCGTGGTTAAGTACCACGCGGGATTTCCAGCTCTAGTTGATGGTCCCTGGCGCAAGGACCAAGCGTTTACACTATAGCCGGAGTCGTCCGAGGTGGCGAGAGGAAGTCAGGTTGATGCTGCTCTCGTCCTGAGTGTGCGTTCACGGGCGCGAACACGACGACGAGCATGACGCAGAGAACGAGCGCGGAGACGACTGCGAGTACGGCGCCGGTGACGGACCCAAGCGCAACGACGAACGCAGGGCGGACGAGAACGGTGGACTTGACTGGGACTGGCGGCGGTGACGACCGGGGCGGTGACGAACTCGGGCGCATGCCACCAACGCCAGGCACGACATCAGCGGCGAAATCATGGGGCTTCTGGGCGGACGACTACGCGCCATCGCGCCAGGTGATCGTGCGCGAGAAGGCGAAGTCGCTGAAGGTCTCGAAGTTCAAGGGGCTGGACGACACGATGTGGCTGAAGACGGTCCGCGCCGAGGTACATTGGCAGGCTGCGACGATGGGCGTGCAGTGGAGTGACGGACAGCTGTACCATGAGGTGGCTGCGCACTTGGACGGCGAGGCGAAGAGGTGGTTCGCGACAGTGATGGAGTCCGAACCGCCCGAGAAGGAGAACTTCAACACCCTCGCGGGCATGCTGCGGGCCAAGTACATGACCCAGCACACGACCCACGAGGTGGTGGACCGCCTCAACGCGAGAAGGCAGATGCGGGGCGAGCGCCTGGTCGAGTACGCTCAGGCCTTGCGGGAGATCGGTGAGCGAGGAGATGTCGGCGAGAGCTGGCTCGTGAGCGTCTTCATGAAGGGCATGAGCAGCACCGAGGGAGCGACGCACGTGCGTGGACACCGGCCGAAAACACTTGACGAGGCCGTCAACCTGGCCGTCCCGCACGTGGGTGAGTACGGCGAGGGCTACGGAGTGGGGCTCGAGACGGCGATGACACGCTGGGACACCAGAGAGGCCCAGTACGGGCGCGGGCCCTTGGCGGCGGCCAAGGCGACGAGTGAGCAGGAGCAGTCGGGTCTTCGCGGTAACTCGAGGAACGTGGTGACTGGGTACGGCCCGATGTGGGGCACGGCCCAGAAGCCACCAAGTTACGATACCGAAGGAAGACCGGTATCGATCGGTGGAGCCCGTGCGGATGAATGGTGGAAAGCCACCCCGCCGGGATTCACGCTGGTACCTACCGGTAAGGGAGCCAGTGCGGGCAGAGGCTAAAAATTTCAAACGGCTGGCGGGGATCCGTTAGGCACGCGCGGGAAACGGCAAAGTACCGGCGATCAGAATGAACGTCGGCCCGCTTAGACATTCAAGGTGGCGGCCGCCTTCAGCGGCGGTGCTCAGGCGGCCAGGCGAGCTTGTAACCCCATGCTGGCGACGCGTGAAGGCCAGCTACGCAACCTGGAGTGGTACCAAGCGCACGTTCAGCGTACGCAAGCTGGAGAAAGCCTGCCGCGCCGAGATCTGGCCACCAGCCGCCGTGTGCTCTTCCCCTCGAGCCTCGCCATCACTTGGTCGCACTCCGCCGCCTCGGGTCACTGTTGCACCCGTAGCGCCCAGGTCCTGGACTCCAGGCAACCATCCGAAGATAAGGCATCTTCAGATCCCGACCAGGGATACCAACGGCGGAGCCTCAAGAGCAGAGCCCCAGCCACCAGTGAAAACCCCTCGGCTAACACCGAATCAACCGATGGGCTCCCCGATGCCGAGCCAGCACCATCAAGACCGCGTGGACAAGTTTCTGATATCGCAGCGCCAAAGGCAGAATCGAAACAGCTACGGTCTACAAGCGATGCATTTCAAGGAGCAGCAAATGAGCTGCGAGCCGTTGACTTCATCAACCAGGCTCATCACGATGTGTAGTGAGTACGAGCTCGAGTGGAAGATTGCGATCTTACCACCGCTCTGCCACAGTGCAGTTCCCAAGTACCCGAGTACCATGCTTCACCTTCGACGTTATGCTTGAGGGGGAGTGTTGCAAGTAGGAAAACCTTGCAAGCATTACTCAGCGGTGAGGCGGCTGGCGGCGAAGGCCAGCTGGACGGAGACGCTGATCCGAGCGGAACAGGCTCGTGACAAGACGGTGCAGAAGCTGCGACGGAAGGGCAAGTACGGGGCTCGGCCGGTCGTGGTGGCGAATGACGTGGTGTGCATCAAGGGGAGCGACGGGAGCACGCGGGCGGTGCTGCCGACGGCCCTGTGGGCAGCGGCGCTGCGTGAGAACCACGATTCGGTGTTCGCATGCCACTTGCGCACACCGCAGACGTACGCGCGAATCTCTACGAACTACTGGTGGCCCGACATGAGGGGCCATGTGCAGCGGTGGGTCCAGTCGTGCAGGGACTGTGGGTCCAGGAAGGCGAAAGCTAAGGAGGTCATACCCCCTCTCCGAAGCCAAGGCATTGACGAGCCAGGAGATCGGTGGGCGTTGGACGTGGCTGGACCCCTTCCAGTCACGGCGGATGGCAACCGTTACGTGGTGGCGGCTGTCGATTATGCCACTCGCTACTCGGTGGTAGCGGCAACGCCGGCGCACACGGCCACGGACGTAGCGAAGTTCATGATGGACAATTTGGTGTTCGCCTACGGACCCCTGAGGGAGATCGTGATGGACGGCGCACCGGAATTAAACGGAAAGGTGGTGGATGCGCTGGTCGACATGCTGCAGGCCATACAGCTTACACCGGTGCCGTATCGGCCAGCCTTATTGGGCTTGGTCGAGAGGTTCCATAGAACATGGTCTCTATTTACGCGGCGGTGGCGCAGGACAACTGGGATCGATGGCTCCCATGTGCTGCGTACGCCTACAACGGCGCGAGGCATTCGGGTACGGGCTTCAGCCCGAACGAGCTCATGATGGGGCGCAAGCTGCGCGCGCCCAACGAGCTGCTGAGGACAAGGACGAGCACGACAGCGAGGGCTGACACGTTTGGGGAGCGCTACAAGGCACTCGTTGACAACTTGACGCGGGCGTCAGAGGTGGCTAAGGCGGCGCTCGCTAAGGATCAGAGCAGGCGCGACAGGTACTACAATCGGAGGGTGCGCGAGACTACGAGGTTCACCGTCGGCGACCTCGTGTGGGTATTGAGGCCGCCGAAGGGCAAAGGAATTACAAAGCTGCCCCACCAGTGGGTTGGGCCACCGAAGATCGTGCAGGACGCAGGCTATGACAACTGGGACGTGGTGAGAGAGGACAACGGCGAGCGGTTGCTGGTGCGCAGCAGCTTTCTCGTTTCGAGCCGTTGCCCAAGCGACTCTATGGGGCATATTGTAGAGCGGGTACTCCGAGAGCTTGCTGAGCAAGGAGGTGAGACTCGGAGGCGGAGGAGACTGGCGTCGGCGGAGACAGCGAGCCACCCGACGACAGCGCGGGCGGCCAGGACGAGGCTGGCGGCGGTGACCACGAAACGGCCGCAAGGCCCGTGGGTGAGCAGGCGGAGAATGGCGCCCAGCGCCACGAAACCGGTGAGCGGGAAATGACGGCACCTGGTCCGGTAGGGGCTCAGGCGCCAGGAATAGCAGTGCACCGAGATGATGAGACCCTGGGGCTGCGACGAGAGACAAACGAAGTGGCTGTGCGCGTGCCACTCGCGAAGCAGCGGCGCAAGAGGTAGGCCTCGGTTGACGAAGAGACGAAGGATGGAGGCGACCGGCCGCCAACGCAGCAACAACGGCGACACGAAGCTGATGCTGCGCGTGAAGCAATAGCATCGAGGAGACAGGCTGTGCGTGACCAGCAGGAAGCCGCAGCCACGGCGTCGACTGGTGCAGATGGTGATCGTGGGGTTCACCGCGGTCGCGAAGCCAACGAGAATGACGGATGATTACGAGCCTCACGGGAGCGGCGGCATGGAGGGACCGCAGGCGCCGGAGACGCTGATCAGAGTGGTGGCGCGCGTGGAGGAGCGCTCTCCGGAAGTGTTCAAGGCAGAGGGCGACCCCGACGACCCGACCCAATGCCAGAGTTGCTGCAAGTGGCAATCGCAGGTCACACCATCGAACTTGCGCGGCATCGAGTGCGAAACCGAGCCGGATGATACGTGGTGGAGCATGAAGTGCAGTATGGCGTGCGGTCAGGTGGACCATCGGGCAGGAGGTGGCTGTCAGCGGACGAGTTCGAAGTGCTGCTGGACGCCGGCAAGATCGCGGACGATCTTGATGCCGGGGATGGCGTGTAGTAGTGTGTCCATTCACTGTGTGGCGGGGCATGACTCAGAACTGGTGAGCAGCGGCTGCATCGTGATCGACTTGACGTAGTCGTTCGTGTGGCCCCCCAAGGACAAGTCGGTGGCGGAGGTGTACGGCGGGCGGCAGGCGGTGGCTGAGGCGAGTCAGTCGGCTACTGCCGCCGCCACGAGAACCAAGTTGAAGAGGGAGTCTGCAGAAGATCGCAGGACGGCGACACGGCGAGCAGGGACAACGTGCGAGGAGGCGAGGCGACATGAGATCTACGACGAGCGGCCAGGAGGCCACGAGAGCGGTGATGAGACGTGAAGAGGAAGAGGTCCAGGTAGGCTAGGAAGGCGCCCAATGTGTAGGAGAGGTAGAAGTAAGCGGGGACAACGAGCTGCGGTCTGGCAGCTCGACCCTCAGTTGAGATTTGTTGCAGAACTGTAGCAGGTTGAGACTAAATACATTGCGTTGCGACCGAAGACACAGGCTGCTACGTTAGTGCTGAGCGAGGGCGACGACTAGCTGCGAGCAGTAAGAGGAGGTAAGCGAAGGTAGGCAGGCACTAAGATGAGGGGGCAGTGGCGAGTAGGGCGGCGGGACCGTGGAGAGAGACCACGGGGGTCGAGGTGCACGACTAGCGCCTTGACCGAGGGGCGCAAGGGTCCGCGCGTGCCCTCGGGCGAATGACACCTGCGTCCGTTGCACGTTAACCGGGTTTTGCTGGAAGCAGCCGGCGGGACTACCCGACCGTCGGTGCCGACAACGCTTCCTCCCAGCCATCCCTATCCCCGTCTGGGCCATAAGCTGTTTGGTCACCACTGTGCGGCCCCGTGCCGGTTAGCCGCCAGAGCTAATGCTTTCCGCCTAGGTGCTGGCGAGTAGGTCGTCAATGCAACGTAATCCGTCAGTGAGCTGACGACCCGTAATGGGATTGGAGGCCTAGCGGCGAGTTACCTACACAAGTATCCGATTAGACATTCGGGGTGCCGATCACGAAAATTCACCAAATAAGTTGTGTGGACCACATATCCATTTCCAATTGGCTAATTTGCGGAGCAAGTTGGCGGCCAACCAAACGTCAATTTGCTTCTGCAATTGCATCGTCGCAATGGCTCCTACTGCAGGTGCGCCAGCGCTTGCTGCCTTTAGCCCCGACAATGCAAATGCAATAGCCTCTAACCTTCCTCCTACTATCTCCACTGATACCATCCACCCTCAGGAACGCGCCTCCGCTTCAAGAACGCTCGGTCCAAGAAGCCGCAGCAGGCCAAGAAGGTCCCGTCGCTCAAGAACCGCATCCGCGGCCTCGAGCGCTTCCTCAGTCGCGGGGTGCGTTGGCAGCAATGCATTGCAATTGAATTGTCTTTACTACTATATTCTGACAATGCTGCATTGGTGGCGGTGTGTAGGGACTGGCTGATGCCACGCGCAGAGCCAAGAAGGCCGAGCTGCAGCAACTCAAGGATGAGGTGAGCTGCTCGGCGCTGGAGATGGCACTGCTCAATTATGTATATTTTACTTACGTGTGATATTCGATGATTTTTTTAACGTACAGCACGAGAAGAAGGAGCAAGTTGCACAGGAGAAGAAGAATGCCGAGAAGTACAAGAGAGTGAGTAGTTACTGGGGGCTGTTTCTATGGCTGATGCTGCATATTCGTCGGCTAACGACTTGTTGCTCGCTTTCATTGGTAATAGCCGCGCTTTTTCGAGCGTGTGAAGGTCATGCGGAAGCTGCGCCAGGCCAAGAACCGTATTGAGCAGGTAGGGAGGGCACTGGTTCTTTTGATTTTTTTAACGTTGTGGGCGATTCTAACAGAGATGTTTGCTACAGGCGAATGACGACTCGGAGCGTGCTGAACACGAGAAGAAGTTCAAAACGTACCGTGAGCAAATGATGTACATCTACTACTACCCAAAGAGCGAGCCGTACATCTCGCTGTTCCCGTCGGCGCCTCACTCCGAGGAGAACCAGAAGCGCCAGAAGGAGCTGCGTGCTGAGGCCATCGCCCGCTTCGAGAAGGAGCAGCCCACGGAGGCGTTCCACCAGTTCTGGTTCAACGACGGGAAGTCAAAGGATTCCAGCTCGGGAAGCGAGGCGCGGCCTGCTGTGGAGCTGCTGCTCAAGAAGCCGACCAAAGATATGGTTAAGAAGCAGAAGAAGGCTCGCAGCAAGCGAGACAAGTCGGGCGAGAAGCCGAAGCACACTCCGGCGCTTGTCGACCAGGACGACGACGATGAAATGCCGGACGCAGCGAAGGCGGAGAGCGACAAGGGCGAAGAGGAACAGGAGGAGCAGGAGGAGGACGACGACTTCTTTCTGTAAACGTTGATGATATAGAGCACACGTACCCTTTGGTCGAATCGTTTATACAGTCGTCAGTATCTTCAATCAAGGTCACGGTGTTCTTACAGTTTATTACTAATAATCTTTACGCTGACGAGCTCACAGGTAGATGATGACGATGGAAGTTACCTATCTTGGTCACGAAGATGGCTGTAGGGGGGGGGGCATCGTCGAAGTCTCGAAACTCGGCTAGATCAGGATGGACGGACCGGAAGCGGTTGCAACAGACTGCTGGTCCGGGTCTGTGATCATTTCGGCCTCTGCTTGCGATGCAGCGGCAAGTGCATTCATGTTGGTGAAGCTGAAAGACCTGAAGGCATCTGAGAGATTCGAATCGTCTGGGCTACCGTACATGCCACTAGGGAACCGGTAGTGACTGTTGTTATCTTCCGCCAACCCGTCTCCCATGTGGTCATCGTACGTAGCACTCATACCTTCCAGCGCGCCTGGTGCCCCTGCAGTGCCCCAGGATATGTCAACATCCGCTGTGCCTGCGGACGTGGTGCTTGCCTTGTTATTTGCGTCGTCTTCTACTTTCGGATCAGACGGACTCTGCGGTTGATCGTCGCTTTCGGGGCCAGAGTCGATGTTGTTCTGGCTGCTGCTTGCAGAGCGACAGTCAACGTCGAACTCGTCGTCATCGATGAAGATGTCCGTGAGGTTACGGTTGTTGAAATAGCTCGTGTCGTTCGGCCCCTCTAGCGTTGGTACGAACGGAGGCACCGACTCCAAAATCGTATCCCAGTTGATGCCCTCGAAAAACGGATGCAGCTTGATGTTGTCCCAGCCCATTCGGGTTGCCGGGTCGGGATCAAGCAGCTTGTCTATCAAATCCATTGCTTCAAGTGACAAGCACTTCTCGCCGTCGGGCCACAGGATTTGCCGGTCCAGAATGTTCTCAAAGATCGCATCCACAGTGTCGTCATTGAACGGAGGGAAACCAACCAGCATTTCGTAGAGGATGATCCCTAGTGCCCAGTAATCAACAGGCGGGCCGTGCGGGACGCCAAGGATGATTTCAGGTGCCAGGTAATCTGGAGTGCCACATCGCCCATACGTGTGATAGGCAGACTTCTTTCGAGAGCTCCTTCTGGATGACGAGGCGTGACGCGGGCGACTGGGTGATGGCACAGCAGACGGCGCACCTAGCGGGAGTGGAATGCCAGCCAGCACGTCCGAGTCCTGGGTCATTGATTCATCGTCGGGTTCAGAATCGGTGTCACTGATTGCCACAGCTTCCTCGGACAAGCCGAAATCAGTCAGCTACAAGTCCGAAAATACAAGGGAATATCGCCATCAGAGCGCGGATAATGCAGCCAAGGTATGACAAAGCTGCTCGGCGCACCTTAATATGGCCAGTTGAAGACAGCAAAATGTTGTCGGGCTTGAGATCTCTGTGTAGCACAATGCCAAAAGAACAGGCAGGTGGATAGACGCAGCAAATATGTGAGGACAAAGTGAAGTATGCAAATGAAGCCAATCACGGACCTGTGGACACAGCCCTTGGTATGCAGATGATTTAGTGCAATCGCGATCTCTGCGATGTAGACGCATGCCACCTACACGTCACGACAGTCAGTGCCAATGATCACGGGCGCCCAGGATGCGTTCACCAGACTTACCTGCTCTTCCAGCTGCACAATGCACTCCAGCAACGACATGAAATCACCACCAGGAAGATACTCCATCACCAAAAACAGGCTGCGCCTAGCGATAGCAAGATAAATATCCTCAAATAAGTCGGTGCTACTACTGGTCCACAAGCACGTGCTGCTTACTTGGTTTGGAACGTCCAGAACAGCTTCACAAGGAATGGGCTCACCACGCTGGCTAGAATGTTCCTCTCTGTTTCAATCTGCTGGATCTGCGGTGGCACACAAAGCGAGCAACGGAGCGAGTGCTCAGTAGGCAGTATTGTGATGGTAAACAGCATACTATGCAGCAGACAACGCGCTGTACCTGCTTTTTGCGCAGTAGGTGCTCTTTCGCGAGCACCTTTATAGCATATTGGTCCCCCGTCGTCTTCTTCCGTGCGAGATACACTTTACCGAAAGCGCCCTTTGATATCGGTTTTACAATCTGGAAATCACGGATCGAAACCCGATAGGAAGCCGGTTTGATACTCGTACGACGTGGTGCTCGGAGTCCATCGAAGCTCTCGATGTCTTCCGCCGACTTGGTCCGCTTCAGCGGCAGCCGTTCCACTTCCACCAAGCCCTGTTGGAACATTACCTTGTGTGACGCACGCATCTTGCTCATCTTGGCGTGGATCAAGTTGCGCAGCTTGGTGCAGTACTTGACCCCGCGCTCGACGGCGAAGTTGGCCGTCTCCACCTCCTGTTGTCGTATTCGGTCAATGATTTTCACCAGTCGAGAGCACAGCGCGAACGCATCCACACTGGCCACATCACACGTTGAAGCCTGGATCGCCACCACGCGCAGAGCATGGTAGATGTGCATCTCCTCCTGGTTGAACATGGGCCGCATGCCCTCCGCCGCGAGCATGGCGGTGATGGAGGCCGTGAGCTTGACCAGCGAGTTGTTGATCACGTCGGCCTCGAGCTCCACCCTCTTGGACAGGACACAGTAGTTAGTATGCTCATCCAGACTGTTGGCGTCCACTTTGGTCTCGCAGAGCTTGCACACGACCGCCGTCTTGTTGACGCGTCGGAACGTCACGGTCATGGGGCGCTTGCTGAACTGCAGGTTGTCCAGCACGTCCTCGGGGGACATGGCGCTCACGTCGCGGCCGTTCACGGCCTCCACCGAGAGGCCCCTTGTGATGGTCATGCCCGGCGGGATGTGCATGACGACGGCCGTCCACCTCTCGGGCTGCACGCTCTTGATCACGATCTTGTTGCGCAGCGCGTCGAACACGAACTCGAGCCCCAGGAAGCCGTCGCCGAACGTCACGTCGAACGTCTCGCTGCGCGGCTGCACGCTCTCGAACAGGTCGTCGCCGTCCTCGAGCATGGACGCGTCCTGGTTGCTGTCGGTGTTGCCGTTGTCGGACGACGAGGAGGCCCCGAAGCGGCGCCACTTGACCTGGTTCTTCTCCCAGCGACTCAGCACGTCCTCGAGCCTGTCCGGCGCGGCGTCCAGGAGCCCGCTGAGGGCCATGGGGCCCCCGCCGGCGCTGAAAGGCGGCACGTTGAGCGTGTGCTGGCGCTGCAGGCGCTGGGGCTTGATCTCGAGCCGCAGCTCCTCGTGCAGACGCTCCAGGTCGCTGTTGCTCGTGGTGCTGCTGGCGCTCGTGCGGCGCCCGCCGTCCGACGGGAGCTCGAGCTCGGCCACGCGCGCCAGGGCGAGCTGCGGCAGCCGCTCGGTCATGACGTGACAAAGGGTTGGAAGGAAGGAGGCGAGTGTTGGTGGGCCGGTCCGAGGCGAGGAGGCGAAACGTACTATGGGCTTTTGGCTATGGAGCCGGCCTTCTGCGCCTTTTCTTGCCGATGATTTTTGAAGTTTTTGTTTGCAGTTGGATCTGTAGGTTATTTTGTAGAAGGAAAGTAATTTACCTACCTACTGGCACTAGAACGTCCATCCATGCGATGATCGGATGATGAAATGAACGCCCCAGCGGTCGCCTTTCCTCCGGCTTTTTTCGCCGAGTCATGTACGAGCGCGCGCGCGTGTGTGTGTGTGTGTGTTTCCTTTCGTCTCCAAAACCCGAGCCGTTGGTGTGTTTCTAAAAGCTGAGCTTGGCGTTGAGCCGGGTAAGTCGAGAGCGAGTGCAGACATCCATGTCAGCGCCGTTCAAGAAAAGCTGAGTCCTTCGCGAGCCAGTGTGCTCAATGTAGCACGGAAAATGTCTTTGAAGCGCGTCCTCTTGGACGCACCGCTGAAGTCAAAGGACGACGAGCTTTTTCGCTTTCAGCTGTCCAGGACAGCCTGTCCTACGTGGCACTCGCAGCGATTTTTTGTCGTAAGCTTATACGAATTCGGTGCAGACGGCGACGGGCGCCCGAGCGGTTGGTAATGACCGTGGGTGTGTGACGACCTCGGTACGAACACTCCGCCCGCGCTTGCCCATGACGATCCCCCACGCGGTCTGCAGATAGTCAACCTCGGCATCTTGTCCAGCCCGTCGGCCGTTTCACAGGACTGGACCTCGTCGACAACCGCATGCGTGCGCGAGCTAGCTCGCCGCGCTGCTCTGGTGGGCAAACAAACATGAGTGAGTGCACTTGGGATGCAAGTGCAGGCACGGTATTGCATTCCACCGAGAGGAATGCGTCATGAGTCAGCTGAGAATGCTTTTAATACGCTCAGTCCAAGCTACTGGGACAGGCCCGTCATTCTTGCGATCCCCGATCTACGGATCCAAACCCGCCATTCTTCAGATCTTGAGTCAGCACGTGTTTTGCTGGTTTAACTACCTTTCGTGTTGTGTTCATGGCAAACGACACAGTTCGCAACCAGCATCGTCAAAGGCCAAAGTCAAGGCGAGGAGAACTCCTTACTCGCTCGACGCGTTGTGCTGCAGAATCCATTCCACCGCGTCGGGGAAGCCCTTGGCGACGTATGAAGGCGGGGGATCTGCGGGCAACAGCTACCGGTCAGCTCCGTTTTCCGCATCTTCATTGACCGTTGCCGCCCAGAACGAAAGCAGCGCAAAACGCACCAATTTTTCCCTCATCCCCGCTCCTGTATTTACCGGTCTGCACGAGCACTCCATGCAGGCCCAGCGCCATGGCGCCGTGCACGTCTTGACGGACGTCGTCGCCGATCATCGCAGCCTCCTCCGGAGCAATATTCCTTGCAGAACCGAACCAGAACGAGAATCAGCGGGTGCAAAGCAGAAGATGGCGCATCATGCAGGGAGCTACTCACAAATCCGTTAGCGCTTGGCCGTTGAAGGTCGGCGCTGGCTTCCTGCAAACCATGGTTTATCTCGTCAGACGACCGAATACCCGACGTCGATGAAGAAGCGCGCGCAAGACGCGCACTTTGTCCATCGATCAACCCTACCCGATGATAGTTGCCTTCACACCAGCCGAGAACTCCAGGGCCTTCACGAACGCGCCCGGGCCAATGTTGAGTCCATCTTTGCCGGCAAAGTAGCGCGCTTCGTGGAGTGCGATCAGAGAACCTCCCTCCAGCAGCACGCGAAACGCCTCATTGAGCTGCTCACAACCACCGTCACATCAGCATCAACAGTGCAAGAGTTTAAGCCACCCTCCACTGGAAGGCTCCACTGGAAGGCTTCCAGTCATCACCTTGCTGTAGTGGAAGTGTTCGGGTGCCAGGCCGACGACGACTGCGTTGGGGTTGGAGCGGTCAAGTCCATCGAACTCCTCCTCCAGCGACGGGTCGACCAGCAGCAGTGGGCGAAGACTGCGCTGCTCGAGGAGGCTGCGGGCAATGCCCCCCGAAGTTAGAACATGCTCAGCCTTGATGTTCTCGAGTCCGATGCTGTGCAGGTGCTGGATCTACGTACGACACACCCGCGTGCTGTTAGTCGCTGGCTTCTGTCTGTCGTCACGTATTGGTAACGCACCAGCTCCCGACGGAACTTGGTCGTCGTATTGGTCACTGTCACGGATGACGCAGAACGGAGCGTGAATCGATGGAGTTGTGCAGCCACTGTAGATGATTCAACCATTGGGCTTCCGTCACGCACCGAAGCGCACGCCGATGTCGCGCTGGGCCAGCAGCTTCGTCAGCGCAGCGGCGCAGCCCGGCAGCACGACGTCCTCCACATGCAGTGTTCCTGGTCGTCTGAGCCGGAAAATGTTCGTCATTGATACAAGGGCGCCGCGGCGAGGCAGTCGGCGTACTCACGCACCGCTGAGGTCGATCGTATACTCGCCATCTTGTCGATCCGAAAATATGGCAGTGAACCTTCAACCATATGATTGGCGGACGGGATCGGTTTCTAGGATAGGACCTAGGTTGAAGTGACTTCGGGATCGAGTCACTCGATTCACGTGCTTCGAGCAGAGCTCGCCGCTATCCTAGAAGCTCTAGCCCTAGATTGCATCGGGGAAGGACATACTCGTGGGCGAGCCTTGTCCTGGCAAACGCGTATTGCGACGAGCGCAAGCGATAAATGACTGAACGCCATCCAGCGCTTGGATACCGCACGCGGCGATTCAAAGATCACGGTCAAAAGGTGACCTTAATGGCGTGCAGCTTCAGCTTGCACATAACTCTGGTGTATGGCTTTGCCTCACCGTGTCCTCGTAGCGTCGGTTGCTTTGGAGCACGCCCGGCACCGAAAACTGTAGCAAGCAACGTCGAAAGACTAGCATTCCGCCTCCGTTGCGAAGCTCCTTCGACTCGGACCACGCCAAAGAGCGCCAAGATTCAATTGAACAAGTGACAGCCATCGGCTGGCGCCTGCTGTCCGATGCGCGGCCACGTACAGTATCGTGCTGTGCTGCAAACCTTCCGAGTCGCAAAAGTTGTGCAGCAACAACCCCACAGGCCACCGCCGTGCTTCCACGGCAGCCACCAGCCAGTCAGCGCCAGCCCATCGCGCGCAGCCTGCCCGGAACTCGCCGCCGCTGGACGCCTTCCCTCAGCGTCCGGACGGCGCGCGGCGCATCAACCTCGAGCTCCTCCCCGTGCGGTGCCCGCCGCCGCAAGTCCTGCCACCTGTTGGCTCGTCATCGCCGCGCTCATTGGCTGCCGAAAATATAGTGCAACGACGTATTCGGCGCACAAAAACACGGGCAGCACGACTCAAGCCTCGAGTGGCATTCTCGAGCTTACCGTGCGTGACGCAGGACTGCTGCGCTGCACTGGGGAGACGGTGCTGGCCATCGACGGCGAACTCGCCCGCCGGAAGCGCATGGTCATTTCGCTGCTCTGTTAGCTGGTCGACTCGAGGCGATTAAAACAATTGGTGCGTCCGGACTTCTCCGACCGTTATGGCAAATGTGATGGCGCCCACAACTCCTGGCGTCTGTGCACGTACGTATCTGTGCAAATCGATGTTAACTTCGGTGTCTCTCTGTGTATGTTGCTGTTGCCATTTTCAGACTGGCAGCGTGCGTTGCAGCCATGCCGGCCTCCAAGAAGCGCATCCAGAACCGCGGCACGCTCAATGTGGGCACGCAGCAGGTGCCGGCGGCGCTCAAGGACTGGGTGCACATTTGGCACGGCGTCAAGGTGAATAACGGGTCGGAGGACACGTCCATCTTCCACGCGGGCTCGCGCATCGAGGAGATGCCGTTCTGGAAGCAGTTCATCCGGCTGCCGGCCAACTCGCTGTTCCCCAGAGTCTTCACGAGCTCCAACCCGAGGAAACCGTACAAGGACTTCCTCTACGTGTTGCTGAACATGCGCTGGCCGATGCTGCTGATGGTGCTGCTGGCGGTCTTCATGGCCAACATTTTCTTCTTCGCAGCTGTCACGTGCTTCATTTGTGGAGAGCCGACCAACTTCTTCGAGGCGTTCGACTTGAGCTACCAGACCTTCACCACGATCGGATTCGGCGTTGTGTACCCCACGCGCACGTGTGGCAATGTGAGTATGTCTGTGGAGTCGTTCGCGTCCATGATGGTCGTGTCGGCCGTCACGGGTCTCGTATTTGCGAAATTCGCCAAGCCGCAGGCCAAAGTTGCCTTTAGCAAGGTTTGCGTGGTACAGCCTTACGGTAAAAAGTACCTGGCGCTTGTGGTACGAGTGGCGAATGCGACGCAGTCGCGCGATGTGACCCACGATGTGATCATGGAGGCCGTGTTCAAGGTCAACTTGCTGCGCGTGGAGCACAAGACTAAACACATTCGGGCTCACGATGATGAAGCCACGGAGAAACGGAGGCTATCGCGGTCGGCTCACTATATTATCAACGATGCTGAGGATGCGGTGGACAACCCCGCGTGCTCACCGACCAAGGTGCTTACTTCGTACAACCTGAAGCTGCTGCAGAACAACTTCATCACATTCCGCATGGGCGTTGCTGTAGTGCACGTGATTGACGAGACCAGTCCGCTTTTCGGGATGTCGAAAGATGATATTGCCCAGTCTGACATGCTGATAGAGGTGGCCATGTCGGGAGTCGACTCCACACTTCAAGACACAGTTTCAGAGCGCTACATCTACACGGCAGCAAATCTGATGTGGGGATACCGCTTCGCCGAATTGCTGGAATTTAACGAACGGGAGGCGGAAGTCATCATGAACTTTGCAAAGCTCAGTACGGTCGAGGCTGCGCCGATCGATAATGCTCGGTATCTAAAGCCAATTTTCTCGAATGGGGGCTACCGCGACAGCCACGAAAGCAGCAAGAGTGGATATACCCATACAGTTGCCGGTCGGCGTTCACATCGTAAGTCGAAGGTATGGCATCGCGAGGAAGAACGTCACCCCTATCATGACGAAGCAGTGCATGAAGTTCCAGCCGAGTACTCTGAGTCCATTATGATGAGCTCAAGATCAGGATCGTGGGACGGGCAGTCCAATGCAGACTCGACTGTACCAGCTCAATCACACCCTCCTGTTTCGTTCTCAAAGAAGCCTGGCCCGAAGAAGTTTGCAATGGGACTAGAGCCACTGTTTGAACCATTGCTACAGCAGCCGTTTGGAACACAGCGAATACCGAAAGCTCCGACCGCCGAAACTCGAGCAGCTCAAAGAGGAGGACTGCGAGTATGGAGAGAAAACGAGGCGTCTCTGAAGGAAGGGCGGAGCAGGCACCAGTCGACACCAAGTGAGGGGCCAAGTGGCCGGGCCCACGCTGGAAGCGGTGGTGGACGTAACAGTGACGGAGGTCGGGGCTCTTTCGAGGGTCCAAACGGCCTCCGAGCGAAGAATTTTCTCCAGCGAGAAATGGCAGGCTCTGTCATGATTGACGACGACGCCAGCACGATCTCGCAGGAGGAAGGACACAAGGACGACATCGCCGATATTGATGATATCGATGGCATTGGCGTTGAAGTTGATAATATCGACTATGACAGCGACGAAGGAGATGAGGGTGCGGAGGCCGTTGAACAAATGGATATTAGTTGCCGTCGACAACGCGCTCAGACAACTTGGTCCGCCGTGTCCATTGAAGTCGAAGACACGCCTCGATTCTTGCGTATTTTGCCCGTGCACATCCCAAAGTCGTTCAGCTTCATGCGCTTCTACCAAAGTGCTCTGCACGTGCGCTGGCCCAAGATCATCGTCGTGTTCATCGTGGTTTTCCTGGTCCTGAACTTCGTGTTTGGGTTTCTGTACTGGCTTGACGAGAGCAACATCTCCGCTTATGACGACGTGGTGGTCCCCAAGTATGAACTGGCGTTCTACATGAGCGTCCACACACTAGCCACCATCGGCTATGGGTCCATCGCGCCGATGCCGGACTCCGTCTACATGAACGTTGTCGTGTTCATCGAGTCGATGGTGGGGATCATCGCGGTGACGATCATCACAGGCATCGCCTGGTCCAAGTTCGCTCGGCCCCGAGCGCACATTCACTTTTCGTCCAAGATGACTATCTCCACCATCTACGGCCACAGGTGCCTCGTTTTCCGAGCCGCCAACACGCGGCATTCCGGCGAGGTGCACGAGAACTTTTTCCGCATCGGCGTGATTCTCACGAATCGACGTACAGGACTGCGTCAGATGTACGACGTGCCGCTTGTGACGGCGGAATGGCCGTCCATCAAGCTACCGGCGACGCTCATCCACGTCATTAACGAGAACTCGCCGTTCTACAAGTTCCACTCCATGGAGGACCTCTCTCAATCTCGAGTTGCGGTCATCGCGTTGCTGACGGGGCTGGACACGACGTTCTCCGAGAACGTGTACGCGCGCAAAATGTACTTCTGGGACGACTTCGAGTACGATATGCGGTTCGCGGACTTCGCAGTCATCGAGCGCGACCGCGTCATCGTCGACTACGAGCGCTTTGACCGACTCATTCCAGAGGACCGAGATGAACAAGTCATCACGACGCCGGTGCTGTCCGAGAGGTCTTCCATTGCAGACGTAGTTTAGTCTTTTGGCAAAGCGAAGTTTTTCTCTTCTGACACATCTCGTGTACATAAGTGTTGGTTTGCTAGGCATTTGCAGTGGTGAACTACTTTCATTTCAAGTTATTAGACCAGGAGCGGGCGGCGCGGGTTTCCTCGCCCATCCAAGCGGTTTGCGATTGCTGGAACACCGTACTCTCCCCAGTAGCCATCACTACGCATTGCATCACCCACGAAACGTTTACCAGCGTCCACGGCCACCGCCGTAGCCACCGCGGCCGCGGCCGCCGCCACCTCCACGGCCCACAAGGTCACGCAGGTCACGCGGCACTTCCTGCTCCGCTTCCTCCAGGATCTTGACCAGGGGTCCGGCAAGGCGCGCGTTGTTGGTGGGCGTGAAGAAGGAAATCGACGTACCCTTGTTGCCGGCACGGGCAGTACGACCGATACGGTGAATGTAGTCCTCAATGTTCTTGGGCATGTCGAAGTTGACCACATAGCGAATGTCCTTGATATCCAGACCACGCGAAGCCACATCCGTGGCTACCAGAATCTGCGTGCGGCCGTCCTTGAACTCGCGCAGCACGTAGTCACGCTCCTCCTGCGACTTGTTACCGTGGATAGCCTTGCACATGTATCGAGTGTTGCGCAGGTTGCGGCTGAGCTCATCGGCGCCACGCTTCGTCTCGCAGAAAATAATGATGCGACCGCCCTCGTAGATGTCGCGCAGGTGGTCCTGCAGCGAGTTGTACTTCTGGTGGTCATCCATAACCTCGACAATCTGCTTGATGCGCTTGTTGGCAGTCAGATCCAGCGAGCCAACCGTCACCTGAATGAAGTCCGTCAGGAAGTCGTTGGCAAGCGACACAATCTCCTTCGGCCACGTGGCCGACCACATGAGCGTCTGACGGTCGGGACGGATCTGGCTCACGATCTTGCGAAGCTGCGGCTCGAAACCCATATCAAGCATGCGATCGGCCTCGTCAAGCACCAGGTAGGTCACACGGCGAAGGTTCGTCTTGCCCATGCTCAGCATGTCGATCATACGACCGGGCGTGCAAATGCAGATCTCGACACCACGGCGGAGGTCAGCAATCTGGCCGCCCTTGGGAACACCGCCGTACACGCACGTGTTCTTGATCTTGGAGCTAGCGCCGAACTTGTTGCACTCCGCCTGGATCTGCACGGCCAGCTCACGCGTCGGGGCAATGATCAGCACAATCGGTCCGTCGCCGGGCTGCAGGTAAGGCTGCATTTCAAAACAAAAGCACATCACAAAAGAGTTAGTGGGCTCAGTATCGCTACAAGGCTAGCAAGGTTGCACGAGAAAGCAAACACAAGCGAGCGCCGAGGGATTTGAGGTGTTCGCGTGCTGCTCTTTCTTCTGGCCATCGCCCACAACGCACCAATGCAAAATCATCGCACCGATCGATCGTCAGGAGGACGCCAGCGCGAGAAGAAGAAAGCAGCCGTGCAAATGTAGTCGGTCGTGCCGGTCAGATACTGCCGAAATCGGATTGCGGATACTCTTCGCTTCATATACGCCTCGCCGTAAAGCGCCACGTACGCGTAAGCAAAGAGAGTCGTGAATTCCACCACCTTTGACCGGCACTCCAACACAGCAAACTGCGAATCGAATCAACCGAAGTGACGAATGGCACGCCAATGCCGCTCAAAGAGGAATATCCAAACGAGGTCCTCTCAAACGTGCATCCACGCGAATCCACCACGCTCTGAAGACCGTTTTACACCCTCACGCCTCACGCGTGTGTCCCGTTCAGCGCATCATCAAATGCGTGAACGACCGTCGTGTGCTGAACACAACTTTGCTATCATCCATCCGTCCATCAGCGCGCCAGCGCGCCAGCGCCGGGGAGGATGCGTCCAACAACGAGAAAAATCCTCGGAAAAGAGTCTGCTGCAAGTTACGAACCTGTGCGTTAATGTGCACGATCGCGGGCAGCAAGAAAGCCAGCGTCTTGCCGGAGCCCGTCGCCGAAATGCCCACCATGTCGCGACCCGAGAGCGCCATGGGCCAGCCCTGGCACTGGATGGGCGTGGGCTTGTCAAAGCCCAGACGCACCACCTCCTCCAGCACGTACTCGGGGAAGGACGCCTCCTCGAAGGACAGCACGCACTTGGGCACGCCCTTTCCCGACACGATGATCTGGTTGTCGCGTTTCCACTTCTCGTAGTCCTCCTCCGTGCGCTTGCTCACGTCCGGGTGCTCGTAGTAGAAGTTCTTCTCGAAGACCGGCAGCTTCGACAGGTCCCACTGGATGTGCGTGTCCAGGTTGGAGCCCAGGTCGCCGCCGCCACCGAAGCCGCCGCCGCCTCCACGGCCGCCTCCGCCGTAGCCGCCGCCTCCATAGCCGCCGCCACCGCCGCCGTAGCCACCTCCTCCGTAGCCGCCGCCACCCCCGCCGTAGCCGCCGCCTCCTCCGCGCGAGCCGCCGTAGCCACTGCCGCCGCCGCCGTAGCCGCCGCTACTTCCGCCGTAGTCACGGCGCGAGGAAGAGTCGCCGTATCGGTCGCCGCCGCCGCCGTACATGATCAGGAGTGAAGGTCTTCTGGGGTTCGGTCCTTTCCCTCTGAGCACTTGCGCGCTGCCGGTCGTTTCCGCGAATGGGCCTTCAGCGCGCACGGCAAAAGAAGCGATCGGCTTTGGGAGGGAACGTTTAACAGACGAGTTTTGGTTGGCTGGCGCGCCGGCGCCATTTCCTGCAATCAGGTGTCGCAAGCGCGCCATTCGCGAAAAATCTGCCGGGAAGCGTCACGATTGGACGAAATGAGAAAGATCTTTGGGCCGCCAGATCTGAACAAGTAAGTTGCCACTCAACGCGTTGCATTGAACATGAAATGTTGTAGTACAGTACTGAAGTCTACGCTGTGATGGTGCGTTCGTACGAGGCGAACTGGTTGTCGGCCTCCGCGATGGACACCTCGAGCTTGCGCACGCCACGTTCCTGCGATTGCACGAGCACAGCAGCAAAAGTTAGTCCATGGACACCTGGGGGTCGCAACCAACGAGCTCCGTACTTGAAGCGCGGATAGTGTGAACGCGTCCACGAGCTGGTTGCTCTGCCCAAAGCACAGCGAATACCATAGAAGCAAGTCAGTGCTAGCGATGGCAAAACGCAGTGTGGCTCCACGTACGATGTAAAGGGTGAGCTCCTCTGCAGACGAGTGTGCGATCGGCAGCAACGCGCAGTCTGCCTTGGGGAAGCTCCAAGCAGCGAACACTCAGTTAGACTTGCTTGCCCGCCAGTACAACTGCAAACCACCGCGGAGCGGCCCTACCTGAACCTCGCCAGGTCTTCCGTGAGGATGTGGACATTCGCATCATCGAACGAAATCTGCGTCACACCACGTCAGCACCAATAAAAACAGCACAGGGCACTTCCTCAGACGGCACCTTGAGGACGTCGCTGTTCATCGGCACCAGGAACGACTCGTTCAGGCCCTTGCAAATCGCGCGCGAGACCTTCTTGATCTCGCCAAAGTCGACAACGTAGCCATCCGAGCCAACTTGGCCGGTGATAGTGACGGCCAGCCGGTAGTTGTGGCCATGCAGCTTCTCTCGGAATCCCTGGAAACACACGCCACTCCTTTCGTCATCGAGACCGGCACCATAGCGCTCAACGACAACAAAAATACAGGCACCCACCTTGAACGCGATGAAGTGCGCAGCATTGAACTTCATGTAGTCCTTCGACACGTGTACCTTGAATTCTCCACTGTAGCTGTTGGGAACGGCGCGCGATACCGCGGGCAGCGACGCGGCCGTCATCTTGGCGTCTTTGCCGCTAATGCAGCTCCTGACGGCCCCATCGTCAGCGCCGCGCGCTGCGTGCTGCTTAGCGATGGCCTTGTGGTCTGCCGTGAGATCCTTGCCCATGCCGGTGCTGTTGTGCTTGCCTTGCGTGTTGGCTCCGTATTGTGAAGTGGCCCCGTTTAACACGGAGATTCCTGCACCCGCGTCTAATCACGGAAGTGGATGCCCTACATGTAATCGGAGCTGCAGCACCGGACTGAACCCAAGAGGCTTGCTGTCTTTCATCTTTAAGCGAGCCGCTTTCAGATCGTTCATACTGCGTCAGGTGTTTGTACACTGTACTGTAGTGCTTCACGGAGATGATAATCCGATAACGCTAAGATCCGGGTTTTTTTACATCGACGACTCAAGGACATAAGCTTACATCTACTGTAAGCTTACTCCTTTGCTGAAGCCTGCAGCACCCCGTACAGTGATTCTCGCTTGCAAGTGCATCAGCTCTGAGGGCAGAAAGAGTTATGTGGAGTATAAATTTCAATGCTGAAGCGAGCACATGAGCCCGTTGTATTGTGAATTTACTCGCTATCGACAGAGCAAACGCAGAATGCGGGAACGGGGTCATTGCCTCGCTCCAAGGTGTGTGTGTGTGTGTGTGTGTGTCTACTACCCTCTTCTATAGCTTTCACGCTTGCTTACGCAAGAATAGTGCGCTCGTACGTGGCGAATTGCTGGTTGGCCTCCGAGATGCTCACCTCCAGCTTCCGCACGCCGCGCTCCTGAAAATGGAAACCAACAACACGTTAGTACACAGCATAGGTTTCTAATCTCCACTCGAATACATACCAAGAGTGCAACGATCGTAAACGAGTCAATGAGCTGGTTGCTCTGTTCGAAAAACACAGCAAAATGCAGCCGTCTCAGTATCAAACAAAAAAAACATCCCAACTCAAGCACAACATCGTGACACGTACGATGTAAATGGCGAGCTCCTCAGCCGATGAGTGGACAATCGGCAGCAGCGAGCAGTCCGATTTCGGGAAGCTATGAACAAGAGTTAGACTAGTTGCTCTACTTCAAACAGTGTATGTACAATACAGGTGCTTACCTGAACTTGGCGTTGTCTTCCGTGAGAATGTGGACATTCGTGCCATCAAACGAAATCTGCGTTGCACCAACACACCACCCGCATCGTCAGCACATCTCAAAGCAACTCGCAGCACTTGATACCCGCAACGATCATACCTTCAGAGCATCACTATTCATCGGCACCAGGAACGACTCGTTCAGGTCCTTGCAGATGACGCGCGAGATCTTCTTGATCTCACCGAAGTCAACCACGTATCCGTCCGGTCCAACCTGACCTGTGATAGTGACGGCCAGGCGGTAGTTGTGTCCGTGCAGCTTCTCCCGGAACCCCTGCAACAAGCACACAGATCCAAAACAACGTTAAACCCAGCACCACAATCACTAACACTCAAATACACCGCTTACCTTGTATGCAATGAAGTGCGCGGCGTTGAACTTCATGTAGTCCGTGGACACGTGCACCTTGAACACTTCGTTATAGCCGTTGCCCATGGGGTTGGGCGTAGGGGGCACATGCGTGGCCGGGGCCACCACAGGCACTGCCGCCTGGACATCGCTCCTCGCCGCCGGCAGTACCGATCGCCCGGCAGCGCTGGTCGGAGCGGGAGGCGCCTCCTCCCCGTCACGGTGCGGCTGGATCTGCGCCTTGATGTCGGCCGGCGTCTTGACGCATCCGCGCAGGTGCGACGCCCAGCGGTCGACGTTGCGCGAGGTGATCTCCTTGTCGCAGTAGTTGCACTTGACGGGTCCCTCGGCCACTTCGCGCGTCACGAACACCTTGACGAGCTCCTTCTGCGCTGCGGTGAGTTCCTTGCCCATAGTTGCCTGGCGCTTGCGTCGCTTGCTCTCGGGTGTGGCGGTGGCGGGTGGGGACGGGAGGCTCGGGGCGATCCTCTTGTGCTCCTCGTCAACTGACAGCATGGAGAGGGTGTCGAGAGGGTGAAGCACTGGAGCTCAACATACGCGGATTTGATTGGTGGAAATGTGGTATTTGCTGTACATGTACACAATTTCAATGATCGACTATGTCGCTTCAACAAGCGGCGGCGATTAATCCGTCGGCGGCTATGAGGAGATCAGGTTCGCAGAGCGCTCGCGAACAGGTCCATACGATCCGTGGGCAACAGCGATACAAGACTGAGATGCGAAATATATAACGAGGCATGCCAGCAGCTCAAAGGCGCGTGCGTGCTTGCACTCGCTCATGCACGCACCGATGCGGCACGCTGGTAGCGGCGGTCTATTGGTCGGAGACAGCGCGCGGCACAACACTCAGGAAGAAGTTCATGCTCACACCGAGCAGCAGGCCGACCTTCTGCTTGCGGGGGACGGAGCGGTCGAGAAGCTGTCGGAATGAGAACAGGACGAGGTTAGTCACTATTTCGGCATGCTAGAGCTGAAGCACAGGCACTCACCATCAGAAGCATAAATACACCAAGCAGGAGGCCCATGAGGAACCCCCATAGAAATTCAGTGCCAGTGCCTTCATTATCTGCTGCCAGAATGGAGTTGTTCATGCCATTCATGTCGATCTGCGTGTCCATCGCAATACGGGCCGTCGGCACAACATTCAGTGCTGCATAAAAACAAACAGTCACCACAGCCAACTCACGTTAGTGAACTCCCATCACATGCTTACAAACCCAGCAGACACCTTCGTACCGAACTCGGACTGCGGTCCCTGCGACGCCATCCACTCCTCCTCCAGTCGGTATATCCGGTCCTCGCTGCTCTCGCCAGGGACGCGTGCCGCCTGGCTGATGTATACCGAGAGCTGCGGGTAGAAGTACAGGCGCAGCGCCTGGATCTCCTCCCGACTGAGACGATCACGGAGCCTGTCGAAGCCTCTCCTAGTGGCCGGGTCGTCTCTCTCCTCCGGATCACTGTCAGTGCCAGCAGCCGCCATCTACAGCAATCATCGCAACCAACGCCCATTCCACCACGTCAATAACAACAACACAATCACCACTTTCCCCACCAAAACAGCCACGAGTGTCTCACCTGGTTCACCACGGCCTTGGGGGGCGCCGAGCTGATGGCGCAGTGGATGAAGTCCTCGTTCTTGACCTTGCAGCTTTCGAGCGTGGCCTTGTCGTCCGACAGCATCTTGCCCTGGTGGATCAACCGCAGGAACTTGCCCTCGGCATTGGCCTTCTTCTTCACGAGCTCCTTGAGCTCCCCGACGCTCGAGGACGGCGCGACCTCCACGCGCAGCGGCTTCTCGCTGAGCGTCTTGATCTTCAGCACGATGCGCCCGCTGCTGCTGTTGTTGTCTTCATCGATCGTGATGCCCACGGAATCCTCCGACAACTAAACAAAATAAAAAATAAATTAAAATAATTCGTATCAGACCGCGTCCTCCTCCTCCTCGTGCTTCTTCAACATCGCTTCTAACGCGAACCCAAGCGCCGTCCTACCAGCGGCTTGTCCTCCGTGATGTTCTCGGTGTGCTCAGGCTCCATCATGCTGTCCAAAGCTCGCTCTGTAGGCGCTCGCACGCCTCCCACGACCGCTCAGCGCCGCCGACCCCTCCTCTGCCTGCGCTGCGAGATTGATCTGTGCGGTTTTCTCGCCCACGGGGCTTTTCTATCGACCCGCTCGCGGCTAGGGATCCGCGAGCCAGTTGGATCTCTTTCTCTCGATTGGCGGAAACATCGGACCATATTTGCACCAATCCCCGGCCTCAGAGCTGTTGCGGCCGCGATGGCGGCAAGGACGCCGCGCGCGGCGCTCGACGGCGCCGCCAAGAGCTCGTCCGCCAGTCCGAATGGTGCGAAGAGCGACGCCGTGCAGGTGGCAGTGCGCGTGCGGCCGCTGAGCAAGAACGAGACGGCACAAGGGTCGGAGTCCTGCGTGGACGTGGTGGACGCGAGCGTGCTGCTGGCCGAGAAGCAGTTCGACTTCGATGCGGCGCTCCCAGCGACGACGCAGCAGGTGCAGCTACAAGTTTTTGGAGTGGTGGGGGCTGGTGCATTGGTGGTGCTCATTTTTGGGCTCATTGGCATTGTATTTGTTGCAGGAGAGTGTGTTCTCTGCTTTGGTGGAGCCCATGATCGACCAGTTCTTCGACGGGTACAATGCGACGGTGTTTGCATACGGCCAGACTGGATCAGGCAAAACGTGCGTGGATGGAGGTTGTAGATTGGAGGTGAAGCTTGGACTGATGGCTGGTGTTTTTTTATTTTGTGTTGGTGGAATGTGAAGGTATACGATGGGCAACGAGTTTGCAGCAAGCGTAGCTCCTGCCGAGCGCGGAGTCATACCCCGTGTGATTGACCAGGTTCAAGTCATGAAGCTGGTTTTATTGATGGTGCACAGATGCTAATACATTGGTGGACGTGTTAGTAGGTTTTCGAACGCGTTAAAGGCTCGGCAAACCCTGGACATTTTGTGGTCAAGTTGTCGTACTTGGAGGTGCGTGGCTAGTAAAATGGATGTTTCATGCGATACATAGGTTTCTAATTGCTTGTGCCGCGTTGTAGATCTTGAACGAAGAAATTCACGACCTTTTGGCAAAATCTTCTCCAGACGCACCGATAGTATCTACCTCAGGGCTATCAGTACGTGGCGATAGCGATCGAGGCATCATCGTGTCTGGGCTTAGTGAGCATCTTGTGAACTCAGTTAATGAGGCTGGAGACCTCCTGCGTTCCGGTGCTTTGGCTCGGGCCACCGCTTCTACGAGCATGAATGCCCAGTCCAGTCGCTCTCACGCTATTTGTACGCTCACGATGGAACATCATGAAGTTAGTGCTCCAGAAGGGGGCACGGAGACGCGGTTTTCCAAGTTCCATTTGGTCGATTTGGCTGGTTCAGAGCGTGTTCGACGCACAAATTCAGAAGGTGCACGCTTTAAGGAAGGTGTCAACATTAACCGCGGGCTCCTGACACTTGGAAACGTGATCAATGCGTTGTGCGAACGCAGCCGCACCAGCTCGACAACAACTCACGTACCATACCGCGACTCCAAGTTGACGCGACTACTTCAGGACAGTCTGGGTGGAAACAGCAAGACGCTAATGATTGCTTGCGTCAGCCCTGCTGATGTCAACTATGAAGAGACCTCCAACACGCTTCGATACGCATCCCGAGCCCAAAGTATTGAGAACCAGGCAGTGATTAACAAGGAACGGAGCGCCGAAAACGAGGTGGCATACTTGAAACAGCAGCTGGATATTGTGCAGTTGCAACTTATACAGCAGAGTGCAAGTCGAGTCGACACGCAGAGCATTATAGTGCCTGATGGAAGTGAGAAGCCTGCGCTGAGTATTAATTCCTTGGTGGAAGAAAATCGGAAGCTGAAGGAAGAGCTTGTGCTCGCAAACTGTGCCAAGGACAAGTGGAAAAAGATCGCGACTGAATTAACGGACAAGAACACAGACACATCTCAAGCAAGTCGGTTGAAGACGCCGACGTCTGTCAAGAAGCGCATGCCAGGAGCTGATCAAGTTGATTCGCGTGACCAAGGAACCAGCCGTGGTCCCATTTCGCGGCTAGAGCAACTCAAAAGGTTCCAGAGCCAAAAAGTGAAGTCTCTGTCTGCCAAGGAGGGTGCTACTGTGAAGAAGACTGATGATTTCGCTTCCTCAAGCAAGCGGAATCGAATGTTGAACTTGTCGCCGTCGTCAAGTACTCAGACCATTGGAAAGACGCCGTCACTTGGACGGAGAAATTCAGTGCTTCCTTCGCCCGGTAAGAGAAGGACAACCGGCGAATCTGATGCCCTAGCGATGGGGGCGATGACGGCACTCTTGCAGCAAGTGATAACTTCTCAGGAGGCGACCTTCAGGGCTAAGGAAGCCGTACGAGTGAACCTAGCTGAGAGGAAGGCTCTGGCGCTGAAAATCCGTCAACTGGAGAGCTCTCCTTCGCCAGAAAACGCTGAAAAGCTGGCCACGCTGCGGCAAGATCTTCGAAACAAGACAGATACCATTCGACAGCTCCAGCAGATGCTGGCTGGTGTTGAAAGGACCGTGTCGCTACCGTCAGGGCTTTTTCCTGCTAAAGTGAATTCCTGCCATGAGCTCATTCGCCATATCGTTGACATACTGAAGGAAAGGAAGGAGGAATTCATGAACCTTTCCAGCTCCCGGCTTGAGGTGGTCGAGAAGATTGTGGCCATGAAAGAAGCTCATACCAGAAAGACGCAAGCATTGGAAAGCAAGATTGAGGTGATGGCAAAGGAGTTGGAGGGGCTACGGCAACTAACAACGAAGAAGAAGGCGGCCAAGAAGCGCAAAGCTCGTGACTCGTATGAAACAATGGACACGTTATTCAGCAGCAGCGACGAAGAGGAGGACAACAGTGCTGCTGACTCGGACTACGTGGACGACGAAGATCGTCAAACGTCTAGCAGCAAGAGGAGGAGGGCCAATGGCACACCAGCGGGAAAGTCAAAGTTTGTCAATGTCATGGATGAAATCGATGAATTGCTGGAGACGAGTGCAGCTAGGTGCTGCTCCTGTAATGGAAAATGTGCCACCAAAGCGTGTGCATGCAAATCGCAGAACCACGACTGCAGTGACGAATGCTCGTGTGAGCCAAGCAAGTGCCGCAACAAGAGTGGGGTTGCGTCAGCTTCCAGTCCTCGCGAGAGCGAAGCTCCCACCAACCAGGAGAGCAGCGTTGTCGCTCCTGCCACGCCAAAACATGCAGCAGGTGACGTGGCTGAGACGTTGGAAGACTCAACAGTGACGGCGCAAGAATTTGCAGTTCCGGTTACCATTAACTTGATGTCACCTTAAGCCCGTACGAGAAAGAAGCCGAGCACTAAACGTGGTCGTAGTACATGTATAAGTAAGATAGCTGGAACATTGATGGAAACGGCGTTTAACTACTCCATGCGTGCAGTCCATTTCGTTTATTCATCTGAACGAAACTGGTCTACCGTCTTCTTTTATGCCGGGTCTCCAAACAAATCCATCTCTACTCCAGACTTCTCCGTAATGTAGTCCGTGTCATCCTCGTCGTCGGTGTCGGAGGAGGCATGGTGGCGCGCAGCAGCTTTTCCGGCACGGCGAGTTGGCGTGCGGATGCTCACACCGTTCGAGTTCTTGCCGTTGCTGCTCCCAACGCTGCCGCCCTTGTGCTCCTTCTCGCTCGTCCTGGACCTGGTGCGGATCACCAGCGCAGCTTCCTTAGGTTTATGGTACTGGTAGTTATTGCTGCTACTGGACGTTGACGAGTACTTCGCGCGTAGTGCACGCGTCTTCTCCTCGCTTTTCTTCGTCAGGAAGTTCTGAATGAGCTGGCGCTCGTGGTTGCCCATGTACGTCATCTGAACGTTCGTATCAATCACAAGAAAGAGCTCCTGGTACTCGGCCTCCTTGTTCGCGAACGTCGCAGGAGGCTCAAACTCGTAAGAAACCACCTCAAGGATGTCGATTGAGTCGCGATGATACGGGATACGGGCGAAAGCCAAGCGCTCCGCGGGGATCGATAAAGCGGCGCTGGCAGCATCCGCCAGATACGTCGTGGGGTGCTTCTCCTCTTCCGAGGTTGAGATAACCACCTCGCGTCGCATATTCTTGACAAAACGCCACGTCGCGCGGTTGACATACGCAAATTCAACAATCCGGTGGTTCACCTCCGACGTCTCCGGCTCCGGTAAGAGTTCGGCCACAATACTTCTTCCTTCATACACTGCAAGTTTGGATGCCTCCACGAGCTTTTGCCCATCGACTAGCACACTTGTCATTGTACTTTGACGAAGGTCACGAAGTCGGATGTAAGACGGAGTGAGGCCTCCATTGTCTGCCTCGACCAAGTTCTTCTCTACCAACGCATCCCACACCCTTTTACGGATATCTTCCACCATCATCTCCTCACTAATGACGATCTGGCTCACGAATGTCAGCAGCGAGTCGTCCTTGCCCGTTGCCACCAGCACTTCATCGATATCGAACAAATCCCGGCTATTAGCGCCGTCAGCACTTGTCATGGACGGCAGGTCTTGGTTATTATTGTCGCCGACTACCAGGGAAGGCGAGCCAGCGCTCATCGGGTTATAGAACATCAGTCTGAAGTTGTACTCGCCCGTGTTCAGCGGAGTGCCCTCCAAAGCGAAGACTGTGTGGTTGGAGCCGATCGAGAGTTTTGATAGAGTACTATCGATTGCCTTGATTTCTACTCCAGCGCTGTTGATGCCACGCAAAATCTTGAACTTGTTCGACGGCAGACAAATCTTGGCACTAATCCGCTCCTTTAGAGTGCGGATAGTCTCCCTTCGGTCGATGCGAATAGGCTCCGCTGGGCCAGTCAAGTACTTGAAGTTGACGGTGATCATATTGGCTTCGCGCTCGAAGAATGCCTCAGCCGGTGACGGAAGCGTGAGATCAGCCGTCTCCTCGAAATACAACTCGGTTCCATTCATCAGATGCAAATCCATCTTCAGCCGTAAGTTCAGGGTGCGGTCGTCTTCGTTCGCGTTTAGGATCTTGGCTGCAGTAATGCTGTACGTGGTGGCGCTCTTCTTGATGAGGCGGACCTTTTGGCCAACAGGGATCGAGAACTTCTTAGTGATTAGAGCGCAGAGTGATCCTACGTTAGCATCCTCGTCCACTTGAACACACCTCGCCATAAATACGCCACTGGGCGCGCTGCCCGCATTGTCAGACTCCGGGTCGACAAACCTCCGCACGAAAAGCTGCAGCTTCGTTGGGTCATGGTCTTCCCACTCTTCATTGTCACTCTTCACCTCAAGGAACATCTGCTGGCCAGCGTAAATGCCTAGCGACGACAACGTCATGTCCTCCTTGTCATCGTACGTGTCAGATAGAAGGCAATTGTAGTCGTTGTATCCACGCAGCCGCACGTTTTCCATCGATGGGAGCACCACGTCCTCTTCTTTGGCAAATTCCTTGCACGCAATCTCAAGCGCCTCTCGGATTGTAGCGGTCTTGTATACATAGATCGCCTTCTCTAAGTTTTTGGGCTTCGAACCTTTCATGAAGAATTTGACCTGCACCTTTTTGGCCATCTCTAGCCGCTCCTGTTCAAGTCTGCGGATCTTGTCTTCGTCTGCGCGGATCTTGTCCTTCAAATACTGCGGGATGCTCTCAGGCAGGATCACGTTCACATTTTTGTCGGCATTCACCAGTCGATACAGGAGCATGTACGCACACGTACTGTAGCGCATGCTGTATCCCGAGCCACTCGCGCCTCCGAAAGCTGTCTGCAGTTCCGTGTCTGAAATCTCACTTACGTTCGAGTCGTTAAAGTTGTACCACTTACCGGTATCCAGGGATTTAATGTATGCATAGTAGTGTCCACCCAATGCGCTGCCAGAGTGAATAAGGACCGAATACAGCTCGTACACGTGCGGTCCCGAGCGCTTAATCATGACCTCGGGGTCGAACGTAGAGCTCCACGTATCGAAAGCAGCGGCCTCCTCTCCTTCGTCCTCCTCATCGTCGTCGTTGTCACTCTTTTCGTCATCTTTCACAAACGTCATCGGCTGGGATTCATCCATAGAAGAAAGACGGTGCATACGTTCGCCAAGAGCGGCGAGTCCCGGCGTCGGGGGCGGCGAAGAGGGCGTCACAGGAAGCGCATCTTCAGTCGACTTGTGGTGGTTCTTACCCTCCAAGACGTGGCGCTCCATGGACATTTTTCTGGCGATCTTGCCACGGACGCCACCATTCTCGTCGCTCACGTACGAGTTCATGTCCAGGTACTTGGGGAACGTCACCTTGTTGTGCAACTTAATGCGGCTCATCGTGGCGTAGTCAAAGTCAAAGCGCTTCAGCTGCAGCATCAAAATGTACGGCAGCTTGGAGAACTTGAGTCCCTTGATGGCGTCGCGCTTGACCTTGCACCTGTCGCACATCCACTGGTTCTCCTTGTTGAGCACTTCGGGCCTCAAGAAGAGCTCGATGGCCTCCTCCACGGTCTTCATCATCTCGGTGGAGCCAAAAGGTCGGATCACGAGCGACAAATCCAGAAAGTTATCAATGCGCGAGCTCTCGTAGCCACACTCGCAGCACTGCACGTAATCCTTCAAGGATCCCTGGTACAAATCATTCACCAGCGTCTCGTTCACCGTGCCCTTGAACGACCGCTCGAGCGCGTCCAGCAGCACGCGGCAGAGCTCCTGCACGTCGTGCTGCTGGAACACGTCGGCCCCCGTCCAGCCGAAGCTCTTGGTCAGCGCCTTGGTGGAGATCGAGTCCTGCGTCGTCAGCTGCAGCTTGGCGAACAGGTTCTGCAGCTGCAACGGGATGTTATCTTCATCTGCCTCTTCTTCTTCCTCATCATCCTCTTCTTCTTCATCTTCTTCTCCTTCCTCTCCATCCTCTTCCTGCTGCTGCTCCACCGCCTTCTTGGCCGCGCGGTGGCACGTCCAGTTGTACAGGCCCTGGCGGAACTCGGGCGTCATGAACATGCTCTGCAGCAGGCTGTTCATGTAGCACGTGGCCCCCTGGTTGGACAGCCCCGTGAAGACCTTCCGGGGGCGGCTGTAGCCCGACGAGCTGGCGTAGCTGCTGCTGCCGTTGCTCGTGTAGCCCGAGGACTCGTAGAGCCCGTCCAGCCCCGACGAGCTGTACGTCGTGAGCGCCGTCGACTGCACGCTCGGAGCCGTGTCGGCGTCGTCGTCCTCCGGGGCCGCGCGCGGCAGCTGCGTCAGCACGGACGCCACCTGCGAGCGGTGCTGCTCGCGCGAGGCCGAGAACTCGTCGTCGTCGCTTGAGTCCCAGTCCGGGCCGGAAGGCTTCCGTGGATCTGCAGGCCGCCAGTCGCTCATGGTGCTGAAGGGAATTCTGAGAGAGATCTATGCAGGACTTTTTTCGTGTGACGGTACATGAATAAAGGTGTACAGTGGGAATGGAGATGCAAGTGACAGGATGGGGCTTACATATAAGTACCATCGCGGTCAGGTGGTCCCGACTTCTCCAGCATCTGCACGGACACGCTCTGTCAGCTCAGCACGTACTTCGGATGAAGTAGGGAGGCAGTCATGTGTCACCATAATATCGCGAAGACTAGGCTATTCCACGACAGCGTCCCAAGACGAGGTTTACTTACTACTATTTTGTCAACGAGTGTACTGAATTTGAGACGGTTTCAAACGAAAAGATGCTTACGAACTAAAGCACGAATCGCGATTTAACCGCATCAATCGAAAGAGGCGTGTCTTGTGCTTCGTTTAAGCTTTCGAATGCTTTGAAATGTTAAGAACTCGCGGAGTGACATCGGTCTAGAAAAATTATCTCCATTTTCTAAATTCACGATTTTGGCGTGTGACCTCAATATTTTTTCAATTTAAACGTATTGTCTATTATCGGAAAGCTCGCGCTAAAAGCGAGCGAATCAGAGTGTTTTTACTCTTTTTACGTGTGCTTTTCACTTTCGAAATTTTGATGTCCGGTTATTTCCGAAAATTGATTGGTCAACTTTGAACGCGATTATCTCGATAACTCCAAATGGCGCCTGAGCATCCTTTCGTTTGAAACCGTCTCATTTGCTCTCACGTGGGATGCACTTTGGCAGACACGGAAGCCTTAACCACGCGTGAGATTTTCAATTGATTCTCAAGCATTGCTAGGACCAGATACATCGGTAGTATCTAGTAAAGCAGGGGGTAAGGTGATGCCCAACGTCACTTGTAGCTCGACGGATCGTCCTTATTTTCGAGTACATTTCGCGGACTTTCAAGTAAAGAGTAATATACTCGGACTTTCGAATACATATACCTCTTTTGAACTCGTGTGTTGCGTTAGCTTCCAGCTACTGACTCCGCTCTAAGAACGTTGAATGTCGGTATAGCATTCACGAACGTAAACTAGGTCGTCTTCGACTTGGCTGGGAACACCTGTGGTATAAAACGCTGGTGCTGGTACCGGTGCTGATTGCCGTGACAAGGGAGAACTGTGGCCCGCGTGATTCAAGGGTGTGGCCCCTGCGGGAGCACTGCAGCGTTACCCTCCGCTTCGGCATTCGCCAAAATCTTCTCCGCTTCCATCTCGGCGGTAGTCCCCGCCTCCTTTCGGCAGTAATTCCATCCCACGTTTTAATAGCATTCTGTCCTCTACGCGCCATGATCTTATACTAAGTATCTGAGTTTACACCCGTCAACTAAATGAAAGCTCCCCTTGTTTTTCACGATCAGAGCAAACACTTCCTGGGTCAACCCAGCGAGGAAGGCATGGAAGCGTTGCGAGAGGAGCTTACGGTTGGTAGCGGAGCCAATGGTTACTTTAATTCTGCCACGAGAAACATGATTAGCGAAACCAGCTATAACAATACAGCGAAAAAAGACGACCGGCTATTTATTACGCACGTTTTGATCACTACTGATGTAGTCGATCTGCACTCCGGTAACGAAGCAGCGAGTTACTACGTGTTGGAGCTTGTTATCTCCCCCGTCTCGATCACGATCACCAACTGCTTTCGATTTTCCTGTTCCGGTTGGAAAACCCACCTTGCAATCACGGTTCCAGCAGTTTCCCCCCGACTGATCCTAACACAGCCAATGCTCTTATGTTGCCAATCAACGGCTGCCAGCTCGACGCAAAACACCACCACCAACTCCCAGCCTTCCCACTCGGAGTTCAATCCGTCGACGATGCCTTTCATCACACCAATATTAATTCTCTCCTTTCTATACTTGCACTCGAAAATAAGCATCGCCTTTTCGTTCTTGTTATCCACGTCCTGCACGTACACGTCACATCTGTCCTTGTTCGGGGCGCGAACCAAGTGACCAAACTTGCAACCTTGCAAGTTGGTGGCGAGGATACACTGTGGCCACTCCGCATTGGGAGGGGCCAGAAACGGGATCTTTCTCTTTGTTAGAGGGTGGGCTGGAACTTCGGCGCGTCCTCCCTCCACCACGTGCGATAAATCGTTGTCATACCCTTCCAGCAATGCGCTTGGCTTAATCGCTTCGTTTGAACCGTCTTTCTCCAGCAACACCGCCATCTGCATCCACGTATTTTCTTCAAACTCACCCAGGAAGCATTGGAAGAAGTCGTCGAAGCCAATCCCTCGCACTCCATTCCTTCGAGATGAACTGAAAATTGCGTGAGCGACCATATTCTCGTATCTTTTATAATCCAGGCTTGGAGCGCTCGTGCTTTCACTGATAGCATACTCGTTGCAATATACGATCGAGAAGATACGCTTCGTTGAGTACGACGCACGATCGATATCATCATAGTAACTCGAATACCGTTTGCCGCCCAGTATCGCAAGGTACAGCAGCATGTCATCCTCGATTGCTGAAAAACTGCATTTTGGCGCCCAACCACCGGCATCGGTCACCAGCTTCTTGTTCGACAACGACACATCTGTAACCTCCTTGTCAACCAAGTTTGCAAAGTGTTTGTGCATACCAGTCGTCTGCACTTGTACACGTTGCTTCTTCTGAGGTGGCTCGATCACACTTTCACACTCCATTGCGTTCGTGTAAGAAATCGCTAGTAGCTGAGCTGACTTTCCTCTGTACGAATTCAAGAAGTGCTTGGAATTGTGCGTTTCCTTGGCAACACGGGAAAATGCAGTATCAAGCAATTCACAGAGATCCACGCTGGGGTCTCGCTGGAAGACATCCACCACTTCGTCGATGAAAAGTCTCGAAAACCTACCACGTGAGTTCTCCGCAATGTCACCCAAGACAGAGTATCGTCCCACAACTTCTGGCCAAGTGTTCTTCTCGTTCTGCGTGAAAAGCAACAGCTGATAACTCGGGAACCTTGGCACAACCGACACCCACTGGTGCGCAGCCCCCGAGCTTTTGGTAGAATGGTTAACCAGATTGGTTATTTTGGAGTCTGTCCCCATGAGCATTACCAATAGACCACAGGCACGGAAGACATTGCGCTGAAAGGCAGCCTCGTTAAGTCCCCCATCGGAGTCTGGCGGCATCTCATCCAAGATGAAGAATGGCAACTTGTTGCCCTTTCCTTTTTCCACGTTGCTAACAGCAGCACGAACAGCTTCCCGATCACACTTTGTCACGTGGAGTGCCATAGGCTCCTCGAAACGGATCATTCCCCGTTTTTTAAAGTCACACCGTTCTAGCAGCACGCGAATAAATCCGTAAGCCCACAACTCTTGGCGGTAGAAGTCCGACTCGGTGCGAAGGACAAGATCCTCTTGAACAAGCTTCACACGGTCGTTCTCCACGCACTTAAGAAAGGCGTCCGATGCCGATGAAAAGTTCATATACAACACTTGATCGCCTATCTGAACGTGCCCACCGAGCCAGTAGAAATACGGCCGGCGCCCATATAACGCGAAAGCCAGCTGCGATTTCCCCATGCCCGACGAACCTTCCACACAGATGAACGGGAGTACCTCGGCGGTTTCGCTATAATACGCGTCGATCTTATCCAGAATTTGGTCGCAGTAGGTCGCGCAATTGACTCGGATCAGGCGTCCTTGCTCTTGATAGCGCTTCAGTTCCAGCAGAGGACCTTTACCCTTCGCTTCCACAATCTCGCAGTCAATACTTGTTGGTTCTTTCCGTCGCGGCACCATCACGATGAAGGCTTCCTCCACAGTTTGGCCAAAAGACTCAATCTGCGAGTCAACGCCCAATGGCCCTTGCTTGCTGCTGTCGTACACCATGAGATCAGTGGCCGCGACCCCGACGAGATGACTGTCGCTGTATCGGTTCCTCACAGCATCCTTGAGATTCATGATCGTGTCCCATTCGGTCAGGGGGACCGAGCCGACGGAGGTGCCCTCAAGCGGATCGCCGGTGGTGGCATCCGTCAACTGGAACCAGACCAAGGGTAATTCCACGATGAGCGGGTTATCTGCTGTCACCCCACAGTCATCCAAAATGTTGTCCATGCCCAGACTCGTCGCTGCGGTGCTGTTGGCGAACACCTTGAGGGTTGAGGCGTCGTTAATCCGTGCTGGAAGAGCGCACTCGGGTGACTTGAACACTGCCGCACGAAAATCGACAACATCGGCACCAGGAGGAAGATCCAAACGCTTGACCGCACTCTTGAGTCGGCGGCGTCTTGCGCCTTCGACCACACAGAAGTATTTCCTCGGCATCGTGGACTTGTTCGCAAACTCTGTAATGAGATGGCTGAACCCATGAATGTCCCCCTTAAGTACGTGGGTACAACTGGATGGGGCTAACTTCAACGTCAGCGCCACCAGTTCTTGAGGCGGGGCGAGATTCCCTTGAGGGCGGCGTCTACTTCGTCGCCCACCAGAACGAGTGAGGCACGGCTAGAGCGGTGGCTGGGGATGAGGGTATCAGGTGCTGAAGGCGCTTTAATAGAGGGGAACTTCACTGAGTCTATAATACTGCCACGACTGCTTCGTCCGTGGCAATCGGAAGTTCGACTGAGTCTGTTGGACTCTGACTCACCATCGCGACACCGAGTGTCCTGCCCCACCCCAACTTCGACGTTGCTGAATTTCAAGTTGAAGAGAGTTTTGGTGCCGGAAGTAGCGCGGAGCGACCTCGCCGATGGGTGGTCACAGCATATCGCATCTGCACGAACGACCTGTCGGGCTCTGTCAGCTCAGAACGTACTAGGCTATTCGCACGACAGCGTCCCCGCACCAAGACGAGGTATACTTACCAGGGTATTTTGTCAACGAGTGTGTTTGCTCACTCGGCCCTCATGTGGGATGCACTTCGGCAGACATGGAAGCCTTTACTATGCGTTGATTCTCAAGCATTTACTCGCAGATATTCACAATGGTGAAGACAAATTTCCGACGTCGAGACCGTAGTGGTGGTGGGGTCACGCATGGTAGTTTGAGCCATAAAGGAACTACAGTATCAAGAAGATGAAGCAAAAACGCAAGACAAAAAAACGTCAAGCCACGAGTTGTGCAACATAAACGTTTAAATCGGGAGCCTTGGAGACCGCGCCCCAAATTCAGGCCGCGCGCGTCTTCCAGATACTCAGTTACAAGCTTCGCGACGCTTATGTATGGGATCTGGCTGCTTTTCAGGTAGGTGAGGGTAATTATTACCCGGTAATAGTCTCTAACTACAATAGTTTGTACTCTAATGAAACTCTGCCGACACTACAGTGTAGAGCTCTCTCCAGTTGCCACTCGCTGGATTGTATGTCGTGCCGTGCCTCGTTGGGTCATTCCCCGGTTGTCATCCTAACGGGAAACAACGCCGGCAGATGGTAGCTATGCAAACATTTATTGCTCTTATATATCATCGCTGGTCTGGCGTCGACGGGTTCTTAAGACTCTACACCATGCGCGGCGTGGGAGACATGTTCTTCGCCAGCGGCAGCTCCTCGTCCGAGTCCTCCGAGCCGTAGTAGGCCCTGTCGCGCTTGAGCGTGAACGTGTCGGAGAGGAAGTCCAACTCGCCCGCGCGCAGCTTCTCTTTTCGCCACATCGTGTAGCACACGCCCATCGCCACAGCGTACAGCATGGCTGCGTCGCGATCAAGGTGAAGAAAATCAAAAGAAAAAATTCAGCGTCCAGCCAGGAGATATCAATGAACACACACAGCCACAACAACACAAGGCAGTTAACACCAACAAACTCCATCTCACCAATTGCATGCAACTCCTGCTCTTAATATGGACGTACCGGCCTCAAAGCACGAGTTGGCACCGGAGTTCGGCGACTTTGCGTTGTGGATGTACATTGGTTGCAGCTTCAGCAAGGAACCCACCACCACCTGCGTGCAATACACACAATAGCAACATGCAGAAGGCAAACCAGGGGTCAGTCCGCCTGCAGTCTCGGTGGAGAGCGCGTGGTGCGACCACCGAAAGTCTGCGTACCAGGAAGACGAAGCCGACGAAGCTGAAGATGGTGCCGCACAAGTAGCCTACACGGGGGCGAAAGAGACATCAAAAGAGAGAGGAGGCGAGCGTGAATCAACCGGGCATCGAGAAGGCGGGTCTAGAGCCCTCCTAGGCGACACATACCTCCTCCACTCATGCTGCCGTCTGCCGCTGGTGGACTTGTTCTTGCCTCTTGGGAATGAATTGACGTCCCAGCTGCTACTCCGCCCCTAGGGAATATCCGCCAATCACAGATCGAATAGATGGATACGCGACTCTGAACAAAAACATGATGTGGTACACTTGTATTTGTGTTTGCCACATCAATGAATAGTTGAAGTTGACGTCATACATTGCATTGCGCTCGTCCATCGGCCGGCCACCTCAGTCTCCGATTGCAGTCATGGGCGCGACCAAGAAGCTCCGAGTGCTGTGTATGCACGGCTACCGCACCAATGCCAAGATCATGGAGGACCAGACGCGGGGACTGCGCAAGGCTCTAGCGCCTCACGCTGAGTTCGTGTTCCTGAATGGGCCCATCGAGGCCCGCGGACCCTCGGACGACGTCATCGAGAAGCTCTACGCCGAGCACAAGCCCTTCTGCGAGTGGGGTAGCTTCAAGGAGCGCGAGAGGCCACACAGACTCGACCCGGAGACGCAGGAGATCGAGTACTTGGACAAGGGCTGGTACCACGACTACGTGGACTGGGAGACCACGGTCAAGTACATGGACGAACAGCTTCCCAAGCTCGGGCCGATCGACGCGGTCGTGGGCTTCTCGCAGGGCGCGCAGACCATGACGGCGCTCACGATGTGGTACCTACATCACCACAACAAGCGCTGGTGGAACTGCTGTGTGAGCGTCTGCGGCCCTCGAGTGCGCGGAGCTGCACTGCGCCCGCTGTTCGAAAACCCGGATGGGACGCCTCGGTTGGTATCGATGCCGTCGATCCACATTGTAGGCAAGACCGATAAGTGGAAAAGCGGTTGCTATGAAATGGTGGGCATGTACGAGGACCACCCGGAGGGGGCAGCACGCGATAAGTTCGTGTTCGAGCACGATACGGGTCACCGCTTCCCGACTGGGGAGCGACACGAACAGCTCTACGAGGACGTCGCCCGCATTATCCGTCTGCATTGCGAGGGACCTGCTAGACTGAGAGCAGAAAAATATACGTAAATGCGCTCGCCTTCGCCGAGGCAATTGCAGACCGCACTTTGGCGTTGAGTGAAGCTGAGTAAACCCATCACCTCGAGTGTTTGAAGTTCGTGGTGAGTGGTGTTAAACGCAAGGTTCGAACGTGGAGGCTCTTTCCTCACATCCAAAGTTGCTGACAAAAGAACATCAGCTTGCTACGCGTGCCGTTCTTGATCAACCAGCGTCAAAGGCCCATGATATCAACGCACAAGCTTCGTATCTTGCGCCTCCACGGATCCCGTACGAACGTGAAGGTGATGCAAGACCAAACGCGAGCTCTATGTCGCGTCATGGCTCCATATGCGGAATTCGTGTTCGCCACTGCTCCGTTTGAGGTCCGGGGACCCTCCGATGAGATCATCGAGCGCCTTTACCAGGACCACGCACCGTTCTACGAGTGGGGCCACATCAACAAGCTGGAACCTGAGGGTAGCGACAACGGATGGTATCACCAGTACGTTGGATTCGATCGCGTCGTGGAGCACATCGACAAACAGATACAAGATCACGGTCCCTTCGACGCTGTCATTGGGTTTTCGCAAGGTGGTCAAATGATCACTGCTCTGTCGATGTGGTATCTGCATCAGCGCAACGAGCGCTATGCCTTATTTGCTCAGGCACTCGAGTACGCGACGTTGGCTTGCGTCCGCTCTTCGAGCACCCGGATGGCAGGCCCAACCGCGTACCGATCCCCTCGATTCACCTCATCGGCAAGAAGGACCAGCACTACAACACTTGCCGTGAACACGCCGATCTGTACGCTGACGATGCACCAGGATCGACATTGAGCAAGTTCGTGTTCGAGCATGAGGGCGGACACCGCTTCCCGTCGGAAGCTCGCCACCCAAAGCTCTATGGAAAAATCTCCGACATGATTCGAAAGCACTGTGAGCAGTGATAGACAGTCATGAAATTGTGCCAAGAAATATTCGTTTTTACCTGTAAACAAGGTGCTTCCTGATAAAAAATGATGCTAGCTACACCTCAAATCTACGCATACGGTGGTGTGTCTTAGTCGAGAATGTACTCCACGACGCAATACCAGCTTCCTGCCTTCCAGTGGGCGAGCGAGCTGTGGCTTGCAAACCAACGTCACGCTGTTTCCTACTTAGCGGGTGCAATCGTCTGCAACAGCGTGCCTTGAATGAGTTGGTCGCCATTCTTACCGCTGATGACAAGCGGAACGGCTTCCAGCAGCGCAGTCTCCATGCGGATCTTCTTCTCGTTGTAGTCGTAGTCGCGCTTCGCCTTGAGGAACGCCGCGGAGTTGCCCTCTGCTTCGGCATTCGCCAAAATTTTCTCAGCCTCCTTCTCGGCAGCTTGGATTCTCGCCTCTGCCTTCACCTTGGCGACGTTCACGAACTGCTCGAAGTCCGTCTTGAGGTTGTTGAGCTCCACGATCGGCAGCGCTTTGCGCTTGACCGTCTTGGCGGTGGCACTGGCGACGGCATCGGCCTTGTAGCCCTCCGCGGCCTTGATCTTGTTCTCGTTTCTCGACACGTGCTCGGCCACCGTGACCTGCGCCTTCGCCTCTGCGATCGTGCGTCTCTCGTCACGAATAATGGCCGCACGGACACTTTCGGCCTGCAGATCCTGGATCGCGCGCTCGTTGTTCTTCTCCAGCGCCGTGAGCTTCTGCGTCTCCTTGTTCAGCAGCATGCGCATCTGGTTCTCGTGGTTCTTCTCCTGCTCCTCCATGCGCGTCTTGAACGCCGTCGTCTCCTCCAGCGTCCGGGACAGCGCCTGAGGCAGATCCACATTGGTGACCTTCACGTTGTGGATGAAGACGCCGTACGACTTGAGCTTGGCGTTGAGATCCGTCTTCATCCCCATGGCGAACTCCTCCCTCAGGTCGTGCACCTGGTCATGACGCACCGAGTGCACGAGGCCGCGAATGGCCTCCTCGGTCAAGCTGTAGAGCAGCTCGTCGAAGCGATGCGCGCCCAAAGAGTACACGAAAGTGTAGGCGTCGTCCTCCGTGGGGCCGATCTGGAAGCTGATGGAGATGTCGATGTCCACCATCACGTTGTCGGACGTGGGGCATCCACGCACGGGGTTCGAGTAGGTCACTGCCTGCTTGGTGACGATGTGCGAAACGCGGTTCCAGGCCGGCCAAAACATCTTGAGCCCCGGGTCCATCATGCCCGCGTGGGCGTTCCACTTCTGCTTGAAGACCCAGAGCCCTGACGGGACCTTCATGAAGAGCGTCATGAGCGTCGGGTAGTTGGGCGTGAGCACGATCGGGATGCGGCCGTCCGTGACCTTGGCGTTGAAGTGCTTCATGGCATCGATGGGCTTGTGGATGTCCTTCTGCACCAGGTGGTTCACCCGCGTCCGGTAGCGACTCTCTTCGCCTCGAGCCATCTCAGCAGTGTTTTGGTCGTGAAGTCTTGAAGTCACTTGCAAGTGCGCGGTGCTCGGCAACTTTGAGAATGGTGAAGTGAAGTGGATGCAGCGCGGCTTCAAGGGCGAGAAGAACAGCAGGTGACTACAGATGTAGCTAGCAAAAATGTGGAGCCATATAGTGGAGCCATATACCTACAGATATCCACGTAGAAATCCAATTTTGGCGGAAAGCAACTGGTCCCGAGATTCCGGTTGACTTGGTGTTCGTATGGGATGCGATGTACCCATATCAATGCGGTGTCGCTTGGCCTTTGCACCCGGTGTTGAAGTGCGTGTTCCGGTCGTAAGTCAAGTACACCCCACCGACCCACTTAGGCCATTCCTGAATTTCCACTCAAGCGCACAAGTCTCTCCGTTTCTCGCCATGGGCTCGGGAAGCAGCAAACTCAACGCGGACACGCTCCCGGGCGGCTCGCAGCACCAAACGCGGCTGCTGTACCGCAATACGTGGCGCGTGGACAACACCAACCGCATCTTCGGCGCCTGCTACGACGGCAACACGGTCGTGATCGTGACGCCCGGTCGCAGCCTGCTCAAGCCCTACATCCGCATCCCGGAGGGCACCTACGCGCTCGTGCAGAACCAAGGCCGAGACATCGACTACGTCAAGCCCGACGGCACCCGCACGCCCGTGTGGCCGCCTGGCATGCACTTCGCCTCGCTCTTCACCAAGCGCTCGGCTCTCGTGACCAAGCAGTACATTGTCTTCGACACGCCCGTGAAGGGCTGCAAGACCGCGGACGACGTGACTGTGGGCATCGACATGTGCCTGATCCTGCGCATCATGGGCGACGAGTCCAAGGGTGAAGACCCGGAGCTCGTCCGTCGCTTCGTCTACGAGTTGGGCCCCAACGGACTCGAGGTGCAGCTCCGTGCCGCTCAAGATGAAGCCGTGCGAGCGCTGGCCCGTAGTGTGGAGCACACGGAGGTGTACCAGCTCCGCGACGGCACCATGCGCGAGAGGTTCAAGACGGGGGCGCTCAACTTCCGCACGAACCGGCCGGCGAACGACGAGCTCCATTCTCCCAAGATGAAGAAAGAACCTGTCAAGGAGGAGGACATCCCACCGGAGGACAAGGTGCTCTACTGCGTCACGGAGGACATCAAGCGCAGTCTGAACGACCAGTTCAACACGTACGGCGTGCAGATCACGAGTGTCGCCATCACGAACGTCACGCTGCCGGAGGAGTTCCAGAAGCAAATGGAGAACCGCACGACCCACCTGAGCGCCATCAAGGAGCAGAACATGAAGCAGTTGAGCGACATGCAGATGCTGCAGTACAAGGAGGAGATCGACACGACCAAGCTCAAGCGCAGGATGATGTACATGGAGGAAGAGCAGACTGGCAAAGCCAAGTGCGCCGAGATCCGCAAGGGGATCGACCTCATCGAAGCGCAGACGAAGCTTGCGGACGAGGAGATCAAGCAGAAGACCACAGTGACGTGCAACAACCGCGACGTTGAGGCTTCGCTGAAGATCGCCGAGATTGAGGCCGAGACCGTGCGGATCGCAGCGGAGATCAACGCGCACTGTGACGCTGAGATCGACCTCATCAACGCCGAGAAGGCCGCGCTGCAGATGCAGCTGGACGCCACCAAGGATGAAATCCGCGCCACGTCCGAGTCCAAGGCCGCGGAGATTGTCGCTCGCGCTGAGGGTGCTGCTGTGAGTAAGCTGGAGAAGTACCGTAAGCACGAGCTGGAGATGAAGAAGCTGGACATGCTCGGCTCGCTCGCCAAGAACAAGAAGACGGTGGTCTCGGGCGACACGTCCAACAGTTTGCTGTCGGAGGTGCTGGTGGCGAATCGCCAGGGCAATGTCATGCTGAGCATCGACGGCATGGCGAGCAGGGCTGGCGGTGGAGGCTTCGTTTGAAGTCAGCAAACGTGAACTATTGAACGCTTCGGCGCCATGGTAAGTGCCGAGGCAGCAGCATATCCGCAAGCAAGACTGGCTGCCGGTTGAAGGTAGACGCCCGTTATTTCACAGCGACAACACAAGCAAAAGCTGCTAGCACACAGCAATACTTATCCCACCCGTAGTAGCGTACTATATATGATAAGCAGCAACAAACCTTATTTGATCAGTGAGCAAACTATTCCACAGGAAAATGATCTTTAGTTTTGCAGAAGCTCGTGGCCAAGGTTTGTTGCACCACTTCGGTCTACCTTTCACTAGTCGCAGTGCTCTCGGATCATGTCGGATTTTTTTGGTAAAGCTTTGGGTGTCGAGCTAGGTAGGGGAATCGGTGTCCGCCTTCGTACTCAACCTCGATCCAAGCGAACAGGTCGGCGTGCGCACGGCAAGTGTTGTAGAGCTGATCCCTCTAGCGAATGAGGTGGCCGTACCATCAGGGTGCTCGAAGAGCGGGTGTAAGGTAACGCCGCGTACTCGAGCGCCGGGGCACCAGGTAAGACAGCACTTCCAGTACTGTAGCTTTCGCTCCGGTGGTGCAGATACCATCGATAGAGCGGTGATCATTTGACCACCTTGTGAATGCTCAACGACACAGCGTCAAAGGGACAGTGATCATGCAGCTGTTTGTCCACAACGCGATTGAATGCAACGTACTACGGGGTAGGGTCGCTAGAGAACACCATGGCAAAGAGGCTCTTTGAAAGAGCTCCCCAACAACTTGTTGGTAACAAGTTCTCCACTGCAGGGCACTCAGCTGAAACACGGTGCATCCGTGTGCGCGCAATATGTAGCCATGTGCGCGCCGTGTTTACGCGAAGCAAATCGACCAATCAAACTCGCTCTGCTTACGTCAAACGACGGTATCACGCTCAACCTTGCGAGCGGGCGTCTCCTCCAACACCTCCGCGCACCCTCGTGCAAGCTTGCCTCAGTAGTTAATCACCCTCCAATCCTGCAGCCATGGCCGCCGCCTCCTCCGCGTCTTCGTCACCCAAGAAGCTCCGCGTCCTGTGCCTCCACGGCTTCCGCACGAACGTCCAAGTGATGCAGAGTCAGACGCGCGGGCTGCGCGAAGCTTTGGGCCCCGACGCCGAGTTCGTCTTCCTCAACGGGCCGTTCGAGGCTCGTGGGCGCACGGACCGGATCATTGAGCGCATGTTCGGCGACACGGCGCCGTTCTACGAGTGGTGGGGGGCTCGGTCCCTGGAGAAGGAGGAGCGGGAGGACATCGAGGCCGAGGAGGGCGTCCCCAAGGGCACCACCAAGCGCTGGTGCCTCGAGTTCGACGACATCGACCGCGCCATCGAGTACATGGACGAGAAGCTCAACGAGCTGGGCGAGTTCGACCTGGCGGTGGGCTTCTCGCAGGGCTCCATCATGCTCACGATCCTGTCCATGTGGTACCTCAAGAAGGCCAACAAGTGCTGGTGGAAGCTCGTGCTCTGCGTCTGCGGCGTGTACCCGCAGGGGATCAATGTGCGCGAGCTGTTCGAGACGCACGAGGGGCAGAAGATCTTGGTGCCGGTCCCGTCGATCCACGTGGTGGGGAAGAAGGACAGTTTGTACAAGGACTCGCTCGTGCTCAAGGACATGTACACGCCGCACGCCAAGGGGAGTCCGCTCGAGAGGCTGCTGCTGGAGCACGATGGAGGACACAAGTTCCCGTCTCCCGGTCGACACCAGCAGTTCTATGCAGACCTGGCCAACACGATCTGGAAGTTCTTCGAGGATTCACGCCGGAGCTCCGTTGCGAGACTTTGAAGAGAGTACAGCGTAGTGTTTGATAGAGAACGACTAGCGAATAATAGTCGACGTATGCCCTTTGTCTTGTTAAACACAACGCTGCTTCAGCTTCCAAGACATGACAGGACCGTGTCATCTTGCCTGCCCGATCTGTGTCCGTCCTCCCTGCTTGAAGTTCGCCATGGTCTCTGCTCAGTCGACATTTTGCAGCGCTTCCAGCAGTCGCCATGGTGGTCGTCGCCGAGAACCTGCCACGCCCCACGGCGTTGAGTCCGCGCCCGTTTGAGTCCTCCAAGAAGATCCGCGTGCTGTGTCTGCATGGCTTCCGCACCAACAGGCAGGTGATGCTGGACCAGACCCGCGGCATTCGAGCGGCGCTGGGGTACGCAGCGGAGTTCGTGCTGCTCAACGGCACGTACGAAGCCCGCGGGACGAGCGACCCGATGATCGAGAGCGCGTACAAGTCCAGCGCCCCGTTCTACGAGTGGTTCGAGAACCAACTGGCCGACGGATCTCCGCTGCTGTACAACGACGCCGAGTCCTCGGCCAAGGCACGGCTTCAAAGTGGCGCTGACAAGGGGGAGGACCACGCTTGGAGCCTCTCGTACAAGGGTGTGGAGCAATCCATGGTCAGGATTGACGAGGAACTCCGTCGTCACGGCCCGTTCGACGTCGTCATCGGATTCTCGCAAGGTGCGGCGCTGCTGACGATCTTGACGATGTGGTACCTGCGCCAGGACGTCCGCTGGTGGAAGCTTGTCATTTGCGTCGGGGGTGTCGATGTAAGTGGGGTCAATGTGAAGTCGCTGTTCCTGGACAAGCAAGGCCGCCGTGTTCCGGTGCCAGTGCCATCGATCCACCTCATTGGCAAGACAGACCCGCTTTATCAAGAATCACAGCGTCTGGCCTTGTCGTGGGCAGACAAAGCTGAGCCCAATGGTTTCAAGAAGTGGATCTACGAGCATGAAGGTGGTCACAAGTTCCCTTCGGTGTCGAAGAACCAGGAGTTCTACGCGGAGCTGGGGCGTGTCATCAAGCAGCACTGCTGCAAGGGCTCAGAGGTGACCATGTGCAAGCTCTAACCTGCAGCCTTGTAGTGGATTAAAAACAAAAGGATGATACCATGTCCAAGGATTAGTGTTTGCTTGCGAGTAATCTCATCATAATGAAAAACAAAAGCTTGCTCAAATCTCAAGTAGCTCACCGGTGTTGCGGGGGATACAATGCCAAAATGGAGCTGAATTTGTTACTTTAAAGCCGGGTCGTAGCATCGAACGTCCGACGAAAACGTTAGTAAGTGCAGAGGTTGAATGATGCGGGAGAACACGATTGACATCAAAACGGAACTTCATTGAAGAGTTCTTACTGCGAGCTAGTCATCACTTTCACACTGCCTACTCGTAGTTTTTGCGTAGCGAGCTGCTCGTCGCTTAAGCCGAGAAACCGAGAGCGGTGCAGTTGGGCAGGAAGCTGTCCGCCAGCTCCAGTACGTTGATCTTCACCGTGCCGAAGTCGATCACGCAGTCCGACGGGTCGAGGGCCAGAAGGTCAGAGATGAGCGAGTAGCAGTCCGACGTTAGGCACATGAGCAGGACTTGAGCCTCCGTGGGGTAAGCCGAGGGCGGGACGAACGTGTAGCCCGACGCGGTCTGGCACGAAGACAGGTACGGGTCCGCGGCAAGGGCCAGGAGCTTGGCAGTCTCCGAGGACGGGCACACGGTGGTCTCGTCGTAGGCGGCGGTCTGCGTGGCGAGGCAGGCGACGGCGGCGGCAGCGGCGTAGGCGAAGGTCTTCATGTTCTTGGAAGAGGAGGGGAGTGGGGGCGGGGAAGCTGGTGTTGGAGCTTGGAGGAAGATTGAATAATGAACTCCTGGTCGAGCCTTGAACCGGAGCTGTTTACTGCCATGAGAGAGCAGGAGAAGAGCGGATAGCTCGCGTCAAACAGCAAACAGTGTCGACGTTGAACGCTCTAGGGGCAGACAGCAGGAAGCTGGAGGTCGAAATGGCAATCGTGGCTGTCATCGACTCGATCGTGGCACACTTTGTGTCGGCTTCAACAATGATGGTGTTCAGACGAGCATTGTTTGTGACTCACAGACTCTGTAAGTCCGCCCAACGCGATCCTTTGAGTGACAACCGTGGCACAGCGTAAAGCACGGCGTGCGCTTGCTGACCTCCCGCACAATCTTGAAGTTAAACTGATTCTGAGTTCACTTGAGACCATCCACTACGAAGAGGAGAGCAACGCGACACTTCCGCCGTTGCAGCATTTCATCTTGGCATTGCCAAGTTGGCAACAAACAGCTCTACGTAGTATGATTCAGGAGCCGCTCAAGGATGAATTACAACAACAATATCGCTGCACACTCTCTCCAACCAAGTCTTCGTCGGTAACGGGCAATGCACGCCGCCGTGACCTACGCAGTGACACAACAGCCGACAACTGCCGACATCCTCGTCACCTGGGCCATTCCAGCGCTATCTGCGTGAATGACCTCCCCCAAAGCTGGTCTTCCCGGCGTATTCCACGGTGCGAGTGCCTTGTTTGCCTGCAGCCCAGTGATCAGTCCACAGTCACCTTGGCGGCAAACGCCCCCAGACAGCTTTCACGTCGACTTGGAGCACCCGATGGCCGTGTGGGGAAAGTCTCTGAGGTGCAATGGAGCTGATCAACCATGCTCTGGCCGTTGTCGCGCGCTCAACATTTTTGGCATGACAACTGCAACTCTCAAGTTGAAGTTGAATTATGTACCAATTGTGTACACACACCCCATCTTATTTACGGGCTCAGATCTCCTGCCTGCAGCCATGCACGCCGTCCTTCACCTCCAGCTAGCGGTCGCGCTGTACACCGTGTACTACACGGTCCTGCTGCACGTACACTCGACTTGGTGCAATGCTGTTGAAGTGCACGAACTGCAACAGCCACCACCGCCACTGTCTGATTACCCCGAGCCGCCATCTCAATTCCAATGCGACTTCGCTCTCCTGCATCCTCGTCGGTACGCTGCCTACCACCTACCACCAGCAACCGACCAGCTCTCTACCAGCATCACCATCGACGGAGTTCTGGACGAGAAGGTGTGGGCCGAAGTGCCGTGGAGCGAGCCACTCCAGGATATTCAGGGCCCTCTCTTCTGGTCGCAGCCGTGGTTCGCCACCAAGTTCAAGCTGCGCTACGACCAGCAGTTCCTCTACGTCGGCGCGTACTTGGAGGAGACCGAGGTGTGGGCCAATGTGTCAAAACGCAACGACGTCATTTTCCACGACAACGACTTCGAGGTCTTCGTGGATGCCGACGGGAGCACGCACAACTACAAAGAGTTCGAGCTCAATGCTCGAAATGCAACCTGGAACCTGTGGCTCAACCGCCCGTACCGAGATGGAGGCCACGAGAACAGCACACGAGTGGACCCTCAGTATGGATTTGACATGTTGAACAGCGGTATGCGCTCGGCAGTGTTCGTGAAAGGCCAGATCAATGACCCATGTACGTACAAGCGACCTGCTACGATGTTGACACTGGCGTTGTAGCTAAGTGTCCATGTGCGTGCTGTGCTGCAGCTGAACGTCTGCACTATTGGACGGTAGAGATCGCCCTGCCGTTGTCAGAACTTGCCTTGCACTCAAAGGCGCAGGTTCCACCTATCGCCAACTCCTTCTGGCGGATCAACTTCTCACGAGTCGAGTGGTCTGTCCATGTTGTCACCGACCGACAGACTGGAAGGCAACGCTACGAGAAGAAACCTGGCTTAAAAGAGGAAAACTGGGTCTGGAGCGCGCAACATGCCGTCGACATGCACCGCCCTGAGTGGTGGGGATACCTTCAGTTTCGCCCTCGAGACGAAAGCCCGCCATCTCTAGCGCGCGAAGATGTTGTGCCGGTCGACCCTGAATGGGGAGTGCGGTATGTCAGTTTCCAGTATTACTACGCCCAACACGCCTATCATAATGCCACGGGGGTGTACACGACGAGCTTAGAGCAGTTGCTTCCGCACTTCTCGTCTCGTGAAGCCATTCAGTGCACCAAGCTACTTGACGTCACTGCCACGAACACTTCGTTCAGCGCTCAGATTGCACTAATGAACAACGCTCAACTCGTTGCCAGTATTGAAGACGACGGGTATATCGAAGTCGAGAAGGCGGAGCTTGCTTCACCACTTGCAGCTATTGAGTGAAGGTGCAGCAGGAAAACACTTTGGTCGATATGAAAAACTAACTGATATTTGACCTCGTTACATGGTGCTTGCTTGGTTGAAGCAACCGATGATACATACAGCTCTTTGTGTTGCAGCCTAAGTTACGCGAAGTAAATCCACATGCTGAACGTGACAGCAAGAGCGGCAATGCCACTGCCGGCAACGAGGACGTTGACCCACATGGGCTTGACAAGCTCCGTGGCATCGAGCTTGAGGACCTTGTCCCAGTGGATCATGTACTTGCGCACGTCCTCCTTCGGAGGGCATTTGTTCTGCGTCAGAAGACTCACCACGACACACACCACCATGGCGGTGACCCACAGCAACAGGGCGAAGTGCTGGAAGTTCATGTAGAAGAAGGTGTTCCAGATGCCAGGCAGGTCTCCGTCCATGCTGTCGTCCTTGATCGTCACGAAGATGAGGCGCGAGAAGCCAAGCAGCCCACCCACAATCATAGCCGAGAACGCGCCGTACACATTCGTCGGCTTCCAGGCGACACCAAGCACGAGCACGATACCAATAGGAGGCGTCAGATAGCTCTGGATCTCGACAATCTGCTCGTAGAGACCCGTTCCGTTGCGCATGATGGGGATCCAGCAGAAGCTCAGCACGGCGAAGACGAGGATGCTCATACGACCGACCCACACGAGCTGCTTGTGCGACGCATCGGGGCGGAACTTGAGGTAGATGTCGTTGGTGATGACCGACGAGCCGGCAGCGAACACGGAGGCCAGACTCGACATCATAGCTGTGATGATACTGGAGATCATGAGGCCGATGATTCCGTGCGGCATCATCTCCGTCAGTAGCGTCGGGTACGCCGCATCGGTGCCGTCCTCAATCTTGCTGAAGTCGAAGTAGATGCTGGCAATAATGCCGGGGATGACGATCAGGAACGGAGGGAGCACCTTGAGCATACTGGCGAACGAGCAGCCAGCCTTGGCGTTGGCCGTGTCCTTGGCAGACAGCACCCGCTGCACGAGGTCCTGATCCATGCACCAGTACCAGATCGAGCCCAGAGGCTGGCCGAAGATCATTCCAGTCCACGGGTAGTCGGGGTCGTCCGTCGGCTTCCAGAGGTGGAACCAGCCCGAACGGTCCTGGTTGTCCAGGTTCTCCCGAATGCCCTCAAACCCGCCGATCTGGTTCACCGAGTACGCGAACACCACGAGGCCGCCCAGCGTGAAGACGCACATCTGGAACAGATCCGTGTACATGACGGCGCGCAGACCACCGGCGATGCTGTACATGGCGCTGAGGCAGATGCAGACGCCGGCTCCGAGGTACAGGTTCCAGCCCAACGTGGCCTGGAAGACGATGGCACCGCCGTAGATACTGGCACTCATCTTGGTCAAGACGTACATGATGACCGTGATGAGCGACAGGTAGTGACGGCACGGAGCACCAAAGCGGTACTCGAGGTACTCCGGAGTCGTGTACACGCCGCAGCGGCGGTAAATGGGGGAGAAGATCCAGCCGAGGCACAGGATCAAGATGGCAGCATACCACTCGTACATGGCCACGGCAATGCCGCGACGAGCGCCGTCGCCAGCCATGCCGATGAAGTGCTCGGCGCCGATGTTGCTGGCAAACAGGGCGCCGCCCACGAAGTACCATTGCATGCCGCGGTCCGCCAGGAAGAAGTTGGACACCTCGTTGACTTGGTGCTCCGGTCCATCCCGAGCAATCAGCGAGGCCGAGGGACGTTGTTGCGAGATCGTTGAGCCGCGCAGCGCGGCCGGTGACGAGCGCGGCCCGCGCTCGTCACCGGCCGGGAGCTTCTTCGTCGGGGTCTCTGCTACCAGGTAGGCGTCTCCGGCAGGTGACTCCAGCGCTTGACCCTCGGTGCGTTTGGTCTGCTTGATGCAGGGGAAGTACTTGGCCAAGTGGCTCTCGCCAGCTTGGATGGAGGCGACGACGGCCACGACCATTGTGAAGAACAGCACCGCCACGATGATGACGATGTCGCCGGCGTTCACCTTGGCGCCGCCAGAGGTGTCGGGCACCGTTTGGGTGTACAGCTCGACCATAACGTGAGCTTTTGACCGAGGTTGATGAACCTGACGTGAGATGGAGAGGAGGGTGACTTGAGTCGCTTGAGCCCCAGGCGGCGGATTCGATAGTGAACCGTGCGGCGGTGACAACAACAGCGGCGGTGTCCATGAATGACTCGGACACAACCGCACCACGTGTTGTAAAGAGGTTCAACTCTGCAGCATACTTCCTGGGATTCGAAGCTCAAAGCCGAGCCAGGTCTCACCTAACCAGCCCAGCGCAACCGCGTTGCAAGACGGGGCGTTGCAGTCATGCTTGCGGATCACCTCAGCGTGTATTTGTACAGGAAGGGGTGAGTAAAAATTTCCTATAGACGTCAAGCAGCTTCACTCACTGCGTCAACTACAGTACACTCCAACATTCGCCACCGCGAACTCGAAGCAAAGTCCAACATGGAGGCGAGCTTCATGTACTTAAGTACTGTACATGTACGGTAAGTCACCATGCGTGTTGGCACATCCTCGCTGTTTTTGCACAACGACATTGCGCTTCACGGCGCTCAACGTTGACCCAGACTGAGTTCTCCGAGATAGAGGCCAGCATCAAGCTCGGTATGGGGAGGGACAATGCCCTGCAGGTCGGATCCCACGCACGCAGTGGCACAGCAACTCCCCAGCATCAATATCGACGTGAGTAGTTCATTCAACGTATCTTTCAACTTGCTTGCATTACCACCATTTTGGTAGGAGCGCGCTTCATTGATCGCCGGGTGTCTCAGGAGCGACGGTCTCAAATCAAGCGAATGTTCTACTCAAAATCAAGCGAATGTTCTAGAAGACGCCGTCGATGCCAGTGTTAGCGCTGCGAATCGTTATCTGCGATGCTGTACGATGCCAACGCAGCGAATTCGCCTGTCTTACAAGCTGACCGTGGTTCTAGAAGCCAGCTTCAATGCGGTCACTTCAAGGAGTTCTTGACAGCGCGAGCAACGACGGGGGCATATGGTAGCAGCACCATGCGCATCTCGATGCTCGGCCGTACCAACGAATTCTCCGATCCAATCGCTGGTCAAGAATGAAGCGGTGGCGGCATTCGCTGCTGGCTACAGTAGGTGTAGTCGCTTGTAGAAACTTCGAGAAGCCCATACATCATGATGATTTTTAAAATGACTAAAATTATATGTTAAAACAAATATATGAACGAAGGAGCAAACGTCCACATCCTCCGAGTCTATTGAGGTGAGCCACCTTTTGAGTCCATATACAGTATGGAAGCAGTTTGCTCGCATATAATCTTAAGCCCGAGTCGTAACTTACGACTCGTAAGGAGCTCGTCTGTATTTACTGACTCATCAGTCCTATAAGCTGCAGATTAATTGTTTACTGACCGAATTACCACCAAATTAAAAAAAATATTTTTACGGTAAGCCTATATTAAATTTAATAAGTACCCGGGAGCTCTAAAGGTCCCAATTTGCTCGTGATTCACGGTATATTGGCAAAAATATTATTCTCGCGGATCGCCAAACTTCACGAGTCGTACTATAGAGTTGGAAATTTGTTATAGTTTGTCAACTCAATTTGAGCGCCAGGTAAGTTTCATGTTATGTACACTCGACATTGATTTCACGATGCTTCGTGCAGAGACGGCAGCCGCCCGCTTCAACGTTGAAGTTTACCATCACCACCACCAAAATGTTAAACGGGAAGGTTGCCTACATGTACTTAAGTATTTTTAATTAACTGTACGAGTAGCTTGCGGCGAGCTGCAGTACATCGTCCGGGATTTCCTTCGATATCAAAAAGTAGTATGCTCCGTGCTGCTGCCAAAAATGCAGTTGCATATGTGGAATTGACGTCCAAATAAGTGAAGATTGAAGTGGTGGCACTGGTGGGCGTCACGCGATCCTTGTATGTAGAGGGCGGTTGCTTGGCAGAAGGCAGCGCGCTGCTTCGCGGTCGATCCAGTGAATACAGAGTACATGTATACGATGTGCAGCAATTACTTCCGCAGAGTGCAAGTGGGTCGGCACAAGCCGCCCTTCACAAATCTGACTCGAACTTCAACTTGCATACTGATGCATGCAGCTGTATGCCGCTGCTTTCACTGCTTTCACTACCGCTACGTGACTTGCCGATGATATTTCGGTAGTTGCAAGATGACCGCACTAGGGATGGTTTTGGATTAGACGCGTAAAGAACGTTCAAAAGGGTCGTTCATGTTTAAAACAGTTTTGAAGTGTCTAAAAGTCCAAAAGTACTTGCCCTCCGCATCTTCCTGTCGAGTATACATTCCCCTGCCACTCCTGCCCTTCACGCACAGCTCGTTCGAGGACAGGGACCTTTCACCATGCACCCTGAACCAGTTGCTGGCACGCTGCCAGCAGCTGCAGCATCCATCGCGCCTCGCACTCCACAGTCAGGGAGGAGAAACCAACAAACTCCAGGATCAGCACCAAGAACGCACCGATCTCCGCCAGCATCAGCGCCGAGAAGCGTCCGATCCTCTCCTGCCTCAGCAGTGAGGCGATCTCCACGCTTTAGGCCGCACTCGAGTCCGACCCAACAGCCCCCGCAGACACCTAGAGTGCTACGGCAGATGGACTTCTCGTCGCCTCAATTGTCCACATCCGCCCGGCCGCCACGTTCTCCAGCTCCGGCCAGCCAGTTGCGAGAATCGCCGATGAAGACGGGGCGCCCGCGTGACGACATTTGGCAACACTATGGCATTGAGCGCGAGAATGGTAAAAAGCATGGGCGATGCAGATACTGCACCACTCTCAAGAAAAATGGCAAGCCGAGCGGTAATTTGCTAAAACATTTGATCAATCCAGGCCAGTGCCCTAGTGTACCTCGCGAAGTGCAAGTTTCGCTTCGGCCTGTGGATATTCCCGATCCGAACCCAGCACCAGCTAAGACCGCCCCTCCCCAAGCAGCTGAGCTGAGTCATGACGCCTTCGAGATGGCATTGGCACGTGTTTTCTTCGTCTGTGCACTTCCATTTATGCTCATAGAGGCTCAGGTATTCCGAGACTTTATCGCCATGGTGGCTCCTACAGTGAAGGTGCCTTCGAGGCACAAACTCAGCGTGGTTCTTCTAAAACGTGTGCGAGATGAGATGCGCGTGAAAGTTATCAAGTTGATAAACAAGCAAGTCTACGTGTCGCTAGTTACGGACGGATGGAGCGATACAAATGGATCGAGTATCATCAATTTCATGGTAGTGGCGCCCGGCATGCCTTCGTTGTTCTGGTCATCATGGTCGACAAGGTCAGAGCAGCACACAGCTGCGTACCTAGTAGGTGAAATTGACAAGGTCATCTCATCTATTGAAAGTGCCACGACCGCACACGTCGTTTCTGTCGTCACAGACAACGCAAGAAACATGAGTAGTGCTTGAAGTCACATCCAGGCACGACGACCCAACGTGGTGAGTGGCGGCTGCTCCGCCCACGTGCTCAACCTGCTCATGCAAGATGTGTGTCGCTTTCCTGTAATTCAAGCGGTCAGATCATGAGCTGTGGCTGTTACCTGTTTCGTTCGAGATCATTTGGCTCTACTTGATGAATTCAAGGCTCTGCAGCAAGGCTTACGCGATACGGGTCTAAGCGCAAGAAATCTGGTGTTGCCGGGTGTTTGCATGCTTGCGCAGTGTGTTGAACAGTCGTGAAGTACTTGAAAAATTATTTTTGAGTTCCGAGTATGAAGAATTCCGCGATCGATATCGTGCAACTGCGCCAAACCGGAAGAAACTTCGCTACATGATGGAGCTCGTTCGTGACAACAGCTTTTGGGACAGCTTGAGGACCATCGTACGTCTGTTGGACCCTATAATTGAAGCACTAAGACAGCTCGAAGGTGACAACGTGTTTGTGTCGGGGGTTTATAAGTGGTTTCGATGGCTACGGTATCACACCGCGTACGGCGTCACCTCACCTGAGCAAGATGATGAAGAGGCAGTTGATGTGCCTGAGCCGTCTGAGCAAGCTGGCGTGCCGGGACCGTCTGAACATGAAGCTGTTGATCAAGCTCGCCATGGAATCGAACTCCTTAGTAACTCAGTCGATCTTTTAGCGCCCACCAACTCCGCCGGATCGCCGCCCACAGCGCCAGCCGAACTGCAGTCTGCACCAGCAAGCGAAACTTCCCCTGAAAGTACGTCACCGGATGATGAAAATTTATTAGCGGGAGGTGATTACAGACGTATCGATGTTCCGCAGCTCGAGGAGCTTCAAGAATTTTTTCGTGACAAGATTCGAAGTCGATGGAGCTATGAGCACTCCAACGCGATGAGTATCGCATTCTTGCTCGATCCATCGACGGATATAGATGACTTCGTTGGCGCTGATGATGAAAAAGTTGATGACCAGGTGTGTGAAATGGCGAGGCGGTGTGGCTTGTTCACGCCAACCGTGGGCGCCCCCGCATTTACTGCAGAGGTCCTTGCGTTTAAGAGTAAGAAGCGGCGGGGTGGTAAGGCGATGCGTGAGAAGTATTCAATGTCAAGTCCGCGGGATTACTGGGAAGGGAAGAAATCTACTGCTTCAGAAGATAGCACAAATTGTGTTCGCGATCCCTACTTCGTCGGCTGCAAGCGAACGGGCTTGGAGTATCTTCGATCACATACACTCGAAGCGGAGGAACAGGCTCTCAGTGGCAAAAGTTGAGATGCTTGCATATGTGTATATCAACTATGGTACGATTCGAAGCGATTCGATGGACCTTGCCCGTCACCAGTCGCGTCCAGAAAGTGTAGATGCTGATGGTTAATTGCCATCGAATAATACATGATACTACGTTTTGAATCTGTTTTTATTTTGCTGACCACTAAGATGTACGTAGTGCTAGTTCACCAAGAAGTTTGCTATTGTGTCGTACAGCGGCAATCCCTCATCGTGCAGCATTAGCAGCCGATATGATCGACGCGCCTAAATGTTGGCAGCGCGTCGCGGCATCTATCACTTTCTTTGGCGTGCATTAGACCTGGTCCTGTCGCTGCTTGTGCACAACGAGCGCGATATGCTCGAAGAAATCTTGAACTCCGCACTGACCTCAGCGTCTCACCGAGACCGACTTGAAGTTTTTGCTTGTGGGCACACCCACGATACCCACGGTAGCGCTGACGCGACTGCCGAGAAAGGAGCGCTCGGGATCTGTTCTCTCGATTCAGTTCTTGACCTCGGTTGCGAAAAGCACGCTCTCTTCATTGGTCTCGGTGGAAGCGGCAGCCATCTTCTCCTTCTTCTGCTCGCTTGGGTCGCAAAGTCGGTCGGGCTGGACCTCCTTATTGGCGCTCGGCTTAGCGCTCTTGATGATGCACAGGTTCCCGTTGTCGCGGTGCACCCGCAGGTGATAAGACTTGGCGCCCTCGGGCACATCGATGACGTCGTGCTCGAACTCGAGCTTCTGGCTGTAGTCCTCCAGCTCCACGTCGACGGAGCTAGCCTTGAACTGAATCTTCGTGTTCATCTCGCCGCTGGCATCCTGACAGGCGTCGGCCGAGAAGTCCAGGTCACCCGAGGAGTTCAGGTCCAGGGCCTGTTCGCCGTCGACGCTGTAGTCAATACCCTCGCCGGCATCCAGGTCCTCATACAGGTCGCCCTCGCCGGCGAGGGCCAGCTCCAGATCCTGCTAGCTGAAGATGTTGGGCTGCTTGACGCGGTGGATGCGCGGGTCGTTGGCGAGCGCGCGGTCCACGAGGCTGGCCAGACGGGCGTACTCTTTTTTCTTTCTTGGCCGCGGCCTCGTTCTTCTTGGCCATCCAGCGCTTGTGGTCGCGGTGCTCGGCCGAGTCCACGTCGTGCTCCGAGTTGTGCGTGAAGACGCGCCACGAGTCGAACTTGTTCGAGAAGTCGTAGAAGGCGTAGACCTCGTCGATATGGAGGTCGTCGCCGCCCAGCGCGGGCGCGGGCTTGTTCTCGCTGAAGCGCGCGTTGGCCAGGAACACGGGGCCGTAGAGCTAGTAGAAGCTCTTGCCCTCGTCAGCGGGGTCGTTCTCCTTGATCTTCTCGTAGCCCGCACTCGTCAAAGTCGCACTGCGAGTCGTACGCGCGCTTCTTCTGCGGGTCTATGGGCGTGGCGAAGGCCTTCTGCACGGCCAGGTAGTTGGGGTCGTTCTTCGTCTTGCCCGTCTTGCCCGGGTGGTGCTCGATCAGCACGCGGTGGTACGGTACGCCTTCTTGACCTGCTCGTCCGTCACGTCGAAGTCGATGTCGCTCAGCCCCAGCTGCAGCTCCAGGAAGTTCTTGCCGCGGATGCTGCGGCGGTACTTGCGCAGGATGGACTCCTCCTACTTGCGCACCGCGTCGCGCGCCTTGGTGGCGTCGTCCAGGTCCTCGCAGCTGGCCCAGCAGCCGCGGGCCATGTTGCGCGCGCGCTTGTTGAAGGCGCGGCCTACGGCCTCCACGCGCCTCTGCGCGAAGTAGCCGCCCAGGCTCAGCACGACCTTGGGCTCCTTGAAGTCCGCCGGGGGCGTCGCAGCGACAGCGTCAGCGAAGACATCCTCACAAGTCTCTCCTTGTGTCGGGGGCCGTCGGAGCCGTCCAGCACCACTCGGCGATGTCTGAGCCGTGCAGCTCGTACATGTCGTTCGTCGTTCTTTGTCGGGGGAGGGGGTGCTGCACCACATTGGGGCGCATCCGTGATCGTGAGGCAGCGTGCGCGCGGTGGCCGTGGGCGCAGCTCCGACAGGTCGCAGGTCGACAGCGTCAGCGTTTTGCAGGGGTGTCTAAAAGTGTCTAAAAGTCACTAACATTATACGGGCCCGTGGTTGATAATATTCTATCTGATAGTTTGGGACAGTTTTGGATTTTGAACGGAATTTTGGACATTTACAGAAGTCTTTGGGACCGTTCAGAACTTGTCCAAAACCATCCCTAGACCGTACTGTAGCTACAAGCTGGCGAGTGTGTCGTGTGGAAGCGCAAAAGAATGTAAGTACACAACTAATACATAGTCCGCCTTATTCAGAGTGAGTTAGATATTACACTCATATACACTAAGCTATGTATGTCCCACCTACAGTTTGAAGTTTGAAGTACTGTATGGTGCATACAGTACTTTACCTCTCAACACCAGTATATTCAGCATCAGAATCGCTAAGGATAAGTTCAACGCGGCCTGGCTTTCCCAGCACCTTGGTCAAAATGACTCAACTGCAACCACAACGCACCGATCGATGTGACGATGTTGTGAAGGTATCTTGCTTGGCATCGGGTGTGGCACACCGTGTGCCGCAAATAAAACCAGATCATGCACTACTATGTCTCTCATCTGTTGCAACAGCGGCGCTGTTGCACTGCAACTTGCAGCGTTTATCCACTGTACGGCGTACAGTGGTGTCGAACGGATCATTCGTCGAGCAGAAACAGCACGTGCGCTGCTGCGAGCGCCGACTTCGACGATAATGTAGACATCTCGTGGAGCTTTGCAAGTAGCGCCTGCGTTATCTGAGCATCGAGTTGGTCGAACTGCCGTCGATCGCTTTGTTTGACGTCTGCTGCCCAATGCTGCAGCCACTGCAATGCCAGCCATACATCGGGTGAATCTTCGGCGTCCTCGCGAGTATCGCCATCTAGGAGCGATAAGAACGCAGTGCACAACGCATTGCGCGCCAGTCTCCATGCAAGGAGTCCCGACGATCGTCATTGTACGTCGTAGTAACTCCAAGTCGTCTTCGACTATACAGAGGCGAAATGCCAACTCGAACTCATCACATTGCGCCGCTTCCAATGCGGCCTCAGCGCGAGTAAGCTCGAGGTTGCTATCACGGTCGTCGTCGTTGCCCTTGCTATCACTTGGGATCATGGTGCTGTTGTGGCTGGTTAGTGGTTGGCTGTCGCCCTCATCATCTGCGGACGGCTTGATGGTTTGGAGCGATCGGCGCTTTGGAAGGGATATCTGAGGGACGTCTTGGTGCTGGGTGCGTCTCGCTCGCATCTGCGCTTTTTGTTTCGCTGCAAACTGTTTCAAAGTTGCGACGGCTTGCAATGCTCCTGCTGCCGAGGTGACTGACCTCGTAGGTGTGTCAACTTTTGCTGCTGCCAACGCGACTCGATGCTGATTCGAGCTTTTGCGTTGCACTTTGGCTGGTTGCTCTACACCATTCTTACTCTTGTACTTATCATTTTCTGGGCTTAAGTTTTCTGCTTCATCACCGTGTTCTGGAGCAGCATGATCCATGAGCTGGTCGGTAAAGATCTCATCGTCTTGAATTCGATCCTCAGGCCGTGACAATGCTTCAAATGCAGTTTCGAAATCTGCCGCTGGGTCTCTAGTTGATTTATGGGCTGCGTGACTGCGGGCAATTCTCCCATGCGCAGTGGTGTTGGGACCTCGCACTGGGTCATCTGTATCGGAAGGGTTTTCGTGCGATGGCAAGGCTTCGTCTCCCGCCACAGAATCACCGAAGCTTGGTGTACTTTCATCCGCTACCAATTCAGCACGAAGTTCGTCCGCGCTATCATCCACAGCAGGTTTATGAGCATCTGGAGCATTAGCCGCCGTAGGTCGCGCCCACCGTTTGCCACTAAACGCGTAGCTCGGAGGATTTAGTGGCACGAAATCATAGTAAGCACCGGTGTTGGGACGCCCACCACTGGTTGCTTGTGGGAATAATTTCTCCAAGTGTTCGAATGCCATAGCTGCAGGGATAGCAGCCTCACGAACCACTGATACAGAATCATGCCGGCCAGCTAAGACGAGAATCTTCAGTCGTTCCTGAACAAGAACACCACCAACAGTTAAGCCGAGTCTAGGATTTGGACATCCAAGTCATGCAGGGAACGTACCAACTGCGATTGAAAGTACTCTTTTGCCACGTCAACTGCCACACACCAAGCAGCGTCCTGCAGTGCGAATATATCTAGCAGCATCGTCAATAGTTCCATGCCGCGCTTTCGTAGCATCCAATCCTCACGAGGTCCGCACTGGAAGGAGTCCTCGATGGCTTCGTATATCGATGCGATATGCGGAGCGAAGTAGCCACCCAATTGAACGAAAGAGGCTTTCTCGTGGGCCTCACGAGCGAGCTGACATGCGGACTGCAGCACAAGGAACAGAGGCGAAAACGTGGCAAACATCGTACTACCATCTAGCTTGTCAACAGTATCAGCTAGGAGATTCTTGAAGAACGGGTGGATGCGTGTGGCGTGAGCTAGAACTGTACTTGGTCCTGGCACTGATACTCCGTCAAAATCAACAGGGTGGAGCAGACCACAGAGGCATCTCGTGGCAGCTTCACCAACCGCATTAGCTTCTCTAGCAAAGACAGCAGCGATCGCTTCGAACGTCTGTTGAATGCTGCTATCCCCGCGCTGCTTGCAGGGTGAGGCGCCGGGCTGGCCACTAGGGAGTGTTACAACAGGGCATGGCACAACGTACAACGCAAGCGCGGATACTAGTACCACGCAGGCATCGGTCGTCTTGGCGTGGCCGTCACGGAGGCGAAGGCATGTGTTGGATAAAATTCGCGGCAACAGCTTGGCTGTTTGCACTGGGTGGCATCTGCAAAGAGCTGCGATGAGCAAGACCAGCATACGTCGGGTTGACGAGCGACCGGGTTTCTGCAGAAACATTACGCCCCCGAAGCTTTAGTAATGCTAGTTTACTCGGCCGACAAAGCAACAACTAAGCGAAGGTCTACCTTGTTCTTCTCGATCGGAGCATACGCTTCCTTCACCAAACTCGAATCAAGTACCTGAAAAGTTTCACTAGAGCATGAACACATGCAGTTAGAGACTATCACCCTCATCTACTTGCGAAGTTGTTAGATTTCTTACATGAGCGTTGCAAAAGCTTGTTGCTGAGTATCTCGGTCTTCGAGTCGGCCGATTTGAACGTTCAGATTGCACATCTCCTGGGCTTGACGCTCCTTTGTCTTGCGATTTTGCTTCATCTTCTTGATGGTTCCTTTGGGGCTCAAACTACCCTGCGTAACCTCAACACCGCCAACCTTTCCAGCATGCCCCAACCTTCGGTGCTGGAAACTCGTCTCCATCATTATGAATGCCTGCGAGTAAGTAAATGCCTGAGAATCAAATGAAAATCTTGCGAGTGCGCCAAAGTGCATCCACGTGAGAAGCTTTCTGATACTAAAATACTCGCGTTGGCCTTGGTGGTCAATTTACCAAATATACCTCGTCTTGGCGCAGGAACGCAACCTAATCGTCCGCATAGCGACACTTTTCCTAGATCGCTGTAGTCATCGCGATGAAATAACCCCCTACGTCAGCCGAAGTACGTGCTGAGCTGAGAGAGTGTGTCCATGTCCGACAGGTCATCCGTGCAGATGCTGGAGAAGTCGCTGCGCTGGGACCACCACATCGGCGAGCTGAGGTCGTGGTCGCTCCACTCATCGGAGTAGTCAAACACGTCGTCCCACGAGGTCTCGTCGGCGCTGTTTCCGGCACCAAAACTCTCTTCAACTTTGAAAGCTTCCGGGACGTCGAAGTTGGGGTGGGGCAGGACACTCGGTGCGATCATGACTTCCCAAGACTGCGAGTGGGAGTCCGACAGACTCAATCGAACCTCCAGCGGCTTCAGTGTCGAGCTGTAAGTGACGTTAGGCATCGTCATACCCCCTGCCTTACTAGATACCGCCGAGGTGTCTGGCTGCAGCATCTCCTTGATCTTTAGTGGATTACCCCGGACGAAGCAGTCGTGGTGGTAGATGACGTACTCCCAGCGAAGTTCCTCTCTGCACTGGAAGTTGAGCGCCTCCAGCACCTGGTGAAGCGAGCAGACCCTCAGCCCCAGCCACGTCTCGAGCCGCGCCTCACTCGTCTGGTGGACGACGAAGTGGACGCCGTCCTCAAGCCACGCGAGCGAATCCCCCTCCGTCTCGTTGTCCAGGAAGAAGTGCAGCTTCTGCAGGAACGTCCTCCAGCTCCAGTCGACGCCACTGCAGCCCTCATCTGTGCAGGCGGCAGGCGGCGTTGACGTTGACGTTAGTTCCCCATCCAGATGGCAGTTGGGCTCTCACGCTCTGACCGTCGCGCAGCAGCTTCAGTTGCTTGTTGCGGCGACGGCGCTCGATGTCGACGCTGTCTCCTGCTGCAGAACGGTCGTTGAGTCGCCGTGTACACTGTGCAGAGGGCCAGGAAGCGCCACAAGCAGAGGAAACGCACCGCTCTCTTCGCGTGCTCGCCGCCCCATGCTCCGCTGCGGTATCCGCAAAATGCGCACTTCAACTTCAACTTCTCCTTGTGCAATTCAGAATCGCGATTCAACCATGAATTGAAAGAAGACGATTCAAGATCAGAGTCATGTCCTCTTCAACTAATCAACAGCATTCGCCCTGAAACGCGCAAGTACCAAACCTGAGCAGAAGCAACCAAAACCAATAAGCCAACTACGGCGAACGAGCTTAATCTCGAGTAAAATTGGCGATACCAAGAGTAACACACCAAAAAGAGGCACTACGAGTAATCCCAAACAACTAAAGCCGAGATACGAGTATTCAGAAATTGGGTACGAATGAAGTATTGCTAACAACGAAGAACTGTGAATAAAATGTAACGAAACGTGTATTGTTGTCTACGAAAATGGATCGTAGGACTCGATATGCAAAATGAAAAAAATGCAGCACGTTCGAGTTGTTCTCGCCAGCCATTGATCGCCACGGCTCCAGCAACATCTGCACCATGGGTGTAGGCCCTGTTAAGACACTCGGCTAACTCTTGGCACTCCAGCTTGACTTGCGCACCGTTGGAAAACTTCGTCATCCAGAAGAAGACGCCGTTGGTCTCCCCCCACGAGATCCCCTTTCCCAACAGAAACTGCTCCACCTCACTACCGGAGTCGTCGGGAACTTTGAATTCCTTCATGAGGTTCCAATGTAGGGGTCTGGCAGGGTACTTCAAGAACTCTCGAATCAGCACGTCGACGGAGAATCGGTGAGTGTTGTCTCCGCCTTCTGTGAGCGGACCCACGCGCTTGCGCTGCCCACCACTTAGCTTTCTCGTTGGCAACGCCTTTAGCATCCCTTGAATGCTGATCTCCTTCTGCAATGTCATGGCAGTGACGACATGGGAGCATTGCCACCCTGTTTGATAAAACAGGGCGCAGTCGCACACATACTTCTTCCGAATCGCCTGAATCTAAAACCGCAGTGACAGTGTCAGATTCAAATCGCCTAAGTGTGCTACTACCACATATCAAACTGAACGTACTGTTTGGGAGGGGATTGATGGTGCAGCCGTTATCATTCCACCATCGAGCAGTGGATCTCTGCTCAGTAATCGAACTTGGTGAATGGACAAGCAGTGCAATTCCACCAGGTTTACAGTCATCCCTGGCGGTAGTTTGCCGTTGATGGAGTTCCTGTAGCTGCCAAAATGAAACAAATAAATAGTGAGCTTAATAACTTTGACTCGCACAGCTGTAATACTCACATTGTGGCACGGTCGCGGTTCAAAACAGCACTGTGAATGTTCTTGGGCGATACCACGAACTTGGAAGCGTTAAACAAGAACGCCTTCACAAACTTCGCCCGTGTGTCCTTGATCATGTAGTGATTAGACTTCTCTTGGACAAGCGTTTGCGCGCGCGCTACTACACCACTCATGAACGGACCTAGAATGCACGAGATACACGAATAATAAAATCAATCGGTACACACCATTAGCAAATGATCAACAAACGTCATCTTACCTTCCGAGAAGTGGTTTAGAGCAGGGCGAGCCGGCTCGCTTTCTTGGAGACCAAGAATACGAGGAATTGAGTCGTTCAAGACGACCGCTATACTTGCCCGAAGCGTCCCGACACACACCTTCTTGATCACGCGGTGATGAGCCTCAAGGGCATTCTGGGACGGTGTAATGCCTGCGGCGGCGGCGACGTAGAACCAGTTCCCCCACGTGTCACCCAAGTAAATGTCCTCGAACCACTTGGCGTTGTCTCGCTCGTTTTGTTGGATCCAAAACTCGAGAAAGAGTTTACTGAGCGCCTTGAACTGCTTGGCCGAGCGAGCTTTACTGAGATAGCGAATGTCCCGTAGCACGTTGTCTTCGTAGAACGCAGGGTCCTTGAGTAGCTTGATCTTCTCTCGACTTTTCCGCACGAGGTGCGGGTAGCAATTAAGGAGAATTACATCAGGCCAAACCTCCTTAAAAGCGTTCGCAATGCCTTGGGTAGGCTGCCATAAGCAAGGGCTAAATCGACTCCGAAAAACAGTCGGGTAAAGTGCTTGGCAGTCCGAAAAAGCGTTGCGTACGCCGTCTGATGCTCTGTCTTGACAAACATATACATCCAAGGGACAAATGTTTTGGAGTACTGTTTTCACGAATAGTGCGTCGTGTAGGTCCCAAAGTCTACGAGGGTCCATCCACCTACAAAAAGGAGAAAACGGTCAGCTAATGCACCTTGTGTGGAGAAGTGCTGAATAAGAATTGTTCTCCGAGAAAGGCGGCAGGGTCGATCGACTGGAGGCGTGGGAGATCGGCGATCAAGAGACAGGCAGCAAGGATCTACGGATCAGAAGGAGTTCTTCGGGAGATCTCAGGTGGTCCGATGACGCCGGCGCGTAAGGCAGGACATGTGGCAAGCCGGATTGTGGGTGATCGTGCCCGAACCACGGCGTGATTCGTGGCCGACCCAAGTCCAGATCGACGACAGAACCCGCGGATCTGAGATGGCCGAGGACAGAAGGTGATAGATCGGCGGCGCATGGCAACCGGCATAAATCATCGATCGGGAGTGGATCGCCGATCGGGATCGACGGGTCGATCGTGGATCGGGAGCCGATCGTGGGTCGCCGATCGGGGCCGATCGCCGATCAGGGCCGATCGTGGATCGACCAGGATGGGACGCACACGGAGGACGAAGTCGGGGCAAGAATCCAGTAATCGTGTGGTTGTTGGAGGGTAAGCAAGATGGTAGCATTAGGGGGAGACCAGCTAAACATAAATCAGAGCAGAATTTGCACCGAAGACCACAAGTCCCATCAAGTCACCAAGTCCCAGGAACTACATTGGCCTCGGCAGCGTCGACACTTTGGGTAGTGAACTAGCGGTACGGTTAAGACTGGATTAATACATTGGCCAGCTTGACCTACTGTAGTGATCTATCTCTTGTGTGCAAGTCCGCGATCGACCGGGTATTGGTGCTTGGCCGGCGATCGTTTCTCCTCTCGATCAACCTCGATCCCGCTATAGGAAGCGGCAAGCAACTCAGGAAAGGAAGGAACACACCCGGAAAGGCAACCACAGGCCTTGGATCAACTCCAGGCCGACCGATCGCAGCGAACAACCCTCGATCGGAGCGTATACTCGGACGCAGAGCGAAGACTACCGCGCTGCTCCACAAACTATCCCCGCGTCACGCCAAGACACTCGATCTTCACCAAGTGCTGCATCTTCGGAGCCCCGAGAGAGCAGATCCAGCCCGCCGACGGGTACACAAGGTGAGCAAATGTTCAGCCGACCACGGATCGTTGGGGGACCTCCTCCGTTAGTCGGTGTCTGGGCGCTGGTGGGAAGCTTGATCAGGCCTTAACCTGATTATGGCCGATCCCGCTACACCACAATGGTGCGCGTGCCTGGATTTCTTGGGGACTACGGATTTCACCGTGAGTCCGTAGAAGATGCGCAAGTGAAGTAAGAACCAGGGGAAGAGGCGTCGTCGGATATCGGATCGACGAAGACGCTGCTGAACAAAACGAGATCCGCGGATCGACAGAGTGCTCGGAGGACTTCTGTCGACGGAATCGAGGGCGATCTGGAGACAGATCTAGAAGACAAACCTCAACATCCTCCCCAGGTCCCTTCGGGGACCCCGGTGGATCTTGGTGCGAACCGAGATTCACTAACAAAACAAACTAAGGCGGGGCCAGACCGATACGCGTTCGCTGACTCGCCGATCAGGCTCGATCCGGGCTACCTGGACGCGATCGCGGACAAGACCCAGATCGTGAGGAAGAAGCTGAGAGCGCCAGGCTTGGACGACGAAGATCCCAGACCGTCGGCGCTCGACTGGTCTGAGGCTGACCTGGATCGTCAGTATTACTTGAAGGAACCGCGAGATTTCTTGCGTCAAGATCCTGTCATGGTGATCGTGCGGCCAGAGCAGATCGACGACCCGAAGGGCCCAATTTCGGCCCCCCGAGTGACCGATCGAGAAAAGCTATGGGTCACCCGTGGAGATCGTTGGGTGCCAACCGTGGTCCGAGGACCCGGCAGGATCAGATATCTCCAGGTTACCAACATCAGTGACAAAGATCTTGTCTTGCATTGGAATGAACGGATCGGGATGTGGCTGGCCGGAGATCGGATACCCCGGATCCCAGGATATGTGTCGATCGGATCTCGTCGATACATGGAATGGCAGAATCTAGCCTTTCAAGCCACGATAGATGACCGGCCGACGGGCCAGGGGGCACCAGCGGAACCTTCAGTACCTGCCGTCGAGCGACCGATTTATCCAACGCCCCGAGCCATTCTCCAGAGACGCAAGGTATCCCCGATCGTCGATCAATCGACGGGTCCACCCGATCCACCAAGCGAACCGGAGGCAATGAGCCCTGATCCGGGGGTGGCCGTCGTTGATACTCCTAGATCAGGAGGCAGACCGTTGCAGGACGGTGATCGCGTGACAGATGAGTCGGGGTCGTCAGCTTCAACCGTCCTCGTCGGAGATCCACCAGACCCACGGTCGGATCGTGTTGAGTCGGTGTGTGAACCTTCCCGATCGGAGGAGGAATGCCCTCCAAAGCGGAAACAGGTGGGGCTGGACTCCCAGCCTTCGCCGATCACGGATCAAGCGTATGCACCGATAGATGACGCGAAGCCGCAAGATGATCGTGCTGGCGATCCAGAGGGGAAGCCAGATCATGTGGACTCCGGTGGTAAAGCAGCTGAGAAAGGCAAAATCGTGTCCCCTCACTTGCCATCGGCCGATCTGGTCGACGGTTGTGCCGTCGAACCAGATCTTGGGGGCGGGAGTACCGATCGGACACACCCTTTTGCGGTCTTAGCTGTGGAACAGTCGAGATCAAGTGACGATACAGCAGTCGACGGTGTTCCTGCATCTGAACGACTGCCGCAAGTGGCTGAAGACTCGTCGAACGTTGGAGGGGATCAGCTGGAAAAGGAGGCCAAACCCACTTCAAATCGGGACGACCTCATTGCATCCGAACCAGACCGAGACGTTGGCGCTGACGATCAGGTCCATTACCACGAGGGCGGGAATCTGTCAGCAGAAGAGGTCGAAGGTGAATTAGCTGTGCTTCCTGAAAACGTGATCTCGACGACGGATGAGGTGAAGATCGATGATATCAAGGTGGGAGATCTGGAGTTCAACACCCCAGAGGAGATCGATAGGCTGCGAGAGAAGATCTGGCACAGGAATCACCTGTTGATCGGCAAGGGCAATGCACTTCCCCCAGCAGCCCGGGGCGTCACCTGCGACATCGACGTGGGCGACGCGAAGCCAATCGCTCAACGTGTCCGGAAAGTTGCCCCTCAGTTCGTGGAGAAGGTGTCCGAGCTGATCAAGGGATTATTGTCAGCCAAGATGATTCGGAAATCTCGATCACCGTGGGCCTCGCCGATTGTCGTGATCATCAAGAAGAACGGCGTGGATATCCGACTCTGCATCGATTATCGGCTCGTCTAACCAGGCTGATGGTATATCCGATGCCCTTGATCAACGATTTGCTGGAGAATCTGGATAAGGTACTCTGGTATTGCTCTTTGGACATGGCTAGTGGATTCTGGGTGGTGACAATGACCGATCGAGCTCGTGCGATCTCGGCCTTTATCACCCACATGGGTCTGTTCGAGTGGAACCGGATGCCGTTCGGCTTGAAGAACGCTCCTCAGATCTACCAGCGACTTCTGGACGACGCGTTGTATGGGTTCACCAGGATCCCACGATCGTCGGACTGTGAAGTCACTACGGACTTGGTCGAGTCAGGAGAACCAGAAGATCCGGGCGTCCATCAGTGCTAGGTCGCAGATCGTACATTGACGACATTTTGGTGACGACCGGGTCATGGGACGAGCTGTGTGATCGCGTGGATCACCTGCTGGACGCTTGTGATAAGTGGAACCTCTCGATCAGTGTGGAGAAGAGCTCTTGGGGGAAGCGTAAGGTGGACTATCTGGGACATCGGGTGTCGAACGACGGGCTAGAGGCCAATCCGAAGGATCTCACGACTCAAACTGATCTGCCGTTCCCCGGATCACTCCGATCGATGCAGTCGTTCTTGGGCAGTCTCAATTATTACAGCCGTTTCTTGGAAGATTACGCGATCTACGCGGTGATCCTGTACGAACTGCGCGAGGTGGACTTCGCCGAGCTGAAGAAACGCCCCGATCTGCGCCAGATCCTGGATCGTCAAGTACCGAACTTAGTGGATACGGACCCAGTGAACCCCGATCGGACTCCATCAGTTCCTGAAGTCGGTGTAGCCGATGAACGCTGGATCCGTGCTCATCGTGCCTTTTCGACCCTGAAGATGAAGGTCGCGACGACACCGATCCTGCGGCACTTCGATTGCGATCGGACTCCGGTCGTGATTGTGTATGCCAGTGACTGGGCGATCTCGGCCGCATTGATGCAGGAGCACGACCAGATCTATCATCCCGTTACTTTCGCCAGTCGAACGCTGAAGTCGAATGAACTGAATTACAATGTGGCGGAGAAAGAAGTACTGGCGCTGTTACGGATCCTGGACCTGAACTATAACATGCTGGTTGGACGATCCATCCGGGTCTTGACCCGACACTCGACGTTGGCGTGGCTGTTCCGACCATCCGGTCTTCAAGGCCGATTGGGCCAGTGGGCTGCACTCCTATCGCCCTGGACACTGGAGATCACGAAGTGCACCAAGGAAGAGGACGACATATTGGGGGCGATCGCCGCTAGTATTACGCCTCGATCGGATCTGGACGACGCGTTGATCGCGATCGCGCCGAAGAAAGAACCCCGGCGGAAGATTCAAGCCCCGATCCCGACGGTGCGTGCGGACGAAGAGCTGCTGGTGATGAGTTTCGATGGATCCGCCCGCGTCAAGCGAGGCGGGGGCGCGTACAGTGCAATCTTGTGGAAGTTACCCGAATGGAGTGTGGTGAAGGCTCGATCGGGCTATGCCGAAGGGCTGACTGTTAACGAGGCGGAGTATCATGGTCTGTTGTTGGGTTTCGACCTCCTGGACGGCATAGATCGAGGCAGGTTAGTGGTCTGCGGTGACTCCAACCTGGTGATCCGGCAAGTACGGGGCGAAATCGACTGCAAAGCACCTAAGCTGACATTGTTGAAGCAGAAGGTGCTGGACCAACTACGGAACTGGCCAGATCACGAGCTGTTACATGTGAAACGAGACTGGAACGGGAGTGCAGACAGCCTGGCCAGTGCAGCACTCCAACGTGAAGGGGGCGTCGTCGAGGAGGAGGATGCCGATCATGGGGATCTAGTGGCACTGAACCGACTTGATGAGATCCTGGTCGTCCGGTCGGATGAGTCGATCGCCCGACTATCGCCGATGGATACCCGATCGGGCGCCAGATCACGGCCGAACCCGACCGTCATGCAGGAGGAGTTCGTGCGAGGGTTGCGGATCGATCGGATTCGTCGAGCACAGGATGAAGAAACGTGGATCGCGGATATGAAGAAAAATCTGAGGGGAGATGTGGCTGATCTGACACAGGATGAGGCCCGATCCTATGGCAACCTCGCAGCGGACTACAAGATCGACGGTGATAATCTGCTGTTCTATTGCCCACCCTCCAAGCGATCGGATGCAGATCGAGATGGACTGATGAGACTGGTGGCACCGGAGACGCTGCATCAAGACATCCTGCATCACTATCACTCCACTCTGGAAGGTGGACACCAAGGGATCGGGCGTACATACCAGCGGATCCGCGATCACTTTCACTGGAGAGGTCTCTTCAGAAGTGTGCAGAAGTACGTCGGCGAATGTGTCGACTGCGAGACCGGCAAAGAACGACCCACGATCAGGGGCGAGTCGCCGGGAAACATCCAGGCGACATACCCGTTCCAGATCATAGCGATGGATCACATACCTTCGCTACCCAAGTCGTACAAGGGTAATACGGAACTGTTGATCTGGGTCGATCTGTTCACGGGATACGTGATCGCGAAGGCCAGTTCCTCCCGAACGGCGCAGACGATCGCCGAATCTTACGAAGAGTGTGTGTTCCGGCGATTTGGTGCTAGCGAGGTGATCAGGCATGATCGAGAGCCGGGATTTATGGCTGACTTCTTCCGCGCCTTTAACAAGATCCTGGGTATGCGCCAGCGAGCGACGATGGCATATCGACCTCAGGCTAACGGTACTACAGAGCGAATGGTACAGACGGCGACGAAGGCCCTGAAGATGTTCGTGGATCTGGATCAGAGGGATTGGGATGAGTACGCATAGCGATTGACCTTCGCGATCAACACGGATCAGGATCGGGTCCGTGGGGACTCCCCTTTTTATCTGGTGCATGGATGGGATCCTCGATCGACGCTCGAGGCAACGATACCTTTGGGTAGTACCCGGACTCGGGATCGGGATCCTCGACGGTGGCGTTATCGGATCCAGAAGCACTACGATCAGGCTCGAAGTCAGGTTAATGCTCGACTACGCGAGGCGATCGCGGATCGGGCCGATCGACACAATGAAGAAGTTCGACCACACTCGATTGAAGCTGGATCTCAGGTGTGGCTGTACCTGGATCGAGTGAAAGAGGGGTATGCCCGGAAGTTGGCCCACCTGTGGCACGGCCCGTTCCGTGTTGCGGAGAAGGTGAACGAGTATACGATGAAGCTTCAGATCGCTGGTACGGACTATCACCTGTTCCCGATCGTGCATGTTTCGAAGCTGAAGCTGGTCAGGGACATCCCCGATCGACCGCAGATCGCGCGCACGGTGGACGCAGCGGATCGACTCGATTTCGACGAAGTCTTACTTCCGGAGGCCAGCTGGGCCCCAGATCGAGACACGAATGAGTACGAAGTAGAGGAGATCACGGATATGCGGACGGCTCGAAGGCCACGGTACGGCCGGACTTATCGAGAATTCCTGGTACGCTGGAAGGGTTACGACGAGCCTGACTGGGTCGACGAAGCTGATCTCAACTGCGGAGCGTTATTGTACGAGTTCCTTCGAGATCGCATGTACCGGAACCGATTCAGCGCGATGCAGTCTCACGAGGAGAAGTGAGATCGGGCCACCAGGGTGAGCGGGTCATCTTGGTGAGCGAGAGGGATGACGGATCGACGGGGAGGCCGTTGATCGGAGGAAGGGGTTATATATGAACGAATGAGTGTATGTGAGTGCAGATCGGACGGTTATGGAGTGAGTACAGGAAGGCATGAGGACAGATCTTGGCCGATCGAATTAACAACGAATGGATTGACGGGGAACAGTGGAAGATCAAGGAAGAATGTGGGTTATTACGATGGAATGGATCAATCTGAGTACTTCGCGCTACGCGTATGGAAGATCGGCCTCCGCGTCACTCCTATTCTTGGGGTGTGATGGTCGACTGGCTCGCTATTCGTGGAAGTCGATCGTGGAGACGGCGATCATGTCACGGCTGGTGTTGGGCGCCGACGTTGGGGTTGAACTTGTTGCGGAGACGCCGTTCGGAGGTCAGTCGGTTCGCCTTGGTGTTGGGTGGGGTTGCCGATGTTGGCAGCGCGAGATACCACGCCAGGATACCAGGTCACAGCGTCCCGCTGTCGCACCGGGATCTGCAGGAAGAATGGGTCCAGCAACAGATCGACGTCTGCCCACATCTCTCGCATCATCGGCAGCATATCGACAAGGAGTCGGCGCCACCGATCACCGAGGCGGATCCGTCGGGCACGACGATCGCGATGGTATCGCTCGACGATCTGATCCCGACGCTGGGCGGCCGTGATCGGGAGATAATGAGTTGTTTCCCAGAAGGCCTGGCGATTCTGCTCTTCGAACTGAAGATAGGCAGTGGCGATCCGACTCAATCGGGTGCCGGCGCCTCGATGGAATGCCAGATCGAAAGTCAACGGATCGGCCGGGTTCTGCAGCGCCTGCCAGGGGCGATCGGCCATCAGCGCGGTGATGTTAGGTCCGGTGATCAGGTCGTCTCGATAGCCAACCCCGGCCGCAGGCTGTGCAATGCCCCGAACGACGAGCGGGAAGAACCAGCCCCCGGGTAGGAGGAGATGGTGGGTCAGCGTCGACAGGATCATGCCGGTGATCTGTAGCTGTCCCAGCAGGATCGAAGGCCAGGGGTCTGTATCAGTCTGAGCGAGCGCCCTGGGGGCGTTGAAACCCGGGACCATGGTACCGATCGGGAACAACGGCGGGACCAGAGGACGACGCCCCGGCGATCCAGGCGGAGAACCGGGCGGCGGCGATCCAGGTGGAGAA